CTGTTGTACTTTTGCTCCTGCAGCTCATGCATGTACAAGACTGAGTCGAGGTAGATAACGACGTGTGACCCTGCTTATCTGCATGTGTGTGCGTGCGCGGTGCAGGCTTCCAGAAGACGGGCTGGATGAGATGGGCCCGACAGGCGCTTGCGCGAGAGCTCGGCGTCCACTCGTCGCCCGCTTCGCTTCGATTCTCAAGCGACCTGTAGCATGCATGGCCAGTCATGTACATACATGGACCGCAGAGGGCCCGGAGAAATGGACCGCTGCAAACGAGATGATAGGATCGACGGACGGCCGACGGATGGCTTGGATAAGGTTGGCCGTGGAGGAGAAGGGGACAAGAGGACAGACACACACACATGTACACATTCGTGCCTACTTACCGAAGGTGATGGCTCGAGTGCTGTCATATAGCCTGTAGAGGACACGGCCTTTTCAAACATCTGCCGTGCTCGGCCCGGCCACTCCCCTCGATCGAAGGAGGGTCTCCGTCCGAAAACTGACACGTGCATGCCGTCGCAGGTGGCCTCGGGTCTGGGCCAGCGGCCTACATGACGAATAATACGGTGATGGTGGTCGTGATCGTCGCCCATCGACACAAAGCGCCGGCCAGGCCAGGCTAACATCGGCCTGTCCTATCCGCTCACCGTTCACACACGCAGGTAAAGAGGAGAAGTATCTGTACGGAACTTCGCCTCGTGCATTCGTGTAGGGGGCCGACAGCTGTTGACCCGGCGCAGTATGTAATGCTTACATACGGAGTACGCCGTGTGCTGTTCGTGAGGGAGTGCCATTGCCAGCTGCCTCATTCAACGCGCTGGATGCGACGCTGGCATCCGACTTTACCAAGCAGAGGCAAGCCAGTGTCTCATCGACGGCTCGTTCATTTGTCGGCTCGTCCCGTTGGGTTCCGCATCTCACGGCACAGCTGCTGCGCCCGCCCCCACGTGCATCATTCGCACGAGAAGAACCGACTTGGTGAAAGCTGACAATACACGGGTACGAATACTATATGTGCTTTTCGCTGCTTCGGCAGACCAGAGCGGCCTCTCGTGGATCAAGCGCGCGCGGCTATGCAGAGCAGGCGGCATCTCGAGTTTGAATCGTCTCCATCATAAGGGCAGATGGCAGGCCCCGATCACCTTTGACGAATCTCCAGAGCCTCACATGTCCCAAGTACGGATACTTGATGATATAAGTATATCCGTTATACGGATGCCCTGGCACCAAGGCTTCCCCATCAAACGGATCCACGACAGTCACCTTGCGCCTGCGAACGACATTCAGCGGGTTGCTGGGGAATTCCTAGCTCCATCCGACGTGGCCTGCCTAAGAGGGTTAGCATCGGGCATCCAAGTATCAATTTGTATTGTTTCATGATGCCTCGTGCCTACAGTAGAATACTTGTCTTTTGGTGTCAATACCGTAGTCAATATCAGGTGTGCATATCCCGTTGTCAGTACTCGATCCGCCGTGTCCATGTATGTATAGTTACGTATAGGTGGCAACAAGCAGGAAACCATCCACTTCCATATATACTGCGTACAAGCTTCAGTCTGCAAGGCATAGAGAGACACTTGTTTCTAGGCATGTGCCCAGTTAGGCAGGGTGTCCGGGGACTGACTACCCAAAGCGGGAAGGGGGCCCTCGTGTGTCCGGAGTTGTGGGCATGCCTACGTACGCAGTCTGGAGCTCTGGCCTTGGCACTTTAGAGAGCCAAGGTAGCACGGAGTACTCCGTTCGGCCTCGTGCCTGGCTTGGGAGGAATTGCTGGGACCTGAAAGCGTCGCAACGGCTGCGGGTCTGGAAACTGGCGGTATGTAGGTAACGGTTCGTATTCACATATACAACATGATGATGATATGGGCTCGGTTCGGTTCCTCGACATGACATGGCAAGGTGCCTCGACAGCTTCAAGTTGATGATGATGATGATGATGATGATGTCCGCGGAACTGCACACAAAGCAGTTGGCCTGGCGGGGCAGCCGAGGCAAGATGTAGGAATGGGTGGAATCAGGAGAAGCTGGCCAGAACAAGGGCGCGCCGACATCCGGGGCACTCGCGTACACACGGATAGACACAACACGGCATCCACCGGTCCCCATTGCGGACCCAGTTCTTGGGCTACCTATTGTTCCCTCGGCGGGGTGCCGAATTGGGCGGTTGGCTCGCCGCCGGATGAGCACCATGATGTTGGCCAGGGGCTCCACGCGCTCGCCGTTGCAAGCCTCCATTGATTCGGGGCTGTGAATAGCCCCACGGCTTTGCCCCCGTGGGCCTGGAAACTCCAAGCACTGCCGACGGGCCCATGTACTTACATACAAGGTACCGACGGTCTGCCTGTCGAGATCCGGTGGCAGCCAGCGCGAATGAGGAGGCTTATTAGCGCGCTCACCTTGGCTTGCCATTTCCTACGGGGCAGGTCGAATTGGCTTTTTCCGTCGGTTTTATAGGCGAGTTCCAATGTTCCATATGTTCACAAGCTGACTGAGGGTGTGACGCTCCGATGCCTCGGTGCTTACATGGTTTCTCCCCTCGTCTGGCGCGGCGGCAAACGAACAAGGGCATTCGTGCGCTCATCCCATATAGTTATTATAGCCGTGTATGCGCCTCCCTGGCTGCATCGCATCGCTCGCTCGTCGTTCTTGAAATATGACGGCGGCTGCTCATCTGACTTGTCACAGGCAACCATCCTGACCATCAGCCCCCCCCCTGCTCCCTGAAGACCGAATGCATGTACGTAGGGCCCGCTAGACGTACGTATGTAACATGATTTACCGAACATGACTTGCCGTCAACAAGGGAGTCTTTCGGTTTCGGGGACAGGCGGCCTGATCCTGATGCGGCGTCCGGAGCTCACCCTCGGGGAAGGGGGGGAACTGGAGGCGGCCATCCCACCCGGCCTCATCCTCGGTCGCTTGCAGACAAGAGGGCGGGCTGGTTGCCAAGAGGGGCTCGCGGAGACTGGCGAGGGGTCCCCTGCGAAGGCCCTGGATTCACTCTGGCTCCCCATGCGAGGCATTCACGCACCCCACCATCATGGCCGGCTGTACGGAATACGGATCCAGCACATTGTTCGTGGACTGCCTGGCCCGCCTCACTGCGCGTTGTTCAGACGTACGGAATACTGCCGCCCTCATCTCGGAACGCTGTCCATTACTAGCCGTAGGCAAGGTGGTGTCTCTTGTGACTGGCGGTGGCATGGGCATCGTAGCATTGGGCTTGCCAACATGAAGAAGCAGAAAGCATACAGTACTGTAAATTACCAAACACGACGAGTGGGCACGTGGTGGGTATCGCCAACACTTCCCCCCCTACCGCCTCTTGTGGTGCGCAGGCTAATTAGGACGGTGGCGCTTTCATAATGGACAAACAAGCTTGTTGGGGAATCGATGGGAAGTCCAACAGGGAGGCTTGCACGACGGACAGAATGGATTCGAGCATCTGTCTTGCTGCTGTGCAGTCGCTTTGGAAGATCAGCAAAACAGGCTGGCAGGTGGTTCCCCCCCCCTCTTCTCCTTCGTGCCGGGGCAGTGGATGCAATGGATGGGGCTGGACTTGTCGCCGCAGTGCTGCCGACGCAACAATAAAGACAGCCCCGTCTCTCTACAGGCGCCTAGGCTCATTTAGGCCCAGTTAGGCCCGGCGAATGCTGCGCGTCTCGCAGGAAGGGACAAGAGAGAGCTGCCTGGCACGCATGTACAGAGGGAGTACAGAGGGAGAACAGAGGGGGTCCCTCCATGCGAACCCTGCAGCGACCCCCCGTCTGGAGATGCAACGACTGCCTGCCTGGTTGCTCGCCGATGAGCGCGGCACGGGCGAGATGGGGGGTCGCGGGCGCTTGCAATCCTTCCTCCACCTGCACCGCCCTCCATTCCGCTTCCTCGAGTCTCGGCGCATGGGATGAAGCTTGGCTGCCTTGAGCACCATCATCGACTCCGGCCGGCTTGGGTCTCGAGAGAGCTGTACCGTACTGTACGGATACACAGTCTGGCTCTGTCGGTGTCATCGTCAGCCTCGCTTCAGCAGCTTCCATTACCCGTGCACTCGGCCTCTTTTCTCCGACTGTAAGTCGAGGCACGAAGACATCTGCTGTTGAGGCGTGGCTGCTGGCCCATGTCCTGCAGGTTGACGACACCGTGGACGACACCAGCCTTCCCCCCGCTCATCTCCTCCACAACAGGCCAGAACCTCAGTGGGTAGCTCTACCCACCCCACCCCGTCTCCAGCTCCAGCGAGGCTAAATCAGTTGGGCCCAGCTTGGCAAGCAGGTACCTATGTACAGTACTCAATAGGTACCTAGGTACCTACTTGCTGTAGATGCTATTAGGCGTCGCCTCCCGACCATCCGACGACCATTGTGCCGTGACATTCAACATCGTCCACTGCTGCTGCCCAGCACTGCGAGACGCATCTGCCGGCCTTGGTTCAGTCATCAATCATCACGAGCGTCAGCCCTGCAGGTCGGCCCAGCTTCCATCCAAACAAGATCCTCCTCGCAAGCTCTTCTGCGGCAACAGCTTTCATCCGGCTGGCAACCGACTGCGACGACCATTTACAGGCCTCGGTGTCTCTCGCCGACCTATTCCCGAGCAAAGTTTTGCTCTGTGCCTGTCTGTCTGTGCCTTGTGCCTGTACCTCTACCCGTACCCGTACCTGTAACGGTACCTGTACTTCACCCGTATCCGTCCCGTACCTGTACCAGCGCTGCAGCGGCCACGGCAATCTTTCTCTACCAAGGTACCACCACCACTAACAGGCCTCTCTCCGCGCTGTCCTGGGCCCACGATTCCCACTTTGCACCGGAAGTACCAGTACGCATCCAGCTGCGGTGGCTCAGAGACTGGGGCATCCATCTTGCCCGCTCCCTCTCTCTTTCTCAGAGGACCCGCTCCGATTTCTGAGACAACCGCAGACGCTGACTCGACCATCCTGCTTCCTTTCTCATCACCGCCGCGACAGCTTCCCTTCTCCCGACCGACCGACACGCTTCACCATGCTGATAGACGGCGAGAAATACGCCTGCGAGGCCTGCGTTCGAGGCCATCGCGTCAGCAACTGCCAACACTCTGGTAAGTCATGCCTCCCGCGCCTCCGACGCCCGGCCCCGGACCCGTCTGCAGCTCCGTCGTTGCACCTCTCATCGGCTGCTGCTAACTGCCTCATTCACCCCCGCAGATCGACCGCTTCAACATATCAACAAAAAAGGTCGCCCCGTCTCGCAATGCCAGCACTGTCGGAACATGCGCAAGTCGCGCTCTGCACACATCAAGTGCGACTGCGGCGAAAAGACGAGCAAGTGCGCGCACCTGCAGCAACCCGTCGAGGGGCACAAGGGTGAGCCGAAACCTCTCTCCGATGCCTCGTCGGCCCCGTCTGACAAGGCTGGCCCCTCAGAGACCTGTTGCTGCAATCATGGTGGACGCTGCACCTGCTGTCACAAAAAGGAGCCGTCCCTCGACACGGTCCCCGAGTCCGACTCGGATGGCGAGACGCCGAGCCTTGCCATGCCCACGCGGCCCAAAGCCGCCGCCAGGAGACGACGAGCCAACACGGTTCACTCGGACGGCGTCCTGTCCTTTGACCAAAACGGCCACCACAAACCCACGGCCAAGCACAACCGAGCCGCCCAGAAATGCGGGCCCTATCAGCTCAACCGCGTCAACTCCGCCACGAGCACCAGCAGCCTCGGCGCAAGCTCCGAGAGCTTGTTCTACCAAGCAGGTTCCGAAGGCCAATCGCTGGGCGGCCGTTCCAGGGCCGCGACAGCCCACGAGCAGCGCAGGGTCAAGTCCGAGACGGCTTCTCCTCTGATGACCGGCTCCGCCTTTCCCCAGCTCAACGGCGCGCTGCCCCCACTTGATCTGTCACGGATCGAGTATCCTGCCTCCTATGTTGGCAACGGCACCTTTGAAATGTTTGGGTCGGGACTCACTTCGGAGCACGAGGCCCCCATGTACAGCGCCGGCTTGAGTGCGGCCTCGGTTGACTGGAGCCACTACGATCTCGGAGAGTCAAAGGGCGACTTTGCCCCGTCGAGCTATAGTCAGGCCGGTGCCCAGAGCTTCAGCGGCCTCTTCGACTTTGGAAGCGGCTCGGAGCAGCTTCCTCGCCTGGCCAATACGACATCGACCTCTGGCGACGTGTCCGAAGTCGAGGATCTCATGGGCAACGGAGACGGCGATTTCGACGGCTTCAGTGCCGGGAGCAACGGCTTCCTGCGGCAGGGCAACTTAGTTGGCAATTCGACGGACCTTAGTGGCATCGATTACGATAGCTTCTACCAGAAAAACTCGGAAGGCACCAGCCTGCCCGCAACCACCATTTCCATGGTGGAGGAGGATGCGGCCTTTTGGGTGCCCAACTACAACGAGGGCATCGCAACCATGGATGAAAGCCCGGACCCCCTTGGCACCTCATCTCTCGGCAACTTTTGGGAGGTTTGAAGGGCTTTTTTTTGGCGCACTCTATACCCCAGCAACTTTCTCGTCAAAGACAAGATTCGGCTATGGATCTGCACAGCGCATGGCGTATCGTTCGCGGCAGCAGGATATCTCGACGATTCAACACTTATTTGAGCATCTTTTTCGTGGAGCAGCGCTCCCATTCAACCAAGTCGCGTCCATCCACGGGATGTTCGTGGCCTCGGGCTCGGGCTCCTTCCCTCTTCTCTTCTTCTAGTGATGATTACGTTTTCATTTTTATTTTCCCCACACGATAGACATGAGGGCATGGACGGGGGGGTTGGTCGCTTTTGTCAGGTGCGGAGGCTCGGTGTCGAGGATCTGAAAACAGCATGAGGATTGGTGACCGACAGTACTGGAGTTTTCCCTTTCTTTTCCCTTTCTAACGACTTTGGTTTGGGTACATGAGCCCACGCGCAGTGGGACGGGCGGTGGTCTTTGCTTGTTTCCGATTATTTCCATCAACGGGGCGAAAAAAGGCTCGGAGGTGCTCTACGCTTGCAATGACGATAGACTTGGACGCGCAGGATCTAGATCGACTCCATACGGGACCCCCTTGACGCGGGCCATTGATCTAGAGTTTGATTCCTTTCCTTGGCTCATATACATACAACGGCACATAGAGGTTGCTACCTGGGTAGGTTATTTAGAGAAGCCTGGCCTGGAGGCTGAGCCGCTCCTAAGCGCCTTATCCCGGGATCTTCCATGGACCCCACCTCCGGGCCCGCGCCTCGCGCCGACGCAAAGGGAATGCTGGCCGGGAAGCCGGCCCTACCAAGGTGTGGGACTCTCGGGGTATTAGCCCTTATTTTCGCGTCTGGCCGAGATGCACACTTGGCCTATACATGCGTGAACATATGTGGCGAGGGCGATTCAGTAAAGGCGGCGGCGTATGAGCGAGGCAAGCACGGACACATACGGGGGGCTTGAAGAGGGGAGTTTTGAGATGAGTGGTATCAAGGCCAGCCCCTCGCTATCATCAGACGCCGTCCCCCGTCGCCGTGGGGGACCCGTTCCTCTCCTTTGGATTGGCTACCTATGAGCAAGTCTTGATATGCACTGTAGACTACGGCTTGCAGCCACTTCACCAATGCCGGCTCACTAAGTGTATAGTGTGTACTTTGTACGCTGAAAAGAAACCGGGGGTGAGCGAATACATGGATGCGCTCTCCCTCACGAGACCTCGAGGTAGCCCGCCGAGAGCGACGGGCCAAAGGCAACCTCGCCCTCGCCGGGTACGACGCCCTCGTGCGCAGTCGCCAGGTCCGCGAGGTGCTGCAGCCCCTGGCTGGCAGTCGCCTCCACCGACGACGCCGGCCGGAGCAGCTCCGCGAGCCGGTCCTGGGCGCTGTCCCAGTGGTCGCCCGGCGGCCTCTCGGCAATCTCCTTGGTCAGCTGCGTTGCCTCCTCGCGTGAGCTGTCGACCTTGACGAGCTTGGACAGCGACAGCACCACGAGGGAGACAAAGTGGTGGATAAGGGGGCTTCTGAGCTGCGCGCTCGCCGACAGCAGGTTGGCAAGCTCCCGGGTGGGCCACAGCGTCTCTGCCGCCGTCGCGCCGGGGGTCAGCAGCGTCACGAGCAGCCGGCAGTGCCAGTAGGCAAGGTGCACGAGGGGGTACGCGGCGGCATCGACGTGAGCCGGAAGGTCTTCTCGGTAGTTTTCGATGTAGTCCCCCAAGAGCATAGCCATGGCGTGGTCCGCCGTGGTTGCGCCTGGCTGAATGGCCGAGATGACGTAGGCGATTCTGTTTAGAAGCTTCGACAACCCTGTCGAGGTCAAATCAGTCTCATGCTACCGCTCCAGGGCGCCGTACGGTGCTCTCGGACTTACGTGTCAAATGGAAGCAGACTTCACCCAAGTTGGCCTGCAAGCCTGCTCGTGCCACCACGCTGCTATCGGGGATGAGGGCAGGTTTCCCCGTGCCGGCAGCGTGCCAGCGATCCATCATGATGATTGACCACCAAATTTTCAGGCACAGCTGATCATCAGAGTCCGGATCGGCAGACTCGGCGGGGACCAGTTTCCAGAGCTTCATGCTATTGGCAAGCGCCACCGCCCGAGCCAAGAGGAACGGCAGCGTCGTCAATGACCGCCAGTCAGCATCGATGATGAACAGCATGAGTGTCTGAGCATGCACAATCTCCGACGCTCGGCTGTGCGGACCATCGTCGCTCTCCCATTCACGAAGAAGGGCATCGGCATGTTTGATGTCTCCCGGCGAGCCTTGTCCCACCGTCGCTAGAGCGATGGAGAATGCTGTGCTCAGAGATGAAGGGCATTGTGACAGCAGCAGCTGCATGCGCGTCACGTTGCTCGGCAGGACGGGGAACAATGGTTGAATGCTCGCGAGGTAGCTGCCGGGTAATTAGCCTACGCCAAGTCAGGGAGTACGAGAAACTCGGCTTACTCTTTCAAATTCGCCTCGTCAATGCTGGGCAGTTCGTCAACGTCGGCCATCGAGACCTCCATGGATGCAACCGGTGGCTTCGATGGCGTGCCGTCGGGCTTGATCGCCGACGGCTGAGGAGCAAGGGCGTGGTTGGCATACACTTGCTGGGCGAAGTTTTCAGACGAGGCCGATGCGGGCTGCACCGGTCGAGGCTCCGAGCCCCACGGCGCTTGGCGGGCAGACACCGGCGTGCTGAGATCGCCGGTGGAGATGCTCGAAAAGGGTCGTTTTCGACTCATGTCATCGCCAGGGGCTCCGTGGCCGTGGCTCCGGGGGCGGTCAGAGGCAAAGAGTTTATCGATGTCATCCTGGGTCAGGTTGCCCTCGGACTCGAGCTTGTTCTCGATGCTGTGAATTCGGTCTGCGAGTTCCTTGATGTAGCTACAGAAGGATTAGTCGGCGACCGAAAACTGCGTTGTCGAGTCCGTGACAAGCTGCTTACCCCTTGCTCGGGCCTCGCTTCTGGGGCACCCGACTGAAGAGGCACCGAATTGATGATCGTGCACAGCTAGAACATGGGCTATCGCCAGTGTCCGACTGCGCGTCGCATTTGATTTTCTTTCGTCGACATTCGTCGCAGGCACGGGACACTTTGGATCGTTTTCTCGGCGGGATGCCGTCCCCTATCTGATACTGGGGTGGCACAGGCGGCCCAACAGCCACGGACATGGGATGCTGGGCCAGATGGTCGGTCGTCGGCGCATCCTGGACATAGGAGGGGGCCTGATGGTGCTCTGGCTCAGGATGCGGCATGATGTTGCGCATGCTATGCTCGTCCACGTTCATGTTTGGATCCGTGGCAGGCATAATGGACGCGCCCGCCAGGCCGTCGCCGAGCTGTGCGGCCAGCTGGAGCTCTTCCAGGTTCGATGGCCGCGAGACATGCTGCTGCGGCGTCGTCGGATCCTGCGCCGGCATCTGGGCATGATCATGCTCTTGCTCCTGCACGTGCACTTCTTCGGGAGCATGTTGGTCAAGCTGGTCCGGGTGCTCTGGAGCTCCGTCGCGAGCGTTAGAGTGGTAAAAAGGCCCGGCGTCCATAGCCTCGGCGCCCGGCGAGGGATATGTGAGGGTGGCTGCCTCCTCTGGCTCGCCTTCCCTGCCTGGGCTCATAGTGATGCGAGCGTGACGCAGCCGGTTATAGCGAGGCGCGAGGCAGCTGAAGGCCTAGACACCACGAAGATGGCCACGCCCTCGCCGTTGCGAGCTCCCGGTGGTACCGCAGGAAGGCAGTTGCGGAAGGGGAAAGGACGTTGTTTCCGCTCTATATGGTTCGTGGAGAAGGGACACGGCGGCCACGCGACAGCCTGAGGCGGCGGCGCGTGTGTTGTCGGGAGCTGATGAGGCCATTGTCAGCTGGGCATGGGAGCTCGTCGGCATGCGCTCAGGGAGGGGGCCACGGTGCATTGCTTGGGACAGCAATGGCCGTGGCCCGATAGCTGATGGGATGCGTCGACTTACAGCTTGGATAGCTTCAGGAACGGAGGATGATAAATGCGATGGGCCTGGCGCGCACAACGGAATAGGAAGAACTCGGCGCCCGTGTCAAGCGTGTGGGTGTTTTGACCCTTGGGTTTCGAGCACGGAGAAGGAAGAATTTTTCGGGGCCAACCCGCGGGAGCTTTGGCTGAGCCTGGCGCTATTGGTCAGGACGGGAACGCTGTAATTCCGGGCTCCGACAGTACGTACCGGCTGCTGAACTCCCGACTCGACTTGCCAGGGCCGACGACTCCTCTTCTTGTCCAGCGCCTGGTTGGTTGGTTGACCTTGATAGCATTGTCTTGCGTGTCCTCTGACGCAGCACCATCCGGTCACTTGACCGGCCCTTCCAAGCACCACGGGGCGAGTCTGTCGAGTTGATCCGAATACTAGCGCCGCCACTCCATGCAAACCTATCCGCAGGTCTAGTCCGTACAGTAGCCGCATATCGCTTTGCGTAATGAAGATGCCCTCGTGTATCATGAAGCCTGTAAACGACAGACGTCCCGCCCAGCAGTTGAGGCTTTACCACAGGGTCACTTGGCTACAGTAGTTCTAGTCTCTTGTTCGCCCTTAAGTTATTTACTTCAACACTTGAAGCCGCCATGACTAAGCATCCGCTCGACCATCTACAGAGAAAATGGCCGAGGAATCCGCGGTTGCTGCTACGCTGACAACCTCGACCGGACCGCCTGCAGGCGCAGGTAACACATGGATGTGATCGAGATGCAGAGGTGGGCCTATGTCCAAGATCTACCCAGCGATATAGACCCAGTCCGGCAGCTGCTTCGCACATACAGCAGAATTCCCGAAGAGCATGTCGACAGCCATCTCCGGCGTGTGGTAAGCCGTCGGCATCATCATGTATACCGCCTTTGCTGACCAGTCCTCTCCTCGTCGGACCATGATAGCGGGAAGACGCCTGGAATGTGGCCCACTGCCCCTTTGTGGGCCGATGGAAGTTCCTCCGCCTGTACGACAGCCGAGACCCCTGCTATCAGCAAGTCGTCTTCAGGCTAAGCGTCTCCGGGTCCAGAGACGTCTTTCTGGACCTGGGTTGCTGTGTCGGACAGGTCCTCCGCCAGCTCCGCGCCGCCGGGGTCCAGGGCCCTCGGCTCTTCGGGACCGATGTCCAGCCGCGGTTCGTCGACATCGGCTACGACCTGTTTCGGGACAGGGACCGCCTGGGGGCCTCGTTTGTCATCGGCGACATGGTCGATCCCGACGATAATCGCCTCGACCAGCTGCGCGGCAAAGTCACCATCATCTACGCCGGCAGCTTCTTCCACCTCTTCAACTGGACGCAGCAACTCTTCATCGGCAAGCGTCTGGTGAGCTTTCTCAAGCCAAGAACCAGAAATGCTCTCATCTATGGCAGGCATGTCGGCACTACCAAGCCGGGGGAGTGGACGGCAAGCATGGCATCTGCGTACCTGCACGACGCGGGTAGCTTTCAACGCCTGTGGGACGAGATTGGGGATTTGACAAAGACCAAGTGGAAGGTGGAGATGGAGGCTATGGGAGAACTCGCCTGCCCCTCACACCGGGTCGAAAAGGGTTCACAACCGATGAGCTTTACCGTGTACCAAATTTCCTGACAACTTGTTGTCCTCGGCCGGAGGAAATTATCGCTTGTTCTCTCGTACTGCCTAGGCCGGTTTGCTCAGGGGCCAAGTCACTCGAACGTGGTATCTCTCGTGACCCGCGACGTCGTAATGGTAGGCGAGAAGAGAAGGATGATGTGGGCGAACCGAGCTCGTGGTAGCTGAGAAGATACCCATGAGTCCGGGGTGGATTCTGGGGCTGGATTTAATAGTACAGCCCGAGGCAATCACGTCGTCGTTGCACAAATGGACGAGCAAAAGATTTTCGACTTGAGCGAGGCATGTCCGTCGCAACCGAGTACAGGGTAGGCAGATTGGCGTCCGGTTTTACGCCGGCTTCTCGATTATGCTCAACTAATTACCCCACCAACCCGCAACGGCTGTCATCCCTCAACGACAGCTTCGAGTCGCGACCCGCGTCCACAGCCCTCCTGCTCCAGAGCGCTCGCACTCCCGAGCCTTGAATCGACCTGGATCGCCCTGGTGGCCCGCCAGACTCGCAAAGCCGTTTCCTGCCATCCGCGCACCACTTTCCCTCGAGCGATGATCCCCTGGAGAATGACCAGCCAGCTACAATGGACGGAGACTGGGATGAGGTAGGTCCCACGTTCGGGTCCTTGCGCGCGTCGTGTTGCTGGCATTCCCTTCTCGTCGCACGGCCAAGGCGCCCGCAGTTGATAGGCTGCGCTGACGTGGTGGTCCTCAGGTCTCCCGAATTGCATTCCCGCCCCCGGGCGTCCATGCGATGCCGACATCGGTAACTACGATGACGTTTGACACCTCTCAAGAGTTGCTCTGGACTGGCAATGACTTTGTACGTGTCGCAATAAACATCCATCGCACTCGCCTTCATGACCTGACAAGGCGACCAGGGCCGTGTTATGTCGTTCCTGGGTACCGAGCTACAGAGGTATACCTCGTTCAAGGCGCATCAGACCTCGGACGGTCCTGTGCGTCAGATATTGGTCAACGACAGAGGCATTGTGTCTTTGGGCTCCAAGGATGTTCACATGGCCTTGAGGAGAGGCCCGCCATTATGCCATGTCAGGTGCGTCTCACTGGCTTCCAGGACGCGGAGCGTGCGAGAGCTAACCGTGGAGGACTGCACAGGCACGACGAAATGAAAGACTTGCGCTGCATGAGCTTCACTTCAAAGGGCACGGCGGAAATCCTCGTCGCTGGACTCCAGAACAAAATGCTTGTCATTGACCTCAATAAGGGCGAGGTCGTCAAGCAGGTAAGAGACACGGGGCAACAACGTTGAATCGAAGGCTGATTGAATCTTAGCTGCCTACGGAACACCAGTACTCCATCATGAAGCGTGGGCGCTACATCTGCGCAGCCACCAAGAGTGGATCGGTGCATCTTTTGGACCCCGTCAGCTTCGCCGTCGTCAAGTCCTGGAATGCGCACTCTGCGCTGGTCAACGACATGGACGCACAGCACGACTTTATTGTGACCTGCGGATACTCCCTGCGGCAGGGACAGAACTATATGCTGGATCCGTTCCTCAACGTCTTCGATATCAAGAAGATGTCGTCGATGCCCCCGATTCCCTTTCCAGCCGGGGCTGCCTATGTTCGCATGCACCCCAGGATGCTCACGACTAGCATCGTCATCTCTCAGACTGGCCAGATGCATGTCGTGGACCTCATGAACCCCAACACTAGCAACGTCCGGCAGGCAAACGTGCTCACCTACCTAAGCATGTTCGAAATCGCCCCCTCGGGCGAAGCCATGGCGCTCACCGACCCCGAGTGCTACATCCACCTATGGGGGTCACCTTCGAAACTTCACTTCGTGGACCTCCCAACTCCGTTGGAGTTTGCCACACCTGAAGAGCCAATGGGCCCTATCGAATGGACCCCTGAGACGTAAGCTGAATATTCTCCCACTGCCCCAAGACAAAACCTAACAGGCTATCAGACCTCTGAACTCGATCGGCTTGCCATACTATCGAGAAGTGTTGGCTTCAGCTTGGCCCGACGCCGTGTGTGACGTTGGCGCCCCTCCGGCCAAGCTCGACGTCCAGTTCATCAGTAGCCTTAAGACGACCGAGTTCGGACTCTACGGCCGCAACTCTCGCGGGATCCGAAGAAACCAGATCGAGGATACTCGTAACGTCAACAGGTCGGCTAGCACTGGCCTGAAAGCACCCAAATTCCTGAGCGAAAAGGCTCGCGAGTCGGCCAAGAGCGATACCAAGAGCGCGGATGAGAAGCCAGATGATATCTCGAGCCCGACGATAGAAACAGGCATCGAAAGCAAGAAGGCTGAGGTGCCCATGATGTACCGCAACGTAGAGATTAAGTACAGCAAATTTGGCGTCGACGATTTCGATTTCGGGTATGTTTGCCCTGCCCAAGACCCACGAGCTCGAAATTACTGACCAGGCACACAGGTTCTACAACAAGTCTCGCTACTCAGGCCTAGAAATCCACATCTCAAACTCCTACGCCAACTCGCTCCTCCAGATGATGAACTTCACACCTCTGATCCGAAACCTGGCTCTCCAGCACGCAGCAACAGCATGCGTCAGCGAAATATGCCTGCTGTGTGAGCTCGGCTTCCTATTCGACATGCTGCAGAAAGCCGACGGATCCATCTGTCAAGCAACAAACCTGCTCAGGACCCTGAGCCACCACCCTCAAGGTAGGTAATTCCGGCCAGTTCCACTGAGCTGCGTAATACTAATTGACGCAGCCGCTCCCCTGGGGCTCCTTGAAGAAGACTCGCATGGGTCGTCGCTGAATGTGATGCTACAGGGACTCACGCGATTCCTACTGGACAAGATCGTACAGGATTACAAAAGCATATCGCCAGCCTCCTCCGCCATGGAACAGGTGTGTTTCCCCCTTGCCGCCGACGGTCAGAAAACACGATGCTAAGACTTGTCAGGTACTTGCGACCTCGGCTACGAGCTCGATTCGATGTGTCAACTGTAGGAGCGAGTACACGAGACCTGGATCGACTTTTGTCAATGACTTGCTCTACCCTCCACATGTCAGTACCTCGGTAACCGCGTGGCGGCGCATGGCTGATCGATCCTCGCAGAAGGCGTCTGGTCGCAACAGTAAGATGTCGCGTGTCACCTTTTCTCAGGTTCTTAAGAGTAGCATTGAGAGAGAGACAACGTCCAAAGGCTGGTGCAGCCGATGCCAGCGATATCAGACAATCGCGACCAGGAAAACCATTCACAATGTCCCGGCAGTACTTATGCTCAACACAGCGATTACGAGCCAGGATCATCGAATGCTTTGGTCAACCCCAGGCTGGCTCCCCGAAGAAATTGGCATCATCGTTGACCAGGGCCAGTTCTACTGCTACGAAGGCGAGGATTTGAAGCTCCACCTGCAGCGCGGTATGCACAATATTGTAGTGTACTCACTGATCGGCATGGCCATCAACATCGAGAACGGCCAGACACAGAAGCCACATCTTGTCGCTATGGTTAACGGTAAGCTCCTCACCCTTGTGCAATCGTCGTGGCATGTGCTGACCGAACATGCAAGTTGCACATGCTGAACCGGAATCACCGGAGCTGAGCCAATGGCATTTGTTCAACGACTTCCTGGTTCGCTCAGTCAGTACCGAAGAGGCACTCACTTTCAATCAGTCCTGGAAGACGCCCTCAGTCGTGGCCTTCCAGGTCAAGCATGCGAACAACAAGATTGATACTGAATGGAGAGATCATCTGGACACCTCGATTCTCTACCAGGATCTCAAGTAATCAGCCGGATACTCGCCTCTATAAGGAATTGAGGCTGACTTGAGTGTGACAGCCCGAACCTGCAGTCTGATGGCAAGACATATCAGATTTTGGACCCCGAGACGGAACGTCCAGGGCCTGAGACGATAGTTGCTCTAGACACAGAGTTTGTTGCTGTGCGGCAGCCGGAGATCGAAATGAACTCGGACGGTGAACGGGAGACGATCAGGCCGATCGTGTACGCGCTAGCCCGAGCATCCGTTGTGCGGGGCAAGGGCGAGAACGAAGGCGTGCCGTTTGTGGATGACTACATTGCCATCAAAGAACCCATCGTCGACTATCTAACCTCGTATTCTGGCATCCGTGAGGAGGATCTTGACCCGCGCATTTCCAAACATAGCCTCTTGCCGCTCAAGATGGCTTACAAGAAGCTCTGGATTCTCTTGAACCTGGGCTGCAAGTTCTTGGGGCATGGACTGAAGCAGGACTTTCGAGTCATCAATATCCATGTGCCCAAGGCGCAAGTCATCGACACAATCGACCTCTTCTTCCTCAAATCGCGCCTTCGCAAGCTCTCGCTCGCCTTCCTGGCCTGGTATCTCCTCAAGGAAGACATTCAGCTGGAGACGCACGACTCGATTGAAGACTCGCGCACGGCACTCAAGCTCTACAAAAAGTACCTGGAGTTTCAGGATGCGGGCATCTTGGAGACGATGCTGCAGGACATTTACCGCGCAGGCAGAGACGTCAACTTCAAGCCGCCCCGCAAGGACGGCGCCGACGTGCAGAGGACCGACACGCCCCCGTTGCCGATCGAGGGCGCGACCACGGGGCCGTCGACCCCGGTGAGGAAGACGACGGGCCTGGCCGCGCCGGCACAGGGCGCGACGGGGTTTGGTGGAGCTAGCTGGACTCCCGGCAAGAGTTCGCCGTTGAGGTAGGGCAGGGGTTATGTAGGAAGATGGACATTGTCACGAGATGTTGTTTGAGGAGTCTGGAGGATATCTGCGCCTCGGTTGAATAAAAGTCCCACAGAGATTGCTTGTCCCGATGTGCTGAAAGGCGTCGGCTGATGGAGCCCAATACCTCCCTGGGAAGCCGCTGCTCCCGAAGTGGAGGCAGCCAGACGAGTTGGTCAGCCTTGCGCGCAGTGAAGAGTTGTTCATAGTTGGGAGCACTTTGAATATTCGGTCCTACAGCCCGTTCTATGCTGCCACTCCCTGGCCTTGGCACATGAGCCGTCAATCGCGCTATTCAACGAGAAGCCCATCCTCTGTTTTCACGAAACAAGCCAGAAAAACCCCCCTCTTCCTTGGCAATCGCTCTCCCCTTCCAGAAGTGTCCAGTAGACTTGTTCCGAGCCCCGAAGGCGGACGTGTTGGGGACTAAGGGGAGGGGGCAAGTTATTCCACGCATCAGGAGCAGGTGGCAAGGACCCGAGATGCTGCCAAACATCGTCTATGTTTCTCGAGTTGCATTTAATTTGGCGATATCCTTGTCAAATCATTATTGGCCTGGTCGGTGGCGACTCGTCACATCTCGCGAGATTGACGAGCTCACAACAGGGTTTAGCCTTTGCTGGCGATCTCTTCCACCCGCGCGTTTCGTCATGGCTGTTGATCCTGCTACGCTAAAGCTCGGACTCGGCGCCGTTGGTGGATAGTTGCATGGGACTGCCGTTCGCGTTCTGGCGTTGGCGGAGCCGCGCGTTCCCGGGAGGTCGCCGGCGGACCATGACCCGGCCGTTCATGTTGACGTTTTCGTCCTCGTCATCCGATTCACCAAACTGCTCGGCATAGATTCGGGCTTCGTCGAGCTCGTTGATGTCTTGGGGCCGATCGCGCAGCCACTGCATCCGGGGCCCGGAGCGGGCACGTTCTGATACCCGGAACCCGTAGATCTTGGGCTCGTGTATGTGGCCCGGCCCCAGACTTGGGGCGATGTTCTTGGTGAACATGCCGTTGAGGAGAGTCTCGTCCGCCGTTATCCTCGAGGTCATGGGGGAGAGCACATCGGCGCCGCGCTTGGTGAGGTCGTATTCCGGAAAGGTGAGGAGGAAGAGGGCACCAAATGTGCGGCCGAAGAAGGCACCATCGACGGTCTGGAACCGGCTGTTGGGGGGCACGTAGACATCCAGGCAGGACGGGCAGAAAAGCTTGACCGTGTCCTCGCCCGGTATATCGGAGAGGCCGACGGGCAACGTCCTCGCCAGCTCGCAGTTTGTCCTGGGGCAGCAGCCGAAGTGGCCGAGCTCGTACTTTTCGCTCATCTGCTGGATACCAGCACGTGAGCATATAAAGCGTTGGTGGATGAGGCCGTAGAGCATCTCGGCCGACGACTCGATGACGGACAGGTCGCTGGCCATTCTGCTGTGTCTTCGCTCGCCGGAACTCCGCCCGGCCACACGCTCTTGTCCGTCTCCCAGGCCCGATTCGTTCTCTTCATCCTCATCCTCATCGTCCTCATCGTCGTCGTCATCCTCGGGCTCAACGTCGAGAATCATCTGGTGGGCGGGCATTAGCACGGCGAATTGTCGAGGCCGGCGCAGGTCAATCTGGGCCTACCTCCAGGGCCTCCTTGTACATGGCAACCTGTGTCTGCAGGCCAGTAAGGTTGAAGTCATCCTCGATGAATTCTTCCGACACTTCGGCAAAGTACTCGTGCCCGAGCAGGGAGCAGAAGCTCGAGATCCAGGATTCGGGCACACCCGAGGACGTCGACATGGTGCCGTGGAGGCCTGGTGCCGAGGGCGCTGTCGCAGGGCCTGTAGGGTGGCGCGCGCGCGTCGTCTCGACCACGGATGGCCTCTATTGCTCGATTTGGGATGACGGCGTTTGGATGCGTGCGGTATTGCGGACAGCCGTAAATTGTAATTGTGGGGGACGGAATCGCCCAGTGCTGTTTTCGTTACGCTCGGGGTTCGGGGTGCGGAGACGGGTTCGGCGACGGCGTAGATATGCCTGTCCAGGAAATCGTAATGGAGCGGCAAGGTTTCGATGTTTGATACCCGACGCGTGAATGAGGCGGGCGAGGCACGATGCGATGGGATTGTGAGTACCTGATGACCGGGAGAGGGCTTGGAGAGTTAGTGGTTAGCTGAGTTGCTCCCTCTCGGCGCTTTGGTTCTGCCGACTCCGAATCCTTACCCATACACAAGCGAGCTCAACGTCTGATGGCAGGTCGACGGCCACCACCCATCAACGCCAGACTGTCCCTCAATGACAAGACTATGAAGACAGCTCTCCAGTCCTGCAGACAATGGACACGCCGTTTTCACGGCATACGCGCCGCGTTGCTCCCAATCCAGTCTGCCGTACCGTCAGCCCAAGGCTACCCAGACCTTCAAGCGTTCCAGCAGCAAGCTCTTCTGCCCAAGAAGCCATTGCTCTTCCGCAATGATGCTGGGTCGCCAGCCTCCCAGCTTGAATCCATGAACAAGTGGTTCAGCAAAAACGTGACTGCGGGGCGTGGATTCTCGGCTTACATGGCCGGCTTCCAGGATTGGCCGTTTCCTTACGAGCTAGTCTTGTCCTCGTCTGAGATGAAGGATGCCGTGGTCGGCTTCCGTGACTGGCTCATGGAGAGTCCACATGTCACAGACCATATCTTGGCCGGCATTCTACAGCCTGCTCTGGTCGAAGGCGAAGACCAAGCCTTCTTTCAGCTCTTCGGTCCCTTGCGGCTTCTCAACAAGGCACTTGAGTTCAACAGAGCCCAAAGATCCAAGGCTTCGAGCACGTTGGATCTTTATATCGCGCAGGCTGGGCTTGAGGAGTTGCCACAGCCTCTGCAGGACGATGTCCCCGCTCCCGAGCTTGTCAAGCGCGCTGGGAAAGGCGACATCTATCAATCGTCCTTGTGGCTTGGCACTGAGCCGACATATACGCCGCTACACAGGGACCCTAATCCAAACCTTTTCTGCCAGCTTTGCGGCTGTAAGATTGTAAGGCTGTTGCCGCCCTCTTCAGGTGACCGCTTGTACTTTGAAGTGCAAGCCAAGATTCGTCAGAGGGGCAACAGTCGCATCAGAACAACTGAAATGATGCAAGGAAAAGAGCGCAAAGTCTTGCATGACGCTGTCTGGAACGATGGCGAAGCAGGCGAGCTGCACGAAGCAGAGTTGAGCCCGGGAGATGCCTTGTTCATCCCGGACGGATGGTGGCACTCGGTCAAGAGCAAGGAGGCGGACGGTCGGCTGAACGGCTCAGTCAATTGGTGGTTCCGGTAGTCAGCGATGCTTGCCACAAGTGTTGTGAGCCTAATTGTGAGCCGGACCGTCGGATGTTGTGTGCTTGTATTGCATAGCTGCGACTCTCGCGCATTGCTCAGCCATGGCATGATCTGGCCCATATACCCATAAAGATCACATTACTTCCACTATGAATCTTCCCAGCGGTTTTGTCTGTCCCAGATCCAAGGCTCAATCTCATCCGCTGTCGGGCACGCGGCGAGGTAACAACGCCATAAAGTACCACGACGGCCGGTAGAGTAGTTCTCAGCCAGGTGAACATAACAAAGCTTGGTGATATCCATCCCGATGCTTGAATTAAAAAAACTTGGCCGGCACCCAACATCGATATAGGAAATCAAGTAGCCTACAAGGCGCCGTCCACGGCGGACTCTCATCGCCAACGGTGAATCGGGGAGCCGGCAGAGCTCCCACGTTGACCAAGGGCGAAATCTTGAAATTCTTTCTTCGTATGCTTCTAATCTGCCGGGGTATCTGTGTAAGGATCAAAGCCAACGCGCCGTTTCGCCTCGCTGCGCACCGTACGTCGCGCCTCACCAGAGAGGCCAGTCGTCGACGTCTCCTCCAGGAAAAAGGTCAAGATATGATCGGGTATCGAAAGGTGTGACGCTTGCTGAAACTCCTGGAGTCCAGCCAGGCGGATCAACATTTCTATGAGGGACAGGGATGAGGTGATGGTCTTGAATGGCGATCGCGCCACAAAATCGAGGGCGCCTGCTTCGTCCACTTCCGTGTCCCGTATAACATTGGGCAGTATGCTGTCTCGCGACTCGCCGAGGCCTGAGCTTGGCTGAAGCGAGAGGTTTCTGATCTGAGCAGCCAATATCAGGTCAAGGGAAGCTCGTGGCGCAGCCGATTTCGATTTTGGCGTATGGGCGCTGTCTTCTGTGTTTTCAGCTTCGCTCTCTGATCCCCCGTCCGTTTCACTCTCGTCCGACCCTATTGCGTTGTCCTCCCATACTTCCAAGGCTATCCACTCGGGGTCGAAATGCCTGGGCAGGTGAGAAACACCGGGTTCTGCCCCGTTCTGACTCCTGAGTAATGCTGACAACGATCGAGAGTTTTCGTTCCGCAATTGTCGATCGATCATGACTTGCTCGCCATCATGGTCGACAAGCACGTCATCGCAGTCCTCATCATTATTTGCCATGCAGCCGCACAGGTCATCCCCAGCTCCCGATGGCCGAGCCGCCCTCATGTCTCGTTTGAGGAGAAGCACCGTATTGCTCTCTCCAATTTCTGCTTTTCCCAAGTTAAGTATCCTTCCCGTGTCGGTGTAGAAAATTTTCGATAGCTGATGGATGGGAATATGTTCTCGAATCCCCGCACTCGAGACCCCATCAAATGGAGACGCAGTTTCGGCCCCGTCGTGCACTCTGCCATCGTCCAGGTTTTCGATGATCTCTAAATAGTAGGAAAACTCCAGACTGTCCCCGCGAGCAATCTGGCCGTGCGCGAGCCCATTACCGTTGCCAGCGATGGACTGTGCCGATCGACACAGTCGTACTCTCGCCTTGTGGATGACCTCCTGCCAGAGCGGTTTTCTGTCGTCATGTCCCAGGCCATAAACGGGGTGCTGATGCTTGCCGCAGCCAGGACTGCTGGTTTTGATCGACGCGTGGCCTAGGAACAGCATGTAGAGCGACAGATTGAAGGCTGGGCCAATCTGAACAGGCCTCGTCGGGTCGTGGGTATACTGAGTGTCGCCAACAATGAGTAATGTGCTTGCTTGAAGCAGCCTTGAGGGTGAAATGCTGGCTGGCAAAGATGTCGATAGGGATTCTCCGGAAGCTGTAATGGCGAGCTGCAGCAAGGGGATTTCGCGGTCGATCCGATCCAGCAGACTCCTCATGTCGGCCATGACGTGGCAGAGACTTGCGTGCCGTCCATCACGCTGCTTGGCTGAACCGCGATTCGTCGCTTGGGTGTCGTCCTCGATGGCAACGACTAAGGCGATTCTCCTTCCGAGGGAGATGATTTCTTGGTGGAGGGATTTGGTGAGAGGGACGGCGGATTCCAGGAAGACGTTGCCCCGGCCGGACCTGTAAGCCGGATGAGTAGGAAGCCAGAGTCAGAAGTTGGGGGCGACTTGAACTGACTTGAGCTCGACGAGGTCAATGGCTGGCGTGATGACCTGGTGGTGTAAGCGGTCTGCACGGGCTGGGCTCCAACGTCGTGGATCGTGGACGCACCTTCATCTTGCTGTCAAGCAGCGTCTGGAGAGTCTTGAGCTCGGCGTAGAGCTTTTTGTCGTCGACGGATTTTAAGAGGCGCGAGCACTGGCCGAGTGCGTACGTCGACGTTAAAGCAACGCCGGACCTGATGGCATATCTCATGGCCTGCACGCCCACCGTTGCAAGAAACTCATCCATGGCTGAGCGAGGCCAGGGGCATGAGGGCCTTTGGGCTGGAGAGCAGGCCAAGATAAAGGGCCGTCACATACTGTCAAATGGGTTGATATGCTTTCACTGCTGCCTCGGGCGCTGAATGAAGAACGCTTGGTCGTTGGCAGCGACTCGCTTTGTTGCACAGTGCCAATACAGTGACCAGCAAAAGGACGGTGAGCAAGGATGAGCGGCAGACGACCTATAGGTGGTGCACATTGCTACGAGACAGAAGAAAGAGAAACGCTTGACTAGAAATACATCGATCGCCCTTTGAGTTCTCTGCATATATGTACTCAGTACTCTTTTCTTCAATTCGCTGTTGGCATAGCTGCGATTATAGTTGAATTGCTCGGGAGACCTACTTACGCTTAGGCGGTTGCAGCGTACAGTGTCAAGTGGTCTCCCACTTTACTGTACCAACCCCTCCAAAAAAACACCTCCCAAGCGTCATGCTGGTGGGGCTCGAATTTTGTCAACTCCATTCAAGCCACCCCGAGGTCAGAAGACGGTCAGCCTGGGCAAGACACACAATTCCTGCGCCCAAATCACTCTCCTCCTGGCCGGCCTCCGAGGCAATCCCCTCCCGATCCCCTTTCGAAAACCGCTCGATACTCGGCGTCGACCAACCGCAGCAGCAGCGTCATTGACAAGCGGCGGAGGGGCACGCACAACCAACGCATCCTCGATATCGACGATACTCTCTTCCTCGAATCTCCTACAGCCGCAATGGCAGACCTCAACTCCTGGGAGGATGACCCGGCTGCTCAGGACGAGGGCCTCTCGAAACAGGCCGAGCAGCAACTAAATGTGAATTCACAAAATCCCGCCCAGGGTGCCTTCCGGCCGAACGTCGCTTCGTTCCAGCCTACAGCCCAGACTTTCCAGCCGGGCCAAGGCTACGGTGCAGGCTTCGTGCCTCAGTACCAGCAGCAGCAATATTATCAGCAAGGCTACTACCCTCAGTATGGCCAGCAACAGGGCTTCAACCAGTTCAACAGCCAAGGATACGGTGGTGGCTTCAGCCAAGGCTACAACCAAGGATATGGTCAGTCCGTGTCCGCCCATGCGTCCCTCCATGAGTCAAGCTTACCAAAATACTCAGGCGGTGGGTTTCCCCAGTACGGCCAGCAGCCCGGTCAGCAAGCCCCGCAATCCCAACAACCCGCGGCTGCCCAAGCACCGCCAGCTGCGCCGAAGCAACCGGCTGCCGACGCCGCCGCTCCCGCATCCGCCCCTGCGCCGAAGCCGGTATTGTCGAAAGAAGGCGGCACAAAGGTTCTCAGCATCGGCGGCGATACGTCTGCGCCTAAGCCAAAGGCAAAAATCTTGTCGATCGGGGGATCCGCCGCTTCTGCCAAGGAAGAGGCCAAGGCAGAGAGCAAGGCTGAGCCATCCAACACGCCCGAGGCTGGGAAAAAGGCCACAGCAGCCAAGGCCATCGAGAAGACCGGAGAAAAAGCAGGCAAGGCCGCGGCAGGCGCTTCCAAGGCATCGGGCAAGGTTTCGCCAACTCCCTCTTCCGGCCGCTCGAGCCCCTCTGGGCCTGGCGAAAAGAAGGTGCAGCGTGATGCCGATGCAGTCACCAAGGAGCAGGCCGCCGATGTGGACCAAGATACCCTCAAGGAAATCTATGGCAAGGAACACGTCAACATTATTTTCATCGGTCACGTCGACGCCGGCAAATCGACCTTGGGCGGATCTATCCTCTGGACTACCGGCATGGTTGATGAGAGAACAATGGAAAAGTACAAGAAGGAGGCAAAGGACATGGGCCGCGAATCCTGGTATCTGTCCTGGGTCATGGACCTGACAAAAGAAGAGCGGTCCAAGGGCAAGACCGTCGAGGTCGGTAGGGGCTTTTTCGAGACGGAGAAGCGCAGGTACAGCATTCTTGACGCCCCTGGGCACAAGACCTACGTCCCAAGCATGATTGGAGGCGCTTCGCAGGCTGACGTCGGCATCTTGGTCATCTCGGCTCGCAAGGGCGAGTACGAGACGGGATTTGAACGAGGAGGGCAGACTCGTGAGCACGCCATGCTCGCCAAGACGCAGGGCGTCAACAAGCTCGTCGTGGTCATCAACAAGATGGACGATCCCACCGTCGAGTGGTCCCAGGAGCGTTACCAAGAATGCACCACCAAGCTGTCGCAGTTCTTGAAGGGAACCGGTTACAACCTGAAGACGGACGTTTTCTTCATGCCAGTCGCGGCCCAGCAGTCCCAAAACATCAAAGAACGAATCCCCAAAGACTTGGCGCCCTGGTGGGACGGCCCGTCGCTTCTCGAGTACCTCGATAACATGAAGGCCCTGGAGCGCAAGGTCAACGCCCCCTTCATGATGCCCATCAACGCCAAGTACCGCGACATGGGCACAATGGTAGACGGCAAGGTCGAGGCTGGCGTTGTGAAGAAGGGCATGAGTCTGGTGATGATGCCCCGGAAGCAGCCGGTTGAAGCGGCCGCCATCTACGGCGAGCAGGAGGAGGAGGTTCCCATCATCCAGTGCGGCGATCAGGTCCGGATGCGACTCAAGGGCATCGAAGAAGAGGACATTCTGCCTGGCTTCGTGCTGTGCTCTCCGAAGAGACTGGTGCACTGTGTTGCCGAGTTTGAGGCCCAGATCCGCATCCTGGAGCTCAAGAGCATCCTGACATCCGGCTTCAACTGCGTGTTGCACGTGCACTCAGCCATTGAAGAGGTAACATTTGCGGCACTTCTGCACAAGCTGCAGAAGGGAACCAACCGGAAGAGCAAGATGCCGCCTACGCACGCAAAGAAGGGAGACAGCGTCATTGCACGGATGCAGGTGATTGGCGGAGCCGGTTCCGTGTGTGTCGAGAAGTTTGAAGACTACCCTCAGATGGGTCGGTTTACTCTGCGAGACCAGGTACGTCTAGTATGAACCTGTAGAGGGACCATGGTGTGTGATGCTAACTCTTGCATAGGGACAAACGATTGCCATTGGTAAGATCACGAAGCTCATCACCGAGGACAGCAATTGAAGAGGAGCGAAAATATCCTGCTGGGCGGGGGAGGGGGCTGTTTTCTTGGATCGGAGGGACAGGTCGTAGTCCATGGGCTTGTGGGAAGTGAGAAGGAGGAAGGATATGAGAGCCGGGCCGGCTGGGGCTCTCGACCTGCGGCGGATGAGATGCAGACGTGAAAACGAATGGATGAAAAGGCGGAAGGAATGTTCTCACTGGTAGCATGACCCCAAGAAGGCGGCAAAGAATACAAAGAGTTGCTCTCTGGATGCAAGAAAGCAGAAACACGGGAGCATGTGAATGGGTATCAAATGGATGAGGAAGTTGGCATTGCATTCTGAATTGAAGCGTAAGTCAAGCCGGTCTCATGGGGCGCCGATTTCGAGCCACGATCGTGGCCCGCCAATCCGGTCAACAGGAACAGCTTCGTTAACCCAAATGAAGTGCCATTTTATCCCAGGCGGCGAGCGATACAAAGAGGGTAAATTACAGAGGATCAGTAGACCACTACCACTCTTGCGGAGACGCCAACCTTATTAAGCCGCGACCGGTCTCCGGTTGGTTCTGCTTCCATCTTATCCCACCGTCTTGCCATACGCCCCCACTCGGCCGGCTCGAACGACTCATGCTCTGGGTCTAGCGAAAGCTCTTCCTGTGAGGGCATCGCGACCATGGTGTCCCCTTGTGTGAGATCGATCGGCTGGTGTTGCAACCCGTCAGCCCCGGCAGGCTCGTCAGGCTGCGGGGGGTCTCCAGAAGCCGCGCCAACGCTGGCGTTGAGTGCCGGCGGCGCTGTCGATGGCGGCGGCGTTGATGTGAAATTCTACCCTTGCTACCCCAAGGAGGGCGCGCGGTAGGCGCAGGTGGGTGCGGGGAGATGGGGACCGCATGGGCTGATAATACTCATGCCTATTCCCCCTGTTGCTCGGCATCCTGAGCCACTGCTTGCAGAAGCAATGCTGCTGTCACCATTTCTCCGTCAGCACATAGCTCTTGCGTAGGGACCTCTTCGCCGCCTTCCGGGATAGGATCCGCGTCCGTGAAACGTTGCGGAGTGCTGGGCCCTCGATCGGTCTCCCCATCTGCCCTTGGCTGGTTCGAATCGTGAGTGGATTGGCTTGACCAACCGCTCGGCAGCTCTTCCAACGCCAGTGATGATCCGACGTAAAGGGAATTAAGAGGATTCTGCGAGTAGTCCCTCAGAAAGTGTTTCAACTCCGCCGGCGGGCTGGAAGCGGACACGCGCTGATGGTTGTTGTGGATTTCTCGGCGCTTGGTGCGGCGCCCTGCCGACGACGCCGACGACGACGGATGCGAGGACCTTTTCGCAGCCATCCTCTTTTGACCCGTCTTCGATGCCGATGGAAGAGCCGGGACAGGCGGGGCGCCTGACCTGATGTATCTGGCGGTGTCGATCGAGACGTTGGAAAGGTTGTCGTCAGAAGAACGTGGCTGCTGGAGCACCGTTCGTTGGTTGCCAGCCACATGGTTATCTGGAGAGAAAAATGTCGTCTGCCCCTCTTCGTCACTGTACGCAGCCGGCGTCGGCGTCCGACAGCCATCCTCGGTTGCCCTAGGCAGCAACATGGCCTGATCGTAGCAATCCATGGCCGACCACCTAGACTCTGGCGACATGACCACTATGGCGCCCAGAAGGAATTGCCTCAGTTTGTCGGGCCTTTTCCTCTGCTCCCTGTCCTTTTCGAATATCTCAACAACTTTCCTACACCAAGTCTCCCCACCGCCCTGATAGCTTGATTTGTATTGCGGAAGGTCGCACATCAGCTCATATATCACCACGCCGAGAGACCAGACATCAACAACCGGGGTATAACTCATCCTCTCCCTGCCCCCAGAGTTCATATACTGGTACCTCAAGTAAATCTCAGGCGCAGTATACTCCACAGTGCCGCAGATCGACGTTAAGTCGTGACTCTCCCTTGACAGTCCAAAGTCGCCAAACTTGATGGAGATGTCGCCCGCCAACCGATGTTGGACGAGGATATTGCCCGGCTTAATGTCGCGGTGCACGACTGGCGGCTCCTGGCCGTGTAGGTATGTCAGGGCTGACAAGCACTGACAGAGAATCGATAGAGATTCATTTTCCGATATGTTCTCTTGGCCATCTAAAGATCCGCCCGGCATGTATTCCAAGTATAGCTTCGGGTGTGGCGCAAGGGAGTGCCCAAAAAGCTCTACGATATGGTCCTGCTAGGTTGTCAGCACGATGTAATTGAGTATCGACAGACAGGTCGCATACGAACATGTGAAATTTGACCCATAATGCGCGCCTCCTTTACCCATGCACTAACGTCGAACTTTCGCCTCTGAATAGCCTTGGCTGTAGGTTCCTTCAGAGCGTACTCGCTACCGTCGCTGACGTTCCAGAAATGGGTCACGACGCCGAAACCCCCTTCACCAAGCCATTTCCGCAGGTGAATTGGCTCCGAGGCCGGGGTATGGGCTCCGGTAGGTCGCTTGGTTGTACGATCTGGGAAGTTGAGATCGTCCAAAAGATCTTCCGCGGTTGCTACGCCGCGAGAGAAGCAATCAACCTTGTCGATGTATGCCTGAGACTCTATGTCCTGTTGAGCGACGACGATCTGGAACGAGACGGTCTTATGCACCGTAATAATGATGCTTGTACTCTGAGAGGGTATATCGGCACCGCTGATGATCCATTGGAAATTGCTTCGTAGGCCGCCTCCTTGATCATCGTACGTGACCTCTGTTCCTGCCAAGGAGCCCCAGTCCCTGATGATGAGGCGTTTGGCGTCGTCGAACGTAATGGTGAAGTGATGGTAGCTAATGCCCTGCAGATCAGGCAGAGTCACATCGCAATCTGGTCCGCAACCGAAGACGATTCCCCGGGAAGTTCGCGGAATGTCGCTAAACCTCGGCTCCAGGCGTGCCATGTAATGATACGTTGGGGCGTTCGACTGCCCTGGTGGCTCTGGTGGCTCTGTCGATTCTCGTTCGCGGCGGCTGTATTGAACCGCTGGAGACAGAAGTCGGGGGGCAACATAGCGTGAGCTCGCCTCGGTTGCCTTTGATGTTCTCTGATGAACGTCTGTACGGGGATACACGCAAGCAATGAGGTCTGCGTCTCGCATGATGACGATGATTGACGAGTGATGATGAAGATGAGTGAGTGATGATGAAGATGAGTGAGTGACGATGAAGATGAGTGAGTGATGAAGAGAGTGATGGTGAAGAGCTGGTTTGTGCATGAAAGAGGTGCCAAAGGGAGACGAGGGACACTGCGCCGCCATATTCAACGGGGACCCGTCGGCAGGCTCAGGATATATACCGCACCAATGGAGGCATCTGTTGGAGGCATCTGTTGGAGCCTTGGACGTTTGCATGGTCAAGCGGTTGTTGCTTTCCCCGGGACCAAGTTGATGAGTCCTCCTTCTCGGAAGCAAGGTAACGATCATGTCCATTCAATCACGACCAGGCAGCCAAGCGCGTAAGGGCTTATTCTAATCGGTTCACGCATGGTACATTCATGACAACCAAGTTTCACTGCAGTTTGAATGTATCGATATGAGGTGCAACTACACAGGCAGCTGCCCGCCAACTGTAGTGCAGTTGCAGATACAGTCCCGAATACGACGAGCACCGTCTACTCCGTACGGACTACGGACTAAGTTACGGAGGAAGTAATTATAGCTCGGCGCCCGGTGAGGTGGCGCCTACGCGCCATAGGTGGGGGCCCCCCCTTTGCGGAGGCAGCGTGCCGTGCCGAAGCGGGGACGAGGCTGGCGTCAAGGTGACAGCGCCCAGGCACATGTCACAGTAATTAATTACCTGACTGTACATGCTGTGATGTACATGCTGTGATGTACATGCTGTGATACAGGGCTCGGAAGCATGAGTCATGTTTTCGTGTTTTTCGTCCCCGTGCAACAGAGGAGTGTCCGGTCCCGAGGACGGCCAGGGCGAGCGAGACCAGGGTGGTATGGAAACCTAAGCGATTGGTTGACTAGCTGCTTGCGCCGCTTAGCGGAAAGTGCCCCGACACAAAGGATACTTATGACCGAATGCAGGCTACATAGAACAAAGGGGCATCTACCGGTACTTAGATAGGTACCTATGTCCCTGAGCTAGGTACTACTCATACTAGGTGCAACTAACTACTCTAGTGCTATGATGGGGCATGTATCTGCAACGTCTTCTGTCATCCTAGTGGGCTGTACTGTACTGTACCTCGTCGTCTGAGGATTGAAAGATAAGCAGGCCATTCTTCCTGTTTGCGCAGCCATCACTCTGGTCCCGCATCCTCCGCCTGTTTCTTTCTCTGCTCAACTGCGCCATGGCCTCCCCAGAGCCGACCTTGTCTGTCGACCATCTCTTTGCCCTGAGCGATGCAGAGCTCGCCGACTTCATGAAGAAGAACCGACCTCCCGACGGCGGTTATGAGCTTCCCGTTGACGGCTGGGATAAGCTGTCAAGAGATGAACGACAAAAACTGGCAGAGAGGCTGAAGTGCGCCACCTCGCTGTCTATGTCGCTTTTACTTGCTTACGATCGTCTAGGGCCCAAGAACGAGCCCTGGCCCAGAGCCCTACAGCTTGTTCGCGCCCCCTCGATCTCAACGAGCTCGAAGCACGCCTACGCGACGTATCCGATGGCAATCGCACCTCTTTGCCATCTCCATCGCGGACCGCCGAGAGACTTGGATCTATGACTCCCGGCACCATGCGAGAACGCTGGGCCAGAGACGGCGAGACGGAGGCTTATCATGACCTCGTCAACGATGGTGGCCGCCCGTTATACCCCATAGACCTTCTGGACCAGGTGTTGAAGAACTCAGGGGAGCATGGCGAAATGCTGCGACCTTGGCAGAATCCTAGTGACCCGAAGTCATGGAGTTTATTCGAGAGGCAGCTGCAGAGATGGCAGGATTTCCGGAAATGGCAAATCGATAACCGAGATCTTGAAGACGACGATGGCGGTTTTCCGGCATACGTCGAGCGGATCAAGCGCGTGGACGAAAGGGATGGGGATTACAGGCGGCTAGCAGAGGTTGAAGCTGACCCCTTATGCCTTAAGTCGGGATGGGATCGTCTTCAAGCAGAACGGCAACGACAGCGATACTTCTGCCGAGAGCATGGCTGTAAAGGCTTCCCCGATTACGTCGAGGCGGTAAGGCGTCGCCTGGCGCGACACGAATTCACCCGACCGTTCCAGCTGAGGGAGGACCCCAAGCAACAGGACAAACTGACAACCTGGATCGAATACCTCAACTTCGAGTACTGGTGGTTCGACCGGTACACTAAATCTGCCGAGCGCCTGAAGCCAGATCACGACAAGGCCTGGCAGGAGCTTGTGGACTTCAATGTGTTGAGGCCTCACGAGACCGAGGAATCCGTACGGACTCTGGCGTCCGCGATGAAGGCCCAGGCAGAAGATGACCGGGCCAAGAAGGCTGTGCAGCAGGCAATGTCAGAGGCTAAAAAGGTCTACACGTTAACCCAGCAGGACCCAAAGCGCTTAGATATTCCCAAAGCCAAGCGTATATCAATGATGAAAGCTGCTACGGTTAAACTAAATGCGGCAAAAGCTCGGCGGGAATCAGTCAAGAGACGCAACGACCGCGTCACAGCTTTTGTTCGGGCGACATTCGACTACGTGGGTGCAAAAAAGGACGCAGCCCGCCACAGCATCCTCCTGCCATGGGTCCTGGAGCAAGTTCCTTTGATCGAGACCGAGGTGATCCAGTCCGAAACGCACAAGGCAAGTCCTAGTGGGAACAGGAGGACGAAAAGGAGCTTCACCTCCGAGGAGGATCATGCAAGGAAGCGACGCTGTAAGAGGCAGAAGCTCGAACATCAGAAGCCAGGCTCGCTTTCAGGCAGCAGCACAACCGCCCTGGCAGGAGCCGGAGAGACGCGTACGGAACGTCAGTTTGGTGTTCACCAAACCGAAGCACAGGGCTCACAGACGCAACTGCTTGCACCCGAACGTGCGGATCGGTCCGTAGATGCGTCTCGGACCATGCCTCAAGGAACTCGTCGCAGCGCACGTATTGCGGCGCGCCGCAATGCTCCTGGAATGGCTCTTGCTCCCCAAAGTCGTCGTCCAGGATTGAGACCAAGGACACCCGCGAAACCTCGACAACCGCCAAGGTCTCTGGATGACACGAAAGCAACAGCGACAGAGAGAAGACCCAAGAGCAACGGTCGATCGGGCACGTCCAAGCCCAATGGGGTGTCCAGGAAGGATCAGCGTCCCCGGCCAAGGCGTTGTTGATGGAATACACCTACCTCGTTGCAGGGGGCTTGGGAAGCTTGAGAAAGTCCATCACGACGTGTGCTATCCAAACTGCCCCAAACCCCACCGCCGGTGCCATGCAAATGTGCATGGTGTTGAAGGCATGTCATCCTGATTCCGTTCCATGACAGTGTCGCTCGTGAGATCAGCCTCTAACAGCAAGCGGTGTCACTGTCCAGAACGTATTTTCTCCCAGATAAGCTACGACGATTGCGACTAAGTTCTGTCTCCCCGGGTCAGAGGAACTTGAGAATTTACATACTGCTCTCCTCGACGCTGGCCTGGATTTCCTCATCGTTCTTCGCTCCTCAGCTAGCTACGCCGACCAGGCAAACTATGCTTCAACAGGTGCATTTCAAGGCTCGTTCGAGCAGTACCGTCATGGACTCGGCCGGTCTTGCTCCGCCATCGACCTCAGCGTCGTCGAGGAAATCGACCATGTGGCTTGGGCTTTTAATCCCACTATGTAGCCCGGATAAACTTACACGGCGCTGGAACGGAACATCAGGACGCTCTGGAGATAGGTCTCGACCGATCTGGCCCAGCAAACTCGAGCCTTGATGCGGCGCTTCGATGGCGCCCAGTCGTTACGGCCGAGATTAGTCAAGGCCATCGTTGGCGGGAGACTTGGTTGGGGAGAGCAGCGTACAGTACAGTACCCGGGGCTCGGGGCTCAAGCCGGATGCGGCCCCACCACCGCGGCCCCGCACGCCCCGATCAGCGAGGCCACCCAGATACAGTGCAGTGTATGTACGGAGTTACAGTACGCAACTGATCAGGGCGGGTGAGAAAAGCGCGCGTGTGGATGCCGGCCATCCATGGGCGACCAGGGCCAGGACAGGATCCGCGCAGGACGCTACTGCACTGTCCATGGGCCGCCGTTGCCGCCGGGGCCCGTCCCGGGGCTTTGGCCGCGGATTGGACGCAGACGACAGCCGACGACGAGGAGCTGATCCGTCGCCCATGGTTCGGGGTGCGTGCCTGTACTGTGTGAACACCGGCATATGCATGTGTCAGGGTGATGCAGCGGATTGTACAGTACAGTACGGAGGATTCTTCACATGCATGCAAAAGGTCGGCGGGGAGCTGAAGAGAATAAAAAGAGAAAATGCAAGTTTTGCTTGTACGCCCAGCGTCTTCAACAGAGACGGTTGGACAGTCATCCAGAATTGTGATTATAGACTCAGTTGACAAGATCAAGACACGACGCTGATCCAAGAACCCCCAACCCCCCGAACCCCCTTCCTTCATTGTTATTTGTACATCCGTAAAGACGTGACAGTTGCCTCCCAAAAAAAGCAGGAATACGCCGGGCTCGTCATGATGGAACCGCCCAACCCAAAAATACACGTCCGAGTTTTTCAATCGCGCCCGCCCCCATCGCCGATATTCGCCGCGGTATCTCTCAAGTGCATCATTCGCCCATCACCTTGTACATATAGACATGCTCCGTGCGGAGGACGCCTCTCGTTGCTTTCCTTGTCCCTATCCGTCAGACATTCGAGCCCTGGTCCTGGCGACGGCGATGCGTGCTGCCGTCGGAAGCGTCTTCGTCTACCTGGACCGTGTATGTGACGGATTTGACAATGGAGTTGTTGCTGTTTTGCAGAATGCGCTCCTCGCTGGGCGACCTGGACTTGGTCGACGGCCTGAAGGCGCTCTTGTCGTTGCTGACGTCGCTGAGCTTGTAGTGCTCGACATTCCTTCGGCCGCGACTCCGGCTGTTGCCCTGAGAGGAGCCGCCGTTGCTTCCAGAGTATTTGGAGCGGTAGTCACGCGCCTTCTTCATGCAGACTGGTGCCAGGAAGGGCAGCGATGAGACCATGTTCTGTGCCGTCATGATGAGCTCCCGAGTCTTGCGTATACGGAAAGGGGTAAAGGGGGCCCATGCACTTACACCGACGTTAAACTCAATGGTACCCCAGAGCACCAGCATGGTCGAGTTGCCATCGCCAAATTGAATGCGGTTGATCTGCACGTAGCGCAGAATGGAGCAGACGGTGGTGAACATGCCCAACATGAAGATGCCGATCAAACCGAGCTTCTTCTCGAGGCGGACATTGAGCTTGAGCAGCACAGGAATGGGGAGCAGAGCGACGACAATGTCGGAAACAATCGTCACAATGGCGTAGCCGGTAAAGGAAGACCCGGCGGGCAGGCACGAGCCCTTGAGGAGCGGGTTCCAAGACTTGTCCACCGGCGTGCAGGCGAAGATGAGAGACAGGGTGCAGCCGAGATGGGCGAGGAAGACGATGGCAATGGTGGCCCACACGACCCTGCGATACGTCTTCTGGTCGGTGCCCTTGAGGAGGCGCAAGTAGCTGATGAGGAGGGCGATCTTGAAGAAGGAGATCCCGAGCTGGTAGATGGGGCGTCCGGCAAAGTTGACGCGCGTGTAGGCGATGAGGCTGGCCTTTGGTCTCTCCTTGACTGGCAGTCCCAAGCCATATTTGGTCTCTGCGGCCCCGTGTTAGTCGGCCAAGGGCGTAGACAAGATGGAGAAGCATGGGCAACGTACGAGCTATGCAGAGCACGGAGTAGGCGAGGGCAAAGATCATGGACAAGGCGGCCATGTAGTCATCACCCGCCAGGCCGCGAGCCTTGGCGCGGATCCAGAGCCGACAGCTGACGGTGCCAATGGACAGGAGAGACAGGACGACGCATATGGAGATGATGGCCGGGAACTGCGACCCGGCAGCAACTTCTGGCGTGACGTTTTCCACCCAAACCATCTTGGCCAAGGACGACGATGTCTCAACAGCGGCTTGTTGCTCGTGGGTGTCGCGTGTGGTGATGCTTGTCTGTGAGTGTCTCCCCCGCACGAGTCTCCCTTTGGGGATACTGCTGGTGGTATATATTATCGACGTCGACGAGCCCGAAGCTGGGAATGGCCCCCAAGACTGCCCGTCAATGTGGAACGACGGGGGCGGCGGTTATCTATTCGCCTATATCTCTCCGAACCGCGTGTTCCGTTCCCGTAGGCGCGCACACGTACCCGCTTGGACGTGCGAAGGGATCAGGAAAAAGCAATGTGCAAGACAGGAGCTGAGGCGATTTGAGAAAAGCGTCCCGGAGTGCGGGGAGACGAGAAAAAAGGGGGGGGGGGCGTGTGTGGTCAGATCTGCTCGGAGAGATGTAAAGGGAGAACAAGTGCCGGCGTGGAAAAAGGAAGCTGGCGTCATCAGCTCGAACCGCTCCCGTGAACCGGACGAGGCCTTGAGGAAGAAGAGGAGAAAATCTGACGGCACAGGAAAGGGCGAAAGGGAGGAGAGGTGAGGGGAAGAGAGGAATAGAGAGGAATGAAGGGCGAGAGAAATTGTCTCTTGATATGTCTGGTCCGGACGAGAGCCGTCGGACAGATCGCCGGACTTTTTTTATAAATAAAAAAACCCTTTGATGGATCTCGCTCGACCCGGGGTGGTTCAAGTCATGGTAATGCCCGAGAAGCAGCAGGCGAGCGGGACGACATGCGCCTCGCTGCCCAGCCAAGAGAGGGGAGGGGGGTGTGTCTGGCAGAGCTATGCTACGCACCACCCAAGGCAGAGAGAAAAAGGTGACAAGAGTGGCGACTGGAGACGTATAGAGACAGGCGGCAGAGACGAAAAGGCACAGCTCGTTGCGAGTAGAGTTGCAACGGACAGTGCCGGGACGCGGGTGCCGCAGAGGGCCGGCATCTGATTCGCCTCTTTGGCTCTCCCGGCAGGGGGCCTTGACAGTGGCGCGTTACCTGTCATTGCCGGGGGAGCAAGCGTACGTCCCCTTGCGGTTCCCTGCTGACGGCATAGCTGGCCCAATGTGATGATGGACGAGGTGGACGACCGTGTCTGGACTCGGTTTAAGGGTCCCGGCGACACTAGATTCAAGACAGTGGAAGTGGACGATGGACTGCGACGACGAGGGCCTAGAAGCTGGAGGCACGGCTAGAAGAAACATGAGCTGAGTGAGCGTGGAGGAAAGAAGCAAAAACTCGCCGAGGCGGAAAAGAGGGAGAGGGCATCGACAAGCTTGGGAGAGCCAAGACGACGGGCGGAAAGAAGAAAAGGCCAAGAACAAAAGCGCTAGCAGGAAAAGAAATATCCGCTGGCTCGGATTCCCCTTACACGCACCCCCTTTCCTTGCCTGATGGCACCGTGGGTGCGATATATGCTTGCAGTAGCAGTGGCCTGGCAAGCGCAACATTAATTACACGACCGCCCGTCTGTGAGGCTGGCTACAGTAAAGGGGGGCTGCTCTTTAAACTCTGATTTTTTCCCACCCGCCGCGCCATGGGACGAGACGGAGGATCCAATGAGAAAGGCGCCGTTGCCCGTCTTCCCACCGGCAGCCCGAGGGACGGCTAGGATATGGGCGGGGGGAGGGGGGTTGCCAATCTAGAACCAGAGTCGAGTCGAGTCTTGGCTCAGATATCGATGCCAAGTATAGACAGACATAGGAGGGTATCCACCTAGTCTACGTGCACAATGCGAGCAGCTTTCTGCCGACAACCAGAGTCATATAGAGCTCAACCAGAGTCATATAATTAGAGGCCAACCAGACGACGGTGCCTGCTTTGGCGGACAGCACGGCATCGAGATGAAGGCATCGAGCGGCCTGGCCATGCTCCGTAATGGAAAAGGCCACGCGTTAGCGGCGCCTTACGAGGTTTGCTCTTCGTAATTACATGGTAGGCCTGCAGGCAAAAAGCAAACAGGCGCTTTTGGTCTTTGCAGCTCCCAAAGGGGGCGTTGGCCGTTCCGGGCGCCCGAGAGATGAGCGATGGGCACGCTTCTCCCCCCCCCTGGCTGCTTTTCTTTTGCTCTGGCCAAGCGCAGGTCCGTCTTGGCCGGTGGGAGGGTGCATGAGCGTAACCCGGATGGGATGCCTCCGGTTATTCTGGAGGGCGAGGAGACAGTCTTCGTATAAGTTACCTACTACTACTCGGTAATTGTCCAAAATAATTACGGCCACTCGCCAGGCAAAAAGTGGAACTAATAGCTCCAGCAGATGTCACAATTGATACCGAGGCCATTGCAGACAGAACAGACTTGATGCGGCTTGCTCTTGAGGGGAGGAAGCACGGATGGAGTTGGCGAAACGCTTGACCAAGCAGACTCTTCCAAGCAGACTCTCATGGCTCGAAGCGCAAAGGCGGTCACACGAGTAATAATTATCGCCTAGACTTAGATTTACCGGCCCGTGCAAGCTACGCTACGCCCTCCCTTGTGGTAGTCGTCATCGTCGACGACGCTGGTGTCCACGTGTCAAGCTCCATCATCGGCAAACCACCTCCTCTCGTTGCCCGGGGGCTCGAGCCCCTGCTGCTGGCTCATGTGCCTGACAGGGCTCGGCGTGAAGACGGTTTCCCGAGAGCCACTCGGGCCAATGGTGCAGAGAAAATGTCCGCCCGTCCCTCGCTTGGGGGACAAAGGGGGACCAGGGGAAAAGCCGACTTGATGACATGGCTGAGTTGAGGAATGGAATCAACAACACGACAGATGGCATTGGCCGCCATCTCGATTCGACTCCCGACTCCCGACTCCCGAACACATGCATGGGCTGTCGGCAATTGCCTCTGCGTCCATTGTCGTGCAAGCTTACATTACAGCACTCGTCCTGTCCACGTCCACGGCCACACCCCCCTCTCTTCTGGGACGCATGGCCCTCCTGCCGCTACGCCACTCGAGTCGAACCATGTCTGCCGAGGAGAAAAGAGGCCAAAAATAACGGCGCCGGCCCAGCCTTGCCAGCCACCAGCAAGCCCAGCCGACACAGACGACGCACAGACGCAGATGGACCGGGCGGCAAGGGCAGGTCAGGGGTTCCCGAGCAGCTGGACTCGGGTGGCACAGGACGAGAGTGAGACCTGCAGCCTGTGAGTGGACGTCCTGTCTCGGTTTTCGGGTGCCGGGGGAGCGAATGGATGGGCACACACACAGACGCCGATGCATGCACAGATTACGGAGAGTGCTGGTCAACTCTACTGTGCTGCCGACGGACATGGAGACTTGGCCTCTGCTTCCATCTTCTCCCCACAAAGTCGTAGGTTAATTAGGCAGTGACGGCATCGAGACCGCCAAGAGCCGGGACACGAGAAAAGACCAAGCCAAAGAAGGCTGAGACAGAAGGGACAGATCAAGGCCGTGATACGAGACAGCTCAAGGCCCCCAGAGTGGCCAAAATTAGAAGAAAGTCGCCTCTGCTAAAGAATGCCAGAAATGAGAGATCAGCAAAGCCTCCAACTGCTGTCTCGATTTATTTTATTTTTATCCCGAGTCGTCGGCCACGTTTCGTCTGCTTCCACAACGCTCTTTATTGAACACCCCATGCGGGCCATGTCTTGGAGCCCGTGACGCCCATGATGACGAGGGGCAGCTTCGCCATGACCTGTTTCCCAGGGCGCCAGGCCAGGGTATTATTATTATTATATTATTATTATTACAGCCCGGCTCTCGGAGAGTACCACAGCCGACTGGCTTTCCGCTGGAAAAGAAAAGATGGATGAACTGCCTGGTTAAGCGGCGACGCACAGACTGTGGGACAACGGGCCGTCGAGGCCATCAGCGCCCACACAAGTTGCCTGGCAGCGGGACGAGGGAAAGCGGCATGACACGCACACGATGGCGGCGTCGAAACTCTCGGCGAATTGCTCGGCCTTGGCGGCGGGCAGCCCTCGGGATGAGTGCATTGTTCGGGCCAGAGTGGTAGATGCCCATTAAAAGTGCCAGTATTAATAACGCGTTTTTTGGCACGATGATGAAATTAAGAGGATGAGGTAGAAGCTGCTTAGGCTGCCAATAGGGACTTCAGTCCCTCTTATGGGAAACAAGTTGTAATGATCAAGGCCTCCTTTAGGGATCTTATGGGAAACAAGTTGTGATATCAATGCCTCCTTTAGGGACCTGACAGGCAAGGAAATTTAATCACGGTCTTGTTTGGTGCTCTAATGCAAGCCTGGCAGAGGAGGAGGCCGTCTTGGGGGAAGAAAGGGGAAAAGACTCCCTCGTCTAGGCGTGGTCTTGTCACGCAGCGGGAGAGGATGCCACTGCGCCAATAGACAAAAGCCCGGGTCTCCTGGCGTGGTCGCCAGAAATGGCATTGCGGACGTTGTCGAGTCTGCCAGCCCTCATTGTGATGCCAGTCTACGCGCTCTTGCTGTCTGCCCACTGATTCCCTTAATTAGTAGACCCCCCTTTTAAGCTTGACTTATATGTATGCCATTGCATCGTCGCGTCCCTCGTCACTCACCGTAGTCCGCCCACTCCCCCGCCGGCTTATATGTCTCGGCCGGAGCAGTCCTCCTCGCCCTACCCGCCCTACGCGCATCGCGACGAGCCAGCAGCGGCGGCGGAGGATGATGGGCCTGCTTCTTGACGCCCTCGGGGGCGGCGGAGAGGGCTCGAAGCCGGCGAGGATGGCGCCAAAGCGGCGGCGCTGGCTGGTAACGCCGTCGTTTGCGCCTTGGGCAAACATGATGAGCTGCTCGGGGCTGTCGAGCACGCAGAGGGCGTAGGCGCGCCGCTGGCGGGCGGTCCTCAAAGGGCTCTCTGTCTTGGGACCTTGGTCAATCTTCATGCGCCGCCGCCCTGCCCCCTCGCCTGCGCCTTGGTCCTCCTCATTGTCGTCGTTGTCGTCCTTGTACGGGGTCCTTGGCGCATCTCAGGCGTAAAGCCCTCGTCGCCCTCGCTCATGGCCCTGGCCGCCGCCGCCGTGTCTGCCGCCTCCGCCGCAGACGCTGGGTCAGTGCCGTCGACCGGGGTGTGGCCGAGGCCAAGGCGGACGAGGCCATATGAGGCCATATGTGTGAGGGATCCGGCGCGGTTGCGTTTCTTTCTCTTGTCCTCTCGCCCTACTCCTCCTCTCCCGATTCCCCGCGGCCTCTCTTCACTCTCCGCCCCGTCACACACACACACACACACACTCGCTTCTGTCTTTCCTCTTCCCAAAATCCGGACGTCCCCTTGGGAAGGAAAGAGAGGACAGACCACCGCCCCCCAGAGTGGAAGAGTGGAGGCGCACACGAATCGGGTGACATGATTCTGACCAGCAAAGAGGAGAGAGATTTAGAGTTTCATGCTGCCAGACGCGAGATGCACACACACACACACATACATGTTGGTGGAGCATAGCATGGCTGCGAAACATGTGGTCTTTACAGGGCGGTGACGAGTGTCCAGGTGCCGAGGACCACGGCGTCCCTTGTCCCCTGTCAAGGCGGGTCCGGCGGTGATTTCATACCCGTTGATTAGAGTTGGGATATGCCCGAGTGGGATGGCAGGTGTTGCCGAGCGGTTGCGGTTGCGTAATTAGTTGCTCAAAATTTTATACTCCGTAATTATCAGGCCTGCTGTGTAAATTCGGTGTAGGCAGGTACCTACTTTGATACTGTACATGGTGCAGTATGTTGCATCTTGCTATAATAGGAACAGCGACAGAAGCGTAGATGGCCTTTCCAGAGTCGGGTGAGAGTTGGGCCTCTGCTCTGCCTACCATGTGCACGCCTTAGTCTTACAAACAATGTAAAGCATGGGCCACCCACCCTGCCCGCCAACGCCTTACGTACACACTGCATAATTACTGTACGTACTCGGGAGAGCGAGCCCTCGGACCCGCCACCTCCACCGGAGCTTGAAGCGAGGTCGGTCTCCGCTCCAGCTCCGTCCCGGCCTTGCGGTACAGTAAGCCGGCTGCTCATTATACACTGTGATTACCGTGCTGAAGTTGTGGGCATGTACAGTGCGGAGCGCCCTGGCTCATACTGTAGCTGCGCTCTACTAAAGCTCGTGACGGCATTTCCCTTCCATCCGATGCGAATCGACTGTATCCGTCCGCACTCTTGCCCTTGCTCCGGAAAGCATGCATCGGCCGACCCCCTTACGCGCCCCGTCGCCAGACGACCGCGAGCGCACGGCCAAGGACAGTCGGTCCCTTGGACAGTTCGGTCCCTTGCCTTTGGCGCCATGGGATTTCCTCGCCAAGGACTGAACTCCTTTTCCCATGATGCCATGTCGACGACTGCGCTTGGCACGTGCAAGCGGCGGGACTCCCTGGGGAGGAGACCTATTAATTAGGGAGGAGACCTAATAGGGAGGAGACCAGGCCAGGCACCGCCGTCGGACTCGCCAGGTGGCCATGCTAACAGGCGTCGCTGCAAGGTACAGGACGGACACGCGCAGGCGGTGAGACGCCATGAATCCGCCAGGTAGTGTTGGTAGTGCACCAGGCGCACCCAGCCCCGAGGCATGGATGTCTTGCAGCCAGCCCGGACCCTGTTGCCGTCGCTTCTCTCGGCCTCTCAGTGGTGCATCTGCGCCTGTGTGCAGCCCCCCCCCTTTAGCCTCGGTGGTGCATCTGCCCGTGTAACCCCCCTTTTTCTCCATCTCCCCACGGCGGCTTCAACCGTCGGGAACAGCCCCACCAGTCCCGGACGTCGCTCTGTGTCTGTGGCTGTGACTGTGTGTGTGTCCCGAGTCCTGTGTCCTGTCCTGTGTCCTTGTGTGTCTGGAGCGACGGGCACATCATTGATGGCAGTAGCATGGCCATGCACGATGCTGCTTGGTCCGCATACACGTGCATGCAATGCTCCTCTTCACTGTAGAGATTGAGTCGCTCTCTCTTGGCTTTTCTTGGCCCAAGTAATCCTCGAAAGCCTATTTAGGTGAGACAACGCCAGGTCTTGGTCCTCAGCTCTCGTGCTGTACAGTGTATTAGCGCCTAACCCGCCTCTCTCTCTGTCTCTCTCTCTCTCTCGCTGCCTCTCTCTCTCGCCCGTCTCCTCGTCCGTTTGTCCTCGGCGGGCGCCTTCGGTTAGCTGATCTCCGTCACCAAAATATACTTTTTGGCCCATCTCATCCTTATTCCCCCCCCCCCTTCCAAAGCAAGCTCAATCGTGCAGCTGTCATCATCAGTCAGATCGGGTTGGTTGCTGCCGCGCATCCAAGCAAGAATCTGTCCTTCGTTTCTTCCCCCCCCCGTCTTTTGCTCTTGTTGACATTCTTTTTCTTTTCTGGGCGCCGTCTCTAGTCTGGGCTTTGCCGCCGTTGCTCGCTTCCCCACCACCCTTCTCCATAGCCAAGGCCGCCCACTGGACCTTCTCTCTCTCTCTCTTCCCCCCCCCGTCCCTCTCTCTGCTGGGCCCCCAAGGCCGCGGATAGAAGCCTCCAACTCTGGTGGAAGAGAAAAGGAGAGGCAGAGGAAAAGGAAAAAAAAACGGGTGCCAGAGTCTTGCAGCACTTTATCTTTAGCTGTCCCTGCTCTCCTCGCTTCCTCGTCTCTACTTCTCTCCTCCTCTCCCACCGACGCCACTCATTTCCCCTTCTGTTTAATTAACCTACCGACTACCTCGGCCTTCAACCTATCGCCTTTTCCTTTTTTTCCCTTTTCCCTCCTCGGTCACCATGTCTTCCATCGGCGACGACAAGATGGGCCACGACGTCGCTCTTCGCCAACTTGGCTCCTCGTCCACCTCCTCCATCACCCATGCCGCCGATGCCTCGCGCAACCGGACAGACGTTGATGCCGCCTGGAAGTTCCTCAACGATCACCGCCATGCCGAGGGTGTTTCCGCCGTCGACCTCGCCGCCCTGCGCCGCAAGATCGACTGGCATATTGTGCCCCTGATGTTTTGCTGCTACACCATGCAGTTTCTCGACAAGGTCATCCTCAACGTGAGTGCCCTCCCCCCTCCCTCCTGCTGGCCTGGGCTGACGCCTTGCCCTCGCAGTATGCCGCCGTCATGGGCATCAACAAAGACCTCAACCTCAAGGGCAATGACTTTTCAAACATCGCCACCTTTCTCTTTGTCGGCCTCCTGTGTTTCGAGGTCCCCAACAGTGAGTCGCCTCCCGACAATATGGCTGCTCTGCGCTGACTCCGGCTCCCCCAAGTCTACTTCCTCCAGAAACTCCCCGCCGCAAAGTGGCTCGGCTTCAACGTCACCTTTTGGGGCATCGCCACGGCCTGCGGTGCCGCCGCCACCAGCTACCAGACCCTCCTCGTCTCCCGCATCTTCCTCGGCATCTTCGAGGCCACCATCGGCCCCTCCCTCATGCTCATCAGCAGCCAGTGGTACACAAAGTCGGAGCAGGCCCCGCGCTTCTCCTTCTGGTACCTCGGCCTCGGCCTCGGCCAGATCATTGGCGGCGCCGTCTCCTACGCCTTCCAGCACGTCGCCCCCGGCGCCGCCCTCGCCGGCTGGCGCACCATGTTCGTCGTCCTCGGCTGCCTTACCGTCGTCTTCGGCATCGCCACCTTCCTCTTCCTCCCCGACACTCCCATGAAGGCCCCCTGGCTCTCCGACACGGAAAAGGTGGCCCTCCTCAAGCACGTCAGCGTCAACCAGACGGGCATCGACACGCGCAAGTTCCGCGCAAGCGAGGTTCTCGAGGCCGTCTGCGACCCCCAAATCTGGCTCCTCATCGTCTCCGTCATTCTCCTCTCCGTCTCCAGCGGCGTCGTCACCACCTACTCGTCTACCCTCATCAAGAACCTCGGCTACCAGCCCAAGCAGGCCGCCCTCATGAACATGCCCTCGGGCATCGTCAGCATCTTCTTCACTCTCCTCGTCGGCTTTGGTATCCGGAAGCAGTCCCACCGCTGGGCATGGATCCTTGTCTGCATCGTTCCTGCGTATGTCTCACCCCTCCCCTCGCGGCCATATCTTTGTCGGGCACCATCTAATCCCTGGGTCTTTCTAGCATCACCGGCGGAGCTCTCATGTCGTTCCTAAACCCCCACACCAACCGGTCCGGCGTCCTGGCTGGCATCTACCTCGTCAACGCCGTCGTCGCCCCTCTGACCATTTTCTACAACGTACGTGTCCACCGGGAGCACCCTCTCTGCTATCCTCCCATATCCTGCCTTCCATCATAAGCTGACTCGGCGAAACGCAGTGGACCGTCGCCAACTGCGCCGGAGGCACGAAGCGCGCCTTTGCCTCGGCCCTCGTCAGCGGCTCCTTTTCCCTTGGCAACATCATCGGCCCCCAGACCTTCCAGGCCAGGGACGCCCCCGAGTTCCGCCCGGCCAAGCTGGCCGTCATGGGCACCCAGGCCGGCTGCGCCGTCACCACCATTGCCCTCTTCCTCTACTACGTCTGGGCCAACAAGCAGCGCAACGACCGCAGCAGACAGCAGGAGGAGTCCTTCATGTCTCCCGATGTCTGGACGGCCATGACCGACAAGGAGAACAAGCAGTTCCGGTACACGTACTGATCTCATAGCGTGCATTTTCTTATATTGCTACCTGCCTTGGTGTCCAATTTTTTTTCAGCAACTATATCAATCATCTCGAGAATGTACGAGTATGTCTCGGCGCGCAAAATGATAGGGGGGGGGGGTTATTCTTGTCTTGCCCATTCCAACCCCTACCCTGCAACCACTGTTTAAAGCTGGCACAGCCAGCCAGCCTGAAGCTCTAGCCACCATTGTCTGATGCTCTTTTTGCGTGGCGTCCATTATGGGGCGGAGGCACTTGCCATGTTTCATTCGAGGCTCACATGTATATACACCTGTCTATTCCAACCCATCTTGGCGCATGGCAAAATGGGCAGCATGCCGTCGCATCGTGTTGGATAACACGCCAGCTACTGGCCGTGGTAGATGACGAATACATACCCTTTGAATAGCATCCGCCTCTCCCTCTCGTTCGCGGCCTCCCTGCATGGGGGGGCATAAGCAAAGCCCAGCATTCAGCTGGCGTCGCGGGGCGTTGACATGGTAGTGACAGCAGTAGCCGGCGCACGGTCGGCACGGGCGCTGTGGCTTTCCACTAAGAGCAAATATGGGGGCTTCGTGCCTCCTCAACCGGCGGCGTCCGACATTCCAACGGCGACTTGAGCAATGGCTACTGCTTCCAGCCACCCCCCACCTACACGGCGCGGCGTCATGTTCACTAGCTGCGGCAAAGCTGTCTCTTCTTGCTGCAAATTCTGGACATTATGATCCTGCTGTATCTGGCTTACAAACCCGGCTCTCCTCCTTTTTCATGCTTTGGGCCCATTGACCTTGATTCCCTTCATGCCTCTCGACCCGACTTCAAAGAATCTGAAGAATCTGGCCTCTGCCTTACGGCGACGGCGTATAAGTCAAACAGTACCATGCGTTCCCGACATGGTAAGAAAAGGAAAAAGGAAAGTCAAAAACGCCAACCCAGGTCAAGACACAGCAAGTCTTGACAAAACAAAACGGGCATTGCGGGTCAGGGAGGGATCAGACAGCCCCGCGGACGTGGAAGTGAGCGTCGCCCCAAGACGTGACGGGTGACGAAAAGCAGAACAACTCTAGGGCGTCGAAAAGAAACCGGCTATCCAAAATGCTTGCTCATGCCGTAGGCCCGGCCTTGACGACATCCTCGGTGGCCTCGCTCTCGTACTTGGTAAAGTTCTCGCGGAACAGCTTGCCGAGCTTGACGACCTCGTTCTGGAAGCTCTCGGCGCCGGCAGTCCAGGCCTTCTTGGGGTTGAGCAGCTCGGCGGGGACGTTGGGGCAGGTGGTGGGGACCTGCAGGTTGAAGATGTCGTACGTCTCGTAATGAACCTTGGCCAGCTCGCCCGAGTGGATGGCGTCGAGGATGGCGCGCGTGTACTTGAGGGGGCAGCGCTTGCCTCCGTGGGCGAAGCCGGCGCCGACCCAGCCCGTGTTGAGCAGCCAGGCGTTGGCCTTGTGCTGCTCAATCTTGTCCGCCAGCATCTTGGCGTACCTCATGGGATGGAGGGCGAGGAAGGGCTGGGCGAAGCAGGAGGAGAAAGTGGCCTGAGGCTCCGTCACGCCGTCCTCGGTGCCCGCCATCTTGGACGTGTAGCCTGAAATGAAGTGGAACATGGTCTGCGCACGGTCCAGCTTGGAGATGGGAGGCAGGACGCCGCGGGCGTCACAGGTGAGGAGGATGATGTTGGAGGGCATGTTGGGCGAGAGGCAGGGGATCTTGGCATTGCTGATGTACTCGATGGGATAAGCGCTGCACAGGACAAGAGCGTTGGTTAGATTGGACATGTTCAGCGGAGAGAAGCAGGACAAGAAGGGGCGCACCATCGTGTGTTCTCGGTCAAAGTCGAGTCGTCGTAGTCGACCTCGCGGGTCTCGGGGTCGAAGACGACGTTCTCCAGCACGGATCCGTAGCGGATGGCGTTGAAGATGTCGGGCTCCTTCTCGGCCGAGAGACCGATGCACTTGGCGTAGCAGCCACCTTCGATGTTGAAGACGCCGCGGTCGCTCCAGCAGTGCTCGTCGTCGCCGATGAGGGCGCGGTTGGGGTCGGCAGACAGGGTCGTCTTGCCGGTGCCCGACAGGCCAAAGAAGAGGGTGACGTCGCCATTCTTGCCCTCGTTGGCCGACGAGTGCAGGGTCAGGACGTTGTGCTTGATGGGCATCTCGTAGAAGAGAACGGTGAAGACGCCCTTCTTCATCTCACCGGCATACTCGGTTCCGAGGATGACCATCTCCTTCTGGGCAAAGTTGATGGCGACCGAGGTCGGCGAGGTCATGCCCTCGGTGTAGCGGTTGGCGGGGAAGGAGCCGGCATTGTAGATGGTGTAGTCGGGGCGGAAGTGCTCGAGCTCCTCACGAGGAGGGCGGATGAGCATGTTTCGCATGAAGAGGGCATGGTAGGCGCGGGCGCAGATGACACGGACGCGGATGCGATACTTCTCGTCCCAGCCGGCGTAGCCGTCGACGACGTAGATGCGGTTGCGCGTGTTGAGGTAGTCGACGGCGCGTTCGCGGTTGATTTTCCAGACCTGCAACAACGTCAGCCAGACCGTACTCGACTTCCCCCTCTCTGGCGGCTCGGATCCGACGCGTGCGCATAGTCGACTGACTGCCCAATGCGGCCGACCAACCAGCCCGGTATGCCCCGCATCGCGGCTGGATGCGGTGCAACATGAGGAGGGCCGGCACGCATGCGCGTCATCCGGGATGCAGCAGCGCACTGGCCTGCGCACACTGACTGGCCTGCACACACACACACCAACACCGCCGCTGCAGGTCCCGCGCGCACCCGGCCATCGGGACGGAGCGGGTCGGCGTGGCTCCCAAGGGAGGCAGCCAGCGGCCAAGACATGCAATCACAGTCATTTGATTGGACCGGCTAGACCAGCCACAGCCACCTCCCGCTTGGAAGCTGACTTCCCCCCGGCTCAGCCCAGACCCTGCATGCCCAAGCTGTTTATGCCGACTCACGGGCCTGGCGTCAAGGCGACCGGGACCCCCAAGGGAAACGCGGGGTGATTGACGGCCGAGGGAAAGACAAGGGGAACCACTGGGGAACCACTGGGGCAAAAAGGAAAAGGCGGCAAAACATGAGACCTACCTCGGGACTCATGGGCTTGTTGACGGGGCCCCACCTGCAGAAAAGCCTTGGTTAGCCGAAGGGGCGGGCCTTTCACATGGAATCAATGTTGGCTGAGAGCCGAGCAAAGCTGACACTTGACCGCATGCAGTCGACTCTCTTCCGCTGGCCGGGACAGGAACGTACCAGACGTCGTTTTCAGACGACGGCTCCTGGACTATTCTCTTGTCGAGGGGAGACCTCCCCGTCTTCTTGCCCGAGTAGGCCGTCAGGGCACCGCTCGAGGTGATGGCTGTGCCTGTTTCGTACACCAGCGCATCTTCGTAGAGGACGGCAACGGAAGGATTGGGGATCTGCGAGCCGTTACCCGTCAGCCGTTGCCATTGCAAACACCAAACATCAGAGTCCACTTACAATTGCGACGTGGTCGTAGTCGATGTGTGCCTTTTCGTGAAGCGCCTCCTCTGTGGAAGGCTTGTCAGTCGGGGGTCCGGGGTAGCTAGCGTCGGTAGGGCCGGCAGCCAGGGCAACATACCAAGCTCGGTGTGCTCGCGGTGAGGCCTGGCGAGGACGTCATGTTAGCATCCAAGCCGCCTGGTGTCGGAGGAGGGGGACAACTCACTGGACACCGCCCGGGTGCAGAGAAGTCTTGTTGACCGTGTTGGTAATCACTGACTCGGGGCGTCAGGGCTTACACTCTCGAGGCATGGGCATCAAGGGGGACTCACTGTTGCGCGAGTCTTGCCTTTGAGCCAGGATCTGGGAGCTGGGGCCTTTGACGTTGGGATCTGGGTAGGGAGAGGCAACTCTGGCGATGGGACCGGCCATGGTTATGTATGTTTTTTCCCCGCCGGGGGACTTTGGATCTCGGCTTGGCCCAGAGGGGGAGTGGGGTGGGCTGGCCAAGGGCAAGAAGAGGGCAAAGGTCGCGTGCCTTGTTGGGCGTACCGACTCGAGTCCAAGGCTTCTCTCCACAAATGGCAATGGACGGTGTATGCGCCGAATCGTACTCGTGGCAGAGCAACGGGCACGGGTACAGTACTTGGTGATGGGTAGAGTAGCCAGCTCTTGCTTTGGTGACGGAAGGGCTATTACCGTTTTGGTGGGGCAGGGGGGGTGTGCAAAGCGTGTGCAAAGCGTGTGTGCAAAGCGTGGGGAGGAAGCCGGGGGTGGGGAAGACCGGCTGCTCACGAGGATATGTCGGAACCAGCCTCGTCTTGTTCGGGAGGCGGATGCAGGCCTAGGTAAAAGCTCGGCGGGACTAGGACCGTGGGGCTGACCGGAACGTCCTTTCGGGTGCGACTTGGTGCGGGGATCGTGAAAGGCCGGAAAGCCTCGCTGCCTTTTCTGCTCACTCTCGCGCGAGCGAGATTGGCCCAGGAATGTACAGTGCAACTACAGTGCCGCAGGCGGGTACAGCACGGGCAGATGGAGACGTCGGTCAATGCGGCTTGGTGCGGACCGAGATGTACTGGTATGCTGAAGACGACGATGATGGACGATGGTGGTGGACGGGGGAGCAACGGCGTCCAGGCCGGCGGCATCGTGGCCCTTTTGAACCCCTTTGCCAGAAGCTTTGCTTCGGTTTCGGGGGATCGGAAAGGGCAAACATTCCCCTCCGCCGCCTTTGCCTGAAAGGGGCCCTCCACCAAGTAGGTAGGTAGGTAGGTAGGTACTACTAGATAAGTACCTACCTACCTACCTACATGACTTTTCCCGGCCGCACTGGCTGGCGGAACGAGTATCCGGTGCAGGTACAGCACCAAGGTAGTAGATAATAAAGGCGAGCCCACGTCACGGCTGTCCTCCAAATATCTCCATCATGGAATACGGCCTCTTCACCTCGTACAGCCTACGGCGTAAATGTAGACACTGTAGACACAGCTTTTGACACGCCGTGGGAAAGGGTACCCGAAAGCTGCATCCCGTGCGCTTTGGGCATCAGCGCCGCCATGCCGTCCGGAGCCGCAGGCCTACGTGGCCCGTCCATGCCAATCATCCCGGCCCTTTCTCGTAAAACGCCCTCTGCAGGCCATCGCACCTGAGCAGGCTATTGTTCTGCGACAAGGCAGTGTCATTCATTTCTGCATGGCAGGCGAGTCGAGAACAGCCCTGCCCATCCAGCCAAACCCCACGGCACATGATTGGGCACCCCGTCGACCTACCTGATTAAGGTAGGTACTATTTTATCCCGTGGGCCGTACTGTATATCCCGACGCCTAAGATCACCTAGTCGGCAAAGCAATACCCCAATGCCCCAATGCCTCGGTCGCCCAGTTCTTGGCAAGCCAATGAGCAGGTACATTAGTAGCTAACTGCTCTTCCACCGTGGACGAGATTCGACAAACCCCCGGGGATTCGCCCTTTGCTCACCACCCGCGACGCTTTCGGCAAGGCGGCCGTCAAAGTATCTTTTGTTGCACCATTGCAAATACTTCCCTACGTATCCGTAAATGCATCATGGTCGCCGATACGTCATTCGCACAGTATCCCTCATGCGCGACGTCGTGTTCCACGAAACCTGCCGTCGCAATCCCCGGGCCTTGTCGCCCGTCAACAGCGCCTCGTCGGCATGCTCTGGCCCCCCCACACCCCCCCCGGCGGCATCTCCCGCTGATTACGCACCCCGTCATTGGCTGTTCCCTCCTGCGCCTGCGTTCCGACTTTCTCCGACCAGGGCCCATTTAATCCGCCGGCTTAGGGATTCTGTTAGCTAAACAGCCCTCACGTGCCTCGATTCCACAGAGAGAGAGGGCGTGTCGATAGACGTTGATACCTCGACGCGGAAAGCCGCATGCTGCCCGAGCATTGCCATGTGTCTCGGCTTAAGCCCTCGTTTTTCGCAAAGGTGCAGTCGGCGCTTCCGGTATTCGGCAGCGGTCACACTCTGTTTCCGATTGCCAACGGCAGTACTCACGTCACCAAGGCTCAATGTCTCACGGTACCACGGCAAGACGGCTTAACGCCAGGGAGCATGTCATTATGCCATGGGTGCGGCTTACAAGACTGGCGCGTGAAATTCCATTCATTTTCCCATGTCCTGAAACCGGCAACACCTTAAAACCCCGTAATTCAAATGCATCATGGGATATTAGACAGCTCAAATCTTGGTAGCAGCCTCCAGAGCCTTCTGCTTCTTCAGGATCCGCATCTGCGCCTTGGGGCCCATGATGCCACCACCCCACTGTCTCCGGGCCTGGTCGTGCTTGTCCATGAAGCCGTCCTTGATGGCGGAGACGAGCTTCGACAGCTCGTTCTTGTCCTCCGAGCGCACCTCGGTCATGGCCAGAACGGCAGCAGTCTAGCACTCAGTTAGAACCGATGGGCGAATCGCAATCATGTGTGAACCGACCTTCTTGTGGACAACGGTGCCCAGGCGCGCCTTGCCCTTGACAATGGCATAAGGCACTCCCATCTTCTTGCACAACGAAGGCAGGAAGACAACCAGCTCGATCGGGTCGACATCGTTGGGAATGAGGACCAAGGAAGCCTTCTTGTTCTCAACGAGGCCGACAACGTGGTTGAGGCCGTACTTGACTGTGTAGGGCTTCTTGCTGACGTCCTCCTTCTTCTTGCCCTCCTTGATGGCAGTGGCCTCCTTGAGCAGACGCTCCTTCTTCTCGGGCTTGGTCTCGGGGCGGTACTTGTTGAGGAGCTTGAAAGCCTGGGCGGCAGTGTTGCGGTCGAGAACGTGCTGGAACTGGGCCAGAGACGGAGGGACCTTGAGGCGCATCTGGAGGATCTTCCTCTGGCGCTGGAGGCGGACATACTCAGGCCACTTCACCATGCGGCCCAAGTTTCGCTTGGGCTGGATGTCCTGACCGATGCCATAGTTTCGGGGGCGCTTCTCGAGCAGAGGGTTCTGTAGAGGTGTGAGCGCATGAGATCAAGGGGCTTCGAGGAACGCGTCGCACGCACCTTGGGAGCCTTCTTGGAACCAGCCTTTCCCTGAGGGAATGGGGCCGGAGCCACCTTCTTGCCAGTCTTGGGAGGCTGTCATTGAGAAAAGAAGACATCAGCGACTTGCTCAGCCAAAAAGTCTTCTCTGAACTCTAAAGAGAACGCGATGCGGCAGTATTTCAGCGCACATCCCGCCTCCAGCCAGGTCTTCACCCGGTCCACGAGGGACGAACGGGCGGAATCTCCAGCAGGCCGCAAGCGACGCTGCGGATCGAACTGCACGCCAGCGCATTGCCACTCTGGAAATGTAGCCGTCAGAGCATCTATGGCGAGAAACTTACCATCTTGGATCCGTGGGCGACGGTGCTCGGTCTTGTGAGAACAAGCGAAGTCCTTGATGCCGTGAGGGTGGGTTGCGAAAAAGACCAAGTCCGAGTGGATATTTCAGTGGTGGGTGAAAAATTAGGGCTTCGTGTGCCACAGTGGCTCTTCGCCCCAAGGGGGTCCGTGGGTGTGGCTGATGTGTCACGTGCTGACTCGCGACCGTGGCTGTTGGGTTTAGATCGGCCTGTAGCAAATCGAGTCAACGTTGGTTTGTCGGCGGCTTGTGTGAAAGAATCTTCGAAGTGGCCATTTCTTGAGTCACTGGGCCTCAGTCTAGATTTCCACGCTATAAACGCTGGTCTTCGGTGTGAATTTCTTGGAACTGGCTCCCTTTCCATTTGGGCGGAATCGCTTCAGCCAGACTACGACTCTCTACAGTGTTTCATCAAGTACACTTTCCGGCAAACCACGACAAACTCCCTGTCACCTACTGACCATGCCGCCAACCCCTTGCGTGTTGTGTCAAAACAACAGAGCCATCGTCAAAAGGCCCAAGAATCATCACAAAGTCTGCAGAGACTGTTTCCTCGTGGCCTTTGAGGACGAGGTTCATCATACCATTGTCTCTTCTAATCTATTCTACCCCGGCGAACGGGTAGCAATAGGCGCATCAGGCGGCAAAGACTCTACAGTGCTGGCATCGGTCCTCAAAACACTCAATGAGCGGCATGAGTACGGACTGGACCTGGTTCTCCTCAGCGTCGACGAGGGTATCAAGGGCTACCGAGATGATTCGCTCGAGACGGTGAAACGCAATGCGACTCAATATGAGATGCCGTTGCAGATCGTGGGCTACGATCAGCTCTACGGATGGACCATGGACCAGGTCGTGGAAACGGTTGGCAAAAAGGGTAACTGCACGTACTGCGGTGTCTTCCGTCGACAGGCACTGGATCGAGGCGCCAAGATGCTCGACATCAGGCATGTTGTCACGGGGCACAATGCAGACGACGTGGCCGAGACTGTCCTGATGAACCTCCTCCGCGGCGATCTGCCTAGGCTGTCCAGGAGTACCAGCATAGTCACCGGGAACTCAAAGAGCGAGGTCAAGAGGAGCAAGCCTCTCAAGTACGCCTATGAGAAGGAAATCGTCTTGTATGCACATCACAAGAAGTTGGATTACTTCAGCACCGAATGCATATACAGTCCTGAAGCATTCCGGGGAACCGCTAGAAGTCTGATCAAGAGCCTGGAAAAGGTTCGGCCGAGCGCAATCCTTGACATTGTCCGAAGCGGGGAGGACATGGCACGGCTCACACCTGACAAGGGTCAAAGCGGCTGCGATTGCAGCCCGGGAGAAGGCATGGGCGGTTGCGGATCTGCCAATGGAGCTGCGGGAGGCGATATGGTACAGATGGAGGCGAGCTTGAAGAACCAGCATCAGTTCAAAGGCCTCGAGGCAGAAGTCAAATCCGAGGGGGCCACCGAGGCAGATGGGTCGATCAGACTCCCCGTGAGGAGCCGCTGGCCGAAAGATCCTGTGCCAGTTCCGTTGCAGACCTTGGGTCGATGCATCAAATGCGGTTACATGTCGAGTCAAGACATGTGCCAGGCTTGCACGCTCTTGGAGAGCTTGAACAAGAACAGGGCCGATATCAACATATGACTCGATAGTCATCCGCTGAACTATCATTGACATGTGCGCGAAGGCATAAGTTGGGGGCGTTGCTCAGCTTCACGTGTGATGTGATATCCGTGCTGTCTTTGACCATTTTCCCCTCTCGCCGGAAAGGCTTGCCAGTTCGCTGGCTTTATATGTACACGTTCATCCCCGTCCGGTGGATTCGTCTGTTCGATCGTCGCTTCCAGCGGGCTCAGGAAATACGCTTCTCCAACTATAGGGGGCAGTGAGCAAATTATCTCGTTGAAAAGAGCGGCTTTCTGGCCCGGTACCTTCCATGGATTGTTCAGCTCAAAGCCTAGTGGTGCTTGTGGCTGATCAGTCTGCCCGCGCATTGTTCCCGTGAGTCTCCGGTCTCGCGCCATCACTGAAGCAACACTAGTCAGTGCCTGGAGTGGTCCGTTGGGTTGCGACGCGTGACGAGGTGGTTATCTTACTTTGCTGCCGGCCATGTCAGTCAACGGGGCCAAGAGACGGGCGACGGAGCAACCAACCTTGTCCCACTCATCCAGCGAATATCGCGGGCGCTTGCCCTCGTTCCGCATGGTCTTGACGAAAGCCAGGCCAGTCCCAGTCACGCCAAACATCTAAGTATCGATGAGTTTCGGCCGATTCCGGGCGCAGGGGAGGTGATCGGGCGCTCGTACACCAATCATGATGGCATAGGGAAGCAGGGCTTCAAACGGCACAGGCATGGCTGCGATGCGCTGCCCACAAGGACTTTGACGGGCAAGCCGAGGTTCGTGGCTGTGTCTGTCAAGCTCCAGCCTGCTGTCGGTGCGGCCAGGACAATTGGAGTTGCGGCGAGGTTCAATGCTGTGCCTGGGCTAGATGCTTGGATTGCCGTGTTCGGCTGGGTCCTTGGCGGTTGGATGCCTGAGGCGTGAAATGCGGTCGCACTCTAATTCGTAGTGTGGACGCACAGTTAGCGTAGAAACCATTGGCACTGTATTCAAAACTCAAGCTCTAGTGCCCATACGTGCATCGTACTGGCGCGCGCACTGTAGTGACAAGCATTCTCTCCTCGCCCAGCAGCACATCGAAACGCGACTGACTGTGTCACGCTACTTGGCGTCGTCGTTGCAGACACCGTCCAGTTTCCTCGGCGCGTTGCTTACGAGCGCGAGGTGGGAGCTCGCGGGACTTCACTTCTTTTCTTGTGCTCCCAGCTGACAGCGTGACAGGTCGAGCGGCTCAGGCCCGTAGCTCGCGGGCCTCTTTCAAGCTTGAGGACCGCCCGCAGTAGCTTGTCGCGACATCGATATGCCCAAATTTGAGTCGAAAACACACCGCCTTCGTTTAGGGAAGCAGGGGTAACGATGGCGAGCGCGCAAGCTATGGAAGAGGAGCTGCAGCAGAGTGTTTTGCTCTCCGAAGACGCGGAATACGAGACGGCAGACAGTTTCGCCGATAACGCCACAGACTCGACACCACGAGAGGGTCGAGGGGCGGCTGCCCACTCTACCTCGACCGGCGTCGCGGTCGCCTCTCGAGACATGGGCAGCGATGACGACGACGAACTCAGCGACCGAGATGCCTCCGGCGAGGAGATAGACGAAGATGCCTCCGGTGAAGAAGACGATGATCACATGGCTCAACAGATAATAGTTGGCGATGCTGCGCCTGGAGAAGATGAGGATGGCGAACAAGACGAGGATGCAGAAGGAGACGATGATGACCTCGAGGAAGGGGTAGGGGCTGTCAAGATCAAGCCTGGCGAAGCCGAAGATGATGAAGACGCCGAGAGCGAAGTCTCTGAGCTTCCGAGTGTCCCAGATGAGGAGTCCGACGAAGACGGGGCTGCTTGGGAGGACGGGGACGTGGCAGACGATGACGAATCGGACGCGGCGCCCCCCAACGCTTGCACCTTCTGCAAACAAGACGAGGAAAATGACCCGAGTGAGGATTTTGAGGCATTTCTTACATGCACTACTTGTGGCGAGAACGGTATGTCGTCTTTTCCAGGCACTGCGCGGAGACTGGCTAACGGGGATCAGCGCACCAGCAGTGTGCCCGCGACGCCGTCGCATTGACAGAAAAGAACCGTAAGTACTGGCCAGCCCGTCAGCCCGCGGCCGAGTCCGCTGACCGGTTCCAGATTCCAAAGACTGGAGATGTCCAGAGTGCTACACCGGGAATTCTGACGTGGACGATGATGAGATTGAAATCAAAGACGGCGCCAGTGTGGGCAACAACTCACTATCCATGTCACAGCGTTCGGACGAGCCAAACCTTGCACGGGAACCCAGTAATTCGGACGAGCAGTCCGTCTCTCAGGCCGGAATGCATGTTGACGACTCCATGCAAAGTTCGCGTGCCCTACGCAAGAGGAAAACTTCCTCAGCCGAGCCAGACGAGACGGGCGGATCTCTGAGAAAGCGACGCAGAAACCGCTCCAGCGAATCGACGGCTCATGGTGATGGAGGCGGGGATCAGTCTGGAGAGTCGAACAGGGCGTCGCGGATGCTGCGACTTAGGGCTCAAAGACCGCCCCCAGTAACCGTCGAAAGACGATCACGCACGTCCCTGGTACTCAAATTTGTGGTGCGTCCAGGCAACCTCAAAGAGATTCTATCGCGGAGGAAACGCGATAACAAGAGACGGCCTGGGGCTCTTTCGAGGCCTGCTCCACCGCCGCGAACGACGCCCGCTTTGACGGCTACGGTTGTGACTCCTGCAACTCCCCTTCCCACGCCTTTTACCTCGGACCTGTATTCTCAGCCATTCTACTCCTTTTTCGACAAGGAGACCGATGATGCCAAGGGAAAGCCTTACGGCGGTATACTGAGCGAGGCGGAGGCGGACACCTCAAAAACACTGCCCACTCCTGACGATCGCAAGAGGTTTGATCAAGCCAAGCAGAAGGCTGAAGACGAATGGCGAGCTCGCGTCCTAGCGATGCAGGCCGAGGCGGACGTGCCGTTGCGGAAGCCCAAGAAGGCGAACGAGAACGCAAGCCAGATTGAGTGCATCGAGTTTGGTGGGTGGGAGATCGACACCTGGTACGCGGCTCCTTACCCTGCCGAGTACAGCAGAAACCGCGTCCTCTACATTTGCGAGTTCTGTCTTAAGTACATGAACTCGGACTACGTGGCATGGCGGCACAAGCTCAAATGTGCCACGAAGCACCCCCCTGGAGACGAGATTTACCGCCACGAGTCGGTGTCCATATTTGAGGTCGATGGCCGGAAGCATCCTGTCTACTGTCAGAACCTGTGTCTTTTGGCAAAACTCTTCCTCGGTTCCAAGACGCTCTACTACGACGTGGAGCCGTTTTTGTTCTACATTCTCTGCGAGTACGACGAGCGCGGGTACCACTTTGTGGGCTACTTCTCAAAGGAGAAGCGAGCGAGCAGCCAGAACAATGTGTCGTGTATCTTGACGTTACCCATACACCAGAGAAAAGGCTACGGGAACCTGCTCATCGACTTTTCCTACCTGCTCACCAAGACGGAGCAGAAAACGGGGTCGCCCGAGAAGCCGCTGTCTGACATGGGCCTCGTGTCATATCGCAACTACTGGCGGCTCGAGTTGTGCCGATACTTTTTGAACCTCATGGAAGGGGACGAGCATAAGAAGGACGGCCTCAGCGTCAAGCAGATCTCTGACGAAACAGGCATGACTGCCGACGACGTCGTCTCGGCCTTGGAGGGGCTCCGAGCCCTGGTGCGAGATCCGCAGACACAACAGTACGCGTTCCGCGTCGACTCGGAGTATTGCCGACAATACGTGGCGAAGTGGGAGTCCAAAGGCTACGTGAGGCTGAAGGCGGAGGCTCTGGCTTGGACCCCGTATGTCATGGGTCGGAGCAACGCCGTCAACTTCGAGCTCGGGCCGCCCATCAGCACGATTGCGCCGCGCGAGGACGACGAGACGAAAGCTCACGAGGACCCCGACAGCGCTGGTGCAGAGCTCCAGCCGCTGGTTGATGGCGAAGACGGGGATGCGCCCCTACAAGACGCCAGCGTCACCAGCGAGACGAATATGCCGAACGGATCAGAACCTGTCAAGTCGATTGAGAAAGTGGCGCCTGAGGACAAGGAGAATGCAGAGCCGCAGACCGACGTCAGGAACGCCGTTCCAGACTGCGACTCTTGGGCCGCACCTTACAGAGACATACCGCCAACTCGATTCGAGGTCTTCCCCCCTGTCACGGGCGGTCGACGTGCAGATCGTGCGAGGCAAAGCGCAACCCGTCCGTCTGCCTCTCGTACCGTCAGCAGCGCATCGCGGCCGCGACGGTCGGGGGGGAGCAGCCGCCGTCCCACAGCCAGCCGCCCTCGAAGCAGCGCATCACGGCGCAAGACGGGCGGGACCGGACGCGGGCCGGGACGATGGCCCAAGGGTACCAAGAAGTCCGACTATGGTAATGCCGATAGTGGGCCTGGTCTCCCGCCGGGCTGGAAGGAGAAGCAAGCCCGCATGCGGGCGGAAGCTGGGGGCGCAACGCCCGAGGAGGAGGAGGCGTTGACCGACAAACCAGCGCAGGACGAAGTGCAGGTTGTCGTGGGCAAGGCTTCGGCCAACGGAAAGGCGACGCTCGACTCGGGGTTGGCATCGGGAGCATGGGCGGCTGGTCACGGCGCCCCGGGAGCCAGCGGAGAAGGGGGTATGGAGGTCGATGCGGGAGGATGAGCCAGTGAATGATCATTTGCCATGGCCTCGAGTCACGGTATGTGAGGTTTTGTCTTTCTTTGGCGAAGGGGTTTAATAATGCGGCGTAGGGGTGCTTCGGGTAAGGTGTATGCTCCCAAGATGTTTCTTGGCGTTCCAGGCAGGCTCTGGTGTATGATTAGAGCGATTCAACAAGTCGATACCGAGCACCGAGATGGCCGCTGGTACGAAGTATTTGATTTGGTTGCAAGAGCCCAAAGGCTTTGCAGGTTGGCATGAAGGGCCACAATGTGGGACGAAAAGGTCTTCTTAATGCTGCCCGACAACTCCACGGCCCAGTCTACACACAGAACGCCTCGCGTTGTCTATTATCTCTGAGACCCATTCTATGCTACAGGATCTGTGAACATGAAACTAGATGGAGGACTCCGCAACCGAGAAACACTTTATGAGTGCCACTTGCGGAAGGTATCCATGACAGTGGTAAAGACGACGAGGAGGATGCCTCCTCCGGGTCCAAGTCGCAGCACCTAGAGAAAGAGGAGGTGTCATGAGTAACCGTCTGGGGCACCGTCCATGGCTAGACAAGGGGACTAGACTTACCTTGGGCAGGAATCCCTTGTACAAGGCGCCAGCGCCTTCTTCCTTGAGCACCGTGAGAACCGAAGGGAATGCCCAGTTGTACTTGGGGACCTGGCCGGGGATCCTGGGCGTATTCTGGATTCGGCTCTTGACGACGTCCAAGGGGGTGTTGACCATGGTGCCGATGGTGCCTCCGATGGAGCCGGAGATGAGGTCGTTGACCATCTGGCCACGCTTGTTCTGGGCCTGGGGCATCAACTGGCGGACCTGGAAGATGCAGCCAAAGTAGCCGGCGTTCCAGAGGATATGCCGCCACATGGTACTCTCCAGACCCTGGTACAAGGCCAGGGGGCCTTCGTTGCGGACCGTCTTGACGACGCAGTCGATCATGCCATTGTATTTGCCGGCCGAGGCCTTGTCCTGCAGGCGGATCTTGACAAGCTCGAAGGGGACGACGACGAAGGACTCGGTAGCGCCGGCCGAGGCTCCGGTCAGGACGGAGAGCGACTGGGTCATCTGGGGCATGCCGAACATCTTGCGATAGGCCCTACCCCACTCGTCGTTGGCGGCGAACTTGGTGGCTCGCTTGGGAGCCTCCATGAGGATGGGAGCGGAGATGCCGCGATAGAGCCGGGAGAAGCTGGCATCGGATGAGCTCGAGGATTCGAGGATCAATGGCAGGACTGCCGGTGAAGCTCCACACACCCTTCATGCTTGATGATCTTGCGGAAGCAATCCAACATGCCATTGTATGCCTCGGCGCCGGCGCCCTTGCCGGTTTGCAGTTGTCTAGGCCGATGAGTCCCGGGTCCGCGGCGAAAGGGGGGCGGAGAAGACTCACACTCGGGTCTTGACGACATCCAACGGATACCTGGCAGCGCTCAGTGTCAGCTGTTCGCGTCGCAAAGACGGCGTGTCGTGGACTTACATGATCAAGATCTGATGCGGGCCCGAGGGTCAGCAGGGGCCGAGCGTGGCAGGGCGGCGCATCTCATACCTCCGAGACGCCGGCAATGGCGCCTGGCAGACGGCGTTAGGGTCGAGCACTTGGCGGCGGCTGGGGGCGGCAGCAACGTACCTGCGGCGAACTGGTAGATGAAGGGGAGCGGCTTTTCCTGCGACATGGTGGAGGACTGGGGGCAACGGTGCCCGGGCGGATTGACAGCGCTGCCGAGGAGAGACAGACGATGGCGGAGCGAGGCAAGAGGTGGAAAATTGGAGATGCAACGGCGTCCCTTGCAGACGAGCCGTAAGCGAATATTACGGCTATATCCCCAGGACCCCTAGCATGCCTCTGCTAGTGCTGTAGCTTTGTTAGCGCGCATGCATTGTGCAACGATTCATTAGGTGAGCAGTCACTGCACGTGTTTTGTGCCTACTATATTACACTCCGTACTTGTAGCGACGTCTTTTGCGGGTACCGGTATCCGTACCCAGAGTCCATTCCAGTAGGCAAGATACCTACCTAGGTAGCTCATCACGACAACCACTCTCTACATGTCCCCAACGTGAAGAATCAAAGGGCCCTGTCATGGATCAGACCGTCAATCAACCAACATGAATTGTCACCCCCCCGCGGAAGCTTCATGCTAGCGTTCCGGTGCAGAATGGCCGGAGTCGCGCGTGGCACCGAGATTGCGCACCTCGATTCTATCCAACGACGACCATGTCCAAGCCAAAGAACTGGCCCGGCTCGCTACCGTACTTGAAGTCTCCGCAACACTCCAAACACCTCTCGGCTGCCCAGGTCGAAGCCCTCAGCACGAAGCCCTCGGCGATCTCCGTCATACCCGCGTCACAGACCTTGGTGCCCTCGCCGAACGTCAAGATCCAGCAGATCCGGGACGCTGCTCACCCTGCCGACGGCCAGTACGGGCTATTCGCGGCGCAAAACCTTAAGCCCGGAAGCTTCATCCTGCCATACCTGGGCCGAGTGCACGGCGGGGCGGCACCGTCGTCGTTGGCCGAGAGTGACTACGACTTGTGGTTGGACAAGGAGGCGGACGTGGCGGTGGACGCGGCGAATGAGGGCAATGAGGGTCGCTTCGTCAACGACTACCGGGGGGTCAAGGAAAGGGCCAATGCCGAGTTTGGGACGGCGTGGTGTGAGCGGTGGCAACAGGTTTGCGTGGGTGTCTGGGTCTTGGGCGGGAAGAACAGCAAGGGCATCAGGAAGGGGGACGAGATTTTGGTAAGTTACGGCAAGGGTTTCTGGGACGAGCGGAAGGGAGATGAGCCGGAGGTTGCTGGGGGCTAGGGGCGAGGCATTGAAAACACGAGAGAGGTGAGACTTGTGTACTGTAGCTGGTTGTGACCCTTTGAGCCCAATCTACTTCGTACCAGGTAGATCATCATGACTCCGTATTTCGAGCAAGCTTTCCCGGTAAGTAACTTTAGGTAACTTACTGGAGCATCAGCTGGCTGTCTACAGTGCCTACCCTAATTACAACGTGTGCTGATCTGCCACTTTGGGCCCAGGTATCCATCGAGGGGAAGGCGGAGGCGAGGTACTTGCGGGCCGCGGGCTGTTTGTGTACTGCCGTGCTTTGCACGCCCTTCCACGCATGCTCGCAGAGTTGTCGAATTAGCGCCGAGGCGGTTGCCGGGGCAATTCATTATGTCATTTGGTGACTCGCGCCACCCACTCAGCGTCCGCTCACTCAGCGTGCATTGAGTGAGTGCCTTCACACGCGCACCCCATCCCCATGAACGGCGGCGATTGCACAAAAAGGCCGGGTGCAGGCTTCGCTTTTAAGCCCAGGAACACCCTCTCATTCCCCAACACGCCCAGCTCTCTCGACACCTCAAGTACCGAATCGGCTCTTGTCCGCCAGAAAATCGAGGCCATGGTCAAGGAACGGGCGCCGCCAAAGGGGCCCTCGCCCTTGCAGCCTGCTCCAGCTGCCCGAGCCAACGAGTCGCAGCGAGAGAGATCTCCAGACGAAGACTTCGACATTACCGCCGCTGTCAGGGACTTGTCGTCCGTCAAGGGCAAGTATCGCGGCGGCCCGGCCGATGGCGCTGGCTCCTCTGCCCTGACAAGCCATCCGACATTTGGACATCCCACCAAGATGGTCTCCTCTCTTAAGCAGAAGGCAGACGTCTTCATCCACCAAAAGACCCGTCCCGAACACCATCTCGGAACAAAGATCTCGGGACCGCGACCCCCTACCTACCACGACCGAAGGCCCCCGCCCATGCCCACCTTCAGCTCGAACACACACGTCGCCGCGCCGTCCTATCAAGGCGACGAGGTCTTCTATACCGATCCTACCAAAGCAAATGCCGACCTCAAGGCACTGCTCGAGGGCGGCCTGGACGAGGAAGAAGAGCAAGACGATGGCGAGAAGCCTGTTGTGGTGCTGGAGGCTGATAAGAATCCTGACTCGACCCAGCCACAACAAGAGAAAACGGAACAGAAAAGGGACGTCGTGGTCGGCAAGGATGGCATAGTCGACGGCCTCAAGGTCAGGCTGCTGCCTCACCAGGTCGAGGGCGTCAACTGGATGCGTGGCCGTGAGCTGGGCCCGGTCAAGCGAGGCACCGTCCCCAAAGGAGGGCTACTCGCCGATGACATGGGCTTGGGCAAGACGCTGCAATCCATCTCCCTGATGCTGAAGAACCAAAAGCCCACGACGGACGAAAAGGGTTGGAAGAAACACTTTGGGGGCCTCGAAAAGACGACTCTCGTGGTTGCCCCCCTGGCGCTCATCAGGCAGTGGGAGCACGAGATACGGGACAAGGTCGCCAAGTCTCACGGACTCAAGGTCCTTGTTCACCATGGTCCTCAGCGCACCAAGAACTCCAAAGACCTGGCCCTGTACGATGTCGTCATCACGACATATCAGATCCTCGTGTCCGAGCATGGCAACTCGTCAGAGAACAAGGGGGCGGGTTGCTTTGGTCTCCACTGGTGGCGCGTCGTCCTGGACGAGGCACACACCGTCAAGAACCGCAACGCAAAGGCCACCAAAGCCTGCTACGCTCTGCGCTCCGAGTATCGCTGGTGTCTCTCGGGAACGCCAATGCAAAACAATCTCGACGAATTGCAGTCTCTCGTCCGGTTCCTGCGCATCAGGCCGTACGATGACCTGAAGCAGTGGAAGGAGCACATTGACCTGCCCATGAAGAACGGCAAAGGCCACATCGCCATCCGGCGCCTTCACTCCATCCTGCGTTGCTTCATGAAGAGACGAACCAAGGAAATTCTCAAGGAAGAGGGCGCCCTGCATCCTGGCGGCGAGCCCCCGGCCGATGGAACGGCCACTGCGACTGAGTTCAGACATACAGAGCGCAACGTCGTCACCGTCTCAACAAAACTACCCCCCGCTGAGCGCAACTTCTACAATCGCCTGGAAGAGCGCGCGGACAAGAGCATGGAGCTCATGATGAAGAACAAGATTAGCTACGCGAACGCGTTCACCCTGCTTCTGCGTCTGCGACAGGCGTGCAACCATCCCAAGCTGGTGGAAGGGAAGTTGGGCGAGGACAAGGATGCACTGTCGACGGGCTCCAGCCAGAAGAAGCAGGATGCAGACATCGACGCCGTGGCGGATATGTTTGCTGGCATGGGCATCGTGTCCAAAAGCTGCAGCATCTGCGGCAAAGACTTGACCAGCGTGGACGTTGAGATTGGCAGGGAAAACTGTTCCGAATGCCACGATGATCTAGAGTACTTCAAGCATCATGGTCGTCCAGAGAAGGACAAGAAGAAGAAGAAGAAGAAGAAGAAGAAGAGGAAGAGTCAAAAGCAGGTGTCTCCACTAAAATCAGAAGCTGATGCAGGCGAGAGAAAGTTGAAGACGAAAGAGAAAGAGGATAACGAGCAAGACGTCGAGCCAGCGGCGGAAGCGCAGCAGAAGCAGGCCCCGCGCCGCCCGCGGAACCGCAACGCCATTATCGACAGCGATGATGAGGACGAGGAAGCCGAGGGCAGCTGGCTGGTGCCAGAAGGCGAACGAGGGGACTTGCATCTGGGCAAGGCTGGCGGCGAGGAGGACGAAAACGCCGAGGGAGGGGGCGACTGGATCGGTTCGGAGGACTCGGCCGACGACACGGTCGATGACCGGGACCAGAGCAATCTGAGCGGCTTTGTCGTCGATGACGAGACGGCCCAGGAGGAGCCGGGTTATAAGTCCGTGGCCGAGGCGTCCGAGGACGAAGACTCACTCTTGTCCGTGTCTGCCATTACGCAGAAGATGGCAGCCCAGACGCTTGACGAGGTCAAGCCCGCCACGTCGCATGCCTCTGCGTCCGACTGCGCCAAATCCGAAGCCTCAGGATCCGAGGCTGACGGGACAGAAGTCTACTCGGGCTCGGACCAGGACTCGGCATCAGACTCGGACGACGAGCTGTACTCTGCGGGTGCCACGCCACTCTTTGCATCGGCCAAGATTCGCGAGATCACCAGGCTCTTGCAGGCAGAGGCCCACGAGCACAAGTTCATCGTCTTCTCCCAGTTCACGTCCATGCTGGACCTGGTGGAGCCGTTCCTGCACAAGGAGCGCTTCCGCTTCCGGCGCTACGACGGGAGCATGAAGAACGATGAGCGTGAGGAGAGCCTGCGGCGGCTGCGCGAGGACAAGAGCGTCAGGGTCCTCCTGTGCAGCCTCAAGTGCGGCAGCTTGGGCTTGAACCTGACGGCGGCGACGAGGGTCATCATTGTCGAGCCGTTTTGGAATCCGGTGAGTCATGCTCGTGTTCCCTTTTGTTCCAATGGTACTGTGGAGGTGCTACGTGGGCGGTGGATCTCGAGGCTAACACCACCGTGCAGTTTGTCGAGGAACAGGCCATTGACCGCGTCCACCGCCTCAACCAAACCGTCGACGTGACCGTCTACAAGCTCACCGTGTCCGAGACTGTCGAGGAGCGCATCATCGATTTGCAGGAGAAGAAGCGCCTGCTGGCCGAGCAGACCATCGAGGGCGGCGCCAAGAAGAAGGCCGTCAACCTCGGCCTCAAGGAAATCATCGACCTCTTCAGGCCCGGCGGCCACCACGGCGTCGTCGACGAGCGGCCGTGGGAGGACGGTGGCGAGGCCGCCGACGAGCGCGACAGGGCCCGCCAGTCGATGAATATGCTGCGCCGCAAGCCGGCTAGGCAGGAGAATGCCGTCTATGGCCGGAGGTGGTGATTCGCACGTCGAGAGACGGAAGCATGCGTGGCGAAAGGCAAGGGACATGGGACTACGGCTTTTTTCTGGAGGCAGGCGTTGAAAGGGCGGGGGACGCGAGGGGGAATAAAGGCGTTTCGTGGTTTTCGCGGGAACGGGATCTCTGGACAGCGCGACTGGTGCTCGCACAGGGGGTTGCGTACATGGGCAACCGAGGATGGAGCGTCACAGGACGGGTGTCGTGAGAACTTGGCGTGCTCCATTAGACATGACGGCCGCCAGCCAGCCTTGCCGCAGAACAGACAATGAAGAAATGTACCAACAAAGAATATGAACTCATAGCCCGCCACTCCGTCCTTGACGGGTTCACCTTGTGTATATGTCCCTGCCCATCGGCATCACCAAGGCCACAGCAATGTCAATCAGCCGGGGCATTGACGTCTCGTGCTCACAGACCGAGCGCTAGAACAGATTGCTGCTCGAATAATAGACCCATCGTCACCACCCCCCACCCTCTTCTTCACCCCTCGCCGGCCCGCCGCCATCCGGGCTCTTGCCCACGTACACGCTCTCTCGCATGTATGGTAGCCCGGCGCACACTAGCGGTAATAATCGCTCGGCGTCGGCGCACTCGGCGCACTCGGCGCCCCGCCGGGGGGCATGTACGGCTTATACTGCGGCTCTCCGCCAGCAGCCTGGCCGCCGGACATGGCGTGCTGGCGCGCGTCGTACGCCGCGCCGTGGGGCTGCAGCGGCGGCGACGACATGGGGCCGCCGTGCGGGGGCTGTCCCGTCGGGATGGGGGGCGGCGCCTGGTCCGGGGGGTTGAAGCCGTGGTGGTGGTGGTGCTGGTACGAGGGCTGCTGCGCGTACGACGGCGCGCTGGGGTTCGGAGGCTTGCTGTTGGCGTCTTCGGGCGCGTAGGCCTGCTGCCCAGGAGGGTGCTGCTGTTGCGAGGGGAAGCTGGCATTGTGCGGCGCCACGGGCGAGTCGTACACCGAAGTGGCCAGCTCCTGCGCGCCGTACGTGCTTGTCGGGCGCTGCTGGGCGGGTGGCGTCTGGGAGTACGGGGCCGACGGGTTCTGTCCCGGCGGCGGCTGCTGCTGCTGCTGTTGCTGTGAGTAGGGAGCGTAGCCGCCCTGCGGAGGAGGCGACGCGGCCTGCTTTCCGTGCGAGGTGATGCGCGGGGTCTGCTCCCGCAGCGGATACTGCTGAGGCCCGCCCCCCTGCGACGGCACTTCGGATCCAGCGACATAAAAGGGAGCCGGCGTTCCCTGAGACTGGACATTTGGTGGTGAAGAAGCAGAGGCCTGGTAATGCTGTTGCTGGTCTGAGAAAGGGAGAGACCAAAGGATCAGCGAAGGAGACCCGGCCGTTGCGGGACAGGTCAAAACACACCTCCCTGAGGCCCTGGCGGGTAGTAATTTTGCGCGTCATGCGGCGGCTGGCCCTGCATGGGATATCCGCCGGCGGCCGGGGGGTATGCCTGGCCAAGAGGCCCCGGGCGCATGGCGTACTGATGATAATTGTGCTGAGGCGGCTGAGACATGGACGACTCCAGCAAGGTCTCGTAGTCTCTGCGGGCCTTGATGAACTTTTCGTTCAACTGGGTAAAGTCGTCTGGCGGGCGCTTGTTAGCCGTGTCGTCTTGGAAAGAAAGGGGGTCAAGACGCACCCTTTTTCTGAGAGTACTTCTCGATGAGCTTGATCAGCTTGGGCCGTATGGCCAGCGTCTGATGATAGAGCTTCTGCAACCGTTGTTAGGACCATTCTGGCAGCGCTTCTCCAAGGGTAGCAAAAGAGTCGCTCGTCTGCGTACCGAAATCTCCTCATTGTCCTCCTCGCGCGGGGCCGTGTTGGAGGCACTCAGCAGCGTCAGCAGCTTCTCCACGTTCTTGATCTCGGCAAACACCTCGGCCTCCATCTGGGCCTCGCGCTGCAGCTCGTCGGGCGTCGGGTCCGTCAACTTCTCGACGTAGTTGAGCGGGAAGATGCCCGTCTTGCCCTTGAGTGACCCGCGCCACCAGTCCTTGTAGACGCTCTCGAGCACGGCAATGACGTCGCCCTTTTTGAAATCGAGCTCGCCTGCCTCGGACGGCACAAAGTCGTACAGGGCGCGGACCCTGCTAACCGTCGCCGCCGTCGTCCCGGCCGGCACTGCGGGCGTCGGCGCAGAGCCCTGCTGGCTGCTGGGGCCTGCCTGGGAGCCCGAGCTCGCCGGGGCTGCCTTCTTGCGCTCCTCCTCCTGCAGGCTCAGCTTGAGGGCCATCTGAAGCTCGTCGTCCTCCTTCTGTCGGTCTGACTCGGTCAGGCCTTGTTTCTGCGGTGCGCTCGGCGGCTGCAGCGTCGGGTTGTTCTGCTTTAGCCTGTAGTAGCCGTCGTACATGATGCCGAGCTCGGCGTCGCTGCTGAACATGTCGCTCCAGTCCTTCATCTTCTCCAGGATCTTGGCTTTGACCTGGGTGTGGGTGTTGCGATCGCTGGCCAGCTTCAAGAGGGCGTCGGTGAAGGCGCGACTCGAGATTTCGCGATGCATGGGCTTGCCGCAGTTCTGGCACAGGGCGTGGGCGAGCTGGTGATGGTGTCATCGGTCAGTCGGCAGTTCTCCTATCTCTTATGGACTACAGGGGGACAAACCTCGAGAGTGTAGAGTTGCACGTTGGCGTTGCGGTGCGCGAGCCGCTTAATCATGCTCTGGACAGCCTCCTTGGATCCATTCTGATCGCCGGAGACCTTGTCGCACACCTCGATGATGGCCCCCCAGTCCTCCGAGGTGAGGTTCTCGTCGGTCGCCTTGGCTGCGCAAGCGTCAGGAACAACATCGCCATGAATGCTCTTGGGCGAGACTCACCGACGACCTCGTCAAAGGGTCCCGCCGCGGCTGCTCGGAACATGGCTGGCCGTCGTTGCAAGGCTGTCCCTCTCTCTTGCCGCTCTGTCTCTGGCTTCCTCTCGTCTGCTTCAAGGAAGCTCGCTTCGGATTGTGGGAAGTCGGGCGGGTGCAAGTGTGTGTCGGAAGCTGGCCTTGGTGGTGGTGCTGCGGGCTGAGTTGGTTCGAGCGCAAGGCCGAGCACTTAAGTTACGTCGTCATCCGGCTTACTGAGGTGGGAGGGGCTCAGCAGCTCCAGGCTCCACAGGCGAACCATGCGCCACAGCCACCTCACATGAGCTCGCTCATTGACAAGAGAGAGACACCTGCTCGTGGGTTTCACAAGAATATACTATGCCCATTTTATGTTCCAGTCCTCTCTTTTCTAGATTACCTGTACGTCATGTCGCTTCGACGCCTTGCATCGCTCCAATGTGCAGCCTTCGAGAGCCCATCTTGGCCTCCCCATCAACTACTTTTTCGACATCTCATATACAGGAACAGTTTTCGTTGACCAAATCGTAAGACGGGGCGCAGCGGCTGTCCAAGAGAAACTCCCCTTGGCTCGGCATTTCCCCTTCCACATCAGAAGTTGGGGACCTGCCGCGTTGCATGAGATAAAACCAGGCCCCAAACGCCAATCCGATACCACATGCTGGAATCCCTCGAGCCGCCGACCGAAAGGAAATGAGAAGAAATATATGGAGCCGGAAGGCCGTCTCCACTACTCACAGTCTTCATCTTGTCAGTCTTGTGTGTCTGCCTCAAGCAGAAGCAGTGTGTGTGCAACGTGGTTGTGGTGCTCTGACAACTTCGCGAGTCGACGGTCGCCTTACTACCATCCTCGCCGCGTCGTCCCGCGAGGCTCGAATCCACTTCGTTCCGGGTTTGCGTTGCCCCCGCCCCTAGTTTCTTCCAGGCTTCGTCTGCCGTGAGCGTCCATCTCTGACAGATCAAACATCAGCGGCTCGCCGCTGACCGACTCATCGTCCGCTCGCCCCAGCCTGCTCACCGAGCCCGTGAAACTACCCCGTGATGATTGCGGCGGCGTCGGCCTCATCGCCGCCGCCGCTGCCGCCATGCCCGCATAACGGCGTCGCGGGAACGGCGAGCTTGACTGCACAGAAGGCATGAGCCCATCCGGTGGGTTGCCCTCGGTCGACTCTCGCTGCATCACCTCTGCCGAATCCGAGGGCTGGATTTCCGCCGCCGGCTGAAGGCTGCTCTGGGGGCTGTCGCGCGTCGACGGCCTCCTATCCATCTGCATTTGCCTTCCAAGCAAAGTACTCATTGTCGGCGGTTCCCGGTCGTCGGCGCCCAGGCTGATACTTCGATGTGCCGCGAATGCTAAATCGGCATCGTCGTCGTCAATCATGGCTCGGCTCTGCTGAGCCACTGAGCTCGAGCGCCGTTGGTATGATCCTAAGCGTGGCGAGAGGGGGATGTCGATGGCCGTGGTGCCCTCCTGGGTTATGGTGCTCTCCCTGCTTGGTTCCGGCACTGTCGACACCTGCCGACGGCCGCCCCTGGAGACGACTCTGCCAGTCGTGCTGTAGTCAATGATGGAATTCTCGCTGAGTCTAGAAGGAATGGCGGGAGTGTGCGGCGTGTGCGGCGACACCGGCTTGCCGGGAGAAGTCGACGTCGAGACGGATGCCGGCGCCACCATTCCGGGCACGCTCGTCAGCTGGCGGCTGGAGGAGCTCGAAGAGCGGTGCATCTGCATCGACGACGTCATCGAGTCTCCGAGCGCGTTGTTTGAGTCTCTCATAAGGTGGAACTTGGACAGTTGGGCGATGGTCCTGTTGGTGGCAGATTCCCCCCTCTTCGCCGGCTCAAAGCTCTTGAGAGTCTTCTTGCTATCAAGGGCCTTTAGGAAATCCGAAATGTCATCTTCCTCTGCGTGAAGAGAGCCAGAGCTTGCCGGACCCGGCTCCGCGAGAAATCCGGACCCCGGCTGCGCAACAGACGAGGCGAGACTCTGGCGGCCGCTGCTCGACTGTTCCTCATCGCCGCCTTTGCTGGCGCCGCTTCCGGACGGGCGTCCGCGGCGGTGGGAAAAGCTGCTGCTGTATCGGCTGGTCGATGCCGGACGAGGTGACCCGACCGCGGGCGCATCAGGCGTGCTCGCGGGTGGCCCGCCGCGTAGCGAAGCGGGCATTCCAGCTGTCAGGGAGGAGCGGTTTCTAGGCTGCGAGCCAGCAGTCAAACCGACCGGACGGCTCAGCGAATGTGTCGATGCTGGAGACTCTGGATCGAGTGCTCGTGGAATGGGGGACCCAGACAATGATCCAGCTTTGAATGGCTGAAAGGACACCGACGTCCTCCTGGTAGAAAGATCTGCAAGCCGCGCAGGAGCTCTGGAGGAAGACGGACGGCCCGACACGGGCAACGAGTTGGGGCAGTCAATGCCTGGATTGGTGGGAAACGACGCCGGAGGGGAGCTCGTATCTGATCCAGGAGGTCTCACAGCTCTTAAGGCCGAAATGGGGCTCGTACCCACCGGTCCGTCCCCGTGGAAGGTCGACAGGCTTCCATATGTCTGCTGAACCTCGCCCAGGCCGTTACCGCGACGATGTCCACGCAAGGAGCCCACCTCTGCAGTTGGCGCACGCTGCCTCTCTCCGTACGGCGGCAGGGACGGCTTGAAGAAGTTCTCGTCGACTCCCATGAAGCGGGAGCTGAGCAGAGACTCTGAATCGTCGATGCGGAAGGTGCAGTCATTTCGATAAGTGACGGAAGCACTCAGACGGCCGACGGGCACATCGAGATCCCCAAACATGTACTCTGTTACCGGATCCGTGCGCCCATCGATGGATTGCCTCAGCGGGTCGGGACTCGATCGGTCTGGCTCGGATGTGCGGATTCGGCAGCGAGGTATCAGAGCCGGGTGAGAGCTCTTTGCCGCACTATGGCTGGCAAACTTCCATGCGGGCAGTAAACGGGTGGTGACGAATAGGGTCCTGAAGAAGACGATGGCCTTTTTATATACGGTGGGCAAGATAGGGCCGAAGTCGTCTGCGGGGCTGGCACTATCAATGGTCGTCTTCAGCTCGACTCGCCATCTCTCCAAAATCACCTCTGCGTTCTTGCCCCCGGGGCCGGGCGAGTTGCTGCCGCTGGACGACCCCGTAGCATTGAGCTGTTCCATGACGTCCCACCGTTTGCCGTCATCGTCGAGGATGACGAGGCTCTGGTTTTCCTTGAGTCGCGAGGTATCCAGGTAGACCTCGATGACCATCGGGGGAGGACGACTGTCGAGGCTGCCGCACGTCTTCCATATCTTGAGCTCATCTCTAAAGTCGTCGATCTCGTCGGTTTCGATTTGGTACTGCAGCCAAGGACGTTAGTCAAGATGGCAGACGCCGAGGGCTGGGGAGCAAGCCTTACCCATTTGTTCGTCTTTCGTAAGCCGTTGGCGTTGCGGGTGATCTTGACCTTCATGCGCGCATCGAGGACGAGTATGGCAGCCTTGGCGTAGAAGTTCTGCGGCGGTCAGATTATTCTGCACCAGAGCGAGCAGGGCGGGTAGGGGGGCCCATGGGCGGACCTACTTGAACGATTTGATCTAGCTTCTTGATTGATTCAGCAGGAGGCCCGGGAGAGAAGGCCTGCTCGGCCGTCGGAGAGCTCATGAGGTCCCTCGCCGCCACGTTGGAGCCAGCACGCTGAGCGGTTCCAAGCACGGCATCTCTCTGGTTGTTGGTTCGAGTCTGGTTCGTCTGGGGTGACGAGGCCGGCGAGGAGAGCCTCGGGGGCGCTCGAGCTTGCTGATGCATAATGGGTTTGAAGCTCGGTTCTGGTGAAGAGATGGGTCGAGGGGGTGACGGATCGGGTACGGGTTGTCAGGTGCGGACTGGGGTGTCGATCGAGAACCGAACTTGCTCTTCCATCGTCGACAAGTCTATGCTTTGCGTTGGGGGAGGGGGAGGGGGAAGAATGAAGCCAAGGTGAGGATGAAGGAGGGCTCTGCCGTCTCGTATGGCGTCGACCAGCGAAGAGGATGCCGGATGGCGGGAAGAGCTGCGAAGAGGTGGAAAATGTAGGAAGACCGGGGGGGAGGTCAACCCTGCCTGGTGCGTCACGCAGGCGGCAGCCGACCAGGAGCTTGTCCGGGGATTGGCCGCGATCCGCAGTTAAGGCTGACTTCGGGCTGGCAGCCGGGCAACGGCGGCGGCGGCGGCGACGACGACCCCGAGGAAGACAAGGCGACGACGCCGCTGGAGCGAGCACAAGAAGTGTTGCTCGTTGGGGGTTTTTTTTTTGGTTGCACGAGTGCTCGGGCTTTGTCTCCGCCTCGAGGCAAAGGTAACGACGAGGTCAAATGGATATCTCGCTAGCAGCAGTCCAACAAAGGTACGGAGCCGCTTGGGGCCAGCCAAAGGGGTCCTCGTGACGTGCGATGGTTCAGCCGACGAGGCTCGTCATCGGGCTAGAGGTATCACGCAAAGAGAGTTGGGGTTGTCGGCCTCAACCTCTGCGACAAAGAATGATGGGCTGTGGAAAGCATCTAGCGTGCCGTCGGTACGGCAGACGCGGGCGGCTCAGCAGATGGAGTCACCTGTGGGTACACAAGCCCGGGGTATAGGGGACTTGACCGGCCAGGTACCTTCCGAGCCCGGCCCCACCGTACCAAAGCAGGAGCAGCCACTACTGTAGGACTCGGCGATGCATGCGTCTGCTGGCCTTTCTTTGCCCGGCTTCTTTGACGTTCATTTGCTCATGGTTTCCCGCCTCCTCAAGCCTGCCTGGCATGGTAAGTGACTCAGGGTGCTGTCCAGTGGTAGGTGCCTAGGGGGGAGATACCCGGGTACCTCTGGCATCCAAGGCGTGTCTTGCTGAGTCATTAAGTAGACCTGTGCTGCGCTGTCTGTAGGTACCGGTACTGCGCTGTTCAAGGCGTCTTCGGAGCCTGTTTACGAATCACTTGTGCAACAACTTCCCAAGCACAGGACGCTGGCTGACCACACAATGCCAAACCGGCGACGAGTGCTGAGATACCTGCTATCCATGCTACAGTAGGCAGGCACCAAGTGTCCAAAGAGGGTGTCAGTCTTATCATCAAACTCGAGTGCGGAGTCCTTGCCCGCCGGCCCGCCCCCCGCTGTCTGCCTTTCCTTATCTCAATCTCCCCCTTGTCTAGGTTCATCCATCCGGGGGCCACCCAATGGTACTTGCACATGTCGTGCTCTCGCCATCTGCTCACACGACGAGCTCCAACATGGCGACATCCCGCTTCGGAGACATCGGCCACCCTAGGCCGCCGCTGTACACTGTACTCGTCGTAGACAGTGCCTCTTGGTACCCCTGGACGGGCACTATGTCCTGCACGTGCGGCATGTACCTTTGGCGCGTTGGCGCGGCTATCAGACATCAGAGTCTACACCAACAAAAGCCGTTGGGGACGCTTCGTCATCGTCCATTACTCTGCTGGTTGCCTGGCCACGTCCGTCCTCGCCTCAATCACCCCGTGCGTGCATTGGTACACTACTGCAGCGCTCGGCTCATTGGTGATGGCGACGCATCGCAAACTTCCATCATCTCTCCAGGCAGCCAACAACCCTGACTGTTAGCTCGCGTCTTGCTCCGGTCTCTCTTCCCATTCGTCAGACAAACGGAAGCGTCTTTGTGTTTCCCCTCCCTCTACCAAGTACAACCATACTCTTAACTTGTTAACTACTCGCCCGACTGACTGGCTGCCCGATTAACCCGCTCGACCGGCTGCTGCCTCGGCCTACCGTGCCGTTGGCCATATAGACATTTGGCCTGGGGCAAGTGGCAATACTCGTCATGTAAGTTGGCTTACATCACGGTCCAGGTACTCAAGGCCTCTATGCGTCAATATCTGCCGGGAGCCTCCGCACCCCTCCGTCGAGGCTCTCGACTGTCTAGCTCTAGTTACACGATACCATCACCACCCGCGCGCACCAATCAGGCCTTGCTGCCCTTTCCTTTGGCGCTTCTGCCTCGCCGCGAGCCCGCGCCACCGCCTGGCCCCTTTGAACCTTCGCCATCTCCGCTGGCGCCTGAGGGCTCGCCTCCTTTGCTTCTGCTTCCTCGCCCCTTGCGGTCGCGCCTGTTGTTGCCCGGCGGTCCCTTGTCCTGTTTGGCGAGTCTTCTGGCCTCCTCCTCCTGAGCTCGTTGGCTTTCTTGGTCCCACCATTCCTGGAAAGCTTGCTCCTGCTGAATCTCCTGCAGTGATCGCTTGGCCACCGCCTCCTTGACCAACTCTCGCTCGCGCCTCTGTTGCCCGATAATGTCCGCCATGCTTGCTCCCAGCGACGGCTCCGCCTTGCGTGCTGGCGTCATGTAGGATTTGGAATGCGGCACAAGAGGCTTCTTTTGGTCTCGAGCCGATGGCTCTGACGGTGCCGCTGCTGAGTTGCCCATGCGTCCCTGTCCTGGAAACCTGGTGTCAGGCGAGGCTGTCAGTCTCTGAAATAAATGCGGCTCTGCTTCGCAAGTCACGAGCGATTTCGCCTCAACCGCCGCCGCCGCTTCCCCTTGTATTGCCCCAGACGCCAAAGCCTCCTTCAAGGACGTACTCGGAACCGGTGATGCCGCCTTCCACGGCGATGGCCGAGTAGCTGGCGCGACCGTTTCCCACGGAGCTTGTTTGGACTTTTCGACTTGCGCGGTTGCCCCTGCCTCCACCTCGGCCTGCAACTGGATCTGTCTTTTACGCTCCTTCTGCGACATCTTCATCGGCGGCCTGCTGGACGCCGCCACCTCTTTTGCCTGTGCGGCTAGTCCGGCAGTAAGCTCAGACTGAGAGGATGCCTCCGAAATGATGTCCCTAAGATCCAACTTTGATGTTGGTAGCACGGCAGACGCCCAAGGCCCACTGGTCTTCCTCACAGGGGTGCCAAGTGCCGGAGAGCCCATCCCACCCACCTCTTTTCCTCCATGAGCCGAAAGTCGAGGCGGACAAGGGCTCGATGGCGAGGGCCTTCCTACATCTGCGTCGGCCTTGCCTTTGCCACGCCATGATTCTGGCAATCGTGGGACGCCTCCTACGTCGACGTCTTGATGTGGCTCGAAATCCCCCATGTCGGGAGAGAAAGGGCTGTTGGCACCAGAAAAGTCTTCCTCATCCATATTGAACACCATGTCCCCCTGAGACCTCTTTGTATGTAGAGTCGGGCTGGATTGCTCGTTGCGTCCCTGTTTAGAGGTCCGGCGAGATCTTTCAGGGGTCGGCGAGGCAATCGTGCCTTCATCCAAACTTCCACCGCGCATTTTTTGTGATGAGGAAGCCCTCCTATCATCGTCCTTTTGGGCCAGCTTGAAGGCCATCTCTCTCACACGGCGTTGGCGTTCCTCGTTGACATCTATTACCAGGTCGGGATATTTGTTGTGCAGCAACAAGTCGGCCCTCCCACCCCGAGCAATGGGAAACCTCGCCAGTTGATTGTCACGGACAACTTGGTCCAGCTCCTGTAGGAGATCTTGGTCGAGATTGTCGAGAAGGTGATTCTCCAACATGCATTCGAGCTGCAGGCAAATGTATTCTAACCCAGCGTCTTTGAACTCTGTCACTGAGCAGGGGCTGATTTCGTTGAGAAGGTTGGCAATGTTCCGTGTCGTAGCAAACTTGCCGACCATAGACTGGCAGGCCTGAGATAAGCGGTCCAGCATCAGCTCGTTGGCAGCGTCCATTACATCGAGAACGAGCTCCGAGAAGTCGTCGATAGTCGGCATGGCCACGTCGTTAAACATCCCCTCGCCAACATCAGCATAGAGATGTCGCAGGACGTACTGGAACGTGTCCAATCTGATATGCTTCAAATCAACACTGACTTGCTCTAAAGCGGATGATTCACTGCGTCGTTGAGATAACCATTGACCCTGCGATCTTCCTTGGAACAGGCCCTTGAAGAACGGACATCTCTGGCACAGAAGCTGACTGTGCAACGTGACATCTGCTCCGTCGAGCTGGACGGTAACATCACCATCTTCGAAAAACGTAGGGTCGGACACGGCGTCTTTCATGTCGGCATCCAGTGAGGGTCCCACTCCAGTCTGCAATCGGGCGGCTGCTTCAAGCTTGGGCATGTGCAGCCTCGTTGCCATCTTCATAACTTCCGAGCGGACTTGGCGGAACCGGTATGCGTCCGCTGGAGCGTCGCGAGTGTATCGCCACACGGGGATGATTGCATCTTGATATACGTACAGCACCAAGTTCAACATGGTCAAGACCTCCACACCGGTCAGAGTGAGGACGCGCTTCCCGTCTATGAGTTCAACCACAAACGCATCCGAGAGCGTGGTATCGGTCATCCGCCGGCGGGAAGCCGAAAACGCCTCACGCAGAACGGAGCTCCGCCCGGCAAGGATCCAGCCATGCACCGGTATTGAGATGTCTGGTGCTGTCGTACTTCGCACCTCCATATCGATGTCGGCGTGTCGGAAAGAATAAGCCTGCAGATATTGGAGCAGCTCTTGTTCGAGGTTCACAGAGCGCAAAATCTCACGCGACACTGAACCAGGCCTCTCCCTTGCAATTGCAGCGTCCCATGACTTGCGGGAAGCTTTGACATCGCCAGTCGGTTCGGAAGCCTTGAAAGCTCGCAGGCACAGGAGGGAACCAACGTCCTCCCAGAGCGACTGCTTGGCGATGCCAATCTCCTGGGACATGACGCTCTTGTCTCTTCTGACGGCGGCGAACGCCCCAAAGGTGGAGCTCCGCACATTGACGCATCCGGTGATGTAGGGCACCCGTTCAAATTTGAAGTCCTTTTTCTTGATATCCTGGGACGTGGGAAAGCTCGCGGCTTTGCCCTTGACGCGCTTAACCCTCTTCCAGATGGCGCCGGATTCCGTGCACAGGATGACAGACCCGTGCTCGCCGACGCTCACGGAGGTGACACCGTCCTTCCTCGAGTCCCATATGCAATGCGGTTGTGTGACGGCGCCCTTGATCTTGACCGGATTGGTAGTGGAGCCGGCAGGTGGGCTGGTGTCTACCTTGTTGTTCACATGCATGGTGAACAAGTCCCCGCGTGCTGTGATGGCTGCGATCGTTTCACCGCCCGACGTGATGTATTGAATCTCTTTCCACCCGGGGTCATGTCTGCTCAAGAACGAGCTTGCCACCAGGCTGTGGTTGGTGAAAACATCGGGGACTGGAAACTTGACGAGATTATAACCATAGTTGGCAAAAACCCACACAGAGTTGTTCGAGAGCAAGCAAACCGTGGCCTTGTCAATTGCCGAGACCATTTGAATGGGCGCAGAGAGAAGCGATGCTGCCACCTTGCGAGGTGTCTGCTGGACATCAAGCGACCTCGAATCAGCATCCATGAGTGCCAGCTGTCCCAAGTTGCGGCCCCAACAGTATAGCGACGAGCCGGTATGGGCGACAGAGTGAATGGCAGACGCGGCAACGCCTTGAATAATCTCCTTCTTGAGAGTGCCGAAGACTTGACGCGGCGTCACGCTCATGGGCTCCTCGTCAGATCTGGCAGGGGGCGGGAGAGCATAGCCGAGCTGGGAGTCAGAATTGAGACCCCAGGTCCAAAGTTCGCCGTTGCCGGCGACAGCCACGGAATGATTTTGCCCGAGCGCGACCTGTCGTACCTTTCGGTCCGCAAAGGGTCCTAGCACTGGCGCGAACCGGAACTGGGTGTTCTCATGGCCGAGGCCGAGCCTCCCACCCCTTCCGACACCGCACACGTAGAGGTTTGACACGGGGTCGGTGGTCAGAAGGGCGCTATGAAGCTTCGACATGACCACATCTTGGATGACCAAAGGACGATTGCGAAGTAGAGTCGAGATGCTGCTCAGGTCCGGCAGCGAGGGGGGCGATTCCAGGGCCTGATCTTCTAGGTGTGACTCGTAGAAGCGGTATAGGAGCTCGTCCGGTCGTTGGAGCAGGATACGCTCGGGAAATTGACGATCGTCTTCATCGCCAACGCCAAGAGAGAGGTTCTTGTTGCTCCCAAACACGTAGAATTCGCCACCTTCGATCGAGTGCTTGATGCTGTGGGAAACGCTGGCGGTGCTGCGACTTGTCAGATGGCGTCAAGCAAGGGACATGGAACGGAATAGGGGTGGGCACAAACACTTGGGTCGCTTCGTCCTCGGTGTCGCTTCCATCCGATCCACTGTCTGACCTTCTCAACTCTTGCGAATTGGCCAAGGCTCTCGTGGCAATGGTTGAGTTGTACACGTCGAAAGGGCTGTTTCCTTCATGGTCCTTTGTCTTGATGAGCTGGCCAACCTTGCCGATGGATTGAAGCGCAGGATTCGTCAGATCGCTGCGCTCCTTGGCGAGGAGAAGTCGCGCAATGGATATATTCCCAAAGTACAGCGACCTGTGTAGGGCATTCCAGCCGGACTCGGGGTCTTGAGCGTAGAGGTCGATGGACGGGTGCTCGATGAGGGCTTGAACGAAGTCGCAGGCGTTGGGATCGATGGAAGAAGCGGCGCGCAGCAAGACGGTCAGCCCGGCGTGGTCCCGGCTGTTGACTTCGCTTCGGCTCAGGCCGGAGCTGCCGTCCTTGGATCTGGTGTAGCCCGAGGCAAGCACCAGAGCTCTGCGCGACTTTGCGAGCCCGCCAGGACTCGCACCTAGGTATCCTCCACCAGTTCCTGTTGCAGGGCTCTTGGAGGCGGAATGCGAGCCGAGACCGCCCGGGCCCAGCAGACGCCGAAACCTGTCGACATCGTTTTCCCAGTAGTATTTCCACAGCAGATGACTCATGGGCAGGCGCGAGCGACTCTGCTGGGCGCTTGAAATGGCACCTCGCTGTGAGTCTCTGCGGATCACGGCGTGTTTAAAGGTGCGATTTGTAGCGCCGGAGTGCTCAACGACGGCGGCGGGAGCACTCGGCGGACTTGGTTGTATGGCAATGGAGCAACGGTGGTCTGTCGGGGATGCGAAGCGATGCGCGCGTCGATCGGGGGCGAGTCTGGAGCTCGGCTAACGGGGCAGCACGGGGCGGCGTGGGGAGGCGACTGCGACGATGCGATGCGAGATCGAGGTGAAGCACGTGGCGATAATCGAAGCTGTTGCGAGGGTATTTGGTTGGCGCGCGCGAAAGTGGTGAGAGAAGAACGGGCGTTGAGTGAAATGTGGCTTTGGCCTCCGTTCCTGGAACTGTTGAAAGTTAATATGCGCGTGCCGGAATGGATCCTCTGCGGGTGGCGGCGGGGCAGGCTAATCGGCACAAGCTACAGAGTAGGCCTACGGCAGCTGCAGCTTCCAAGCCCCGCGTCAGTATCGATCGATACTGTATTAAGTTACATCCCCCACTTGCAAATCGTCCGTCTTGTTTCGGTGACGAGCAAGGAGGCCAACTCGTAGTTGATACGACTTGATTTCTGGAGCTGGCCCCATGAGGATGAGGACAGACGTCGTCGAGCAAAATGTTCTCTCGGACATCGTCGAATAAAGCTTCTAGTAATCGTCCGGCAGCACAACCACAACATCACGCCTCGCTTCGGCTCTCAGCTTGAATTGCCACAGCTCGTCTATCTACCTATCTTGCCAATCCTGCACTCGCTTTCCTCGTCCTCTCTCCTAGCTTCAGACCCCTTGCACTAACAGGCACAAAAGCAATGCTTCCTCCCTCCTCTACTTTCCTACTATCCTACTACACAAAAACATCGCTGATTGCCTCCTCAGCTGCTCCAGACCTGACGGACACCCGCCCACCACCGTCACTCAATGCGACATGACCGCTCGATAGCAGTCCATACTAAGTTCCACCGAGTACGCCAAGAGGCGATCCTGCGTTAGAGGCAGGTTCAGGATTCGAGAACGGAGTTCCATGTCCTGGTGTCAACATTAGCTTCGCCACCCCGAGACTGCAATCGACAAATGCATACCTTTTTCTTCACAGCCAACTTCAAGAGCTCCCGAGCCGTCTCGTCAGCCATGTCCGACACGGCGGCATACCGCATTAGCTCGCTTTCGCCGACGCCATCGTGCATAGCTCTGAGGCCCGCCAGGAGCTTCTCAAGCAGGGCGGCCGGCGCACCTTCACCCTTGCCACGGTGCAGCACGAGGGTAAGAAAGCTGCTATACATGTCGCCGCCCAGCGACCAATCCGGGATAGAGTCTTGGCGTCCTTCAAACTGGGAAATCAAGGCCGAAAGTGAGACATAGTCGCGCTCGATGATTGCTCGAGGTGCCACCTGCTGGACCAGCACCCGATGAGCTTCCGTGAAAGATCCGGCTCGAAGCAGACAATGGACTTCCGCCGATGCGTCCTTCTTGACGCTACGCATGTACAAAGCCTCCGCTTCCCACAGCCATGTTGCCGGGATCTGGAACTTTTCCGTCAGAATTGCAAACACTGTTCCCGAGTCGGGGCCAACCAGGCCAGCATGTCGGCAGATGTGTTCCCGTATCGCCTTGGTGCGCGCGGTGGCATCCCGAAGGTGAAGTAAGACGAACACGGCCTCAAGCCATTCGCCCGCGGCCGTCAGCTGAGCTGCATAAGTCATTGTCGATGCGTCGGCCTTTGCGGCTTCACCTTGTCCAAAAGATACCTTGCCCGTCGAGACAAGAGCCAGGCCCAGCTGCCAGGAGAGCCGCATGTCGAGTGGGGACAGCTGAGAATTCTCAGGACGCAGTATCGCTTCCAAGTCGGCATGCTCATCGGCGTACAGTTGCAAAAGCCCCCATAGCAGATCTTGACGCCTACTCGCGTCCATGTCGCTCCACAATGGTCTGATGCCCTGCTCATTGTACCACGGTCGGGGAAGATCCTCCCTATCCTGGCCAATGTCCTCCTTGAAGCTCATCACGGCTGCAGCGGCGCTGTCTTGTTGTGCGATGGCGTACCACAGCCTCAGACCAAACGACTGTCTCCAGTCCAATCCAAACTTTTTGGAGATGACGAACGACTCCAAGCGATCCTCGACTGGGACTCCCTTCATTCCCTCGCAAACGCAAGCATTTCCGCTCAAGAGCTCGTAAATGGTGCGAATTGCATCAGAGAATTCAGACAGCATCTTCGCGTCGTACCATGCCCTGAGCTGCTCCTTCATGTCTTTCTTGGCAGCATCGCAGGTGCCTATAAGCGGCACCAGGGTTCCGAGTCGAAGGTTTTTGCCCTCCAACAGGTACTTGCAAGCTTCGGTGATCCGATGACCCGCGAGACACGCGACAACCTTTTCCTCGCAGGTGCCTGCGAGTCCGATGTTTGTCGCAGAGGCCTGCTCAACCAGATCGGCCCAGAATCGCGACAGCCTGGTTTTCCTTGATAGGTGCTCCGTCTCTGCCGAGACTGATGGGCTGGCTCGATCAAAGAGGATGCTTGCCAGCTCCCACACACGCTGTTCATGGAGGTTGGCCGGGTCATTCAAGTCTTCGCGGTGGAATAGATCTTGAAGCGTGGCGGCATGCAGAGTGGCCAGGGGGACTCCGTCGACCAGGCGAATATCGGTCAATTCATCTTGGGCTCTTAGAAACTTTCTCGAAGGCTGCGCGAGTGTTAGAAAATGCATATTTACCGGGAGAAGCTCAAGCAAGTGATTTCGTACCGCTGTAGAGAATTTCCCAAACCTAAGCTCCTGCGTCAGAGTTTGGACGCCCGATCGATGAAGAGCGAGGACGTCCGAAGTGTCGCGAAGCAGTCGGCCCGGTTGCTTAGTGTCCAACGCCCGGGTCAACAACAACGTTTCCCCTGGCCCCCAAGTTGGACGCGATGCGTTGTGGAAAGCTTGCTCGCCTTCGTCAATGATCAGTGTTTTGTCCTGCCGCTCGTAGGGCCACTAGAAAAGAGAGAAAATAGTCAGCACTTGTCGATGTTTGTCGTGCCCCTAAGCGCAGCGACACAAATCAAACCCTCTCCGCGAGTCTTTTTACCTGGGGGAAGCCCTTTGTAGGCAACGAAGCGCCAAGATTCTGTCGCGCAGGCCTAGGCTTCTCAAACAACGAGTTCATCAAGTCGATGCTGGTGGCGAATCCGTGGCCCTTGTCCATTGCCATCTGGCTTCTCGCCGCCAGCCCGCTTGCTCTGTCTGTCTTGGTTGGGCTTTGCCCCCATATGGACGACTTACGAAGTAAATTCCCGTCGTCGTCAAGATTCGCAGGCTCGCCAGTCAACTTGGAAGGCGACTCGTTCAACTCCCTCAGCATCTGACGGTCTCGCTTGACGGGACTGACAGTCTTTCGAAGCATCTCCATCCAGTCGTCACCATCGGCGACCTCGAGCTGCACCGGTCCAACCGAGTCCTTCATCGCTCGCATTCTTGCTCTGAGAATGCCACCAGGAGTGCTTCTCTTGGCTTCCGGGTCATTCTCCGACGAGGCGTCGTCACGCTCCGCGGCATGATGCAGTCCGACAGAAGACCTCGTCATGTCTTCGTCCTCGGACACGTCATATCCGTCGTCCATGTTGCTGTTGTACTCATCGAGGGACAACCGCACGTTGGACGCCGAATCCGCGGAGCTAACCCCTAAAAAAGACTGCTTTCCGGTAACAAGGTCCTGAGTGTAAAGGTCCTCCTGCTGATCAAACGCGCCCGGGACACCCTTGGGATGGTTGAACTCAAAAGTGTCGTCTTCCATGGCAGAGTCTACATTCATGCCGAGGGACGTAGGCTGGGCTGGAGGGGCAGGTTCAGGGCCGCCCGTCACCTGTGGGACTTCTTCCCCGTCCGATTCGTCGTCCGAATCATCCAAGCCATAGGTCGTGAAATGCTCGACGGAGAAGGTCCAGATGCCGGTTTCTTGATTGTACTCCTCAAAAGTGGTGTCGGGTATCCGCTTCAGTCGCTCGACGTGCTTCTTGAAGCGCTTGGGATCGTTGGCCACTTGCTTGTCACGTCCTGCGCGGGGCCACGAGTGCTCGAGAGTGATTCTGGCGGGCACATTGAGACCTTTGCCAACAGGTGGCTTCTTTGCTGGGTTGGGATACACGGTGGCAGACCGAGGTTCGAGTTGAATCACGCCGCCACTGAGCTCGTCGATTTCGATACCGCTTATGTCGACAGGTATCTTGAACTTGATGAAGCCAACGTTCGCGCGGCCGATGGTGAAACCGTCGATTCTCTGTCGCTGCATTCTGTTCATGTTGAGAAGCTCCTCCTTACTTGGTACCATCCAGTAGTTTCCAGGGGCGTTGTCGAGCCCGACGGCGGTTTGCGCCTCCGGAGTGGCGGTACTGTCCTCTTCATGAACAATAGCCAGCTCGTTGCCCTTGACTTGTTCGGTCTCCGGAGTCTTCGATCCGTTCGCGAGGACAGAGGGCCGATTCTGGCGTGGAGTAGACTCGTCGGTCTGAGAGCCTGGCGTTCCCTCTGGAGCCGGAAGCGCGTTTCGCACGGGGGTCTCGTCCTCAGCCTCAACATTGCTTGTGTCGAAGCTGACACGCTTGGATAGCTTGCGGGCGCTCGAGTTGCCATCAACAGCTTGCCTGTCTTTCTGAGGTGTGGAAAACAGATCGCTCCTGATGTCTCTGTTTATGACCAGCTTCTTCGATCCGGTGCTTCCATACCAGCGGGCGTTTGAGCTGGACGAAAAGGCCCCGGGCGCAAGAATGCTATCTTCTGTGTTGAAGCTGCGACGAAGGTTATTCGTCGACATGCTCTTGCTCAGAGTGCCGGCGGAGCTGGGGCCAAGTAGGTTGCGACCGAGCGCACCAGGCGTACTGGAGATGCTGCTGGCGGGGCTGGCACCTGGGGTGCCGTACGAACTGTACGAGAAGCCGAAGCCTCGTTTTTGAGGAGTGGCGAATCGAGACGCCGCAGCTGGAGCGAGCTTGTACATTGGTAGGATGGAGCTCCTCCGCGGCTTCGGGTTACCGCTCAAAGGAGTGGCGAGGGGTCCAGGGTTAGAGACCTCATTACCGCTCACCCCAGCAAACAGAGACGGGCTGCCATAGGCCGACACATCATTGAGGTTTGCCGTAAGCCCTTGTGGGGCGTTGCCGCCCTGCTGCGAGCTTCCGAGCAAGGAACCGCCGAACCCAGAGGCTTGAGTCTGCTGCTGGTTCGGGTTGTTTCCAAAGAGCGAGCCGCCTTGGTTCTGAGTGCTCTGGCCCCCAAATAGACTCGGCGTCGAGGTTTGATTGGTGCTGCCGAAGAGACCGCCGGGCTTTTGCTGGGCATTGTTCGTCGCGCCGAACAATGAAGAACCGGCTGCCTGCTGGTTTGGAGCATTTGAACCCAGTCCCCCAAACATTCCCGCGCCTCCAGCGTTATTGGCCTGACCAGTGTTGGCGCCACCAAACAGACTGTTGCCAGTGCTGGGCTTTGATGCGCCAAAAAGTCCACCCGCAGCTGGTGTGGTGGTATTAGTCCCAAAGGCGCCCGTTGCTGGTTGCTGGTTGTTGGTGTTCCCGAAGACACCGCCAGAAGCTGGATTGGCGTTGCTCGAGCCGAACAGACCTCCCGAAGCGGATTTCTGCTGGTTGTTGCCGAACAAGCCCCCACTCTGCTGATTCGTGTTCTGGGTGCCGAAGCCGGCTCCGAAGCCAGAGCCGGCGTTTTGTTGCGGTTGCTGGTTGTTGCCAAAGAGACCTCCGCCCGACTGCTGGGTGTTGTTTGTGCCGCCAAACAGGCCAGATCCTGTAGTGTTGCTCGCTGCTCCAAAAGCACCTCCGGAGGTGGCTCCAAATCCAGATGGGGCGTTGTTGGCATTGGTATTGCCGAAGCTGAATCCACTTCCCTGAGGCTTGTTGGCCTGATTATTCGAGCCGAAAAGACCACCGGTGGCAGCGTTGTTCGTAGCACCAAAGGTACTTGTGTTGTTCGTCGCGCCGAATCCTCCCCCGGAGCCAGATCCGAAAAGGCCACCGCTCTGCTGGTTCGCGGTGTTACCAAACAAACCACCACTCGGCTTGTTGTTGCCGCCAAAGAGACCGCCGGACGTGTTACTGGCATTGCCACCAAAAGCGCTGGCACCAGTCTGTCCAAACCCAGCGGTGGTAGTGTTGTTGGCGTTGCCGGATCCAAAGAGCCCGCCGGTCGTGGCGGGGGCCGCGTTTGACGCTCCTCCAAAGGCGCTTGGAGTCTGGTTATTCGTCGAGCCGAAGCCTCCTCCGAAGCCAGAGCTTACGCCAAAGGCACCGGCTCCGCTGGCATTTCCATGGCGACGCCCTTGCACGTAGTCTGCCAATCTCAACTCCTCGGCCGACCATTTCCGATATGGGTCCTGGAACAAGATGTTTTGGAACGAATTAGACTGGTTCGTGCTGTTGGGCTCCTTTTCGGTCAAGGCCTGGAAAGGCGTCGTCGCGGTGCCGGGTGGATCGCCAACTCCGCCTCCCAGGCCGGGGTTGTTTGCGGCACCAAAGCCGCCGCCGCCGAAGCCGCTGCCGGAGCTTGCAGCACCGCCGCCGAAGAGTGACGAGCCGGTGTTGCTCGTGGCGCCGAAGCCTGTCTTGTTGGCGTTGCTGGCGAACATGCTGCCGCCTGCAGTATTGCCGCCGCCAAAGGGGGACGAGGTGGTGGTATTGTTGGCGGGGGTGGTGCCAAATCCACCGAAACCTGTGGTGCTGGCATTGTTGGTGTTGGAAGAGCCAAGAAACCCGCCGGGGGCTGTGGTGCTGGATCCAAAAGCAGGCTTGCTACCAAAGCCACTAGCGGTGGTGTTTGCACCGAATCCTGCTACATCCATGTCAGTAAAGACTCGTCACACGGGTAGAGCAAACCGAAGAGAAATGGGAACGCAAGGCGCAGGGAGAGAGATACCTGATGAAGAGCCGCCGAAGCCTGGGGCATTGGCGTTACCTCCAAACATACCGCCTCCTGTGTTGGCGCTTTGACCAAAACCGCCGCTGGCATTGGTCGAACCAAAGCCTAGAGATGGCCATGTTAGCATAGCTCTTGTGCGCAGGGCTGTCTCAGCAGTACCTGAAGCTGCGTTATTGTTTGCGCCGAACCCGCCAAACCCACTCGATGTCTGGTTGTTGTTTGAGCCGAAGCCCCCGAAGCCGCCGCTACCAAACGACATGATGCCGGAAGGCTGCGGCTTACGGGATTCGAGGCTGCAGTTTGCCTAAACTCGACGTAGCTCGTCGCGTGGTCGTGGACGCTGGGTCGCAAACGCGATCGTCTGGGCGAGCTAAAAGTCGGCAAGTCCGTACATGTGCCTGAGCTGCTTGGGTGCGGTCCGGTATCTCGTCAAGGGGGAAGAAGGCTCTGCGTGTCGCGGCCACACCGAGCGGAGAGTCCGTTGTCGCCGAAGCTGCAGACGGTCAAGAGCCAAGGCGGCGCACGAGAGGAAGGGAGAGAAAAGAGGGGGCTGGAAGGTGGACAAGACTTGAGTTGAACAGCGCGAGAGACCGACACTTGCTGACGAGCGTTGATGTGGCGCGCCCCTTTTCCACCTCGAGACAGCAATGGAGGAACAGCGAAGGCGAGAGGTCAAGCCAGCTGCTAGTATTTTTTCGTCTCGCGGATGACTCCGAGAGCTGGGTTGCTGCCTCAGACCAAAAGATTCCCCGTACCCAATTGGTGCGCCCTGGTGCTGACTAAACTGACCCCCAATGGGCGACGGGAGTACGGGGGATACCCGTGAATCAAGTCTCCGCTGCAGGTGCACAGGGTGAGTCAGATACCGAGCCGCCAGGTACTCTGATCTCAGTGAGCTCTCAACAGCATGCAGCAAGCCGGAGGCGCGTCGAGACCCGCCCCGTCGCGTCGCATTTTCCCTCCCATCGACTGTCGCAGTCACAATAGCCAGCCAACGAAAGCTTCGGTTAAGTCGCGTGCGCTCGCAAAAGAACAATAGCCAAGGGGCTTATTGCTCTCTGCTCTCGGATTCCGCTCAGCTCTTCCTGCTGCCGCTGGGACCCCATCCTCTTTGGATACATCTTCACTTTCGAGCTTCAAATTCACGCCCGTCACGCAACTCGAATCCTCTTCGCCCACCATGAACGCCCACACAACGCCGCGCCCTTTCCCCATGCGCTCAATCGCCGGCGCCTCTAGCCAACAGCATCAGCAGAGACAGCCTCCGGCGCCACAAGTCTCATCCAATGAAGAGTACGGCGCAATTGCCGAGGAGGACCGGGAACACATTGACGAAGTCGTGAGTCGCCTGCTGGTCGGCCGTCGCACCCAGACTCACTCTCATGCACAGTTTGACTTGATGGACATGAAGAAGAAAGGATGGCTCAACAGCTACGAGTTCAAGCACTCCTTGGCAGCTCTGGGGTTCGACTTGCCCAAGCCCGAATACTTCAGAGAGCTCGAGACGTACGGCTCCGTGCCGCCCGACTGGCGTGATCCGCACAGCTGCCCCGTCAACCGCCTACACATATACCTCGACCAGTTCAGGCTGTGCGCCGCAAAGCTCATCGCAAACCGAGATCCCCGAGAAGAGGCCACCAAGGTCTTCAACATGTTCGACTACGACCAAGACGGCATCATTTCCTTCGACGACATGCGGCATCTGGCCCAAGACATCAAGGAAGATCGCGTGCTATCCGAGGAGGAGATTCAGGGCATGATAGAGCATCTTGACCATGACGGCAAAGGTGGCGTCAATCTCGACGAATTCATCCAGATGATGGAGGAGGCCGGATAAAGAGACGGTGTCCAGCGGCATACTGTTGCAACATCACCGAACGTTCCAACAACCTTGCGTCACAGCAGGCGCCCGCGTCGGCCATGTTGAGACGTGTCCGGCCCCATTCAGCTGATCGCATCAACAGGCCCCTGGTAATGCTCGCCGGCCAGAGGCGCCTTGGTTCTACTGCATCATGGGCAAAACTCGCCTACATTTGCTCTCGATACCTTCAACACGGACTCGTCTCAAGGCTTGGCCGAGAGCGGTCAGTAAGGTAGAGCCAAAAGACACGGGCAGAATTGGATCAACTGCGACTAGGAGTAGAGTTACGAGGAGACGGCGTGGCTACGATACCCATGAGGAGGGAGCTTGGAAAATGTTGATTAAGATGAATCAGATCTAGGTCTTTGCATGCGGAAGACGCTCAGTATACATAGCCTCCGGTATGGCGCGTGTAATAAGAGGGTCTCAAGCCTCGACTCGATCGTATCCATTCCATATCCTCCAAATGACAATGAAGCAGAAAAAAACGGGGGATGCAGAGCAGTCGGCCGACAAAAGAAGAACCACTCCGCATCACATTGAACCTGGTGATTTTGAACCGGAGAAAACTAAAAGTGCTGGTGGTCGAGCAAGCGAGATGGGGGCAAGGGGTATGGAGACTCGTCAACGGGCTCTACGACTCGCCGGTCGAAGATCACGCCTTCAATCAGAACTGGATAAGATCTTGGTTTTGAGACTGCTGCTGCGGTCGCTGAGCCCCAAAGGGATTGCTGCCGCCCGGGCCGGTCGCATTCGGAGCTTGGCCGCCATAGCTGATGCTTGGCATGCCGGTGAACTGCTGCCTCATAAAAGGGTTGTTGCCAGTAGCATCCGCGTTGAGCCGCTGAATGCCCGATCCAGCACTGTTCGCGAAAGTCCCGGGGGCGGTATGCTGGGCGGGGATTCGGAGATCGCCAGTATTGCCGTATGTATCCATGCCGTCACCAGTGGCAAGCAGGGAGTTGAGCTTGGACTCGTAATCGCTCATGTTCTTCTGCGGCGGATTGAAAGGCTGCGGCTGCTGGGACTGCAGCTGCTGCGGTTGCTGAGGCTGGCTGAATAGTGCCAGCGGCTTCTGCTCGGGCAAGGGGCTGAGTGAAGTTGCTGCGGGCTTAGCTGACGCGGGCCGGTTGAACTGGGCAAACGGGTTGTTGGACCCGGTGGGCGTTGGCTTCAGGGGCTGCTGCTGAGGCTTGTTGGTGGCCCAGGGGTTATTGCTACCCGGGTGGAGGGCGGGCTCGGACGGAGGCGCGGACTGGACCGGCAGTTGCTGCTGCTGCTGGGCATACGGATTGAACCCGGTCGGTTGCGGCTGGAATGGCTGCATGCCCTGCTGGCCGTAGGGATCCATTCCCATGCCAAAGTTGGCATTGTAATTGGGTTGAAAGCCGGTTGGCTGGGGCTGTTGGAAACCGGTGTAGGCGTTTCCGAGGTATCCAGTGGGCTGCGGCTGCATTTGGCTCTGGTCAATAGGATTGGCGAAGAAGTCAACGGGGTTGCCCTGTTGATATCCCTGGTTGAAGCCGGTGAACTGTGGCTGGGGGTTCTGGGCGGGTCCATCGTCGAAGAGGGACGTTGCGTTGCTTTCTTCCAACTCCCGGCGCCTCCTCTCATCTTCTTCCCTGCTGAGCTTGATGGCCTTTGCCAAATCATCGTCGTCATCGTCGTCTTGCCGGCTTTCTCTTTTTTTCCTGTCTTCTTCTTCCTGATGCTTGCTCGCTTCGAGGGCCAATCGGTACTCGGCATCCTCTTCCTCATTCATCGGCCGCCTTTCTCGGGGTCGCCGCGGCTGCGAAGGCTCGGCAAACTGTGGGGCGTAATCCTCCAGACCGGACACCCGAGACTTCCACGATCGCCTGTCGCTTCGTTCGGCGCGAAGTCGTTCTTCGTCGACGATCAAAGACGTAAGTTCTTTGGCAGCAACCCGCACTGGACGATATTAGCAGGACAATTCGGAGAGGCGCAACCATGGCAGAGCGGAGATGAAAGGGGCTCACCGTTCTGGCCCACGTCTCGGCCATCCTCGTCGATGTATTGAAATTCGCGCAGCGTCTTGATGATATAAATGCTTTGGCGAGACCAGGTGACGACCAGCTCCGAGCCCTCGTGCAGGCAGTAATCCAAGACCTTCAAGGCCTTGAGGACGTGTCGCCAGTTCTTACCCTTGTCATTCAAGCGCTTGTCGAGCATGTCCATGATGTCGTAGAACTCGGTCGACCTATGCGCAGCGCCCGCAGCGCGGCCCGGTCAGTGTTGCCGTGAAGCGCCAAACGATGGCCACGTACGTGTTGAATGTCATCTGCGCGATTTCGCTCATCTGCGTCCCTGACCTGGAGGCTCGCTGTCAGCGGGAGTTTCGAGGTGATGGTCGGCGGGCTGGGAGAAGCATTACGGGCCCCACGGCGAGTTAGACGTGGCTTTTCAACGTTAGTATCGTGGTCAAGATGCTCGTGGCGACTTGACCCACCTTCTCGGACCTTGACCTGGGTACTGGAGTAGCCCTTGGTCACATTCTTGACGCTTCGCATGACCCTGGACATGATGGCGACTGCGGGGCTCGAGAGCCGGAGGAGCTGAAAAGGGAAAAGTCGGGCTCGGCTTCGAGAGTTGCGCTTGCGATGCGACGGCCAGGGAGCGAAGCCGACAGCGATGCTAACCCGAGCCCACAAGGGTTGCCGCAACGCTGCGCCTGGATGATGCGCGGATCGGGCGGCTGCGGCTGCTTTGTCGAGGTCAAGCAAGGTCAAGCAAGGGGCGATGGCGCCTCTGTGAGCGAAAGCAAGCCTGCCTTGAGAGTGTGTGGAGGGTAAAGCAGAAGATGAGGATCGCTGGCTGCTCTGTGTCGGAGATGAATGTTGAGGATGAACGGAGGCAGTTCATTACGTACCCGGGGGGGCGTGGAGGATTACATAAGCCGCGCCATCGGCAGTGCTCCGCCACACAACGTCACATCACCCACCGGAGACGGGCATTGGACATCGGCTTAAGTGATAACTCGACGTTACACTGCCCGCCTGCCATTTTGATAGCTCCTCGCCGCACTGCCCGTTTTCCATTTTGAAAGCTCCTCGCCGCATTGCCCGTTCGCCATTTTGATAGCTCCTAGCTTGCTCCCCTTTCCTCTGCCAACGCCTCACTCTCGCACTGCCATCCTCCACCCGTCCAGTCAACCCAGCTCATTGCCGTCGCTCGTCAGATCGATGATAGTGTCTGGCTCATTGCTCACGAACAACCCACTTTCCTCGCTCTCAATCGACTCGATAAGCCGCTCTCGTCCAAACGCGGGCGGCGATCCCGCCCTGTCGATGGCGTCATCGTACTGGATGCCACCCATTGCATCTCCGACGAACAAGGAGCTCTCTTCATTCGAGTTCCGTTCGCGATGGCGCCCGCCGCCGCTGCCGCTCGTTGACCGCCTCATGCTTCCATAGTCACCGTCACCTGTGAGATCATTGATTCCAGACATCCGTACGTCCGCTGCGTCATCAGTCAGATCGATGATTTCAGACGTCCGTCCGTCCGCTGCGTCGGCCAAGCGTTTGTCGTCAATATTGGAACTTGCTTCGGCTTTAACTTGCGCCGGTACTTCGGTATCGTCGGACATGGATTCGTCTGAATCTGAATCTGAGCTCGAATCCAAGACCATCGGCTCTTCGGACGAACCAGGGTTAAGATCCAAACTCGAGTTGTCCAGCTCATCACCCGACTCGGAACCCTCAGCGTCCGCAACACGGCCCGGCTCAGGCTCGAGTACAGCAACACCGATCGCCTCAAGGCACTTCCAGACTTCCTCGGGAGGATCATATCCAGGAATCAACGGTGAGAGGTTTCTGAGCCTCGACCGAACGTAGTGTTCGAGCTGCTTCTCCTGCTGGACCGCCGAACGAATTGACTCCACAAAGCCCGAATCCCGGATGGATACCTTCTTCTTGCGCCAGGTAAGCCACTGGTCATAGTCAAAGAACTGCACCCGCTGAAGTCCGCGCAGACAATAGACATAATCCAACCCCTGCAGGCAATGGAGATTCCGGTTACCCCGGTAGTTCGGCTGAGCCTCTGTCATCAACTTTGCGTAGCGAACGACTCCACGGGTTTCGTGACGGCGACGCATATGATTTTTTGCAGTCTCTCGCACGTAAACTGTCAGTTCGCGTAGGCGTAAACACTGCGGCAAGTTCATGAGTGGCTGGGTCCTTCTCGAAACGTACTTGCCCCGTTCGTGTGACGGTACAAGTGCACGAACAAGGTCGGGTGCGACTTGGGTAAAGTGATTGTCTACGAAGAGAGAAGGAGGTTCCTAAGGAAGACTCTGACTTTCGCTATTTACATGAATCAAAGTGAGACATTTCATAAAGTATGAAAGTCACATGATCGTTCCTCACACATGGGCCTCCCTTACTCCATCGCTTCTGATTCTTCCACGTCTTGCTGAGCCTGTAGGCGAGCATTTTGCACTTCTTGTTTCGTGGGTCTGGGTTTGTTTTGCTGTGCTTCTCGAAGTCTCTGATGGCGATGTGAGCGTTGACGACGTTCTGTAGTGGTTCCCATGTTGCCTGCTCAAGGTCGAAGCCTCTCCATAGTATATGGTACTGGAAGCCTTTCTGTTTTGTGCGTTTCGAGTCCAGTATTGCTTCAATCGCCCAGAGTTTCTCCCCTTTGCATCTAGCGTTATTGGTGGGGCGGTGTGTTGTATTGGCCGGGGAGCGGGTCGTTTGGTGACGGTCGTAGGAGGTTGGCGTGGAATGAATTGTGAATTGAGTCTAATTCATGTGGCAACTTCAGTTGGTAGGAGTGAGGGTTGAGCACGCGCTCGATTCGAAAAGGGCCAATGAACTTATGATCTAGTTTGGGGATGGGTCTGGTCGAATCGATGTTGCGTGTGCTAAGTAGCACCATGTCTCCAACTCGGTACGCTGGCGCCGGTGATCTATTTGCGTTGGCGAACTGTTCTTGTGAGGCTTGAGCTGAGAGCAGGTTTGTCCGAAGTAGATCAGTGATTTCTTGCATCTTGGCGACAAATTCGTTCCCCTCGTTGCAGCGTTCTGCCAGGTCTTTGGATGCCGCGAGTGGTATTGCGCGAGGGGGACCAAAGCTCATTCGGGGGTGGTAGCCTGTGTTCGCAAAAAATGGAGACATTCCCGTTGAATCGCTAACAACGTTACGGGCTGCGAATTCGGCCAATGGGAGCCACTCGTCCCAGTCGTCCTGAGCAAAGCTAACATACTGGCGAAGGTATTGTTCGAGAAATGAGTTAGCGTTTTCCGTCTGGCCGTCAGTTTCGGGGTGATATGCTGTGGAGAGGCTGATATTGATCTGTAGGCGGTGGCAAACCGCTTTCCAGAATTCCGAGACAAACAGTGGTCCTCTATCAGATACGATTGAATCCGGTAGTCCATGGAGTTTCCAGACATCTCGTACGAAGAGCGTTGCCAAGTCATGTGCTTTCATGTCGGTCTTGCAAGGCGTGAAATGTCTGTCCTTTGACAGCCTATCGACTACCACCATGATTGCGTTGAATCCACGAGCTGTGCGCTGAATTGGGCCAATGAAGTCAACGGACAAGTCCTCCATCTTTGCAAGGGAACTGGGAGCGGTTTCAACGTCCCCTGGTACCGTAACCGGGAGGTCTTGTTCCTCAGGCATCCGTGGCAATTGCGTGTGAATTGTTTCGTATCGGCGCTAAGCCTTGGCCACCAATAAGAGCGTGAAATGAGTTCGTATAGCTTGTTTTTCCGGGTGGCCTGATTCGACGCTGTCGTGGGCGAGTTGAGTGAGAAGGGTCCGTAGTTCGCCTGCGGGTACGTATAGCCTCTCTCGGAAATATAATCGGCCTTCGTTTATCATGCATTCCGATAGAGAACTTCCTTCGAGTGAGGAGTGCCATGGGGTTTGAGCATCTCGTCCCTGATTTTCATCCACCATTCGTCCTCCTCATAGCCCTTGTCTAGAAGTCTTGTGATTCTGTGGTTGATTGGTTCTGGCTGAATTTCGTCAAGAATGGCGGGACATAGTGCAATTTCTTGTTCCCAGGAGAGATTGGCAAAGAGTTCTGAGAGCTCGGGGTCAAGCTTTAGTTGTTCTTGTACGGAGGAGTCTACGTTGCAAGGCTTAAGCAGCGACTGTTGTTGGTACTGGATGCGGTCGTCATTTTCATCTTTCGGCAAGTCTTGTGATCTTCGTGTGAGTGAGTCAGGTTTTCCGTTCTCTTTCCCAGGCACTGACTTGATAGCGAATTGGAACTGTGATAGAATTCGCTCCACCTGACTTGTCGTCTTGAAAGTTGCTTGGTTGTCATGAAATATCGAAGGTTGGCATGGTCAGTGATGACTGTAATCTGGTGGTGCGTGCCTTGGAGTTCGGGTCTCCAGCATTCGAAGCAGCGTACAATAGCCAAAAGTTCTTTGTCATAGATCTCGTAATTGCACTCAGCGGGGTCGTACTTCTTGGACATGAAAGCCACTGGGTGTAGCACTCCTTGATCATCTTCCTGGGAGAGGATGCCCGAAGAGACAAAATCGGATGCGTCGCATTCGACAAACACTTCTCTTGCGGGTCGAAGTGTCTGAGGATTGGCGCTGAAGTGAAGCTATTTTTGAGCATATCGAATGCTTCTTGGCACGATGAAGTCCAGTTCCATTTGACTAGTTTCCGTGTCAGGGCAACAAGTGGTCGTACGATGCGTGAAAATCCCTTGATGAACCGTCTGTAGAAATTGAGAATCCTAAGAAGGCTTGAACATCTTTGACGTTGATAGGGGCCTCCCAGTTGATGAGACAGTCGACTTTCTCTGGGTCCATCCGTACTCCAGTGGTTGAGATGATCATGCCCAGATATTTAACTTCAGTAGTCTCAAATTCGCATTTCTTGACGTCAAGTTGTAGGCCTGCGGCTTCAAGTGCTTGAAGTACTGATTTGACGTGGAGTCTGTGGGTGGCGAGGTCGTCTGAGTAGATGAGAATGTCGTCGATGTAGGCTGTGCAATATCTATCAAGGAATGGGCGTAAGACTTCGTTGATTCGAGCTTGAAAGGTAGCTGGGGCGTTTGATAGTCCAAAAGGCATCACCATGCTCGAAGAGACCATATCTTGTGTTGAACGCCGTCATCCACTCCTGACCCTCCTTGATGCGTATTCGATTGAACGCTGCGACGACATCGAGTTTGGTGAAATACTTGGCTTGGCTTAGCTGAGAAAGTGTCTCCTGGATTAACGGTAGCGGGTAGCGGTTCTTGATGGTTATCGCGTTAAGAGCTCGGTAGTCCACGCAAAAACGAAGGCCCCTCCTGGCTTCTTTGAATAACACCGGCGAGGCCGCCGGTGAGGTGCTAGCGCGTATAAAACCCTTGTCAAGGTTTTCCTGAAGGAATTTCCGGAGGACGAGAAGTTCGTCTTGGGACATCCCGTACAGAGGTCCATGTGGTGGAGTCGTTCCAGGTTGAAGTTCAATTTCGTGGTCGCAGTCTCGGTGTGGGGGGAGTTTATCCGCCTCTGATTGGTCGAATGCCTTCAAGAATTCATGGTAGTGTTGTGGTACTTTTGTTGCAGGATCGATCAAAGTCTTGGGTTCGAGGGCTTTGTGAATGTCTTCGAGTGATGCCCTGAAAGGTACATATCGGCTGCTATTTTCCGGGAAGCTCGGAGTTCCTGTGTTTGTTGGTCCTTGGGGTTAAGGGAGGTGATTCCGTCCTGTAGCTGGAGCTCTCGGTTCATCTTGTCCATGTCTGTGAGTGCAGAGTCGAATCGGACCCGTCGGCGTGTTTTAGGTTCTACGAAGGTGGAGGCTTCTGTGATGACCCCAAGTTCAGCCAGCCTTTTGTCGATCTCATACAGTGATAATGAGAATACGTCGACGTCGCGGTTTTTGGTCAGCATGTGGAACAGGCTGCGCCGACTCTTCGGGGATTGATGGGCGTGGCAGTATAGTCGTGGTTGCAGAACTTGACAAAGAGGGAGCTCCAGAAACAGGCAGTTGGTATTGTCCTTTCTCCATGCAGTATTTGCGGCAGTGATCAGAGTTGAAAGTGACCACATTCGTGCTCCAATTGACGATTGGGTTGTGATCTGTTAGCCAGGGTTTTCCAAGTATGACATTATACTTCCCAAGCTTCGTTACGTAAAAAAGCATCTTCTCCTTGTGTCCCTTGATGTCCATGTTGAGCTTCACCACATGAGTGATGTCGCCAGCCGAGGAGGGTCTTCCATCGACTACGTTCAGCCGGCGACGGTTTCGTAATTCATAAAGCGTGAGTTTGTTGGTGTGCGCGAAGGATTCGTCTATAAACCCCTTCCGGTGGCACCTGAGTCAAGCATTGCTTCGGTTTTAATCGGAGTGGAATTGTCTTCGATTAGGTTACAAGGCAGTAGCAAATGAGCTTGGTTGGTGTCCAGAGAAGAGAGCAGATCGCCCTTTTCTTGCGTCTCCTGCGGCGACTTCCGTCGGAGACTACACTTTTCCGTCCTCCATGGTGCGGTGTCGCAATTGAGGAACGATGTTTGCCCGAGCTGCACCAATGGCAGAGTCCATGCGTTGTGCAATAGGCTCTGCGTGCCGCTCTCTGCTTCCGTTTGGGGTCTACGACCAGAGGCGACATCTTTGGCCCCAGGTGATGACGCTCAAATCCATTGAATCCCCGCCGTTAGAGGTCGTCGATTGTGGCGTGGTGGAGGGTTGTAAGGTTGCTTTGTGACTTGCTGAGTTGTCGGTGTTTTTCTTGAAGTAATTGGCATTGACTTGACGGCATTCGTTATCGCAGATACGGACAAGGTCCATAAATTGACTAAGTTCGGTAGGTGTATCTTTGCCCTTAGTGAGAGAAAGTCTCCAGATAACGTTGTCGTGGAGGGCACGTCGGAGGTGAGCAATGAGCGCCCCACTATCCCACTCGGTGAGCTTGGCGACGGCATACCATTCGGGAGGAATGTCGTAAGGGATCTATGGCCTTGTTTCATGTCAAAGATTTTGAGTTGGGCGGTAGCTTTAGCGTCAATATCCCCGAAGGCTGACTGAAGGGTGCTTTTATGGCATTGACATCGTCGAAGAGAACCACCCCATCTTTAATGTTGTAGCGGACTTGGTCATGTGCTTTGCCTTTAAGGCATGAGACGACATATCCCATACGTTGAGGTTCCGAGTTCCACCAATCTTTATTCATTTCGAGCTTCAACTCGAGGTGCTGGAGGAAATTCGGCAGAAGCGTGGGGTCCTCTCCGGTGAAGGCCTCAGGATCAGGGTGTTCTGGTGTGCGGTGTGAAGCTCCTTTGACTGAATGATCTTTAGGTATGCTTCATTTTCTGCCATAAGACGGGCGATCGTTGCGTCTCCATCACTTTTAGAAATGAGCGTGTTTTCTAGGCGGGTTTGGAGGTCCTCCATGTCCCTTATTGTCGTCGTGGTCGAGGCACGTAGTGAATCGATTACCGCTTGCATACTGTATGCGGCATTGCATACGAGGAAGACTTCTTTCATGAGACCGGCTGGGTTAGCAACAAAGGCATTTCGGAACGTTTCATTGGTATTGCTGGCGTTGAGGAGGGGCAGGGGGCACTGATCGACGGGTGTGGGGCAGCGGTAGCCATTGGGTTGTTGACGGTGTGGTGGTTTAGGTGAGAATTTGGTTGCAGGGTGTTTTGGTGAGGTTTGAAAGCGACAAGTGCGGTTTAGAACTATCGAAATCAATAGTCACGTCGCGGACGGTGATCTATTGAGGAGGGTAGTTGGTAGACAATATGTGACGGTACAAGTGCACGAACAAGGTCGGTGCGACTTGGGTAAAGTGATTGTCTACGAAGAGAGAAGGAGGTTCCTAAGGAAGACTCTGACTTTCGCTATTTACATGAATCAAAGTGAGACATTTCATAAAGTATGAAAGTCACATGATCGTTCCCTCACAGTTCGTTGATGGGGTAAGTCAAAAGCTGGGACCCGATCCAGAAGATCTCGATTCTGGAGAGCAGGGCGATCTTAGGACCTATGCCCGCCATAAATCTGCCGAGCTCACCTATAGATGAGAAGACAAACTGGTTCGTGTAAAACAGGTTACTCCCGATTGTATGCCATGCCCGACTGACGAGGAGCGGTGCCAGCAGCTCGTTGGGGCGCAACGCCGAATACGTAAGACTGCAGGGTCTGGAGCCAACGTGAAACCTCCGCAGGTAGGTCAAGGCGCCCGAGCGATCGCGCGGCAACTCTTGAGATGTCATGGGCTCGACATAAGGGTCCAGGCGCGTAACCACATGCACCATCTGGTCGAAGAGAAGTGCGTATTGAAGCACACGAGCTTCGATCGCCAGCCCTAGACGTTTGATCGGGCCAGTACCGACCTGAGTACTGGTTGGCTCGCCCTCGTCCCTCATCAGCTCCTCTGAGGTGGGTCTTCTGAGTACTAGGCTGGGGTGAAGGTATCGAGAACTGTGGTTCCCTTCGCGTGCAGACAGTCGGGCCAGCTTCGGATACGATGCATCTGGGAAATCTTCGTCCAGGTCTGCCGGGGAGTCGAGATATCTTTGTAAGAAATCGGGCCATGTCTTTCGACAGATGTCAGCGAGGTCCTTAGCATCATCATATTTGAAAGAGCTCACCGGATGGTTCCGGCTGTTCCTGGCAGGAACACCTTCCCTTTGCCTCAGAGTAGTGATCCTTTGTTTGAGAGCCCTGATTTCTGCTCGAGCTGCGTCGATTCTGCACTGCCTTTTCCGTGAAAGCTCCTGAGCCACCAAAAATCGAGGCTTAAAGGCACAATCTCCCATGGCGCAGCAGTCATCTCCACTGACTTCCACCTCTGATTCGTTATCGTCGTCATTCGAACTGGCGGTCTCATCAAGGATATTGGCCTCGTCATCCGAACGAGCTGTCAAGTCCCACACGCCCATAGTTGAATCGACGTCGTCCATGTTGAACGACTTCCGGGCGGTGGGCGAGGTCAAGAATCGCTAGACTCCAGTAAGTGGCGCGAGCAGGGAAAGAGGAGTGAGAGAGGGTGAGAGAGAAAAGAGGATTAACAGAGGAGGGGGGGGGGGGGGGGGGCAAGCAGAGAGATAGAGAGACAAAGTAACAGCTAGCTCCACCGCTGTGAGAAGGGGTAAAATGATCCTGTGTGGGAAGAAGAAGAGAAGAAATCGGAGGAGAGGAGACGAGACGAGAGGAGAAAAGAAGAAAAAACGTTGGCTGGCTCAGAATACAGGCTTGAATAGCCACGTGGCGAGGAAAGGAAGAAAGGAAGAAGAGCTTGAGGGAGTTGGCAAAGGAGTGGAGAGAGAGAGAGAGAGAGAGAGAGGCAGAGGTGAAGGGAGGCGGGATTTTATACACCGGAAGGTTGTGGTTTGAACAGGCACGGCGAGAAGCGTGTGATCAATGAAGAGGGTGATGACCTTGCGGAGCGGACAAGGAGTTGGTGAGGGAGGAGAAGGAGAGAGAGGCACACTGAGGAGCCGGTGCTTCATACGCCGGGAGGCTGTGGTTTAAACAGGCACGGCGTGAAGCGTGTGGCGAAGGGAAAGGGAGTCGACCTTGCGGAGCGGTTAATGACAGTGGATGAGAGAGTGTGTGAAATGCAAAGATTGAACGAGGCAATGCTTTACACATCGAGAAGCTGTGGATTAAAAAGGCAAGGCTTGAGCATGAAACGCGTGGTCAGAATAAACGGTAACGCGAACTGAACACACCCGCCAAGGTTCACGATAGCATGGCGAAAAGGGGTTTGTTGCTGAAACCACCGGGCAACTAAGACTAGCCTCTCCTGCTTGAATCTGCACGTATGTAGTTGTGTGAGGATGATGGCCCATATGCGTGGCAGACGAGAAGCTAGTTCTGGAACTCGGTACGGGGAGACACTGCTTCTGTCCTGCACAGGCTTCTCTGATTATGAATATCTCACCTCGTGTTGAGAGAGTCTGTGATGATTTGCAGGTTGACGGGCCACAGCACAGCTGGCACGGCTCCATCTCATTGCCTACATGGGGCCCCGGGCTGCGTAAACTTGCTTCAGAGGATTGTTATGTGGCTGCCTCCTACAAAAGTGAGCAGATCATCATCATGCACCGAGTAAATGCCTGCCTTAGCCAACTCCTCCGTGTATCTTGAGCGTTGATATCATCATTGCCATTTTGCCACCATCTCGTTGAAATATCCCCCCTCGACGCCCCTCGTTCAATTAACCGTACACCAGCTTGAAGAGGTCATTATAGACAAAATACTGGCCGCTCGGGTCGCGCGCGAGTTGGAAGGTTTGCGTGTAGTTCATGGGGCGCTCCTCTTCGTCCACCTGAAGGGAAGGCCTGTTAGTGTTGTTTCGGTGAGCTGGAAGGGGCCGTTACGCACCAACAACTGGCCGGTCACGAGAATGACGATGCCGCCCTCCACCATGGTAGGCTGAGCATCGAGGGTGGAGACCTGGTGCTTGACCTTTTGGAAGGGTAGGGACTGTTGAGAAAGGCCTGTCAGTGCCCAGCACAGCGCATCGAGGGTGAGGGGAGCGGGCTTCCATACCGATAGCTTTTCGACGATGTTGTTGGCTCCGAGGACGGACGCGGACTCGAAAGTGAGCATGGACTGCTCACGCTGCGGGGAATCGGTCAGCACAGCATTTCCTTCGGGTTTGCTCAAGGGCTGACGCACGTAGAGAGCAGCCAGAGCCTTGCGGTCCCCATCAAAGGTTTGATAGTAAAACTGGATGAATTGCTCTGCAATGAGATGTGTACGTTAGAAGGCGGGCGCATGGATGGATGCGCATCCAGAAGATCAGAACGTACTAGCAACGTCCTCGAAGTCTAGACCAGGGCGGTGGTCAGTCGAGTCTTTGGTGGGCGAGTTGATTTGCTCGCGGAGCTTGCATACGTACTGGTGGCCATTTTGACGAATCTGCGTGCGCCGAAGCGAAAAGGCGAGACAAGAAAGGCGCTCTGGGAGGATGGACGGCCAGGAGGATGGCGAGAGAGACGGAGGGGGAGGTCTGAAGATTGTTGGTCGTCGCAAGAAGTGCCCAAAGGTTGGTTGTTTGTTAGGAGTGCGGCGAGAGCAAGATTATCATGGCGGGGATATTAACGACCTGCCCGAGGTGCCTTGGGCATGGTGGGGTTGAGCACAGTGCCAATTAAGCCCATCGTCGCGCGGGGTTACGTATGTACGGTACGGAGAACAGCCCGCCATGTACATAGCGCGCGGCGTAAAGGGTTATGCACCTATCGGGTCCTCTCGCCCTTATCTCAATGTTTATCTCGTTGCTTATAAGACAAGTTTTTCACCTTCATTTTTAATTTTCCCGGCGCCGTCCATCCTCTTCTCACAACCACGAGCTCCCAAGGTACGTGAAGCTTTTGTCCAAGCACGATTGCTACCCCCTTACCTGATGACACAACTTCTTAAGAACGGCCTACTTAGGGGCCTAGCCCCGATGCTGATTGTTCAAATTATCAAGCTCAACAGTCTGATTTGACTTGACCTCCTCTTGTCTCGCTTGTCTGCTTCCCAGCCAGCTTTGGACTGACATCTTACTCAATAGAACCGCTCCTTCTTTCTACAAAATTCTACGGAAGCTTCTTAAAAACAACTTTGCCTTCGTTGATGTCTTCCCGGCGGTTCAACCATTGGATCTCGAGACCAGACACCTTGCCATCAACACCCCTCGTAAACTCGCCGGGATGGAACTCATGGAGAAATGTGGGGTTGCGTGGCACCACCGCATACACGACCCAGAAATCTCCAGAGGCGTGATGCAGTCGGAGCTGGTATCTCCACGTCATGTCATCCCGGTCTGCCACGAGGATCTTGTCTCCTCGTCTGTCTGGATGAGGCTCTTGACGCAGCGTGAACTCGCCATAACCCGGGTCCCAGTAACTGCCCACCAGGTCTTTGATCCTGAACGTAGAGGGCAGCGGGGGGGTTGGGTGCTTCGGAAAGAGGATCTTGTCGACGTTCGTGTCGGGCCTCTTTATCTTGTCAATGGCTTCTTGCCACCTGAGCAAATAGTTAGCCACTTGCCACAAATCGAAATGCATGGTGCGGTTATACTTCTTGTCAAAGTCGAATCTCTCGCGTTTGGGGATGCCCAGCTTGTCCTCTATCAGGCGGTAGATGACAACGTCCTCGACAGCATTTGATGTCAATGCCGTGTTGGCAAAGGCGACGACGCCAAAACGAGCGTCTGGAAGCCAGTAGACTTGGGCGCCAAAGCTGTCTAACCCTCCGTTATGAGTGTAGATGACATGGCCCTTGTAGAGATTGCGCTCCCAGCCAAGTCCGTACAGAGAAATGTCCAGGCCAGCACTTGCTGTCTCGCCGGCCAGTATCCTGGGCTTCTTGAACTCGGCGTGTACGCGCTCGGAAAAGGGGGCCGTCTCGTGGATCAGACAATGGAGCCACTGAGCATAGTCGACGACGGTCGACACAACGGAGCCGGCGCCGGCCACTTCGGTCAAGGCCATGGGGGGAATGTCGTGGTAAACCCGGGCCTGCTCGTCCCAGTAATATCCCGTTGCCAGGCGGTCCTTGGGCACGTCGTCGAGGCCGAGATAGGTCGAGTCCATGCCCAGCGGCTCCCAGATGACTTGCCGCATCACTCGTCCGAGCCCCTTGCCTGTGATGGTCTCGATGACATGGCCGAGCACGACGTACATGAGGTTGCAGTACTGAAACGCAACTCGCAGCTCCAGGTTCAGGCGCAGGTTCCTCAGGTTCCGCACCACATCCTTGGGCGTGACCTGGGTGCCGTTGACGACGCTCGCCGACGCCTTGTCGTGCCGCGGCATCCCCGTCCGGTGGCTGGCGGCGTCTTCCAGCGTGACGTGGTTTGTCGCCCACGCGTCGTCGAGGACAAAGTCGTCGCGGATCATGGACGAGATCTTAGATGCCCAGCCGTCGGCCAGCTCGGGATACTCGTTGGAGTCGATGAGGTGTGCGAGGACGGCCGCAGTTTGCGCCTTGGTCGTCGACGCGCCGTACCAGATGGTCTCGGCCGTGGCCTTGTGGTCAGGCAGAGTCGCGTATCCGTAGCCCTGAGAGAGCCTTGATGTCAGCGGCCGCACATAGTCGCACACACAACAGGCCCCTTTTCCTCAACACGTCGTGAGCATGAAACCAAGTCCATCATACACACTTGGGCGTATACGTCATGCCCGTCGATGACGGCCAGAGACATGCCCGGGACCTTCCACTTCTCGAGCTTCTGCCGGACAAAGGCGCCAAACTCGTCGGTGAGCGGATTCCTGCCCCGGACGGCCATGGTGGGCATCTGCTGAGCCCGGCCGGCGTACGCGCCCACCGACGAGAGGGCGAGCGACGCCGCGGCAATGCCACAAGAAGACCGAAGCCGGACCATTTTGTCGCAATTTGAAGCGATTCCTGCACTCCGAGACGGCTTAATTGCTGGGTTGTCCTCTGTCCTGCCGACTCCCCGAAATGGAACAGGGATGAAGAGCAGAGATATAGGGGTGAGGGACTTTGTGCGATGATGCAACCCTCTTGGTCTCTTAGCAGCGCGGGCCGCCGTCAGCTTACGAACGGCCGGAACACTGGTCCGCCGCGCTGTTCGGGAATGCTGGAAACTGACAAGCCGACTTGCGATGCGGGGGACGAGAGGTCTGCGGAGGGCCTTCAGAGAGCCAATGCTGATGCCTCGGGACTTGCACGCCACCGCACAAGGCCAACCACCCTCGTCGGAGGGGCTGCTTAGCCCGGTGAGTCGGGCTTGAGTCTTGGCCCCCTGTCGAGCATGCACGGAGACTTCCTTTCCCGGCCGTGGGCACAGGGAGGGCCTGTGGGTGGATGCGCCACGGACCGCATCGTGCAGACGCCCGTCGACCTTCCTAGCCGTGTCGGATATCGACTGTAACCTCTCGTCAGCAGTATGTACATGCCTACGTGTTGGCTCGGTACCTCGAATAAAGCTTGCTCGCTGGGATACGACGATGGCATGCATGGAAGACGGCTCTGACGGGGAGAGTGTCAAGGCATAGAGCCACGCACCGAACTTGCACGTGTTGAGTTGAATTGCGCTTGTCTTGATGAGCATTGTAGTCTTGGGTCTAAGGAAATTATTCATGCCTTTGGTTATTGGTCCGGGCAGCGAAGTGTTGGCAATGAGTATCACCGTAGCATGAGACGCAGCCGCGCATATATCCCTGATGATCACATCGGGTGGCGAGGACGAGTGAGCAAGAAACGACTTAACCATTCAAGCAGACCATCACGGGCTTCGAATCCACATACTCGCTTCGATCAAGTCAATCACTGAGTGACCCCAGGGACAAGGACAGTGTGAGTTTCCGCAGTTAGAAAACAAACAGATCCCGGCCCCGGTCCACCTGGAAAGCCTTCGCGTTGTTCGTGCGCCAACACAGCTTGGGCCGCAGCTTTTCAGGACTTTAAGCTACAAGTTGAAGCTCCTTCACCACGTGCCGGAAAACGAGACATGCAATGAAGCCTGCACAGAGTATATAGTTGGAGAGGAAACAGCTCCTCCAAGTGCCTGTCAAGAAGAGTGGAACTTGTCACCACTCACCAGGGACTGTCGTATAGGCATGTCAATGCGGTATTCAGGCCTGCTTGCTGTTGCTGCCAGCAACTTCGTGTTGTGACCCCCTAGGCGAAAGAGATACAGATTCGAAAACCGTCGAATACGGGTAAGCCAGTGCTGTCTGATTTCAACAGAGCATTCTTGTCGAGTCATTCAGGCATCAGGTGGGGGCTGGGGGCTGGGTTTCCCGAAGCGAGTCGTTGAACAGAGGAACATGACCAAAAAGGCACGTATCAAGGCTGAAAGACGTTGGCCAGCGTGATGAGCCATGGAATGCCCGCAGCGTAAAAACACCACCATCGACAGGGATCCCAGTCAGCCGGGACGCCGGCAAGAGCATGACATTGGTTTCACGTGGTTGGCTGGCTTGAAGCGCATCGTATATCTTATTGCGCACATCTGACGTGGCATAATAACTCGCAGACTGGACACGTTGGTATTACGATTATTCAACAGCCGAATTCAAATCCTACCAAGCTGATTTGATTCGCTCTACTTGGTATACCCATGCCGTCACACCTCATCGTCGCGCAGTCACATGCCGCACCACAGAATAGCCCTGACCAGACTTCTCTATTGATTGCGGTTTAACAAGAACCGAAGCCAAACTTCTGCCAGAAGAGCATCTGCAGCCCTCGTCCAGCCCTTGCACTGCCACGCGTAGAGCTCCAAGTGGCGTGGGCGGAACGGGATGAAGCAAAGTCTTGCTATCAGATGAAGGGTAAGACTTGGTCTCGTAGGCACATCTCACGAACCATGCAGGTCATTATGATTTTATTATCCGGGTTGGGATCTGGAATCACGCCAACAGGCCCAACCTGCGTAGCTATCGAGACTACAAAATACGTGTTACAGCGAGGCAAACGCTGCAGTCGCTGCCAACACATACGGAGCCCGTGCAAGCGGCCCTCTTGGCCGCGTTGCGCCGTACAAGCGCAAACAAGTAGCCGGTCGAGGGCTCGTCGTGAAACGTTTTTCGCGTGTGCCATATCTTGCTTTGAAAGCCCGCACCAGACGAGCCCAACAAATGTTGGGCCTCAATGCTGAACAGGGGGACAAAGGCTCATTTGTCCAGGAATCATCCTGGCCGACCCAGGGCCATCTCCCACGATAATCTGTTTGCGCCGAGTGCAGGCTAGCGTACGTAGCAAACGCGTGATAAAAAAACCTCGCCGTCATCTATTCACCTAGACGCTGACTCCCTAATCTGCTAGATACGGCCGACGCGCGTCCAGTTGTTGTCGTCCAAAAACTGAACCCGCTCTTCTCATCTCTCACTTGTTCCTCATTCATAACAGGGTTGTAGACATCAGCTGCTCGTCATCGTGGCCATGTCTGTCTCGACAGCAGACGATCAGTCTCCCCTCGACCTTCCAGTCGACTTTCCAAAATGTCTATCCCCGATAGCTCTAGAGGACTTGTCCGACAGAGCTCTGGTATTGTGGCCCCTTCGCTCAAGCCGTACGATACAGGAAGAATATCTGGTTCGCCCAGTAGGGTGCACTTTGGCCCAATTACCAACCATGTCTAAAGTTCCTCCTCAACTCGATCCGTCGTAGTCGTCGTCGCTGTAGTCGTCGTCGTCGTCGTCATCGTCGTCGTCATGGCGTCGGTAGTGTGGGGTGCTGAGCTGCCAGACAGCGCGGCATCCAAAGCGGCGCTTAGACTCTGAGATGCCGAAGACTGGTCGCCGGCACTGGACTGTGCGACGCTCGGCCGCGCCTTCTTTAGCGGGCTGCCGACAAGCGCCTCTGCAGCATCGCCTGGTGCGCCCTGACTGGCCAACAGAGGCTGTCCAGGTAACGCGCCTTGGAGCGTAGGAGAATCGTCTGCCGCCGTCCGCTGGGATGCCTCGGGGGTCGATCGGCTGTCCGGCTCGGTCGAGTGCGCACGCTTAAGCTACAAGATCTATTAGTCGACTTTTCGGAAGAAGCCATGGTCCTTGCTTACCCGGATTCGATTTACGCCATCCGCCAAGTCCCCGCCAAACTTGGGGTCGTCCTCGGTCAACTTGCCGTCCTCTACTTTGTCGTCGAGGTCTTCCATTCTTCCGACGATTTCGCCCACGTCATCGTCTTCGTCTTCGCTGTCATCGGCAATATGCCCGTTGCTCTTCTTTCTGGCCTTTCTCCGTCGCACAACGTCCGAGGAGTCTTGATCTCGGAAGGCCGTGAAGCCCACGGTTCCGCCCGCTTTCAAGGGGCCCAGGCTTGAAAAGTCGAGCTGCCCAGAGCGGCGTTTGACAGATCCCGGGGTAGCTTGAGTGTTCTTGGACGATTGCATCACGCCAATCTTTTGCAGCTGTCCTGAAACGAGAATTAGCGAGGCCGACGGCGCGGAGGGGAGACCAATTGCATACTATCGCCCCTGTAGAAAAAGGTGAAGACCGCATACGGTTTATCTGGCCCATCAATGCCTGTAACCGTTTGTGTGCTAATAGTTTTTGGGTCGAGAGACTTGGGCTTGGCAAAACTTGTCGTGTGCTCGACATCGGCATTGATGCCGTTGTCAGTGGTGCCCGCCGTTTCATCGTCACCGTCGTGTGCGTCGAACTGAGGCGAGTACTCCCCCTTCTTGATTTCTCCAGAGGCAAGTACTCGAAACATGGCAACCTTGATTTGACCGGTGGCCTCTGGGGGCTCGTCGTCATCGTCAGACCAAGAATCGGAATCAAATACGGCTTCGATTGGCGACGCGTCATCGGCCCCGTATCGTAACGTGTCTTTCCGACCGCCCGGGATCTTGGCCGTATCTTCACCCGCGTCGCCGTTGATTGCCCGATTCTGTCGACGCTGACGCTTCTCAAATTTCTGCCGCCGCCTCTCCAGGTTCTCGGCCGCATCGTGACCCTGCAGGTCGAGGCCGTTGAGCCAGCGTTCGAGGCCCACCTCCCTGAAGAGAAACTCGCGTTCGGCTAGCCCGCCGCCCTCAGAGTCGGGTATCTGAACCCAGCGGCTGTTGACCCAGGTCTCTTCGCCGGGTCGGAGTAGCGTGGCCACTTCTTCCTTGGCCCGGCCATCGAAGTAGATGTAGGCAGCAATCGTCTCGTTCTCCGAGTTGGTCATGGGGATGTAGGGTGTGACGATGCCAGCAAACTTGCCCCGCTCATTGCTGGAGCCGGGATGGAGACTACCAACGAAGTGCGGCTTCGGGTAAGGGTTGCTGTCGCTGGGCTTTGGGGCCGAGTAGGGGATCGGCAAGCCCGGGGTCAGGAGGGTGATGGAGATGGCAAACTTGGCGGGTTCAGGCTTGTTGGAGTCGCCGCTCAGGCTAGGCTGGGGCACGGGAATGTAGTTGCTGATACGAGAGAGTCTCGATTGCCTCTGGATGCCATATTCGGGCAACGGGGAGCCGTTTGCATGGATGCTGACCGCAATGCCCTTGAAGCAGGGCATCGTGTTCAACGCCTGCAGGGGCGGGTGCTGCGCGTGTCCAAAACGTGGGCGAGCCGCGGGGAGCTGGGTGGGAGGCAGGGCGGGAGTCGTCGTCGCAAAAGGGCGGTCGGTGGTTGGCGGGATGGAGCACTTGAGGCGGATGGGGGGATCCTGTGGCGTTCAGCAGCCAGCCATCTCAGATGCCGAAACACGGCAATAGAGCGGAGCGATGCAGCGTGATGCGAAAGCGAGGCTCTGGCCTGCGATCGATTGCGCGCGCTCACTTGGGCCCGGTGAGGGAGAAGCTTAGGGATCTTTGACCGGCAGAGTGGAGTTGAAGGTGACGGGCTTTCAGTGCAGGTCCCGCATCACGATTATTAGCAGGTCGTAAGTTAATTAGCTTGTCTCGAGAGCGAGGTGTCCCGCCGCGTCCGGGTGAACCTATTTATCCGATCATCTGCCGGCCACGTACATACTGTAACTTACAGGCCCAGCTTCCTACAATTGTGGGGAGCTGTCCCGGGCAGGTGCTTTGCTAATTACTACTGTACTGTACAGTACTGTCCGTCGTTGGTCTCCAGTCTTGATTACACCGCCCTCGCAAGACCTCTCGGCACGCCCACGAATGTTGCTCTTTGTTTGCGCCTGCAGAAACGGCTACGAGAGCCCTTAAACGTGTTGCGAGACGGTGCGAGGCGCGTCCCATGCACGTTTGATGCCCCTTTGCGATTGCGACATCATTCCTCCAGTTTTCTCCTTCCTATTCGTTTCCGTCGAATCCTCCAGTGTAACGAAACTGCACACCACCGCCGAAGCTACTCGGACGTCTCCACACGCCGCCGTACCGCACGCCGAACTAAAGGGCGTGAACACGCTATTCGTGGGCACAGGCGCTCTCCAATCTCAGCCCAGGGTATCTAGTCGGGAGCTTGGAATCCTCCCTCACGCCTCACCTCCGCGGAGCGTCCTCTTCATGCCCCGACGTCGGTCGGGACAGTCTTCTGCGTATACTTTCGCCTCCTCTCTCGCTATAGCTCGTGCCCAATCCAGAGTCGTATCTCCGCTTCTCGTCACCGTCGTCATCGCCATAGAGCTCGTCCTCGTCGTCTGCTTCGGCCCCGGCAGCGGGAATATCGGCGAGTTGCCGACCCCGTTCCTCTTCGTATTCTGCCTTGACCTCTGGCTCATGCTTTAGCGGTAGCTGCCTCCCATACGTCGGGAAATTGTAGGGATAGTCTGAGGATTCGTCCTTGCTTCCCTCGTCGTCGGCCTGATTTCCGCCCAATGCGCGGCCGTCTTTCCGGGCGCGCGAGCTCTTGGGCCCCTTAAACCCCGTTGCAGCGATCCAAATTGCCCAAGCGAGGCTCATGAACATTACTTCGCACGCCCAGAACACGGCCGTGAATGCCATGTACGTTGGCAACCGATAGTAGAACATGAGCCAGCGGAGCCCGCGAAGTTGGGCCGTCATTGTCAAAGCCGCGCTGTAGATTTGAATATCCTGCCCTGCCTCGATTTCCACATATGCAGAGGCGGGCAGCGAAGAGCTCTTGGAGAATGCTAGGCGCTCAGCCAAAGCCACCGTCATTTTACAAGCCTGCGAGCTGGGGACGAGCAAGTGGTACAGCAGCAGAACAAGGCGCTTGGCCACCGACACTATCGGATCGATATAGGGCACAAGCGCCGGACGCCGCGAGCTAAAGATGACTTCGTGGGCGCCAAACTGGTCGTGCGTATTGGCGAAGATGCGGGCATCAGCCTCGAGCTTTCCACTGTCCTCAGAACCAAGCAGGTACAGGGTGACCATGAAGTTTCCGCGCTCGACGTTGGCGGGAGACCGTGGCATCGAGATGATGACGGAGACATCGTATTCTTGCTGTGTCTTGATCATCGGCGGCCTGGTGAGAGACGCAACGCCGTATGGATTGGGGCCCGACCTGCGAGGAGAGTCAGCCGGCAGCGCGAGAACCATCGACTATCGACCTACCCATATTGAAGGTGCACGGGTGTCTTGACGAATTGATCGGGGACAAAGTTCTGGAAGAACAAGCCGGTGGCGATGGCAGCCAGGCAGAAGAGCGTGCCTGCGCCAGATACCAGGAGCGCAGTGTTTATAGCAGCGCGCTGCACCGGCTTCGACGTCGCGGCACGCACCGTGTCTTCGAGCATCTCCTGCGACGGCGACTGTTAGCACACGGAGGCAGACGGGGCGCGCCGAATGGCCCGGCTTCTCACCATTGCGGCCGCGCAAAGAGCATGACCTGTCGTCGTGGCTGCGACTATGGCTGTCTTTCCGACACGGAGGCGCCCAGCGTGTTGATGGGGTCGAAGGAATGACGCATTGGTTCAGAAACGCCTTACATAAGCACCAGCGAATATCTTGACATTGCATCTGCTCAACGTCATGCCTGATCATCGAGTGCCTTGAACACGGTACGTCGCTTTATTTGCTCCTCTCTTTGCCCGGCCACGGCATTGAATGGGGCCTCCTCTTTGGCATGAATTCTTTCAGTCTCACGATATCTATTACAGGGCGGGAGACGAAGTGAAAGAGACGACCAAGACAAAACCAAAGCGACATCAGACCCAAATCGTTCTCTGCGTAGACGGACATTGTCGTACATTCCTCCATAACACGGGCCAAATGAGTGTATCCCACGCCGGATGGTAGCATGTACAAGATGCCCAGTTCGTTTTCGCATCATTCTGTGCATGCTCCTGGACCAAAACAATTATGTACCTGAAATCATGAGCGCTTCCATCAGCAAGGTTGAAGATAGTTGCTCGGGACCAGCCCGACGCGGCCGTTGCCGCCGTGGACCTCGGCCTCCCACCAGCCGTCGTCTTGGTGGCGGAACACGGCCAGATAGTCTCCCTTGGCGAAGCCTAGCTCTTCGGGAATCGCTGCTTGGTACACATACAGGGCGCGAGCTGTAGCATGGTCGGTCAGCAACGCCAGTTTACTCGGGGCACCACGACTTACCATAGTGCATAATCGGCCGCCCGTCTCGCGAGTACATCCTAGCCGGATCTGCCACGCTCTTGCTCCGCGGCCGCGATCCACCGTCATACAAGCCCATGGCCCGAGACTCGGGCCGTCCCGATCCCCTGCTCCTCTGAGATCCGTAAGCATCTTCACCCGCTGGCGCCAGCTGTACGGCCATCTCAGCACCGCCATAGCTGCTCTGAGGCCGGTTGTAGTCTCTGTACGACGACGGAGACGCTCCTCGGACGGAGCCGCTCGGAGAAGCCGATCCGTAGTAGCTTGGATCGGCTCCGCGCTTGTATGATGTGCTAACTTGAGATGGGGCCCTTCGACGGCCGCCGTAAGGGTTGGGCGAGGCGGATCGGTGGCTACCCCCGCGCACGTCGTTACTCGTCCGCGGCTGTGGAGATGCGCTTCGAGCCGGAGCTGGCGACGCCGCTCTGGGCAAGTCGTTACCGCGTGTGCCGGGCCGGGAGCTTGGGGACGGTCCGCGACTTCCAGCATCTCCCCTGCCTTCGTTGCCGAATATGGTGCGCGTCTGTTCCGTCACCTTCTTGGTGGCCTCCTTCATAGCTTTCGAGGTTACGGCCGGCGGCGGAACACCCAGTCTCGTCACCTGCGCTGGATGATATGAAGGTGGCGGCGTTCCGCGGCTGGTCATGGCCGCGTCGTGACTGCCGGGAGCGGGAACAGATCGCGCCATCCGGTTCTCGGCTCCGGGAACAGGAGTTGCTATGCCATGGTAATGGTCTGCAGACATCCTGAGAGAAGACTGTTTGCCCAAATTGACTTCCTTGAGCTCTGCCAAGGCAATGGCGATGGGGTCATTTTCGTCCAACTCTGCGGCCGCGGCTCGTGCCTTGTGTCTCTGCGTGTCTGGCGTTGTGACTGGAAGCACGTTCTGGCCAACCCCAAGGGCAAGGCTTGTGTTGGCGTCAATAGGCTCAGGGCTTGCCGTTCGATCCTAAACACTGTCATTAGCACGCCATCCCTGAGCTGCCCGGCAAGACTTGACGAACCGTTTGACCCATTTTCGCGACACTTGAAGCGTGCCAGGTGCTCCTCCCAGCTAGCGCCGGAGGATGGGCCTCCTTTGTGCTCTTGCGCCTAAAGGGGCTATGGTTTTGGAAAAAGCCGCTTTTCTTCTTAAAGACGCGCTTCTCCGGGCTCGACGCCGGGGTCTGGTGCTGCTTGGCAGGTGAGGTCTTTCCGCTGGGAGCCTCCTGACTGCAAGAGGACGTCAGGTTTGAGTAGTCGCTGTGAGACTCACGGCTCGAGGACCTGGCAGACGTATGCTGAGAGCTTCGATCGGAAGCAGGCGCGGTGCGGCAGAGCATCGTCATGCCGTCCATTGGATAAGGCTCGTGGGGCACAGCGCCCACGCCCCCATGCGGATTGGCATCGTACGATGCTTGTCTGGCAGCATGCTCCATGGGATGCTGGTCGTTCACAGGCATCCTCATCTGCTGGGGGGGCTTTTGCGGAGTCACAGTGGCCTCTCGACTCGTTGATGGGGCAGGTTCCCTGTGAGCCAAGTTGTTCGCCAACGCCGAGTTGGGGTCGTGATGCGATTCAAAGGTCGATGGTTGGGGGGAGGATGAGCGGAATGCAGGGTTGATGCTGCGAGGGAACTGAGCAACCGAGTAGCTGTCGTCCTCAGAGACCTCGGACTGGCTGTCATTGATGTCTCCGCGGCAGAAGTTGATGTACTTGGGCGGGTCAGGGATCTCTTGGCCGGTGCCTTGCTCGGTGATGAAGTGGATAATGTCCTTTTCCACTTCTGTCTTCTCCAGCGACAAGCGTATCTTCTCGCATGAGGCATCGTCGCTAACGCATACTGTCGATGCAATATTCGCAAAGGTCCACAGGCTGCTCTTGGTAAAGTCGAGCCGCTCCTCCTCGAGATCCTGGAACTTGTCTGTGGCAGCCCTCCACTCTCTGTTCCACCTGGCCGTGGTGTCCTCGAGGGCCTTGACGGCATTCTCGTACTCGGTGTTGGCTGTGGCGAGACTGATTTGCGTCTTTTCCAGCTTCGCCTTGTTACGGCGCTCTTCTTGGCCCATGACCATGTGGCCTTGGGCGAGGTAGCCTTTGATCTTGAGGCATTCTTGCTCGTATTTATCTCGGGTCTAGTAGAGGTGGAAAAGTCAGCCACTTGAATTCTCTGGGCACCAGCTGTTGGTTGGCAGACCTTGTTGACTTGTTGCGTCTGCTGGATCTTGATCTTCAACAGCTTCTCGACAGAGTTCTGGACAATCTTGCGTCGCTCCTTCATGCCCCCCGCAAAAGCGGCCAGCGGCTCTTCCAGCTCCGTCTTCATCTGCGCGGCAATGCTCTGATGCTGCTTGGCCATGGACTCCACTTCGCCACGCACGGTATCGAGGGAGGTCCGGAGAGTGCCCATCTCCTGGGTCCCGAGGGACTTTCGGCAAAGGTTGAGGAGTTTTCTGGCGTATTCATCTTCAATGGAAGCACGAGCTGTCGGTTCTGGTGTGTGAGCAGCTGACGAGCGCGACGCACACGGACGCTGGCTTGGGGAGGCTCACCGCTGTAGAAAGACTTGAGTTCATCACACGTCTGCTTCGCGCCCTGCATGCGATCCAGGAGGGGGCCGACTCCAGCATCGTCCTTGCCCCAGAAGTTGTTTGCGACTGCGTCAATAGTCAGTTAAGCGATTAAGAGCTGTTGGGCTGAGACAGAAGTGCCCACAGGACAGAGCGACGGCTGGAGCATCTGCTGTTGCAGCAGGCATCGTGCCTTACGAGAGGCAGCCGAAAGAATGTATGTTTCGAAATGGATATATTCAGATGCGTATCGTGTGCTCGTGCGCCAAAGTGTTGGAATTCTGCGGGAAAAGGCAGTCATCAAGGGATGTCAAGCTCCCAGGCGTGAGTTCGCTGAGGCGACGGGCGGTCCGAGGTGGCAGTGGCTTGTTTGGTCCCGGCCCTCGGTTGGCTGGGCAACGGCCACGAGCTATCACGTGACCCTAGCTACATCTTGCGGGTCGGCTCTCCCGTCCTTTCAGGGCTAGGCGGGATTTGCCGTTCCTCCCATGCATGGGTCATTTTCTGTGCTGCACTTCACTTTGTCCTCCACACCTACCTCTCTCTACCCAATTACCTCACCGACCAAATCACTCTGCCCTCGACGAGAACTCCGATATCTGATCCCATCACGTCCAGACCCAGCCCAGCTATCGCCGACGACACCTTGCAACAGCCGCACTGAACTTCCCCCCACCGCTCGCGTCTTCAGGCGATCCGCCCGACAGCGGTTGGCACCTGTGGTCCACGGAGCTCGTTCCCGACAGCATCTTTCTCCCCCCTCTTTGCCTCAGCTCTCTCCATCCTTCGCCTGGCCTCAAAGCTCGGCGGTCGCGCGACCCACCCACGTCTTCTTTGACGCCCGGCGATCAAGGCTCGAGCACATTTCCCCATGTAGGAACCTTGCCAACGCTTCCATCCTGCATCCCCATCATCAGCCTTCTCTTCTTGAGCCCACCTGCCTGCCACGACCCCACAGGCAGGCGCTCCACCATCATATCTCAACACCCTCGAATACACTCCCATGGTCCCTCCACCAAGAGCGGGATCGTTCTCACCAAATCCTGCACAGTCTCTCCAGACGGGAACTGGCCACTCGCCGCATCCGTCTCACGCGGGTGTACTGAGCGCTGGCGCGAGCCCCAGCACCAGCAGTCCGACGGGGACCAACTCCCTGATCAAGATTGTTGTCGCCCAAGTCTATCTTCTGCTTAGTACCATCAAAGAAGACAAGGATCGCGCCAAGTGGGAATTGCAGGTCGATCAGCTTAAAAAGGTCAGCCCTCCCCCCTTGCGTTTCGTCGTGGTTGGCTCCTTTGACACTTTGTGCAGCTCATCGATGAACACGGTATGGAAGTTTTTTCCAAATACCTCACCCGACTGGTAGCGGGAAATGCGCCACAGATCTTCCCAGGGCTCAACCGACCCATCACGAACCCGGGCAGTTACCACATCCTCGTCGCTGAGATGCGAAAAATTGCGCACGATGTCGACCAAGCCAGCAAGATTGCCGAATCGGTGGAAAGCGGCACCGAGGACATCTTTCGCGACTTCGATCTCTCGACCTTCATGGAACATTTTAAGCTTGATGCACTGGAGAAGACGCTGCTGGCTCTGGCTTTCAAGACTGGGTCTCGTTCCGACTTGAAGACCAAAGGCGAGTCGATGTGAGATACGTCTGCACGTCTCGCTTAAAGCTAACCTGTCTTCTTTCCACCATAGCTGACGCTATCTTGTCGACAAACTTCTCGAGTTTCATTGACATCGTATCGCGCCCAGATATCGAGGCCCATGCAGATCTCACGCCCGCCTTCCTTGCGTTCGTCGTCGATCGATTCCTACAATATCATCCTCCCAGCTTCAACGCCTCCTCCAGGCGCGATCTTCAGAACTATGTCGTCAAGCGATACGTAGCCATGGATCAGGCCCCGCCTTCCGAGGTCTTGGCCGCGCTCGACATTGGCAGAGTCCTTGCCGACAGACCGGCAAACTCGTTGGCCCGATCCATTCAGAGGACCGGTGCTGACTTTACCCGGGATGAGGAGACATGCCTCTCGTACTTGCAGGGTCGTCCAAGCAACATGCAGCTTAGTCCCGATCAGGTTTCGGCAGCACTATTCTTCACGGCCGTCACCCAGACTCCGCAGCATGATCCGGCAACGCTCACCGCTGCTCTGCTGCGGGTGCTTCCAAGGACATTCGACTGGACCGAGGTCGTGCTGCTCTTCGACCAGGCCTCGGCACGCATCTCGTCGATTCAGTTTCTGCGACTCTACAAAGCGCTGCTGCCGATTGCCCAGGATCCCAAGTTCAACTTCGATATACAGCGACTCTGGGGCGGGTCTTGGAGCGAGCCAGAAGCTCAGTTGTCCTTTGTCAGTGCATACGCGTCGTTGACGCCGGAGCAGCTCGACGCGACTACAATCCCGGGATTGCACCGAAGCATCAACATCGAAGACTACGCTAAATCTCCAGCAAACGTGCAGGAACGGGCTGCAGTTGCCGTCAAGCATCCTCTCGTCTCCGTCGCTGCCCTGTCCGCCATTTTCAACGTCGCCTTGAACTCCGTCCACGCTTCGCAGAGCGTCGAGGCCAAGCGTCTATTTCAAGAGGTGGTGGTGCCCAACTTGGACATCTTTTTGGTGTCTGCCTTTGAAGTTCCGAGACAGTCCTGGGCAACCATGGCGGTTGATACGTTGAACTCGCTCTTCGAAAACTTCTTGTACAAGCGATCCCCCGAGTACGATTTCGTCCTTGACAGCTTGTGGAAGAAGGATAGGGACTGGGTTGTTCAGCGGCTGATTGACGCCCACGCCGTCAAGCCAGTCGATCTACCCCTGGTTTTCGATCATGCCATTAAGCATGGTTGGCTTGACGAGCTCATCTATCTCCCCAATGGCTTTGGGATCGATCTCGCCGCCTTTTCGCATGCAGAGGGTCGTCTTGATTTGGCAAATTGGGCGCGGTTCAACGCAGACAGAAGCGTCGAGATTGCGCGCACCTTGTTGCAATTCTTGATGATCAAAGCCAACCTGGAAATCCAGTTCCAGCGGCCGCCTGACGGACAGCCGCCGGTGAAGACGAGCACCAGCCTACAAGTCCGGACGGTCTCGGCTCTGCTGCAGATACTTGAAGACTTTTTGCCCAAGGCGCCGGTCCAAGACCTTATCCTGGTTCAACGCCATTGCATCACCGCATACCCTCGATTGATCAACTACGGCGAGGGCTACGACGACATCATCGATGCGAACGGCAGGGAAGGCAACGCCTTGCCAACGGCTGCCAACAGCAAGATGGAGGAACACTACAAGAAGATGTACGGGGACGAGCTCCAGGTCCGCACCATAGTAGACATTTTGGATCGATACAAACACTCGCGAGATTCCTTGGACCAAGATGCCTTTGCTTGCATGATCCACGGCCTTTTCGACGAGTACAACCACTACGTCGACTATCCCTTGGAGGCTCTAGCAACAACGGCCGTTCTCTTTGGTGGCATAATATCTCACAAATTGATATCGGACCTGCCCCTCAAGATTGGCCTGGGAATGATCCTCGAAGCAGTGAGGGATCATATGCCGGACGATCCAATGTACAAATTCGGTCTCCAGGCTTTGATGCAACTCCTGGTTCGCTTCCGAGAATGGCCTGGATTCTGCAAACAACTGCTGCAAATCCCCGGGCTCCAAGGCACAGAGGCGTTCAAGAAGGCTGAGGAGATTGTCAGGGACCACGAAGAAGAGCTCGCGCGCTCCCGAAACGGCGCAGGTACGCCGCACGGTCTCAGTTTTGCCGGCGACTCGTTCATGAACGGTAACCCAGAGGAACCTGTCGTCAACGATCGCCAGGCCCCCCCTTTCGCCGCCATCGGTGTCGACCCAGTCCCCCCCGGTATCGAACTCGAGGAGCCAGGTGATGAGGATCAGGGCAAGATCCAGTTTGTTCTGAACAACATCACGGAGGGAACCCTTCAATCCATGCGCCTCGAGCTGCGTGAGTTATTGGAACGCAAGCATCGGCAATGGTTCGCCAGTCACCTTGTCGAAGAGCGGGCCAAAATGCAACCCAACTACCACCACGTCTACCTGGAGCTCGTGAAAATCTTCGAAGATAATGCCCTCTGGAACGAGGTGCTCCGCGAGACCTACATCAGCGTAGCCCGGATGCTTAATTCGGAGCTTACAATGCAGAACTCGACGGAACGAACGCATCTCAAGAATCTGGGCGGCTGGCTCGGCCTTTTGACACTGGCTCGGGATCGGCCCATCAAGCACAAGAACATTGCTTTCAGGCAGCTGCTGATCGAAGCCCACGACACGAAGAGGCTCATTGTCGTGATACCTTTTGTCTGCAAGGTTCTCATCCAAGGCGCCTCGTCTGCAGTCTTCCGACCCCCTAACCCCTGGCTCATGGACATTATTCACCTTCTCATCGAGCTTTATCACCATGCCGAGCTGAAGCTCAACCTCAAATTCGAGATCGAAGTGCTCTGCAAGGGTTTGAACCTGGACCACAAAAGCATCGAGCCTTCGGGGGAGATTCTCAATCGTCCGTCAATGGAAGACGCGGCTGAGATTCTTCCGCAGGATCAGTTGGACGCTTTCGAGAAGCTGTCCTTGAACGGCATTGGGTCTGTTGTTGGCGCAGGCTTGTCCCCCCAGGCTGTTGCGCCTGCTATACCCGATGTCGGGCCATTGATCAACATACCCCCGACGAACGAGATGGTGGTCAGCTCAACGCGTCTGCATGAAATCGTGCGAACTGCCTTGACACGTGCTCTGCAAGATATTATCCAGCCTGTTGTGGACAGGTCCATCACGATTGCAGCTATATCCACGGTGCAGATGATCCGCAAGGATTTTGTTTCGGAGCCAGACGAGAACCGTTTGCGGACTTCAGCCGTCAACATGGTCAAGGCGACTGCCGGTAGCTTGGCTCTGGTCACCTCCAAGGAGCCTCTTCGGGCCAACATGACGAACTATATGCGGAACCTGGCTAATGACCTGCCTTCGGGCCTTCCTGAAGGTACAATCATTATGTGTGTGAACTCAAACCTCGATCTAGCTTGCAACATCATTGAAAAGCAGGCTGAGGAGAGAGCGGTACCCGAGATCGAGGACCTGCTGGAGGAAGATATTGCGGCCCGGAGACGGCATCGCATTCAACAGCCGAACGAGCCGTTCTACTCGGGCACCGTCAACCGCTGGGGAATGACCATTCCGAACCCATACAAGCTCTCCCCGAACCACAATGGCCTCAACCCCGAGCAGATGGCAATTTATGAGGACTTTGCCAGGCAGCCGCGCAACGCCGTGACCTCTGGCGCTTCACATGCGCCATCCACCTCGGATGCCACTCGATCAATGGCAAACGAGGTGCTGCAGGAGCCATACAACGCCGTCCCGAATCTACCCACCCCGGCCGAGACGCCATCCATCCAACACCTGGGCTCCCAGCTCCAGCCCTACGCTCCGGTTCACACGGCCGCCGCGAACACGATGCCGAGCGGGCGGGCGGCTGGCTTCCAGATGGATGTCCGAGGCCTGGCTGATCGCGTGAACAAGCTTCTCCAAGAGCTTTTGCGGGTTGCCGGCGAGGCTCGGGAGGAACACTTTGCGGGCCTCCCAAGACCGCATCCGGTGCTCGATGTTGTCGATGCCCTGGTCCAGCTCATCATCAAGACGTCGCAGAATTCCGAAGAGTTTGCCATCTATGCCGCGGAACAAATCAGCGCCCTCATCTTCCAGCAGGTGGAGGACAACCTGACTCTGGAAAGCCTCGTTCATGTCCTTGAGACTCTCCGCAAGATTTCCGGCCCTGCGCTGAACAATCGCGTGCGGTCACTCTTCAGCCAACAGCCGGGACCAAACTTTCTGAGCTTGCCTCTTCTGGCCGCGTTGGTGCGTACCGATCTGCTGGACTGGAGGAGCATCGACTTGGCCATGTCCAAGGCACTCGAGGTCCGAAAGGACGGCTCCCTGGAATTTCTGGAACGCATGCTCGATCTCTCCCTGCTTGGCAATCGTCCGATTGCGCTGTACGCGGACTTTGTGCGATCCCTCGAAGTGGCGTGGGCCTGGATCTGCGACGACCCTAGCTCCCCTCCCGGACAGCGGTTGAAGAGCAAGCTCGTGGGCTCGGGCATGCCTCAGCCATCACGGGCAACCGACGGCGATGAAGCAGTCGTGCGACAAGACCAGATGGAGTACGTTTTCGAGGAATGGGTACATCTCTGCAACAACCATAATGCATCGACCAAGGCTACCAGCGTCTTCATCCAGCAGCTGCAGGCGAAACAGGTCATCCGCGGGCGAGATGACTTTTTCCTCTTTGTGCGCACCGCCATCGACCTGTCGGCGGATCGCTTCGATCACATCCTGCATTCGGGATCCATCGGCGATGCCTACGCCACGGTGGACTCTCTGGCGAGGCTGATCAGCATTTTCATCACAATGCACAATGACGGCTCGACCTCCCGCGCATCCTTTCTCGACTCCATCTTGGTGCTGATCGGTCTTGTTCTCAACCATCACCACGTCAAGAGGGGAGAGCACCTGAACCAAAGGGTGTTCTTCCGCCTGTTTTCCATGCTCTTGCACGAGACGCACAACATGTTCGAGGACCTCGCAGAAGAGGAGCAGCGCAACATGACGTTGAAATTTGCGCATAGATTTCAAGCACTTGGACCGCTCCGCCTCCCCGGCTTCATCTTTGGCTGGCTCTCTCTTCTGCAGCACCGAGTCTTCCTCCCGGTCTTGCTGCGGATTCCAGACAATGCCGGATGGGGCCCCTCTGTGAAGCTGATTGTCCAGCTTCTGGACTGCCTTAGTGAGCAGCTGAAAGCTTTTAGCGTGTCGCCTGTAACCAAGGAGGTCTACCGAGCCACGCTCAAACTTCTCGTCGTCCTTCAGCACGACTTTCCGGACTTCTTGGCGGCCAATCACGTCAAGTTGTCTGCAAGCATTCCGCCCCATTGCACCCAGCTGCTCAACGCGATTCTCTCTGCCAACCCTCAGCAAAGCTACGGCAAGCTGCCCGACCCGATGCATCCGGGACTCAAGGTCGAGCGGATGGAGGAGATGAAGACGCATCCTGGGCTCATCGACGAATCGGTGGCGATTTTGCGAGAATGCGGGCTTCTCAATGTCCTCGAGCAGATCCTGCAGAGCGGGCCGTCGGAAGACGCGGTTGCCCAGATTGCGCATGCCATGACACACAACATGACAAAGGAAACCGCCTTTGGACACGTCGCAGTAGCCGCAAATAACCACGTGATCGGGGCGGTTCTTATGTACGTTGGGCATCACGCTGCGGACCGTGGCTCGCAAACAGCAAACTCGGCCTCCGTCAACGGCAGCGAGCCCGATGTGTCGACGCTGTCACTTCTGGTCCACGAGCTTCCACCCGAGGCGAGGTACTACCTCTTATCCGGCATGGTCAACCAGCTGCGATTTCCCAATGCGCACACGGATTTTTTCAGCCAACTCATCCTCAACATATTTGGAAAGGACTTGAATGACCCCGAGGAGTCTGAGATTCGGCAGGAGATTACGCGGGTTCTCCTGGAGCGACTTGTTGGCTTCTGGCCTCAGCCGTGGGGGCTCATGTACACGATTCTCGAATTGGTCAAGAACGAAAAGTACATGTTCTTCGACCTCCCATTCGTCAAGTCAACTCCAGAGGTGGGCTATTTCTGACTGATTCTGAGGCGATAGACTGACATTGGCCACACACAGGTTGCCGACAGGTTCGCAGCCGTCCTGCAGCGGGCCTAGAGCCTGCCATGGACAACGAGGTAGACGACGAGCGGTGCCCACCGACGTCTTGAAGTTTGTGGCCCGACGACATGGCATGGCGCCGCGGCCTGTCCACGACCGGACGGGTACGAGGCCATGGCATTGGCGGATTGATTACGCGTGGTTGATTGGGAATAGAAGTGACGCAGACAGGCTGAGGCGTCTTTGTGTTTCGTGGGGTTGGGGGGGTTGGCACTGACGCACGAAAGTCGGCATGGCACTGTAATACCTGTATCAAATGTACGATAGGACGTGTTGTAAGGGAGACAAAACATTGCAGCGCATCAATCCTTGAGTCGAGGCCAGCGGGCTTTTCACAAAGTCGGGTCCATTCTTTTGGAGCACGAGCGGCGAAAACCAGCGATGGTCAGTTAGAGGCTAGACTAGAATATGGCCCCTCATGACCTGGACCGCGGTGCCAGCCAGCTTGACGGTGTGAATGATGGAGTCTTGCATGTCCACATCGACGACGATGTTGCTCTCCTTGCCCATCTCGACGCCCTGGGTGATGTTGTATCTACGGGTCGGGGTATCCTGCTCGTGTCGGACGGTGCTGAGGAAGGAACTCAAGCAACATGCCGCGGAGCCAGTGGCCGGGTCCTCGAAGGTGTGCTCCATCATCCTGGTGCGCAGGGAGACGACGGATTGGTCATTGTCGTGACGGCGAGAGTCTGTGCGGACATAGTAGTACCTTCCGAGGAAGCCCTTGCGCCAGCCGTCGTCGAGAATCTGGTCAACAGGGGTAGGGGTGCTGATGTGCTCGACCTGGGCAAGCAACTCCAGGGAGGGCAGTTCGATGAGGATAAAGGCGACACCGTTGACAATGCTGAAGACGGGGGCGTTGAGCTCGAGCTCGCGGATCTGAGCCACGGCGGGGAGCTGGGCGTCGGAGAGGGACAGGTCACGGGGGCGCTTGGCGTGGAGGTGGACATCGTGGGGGATGGTGGCCTGGACGAGACGGGGGCCGAGCTGGCTGAGGGCAATGGGGCCGGCCTTTGTGACGAGGGTGGTGACGCCCTGGCCGAGGAGGGCGACGGCGGTGCCGATGGTGGGGTGGCCGGCGAAGGGGATCTCGTCAAAGGGCAGGAAGATGTCGATGTGGCGACGGGAGTCGGCGGCGGGGTCGGGGACGTCGTGGAGGAAGACGGTCTCGGACAAGTTGAACTCGCGGGCGACGGTCTGTTTCTGCTGCTGCGTAGGCTTAGGGCCCGAGGCGGGGATGGTGACTATGGCGACGGGGTTGCCGCGGAAGCGAGTCTCTGTGAAGACGTCGAGAGTGACAAAGGGGAGTTCCATGGTGGCGACGATGATGGGCTGCGTCTTGCAAGTGGGCGAAAGAGGATACTTTATCTGAAGTCCATGAGGGAGTCGTCATTTGCCTAAGCCGAGTCTACCCTCTCGTTGTGCCGAGGTCCTCTGGTGTGTCATTTGTGTCATTCGAGGTTGATTCCGTATCTCGGAGCATTGCGAGGCAGCTTCAGGCAGAAAGGAGAGGGTTTAAACGGGGTTGTTGGCCGACCGAGGGTGGCCGTGTAAGCGTATGGAGGCGTGGTGGACTTGCGGCCGTTGTTGATCAGCCGGTTATCGTATCATTGCGGATACTCGAGTCAACTATAGGGCGCGCGCGCGTCGCGAGTGGAACTGGCGACCGGCGGCCCAAGCCCGGGATGATATTCGACATGTGGTTAGACATGTGGTTGGATGCGAACAGCCTTGAAGATGCGATGGCGGGTGCGCACAGGAAGTAGGCGGTGCAAGCAGCCCGTTCGGTCAGTGAGCAAAAACGGCTTGCTGGGATGGCTTGGGCAATTCCATGAGGACGCCCCACCCGGGCCTGGACCCTTTTTCAGGCCCGGTTACCCTGGAGCCAGCAGAGTATTAGTTAATCTTGCGTACTGTACTGGAGCAGATTCACCATTTGGACTTTGCACTGTGCAAGTCTCGAGTAGAGCAGATGGGACGAACGGGTTGGATAGACTGGTTCCCGGGCCTCTTGGGGCAGCGGCCTGGAGGATGGACAGATGGACAGATGGACAGATGGACAGATGGACAGATGCTGCAGCACAAGTATGTACAGTACGGCACTGTACCGTCCCGTCCAACAGCCGACGATAAGGGGCCAATGGTGCTCCATCCGGAACAAGCATAACCATGCGCAGGCATGGCAAGGAAGGGGGTGGAATGGAGACAAACGACGTCGTGCTGCCGACAGGCTGCGGTTTGCCTGCAGAGCGCCGCGGCCCGGGGTCGCATCTGGACTGGGCCGTGCTACTGCGAGATGTGCATCATCTCATGTACTGTATGTAGGTACGAATCTGTGTGACCATATGTACACGGTCACCAGGTCCCCGCGGCCCGCGGGAGATGCCGGCAAGCCTGAGCCGCTGGAAAAGAGCTCCCCGTGGTTGGATGATCAGAGGCAAGGGAAAGAGGCTCGTGGACGGGCACGGAGTGGTACTGGATCCGTCCGGCAAACACACCCGCCAGCCTTTTCCCCGAGGTATCATCACTAGCAGGCAATGGTGAGGTCACGACTCAGGCAGCCAACAGCCCATGGCGACATGCAAAAGAAAGGCAGCCGGAGCTCCTGGTTTCGATTGGCGAGAGCGGCTGCGCCAGCTGAAACGACAAGACAGTGGTCGGACGGGGGAAAAACAAAAAAAACGCTGGGCCGATGGAAGGACGAGACAAGTGAAGAAGAAGAAGAAAAACAAAGCCATCGAGCGGAGCCCCCCTTATTTTGCACAGTAACTCACCGTACAGTACAGTAGGCTGCTGTCTCGGGACTATTGGTTGGCAGACGCAACGAAGAAAAAGGGTCATGGAGGATGGTGTGGGGCTTTCGAAGTCTCTCCCCTGTACTATGATTTGTCGCTTCAGATACGTAGAGTAGGTAGGTAGGCAGGTAGCGAAGTACCTGAGCACTGTAAAGAAGAAATACATAACTTAACTACATCTATACTACAGTACAGTACAGTGCCTTGTCCGTGGCAAAAAAACAAGGGAAAGAAAGAGCAGCAGGTCCCTGGATTTCTGCGTCAGACTGGGTCGCCCGGCCCGACCAGATGATCCGCCACGAGGTTTCAAGGGAGGAAGTAGCGGTACTGTTGGTCAGCTTTGTTCACCTTCACACGCATGCATGTGCAGTGTGCAGACAGGAGCAAACGACCGCGACACCCCCGTCTCGCGTGGGCCAGCTGTGTATATTGTATGTTCGAATGACGCAGATCGAATCAATGGACGACACGCGAGTCTGTGCCAAACATGCCTCTCTCTTGTCTTTGCCTTCAGCCGTCGTCGGCCCGCCGTCCAGAACACTGCACGGGCGACAATGATGACAAGGGAAGGCCGTGAATGAACACATGTACCGGTACCGGGACGGTGGGCGGTTGTCCAGGCCGCCAGTACGTACCGTTGCGAACCTGCTACCCTTGCTGGAATGCGCCTCCCTTTTCACTGAGGGCCCCGGTTTTTGGTGACACTGCATCGGGGGGGCCCCACTGACGTTTAGAGGGCCCACTTCGGCAAGCTCGCAGCCACCTGCCGGCCAATAGGATGCAGGGGGAAAGAAAAAAAAAGTTCAAGCTCTGCTGCCTTTCCTCTTGTCCAGCCAACCGCCAGAAATCGCCTGAGCTCCTGCCTTCCCCCCCCCGTGGAGCCGCACCCCAAACTTGCTCCTTCCTCCCTAACAAACCCCTCTTCCTTCCTCGTCGTTGACCGCCCTCTTGTTGCCCAACTCCCCGTGCGCCCCGATTTCTCGTGGGATTCCATCTCGCGACCGTCCAAAACCCCCTTGCCCCCAATCTTCGCATTCCCCCTCCCTTGTCCCCCTCGGTCACTACTCCGTGCGACCCCGTCTCCTCAGCTGCGTACCGGAGAATCGCCGTCGCGCGTTCGTTCCTCATCCCCTTCGACCTCGAACGCCATCGCCCGTTTGCTCCCCTTGAACAAACAATAACCTTCATCACCAACATCACCACCGCCGCCGTCGACCGCCAGGCAACGCCAACCCGAAACATGCCGTACAATACGCGCCGCAAGTCGCTCTCCCTGCTCAGTTTGGGCATCCACATCCCCGTCACCCACGCCGCTCGTGCTGCATCCAAGAGCGCTGCCCGACATGCTTCGTCGTCGGCGTCTGTCCCCTCGGCATCCCCTCCTGCAGACGCCCGTTCGCACTCACCCGAGTCGCATCCCAGCAAGCGCTACAAGAGATCCCACGCTGCCGACACGGCCGTCGAGCAGACGCCGCCGCCTTCGCCCCCTCCCGCCGCTGGTCTGGACGCGTCTAGCCAGAGGCCCAAGATTGTTCTCGAGGGCATCAACGACGACATTGTCGAGGCGTCCATCCTCCAGCTGCAGTCGACCGCGAACCGGCCCCATCTCATCAAGGAGCTGGCGACCGTTCTATCCCAGAAGCTGTCGTCTGTGCAACAGTAAGTGCCCGTGAGCGCACCTTGGACTTCCCACATTCACTAACCCCTCTCCCCGCAGATCTGCAAATCCGTGCGCCATCATCTCCTCTCGCCTTGCCTCCTACATGAAGCGACCTTGCTGGTCTGCTCTGGCACCCTGCCCGCTAGCCAAGGAGCTCGAGACAGTTCACCCACGCCGAACCTACTTTTTCCTCACCACATACCCCCGGCAGCCGCTTCCCGACCCCAGCGTCACACGAGCGGTTCATCCTGCCATGATTACCCCGTCCGTCTCTCTTACCGATGACTCGGGATCCGACGACGTCGAGGCCCGCCGGAGAGAACTAAGTCCATCGCCCGAGGTCGACCTCTCATCGCCAGAGTTTGACGATGGCGATGATGACTTCGCTGATTTCGCCATGCCCATGACCCCCATCGGGTCATTCAAGCCCCGCTACCTGAGGCAATCCCGGGACATGCGACACGACTCGCCGCCGCTGGAAAAGGACGAGCGCGAATTCACGCAAACGGCCGACGTGCTGCAGAAACGCAAACTCAGCGACGAGCTGCCCATCCCGGACACCATGGACCGTAATTCAGCCATGGAGTACGGATTCCGGGACGACATTTGGTTTGGTGAAACCCGAACCGCCACCGCTGCTACCTTTATCACGAGCCCCGCCATGAAGCCGAGCGTCATGTCAACCTTGCGCAAAGAGGACGACGCCGACGCGTGGCTCAAGATCAACAAAATGTTTGAGTGGGATCAAAGCGCCGAGAGCATTGAGATTGACGAGCTCGACTGTCTTCTAGAGGGATGCTAGATCTAAGACTTGTCCTTTTTTGAGTTTGCGACTGGCGCATGGAGTTTTGGGAAAAGTCGGCGAAAAACGAAGACTTGCCGCCTGGGGAACGGAATATTTGACACAAGATTTACGCGTGGTGCGTTTTGTACAACATGTACAGGTAGACGGCGCCTCTTTTTCTCTCCTGGTTGCGATGTCGCGACGATCTGGATGCATGTACGAAAAACCATGGATACGAAGGCGCACAGGGTTGTACATAGTAAGGGAATCTCCAAGAACGACATGCCACTCTGCACTGCACGCGCTACATATACACGTCCTTGAGTGCTAAGTACAGTGCCTGCCGAGGGAAATGTGTTTTGTGAGCGCTCACGCCCGGTCAGTCACTCGGAGCTCGACCCAGACGAGGGTGCCTAACTGCCAAAAGTTGGGGCGATGGAGCTTGGCCACCTCGAGTCCCGGAGTCGTCTTGACTGCCTCGTCAACCAAAGCTTCAATGTCCCTGTTCCACCAGCAGCCATACTTGTCAAAGTGCTTGCCGGCATACTTGTCCAGCAGGCCGTTGACCAGACCGTACCAGCCCTTTCCGTGTTCGAGCAGGATGATGCGGCCAGTGTCCGGCCTGACGACGGAAGCGAGGTTGGAGAGGACGGCAACGGGGTCGGAGACGGAGCAGAGACCAAAGGTTTGGATGACGGTGTCGTATTTCATATCGGCATCGGCTGCTGGCTTCACGGGCAATGTGGCAGGCGGCGGCGGCAGCGGGCGGTGGGTGTCGGAGTTGATGAGTCGGAGGTGGCCGCGAAGGAAGGAGAGTTGACCGCCAGAGTGATCGGCCATGGTGGAGGCCTTGACGAGGGCAGCCGACGAGGCCATGGGGGGGACTGCCCTGACGAGACCTTTCCGGGCGACGTCAAGCATGTCGACGGAAATGTCCAAGCCGGTAAAGGACGCGATGCCGGGAAACGCAGGGCCAGGCGCGCTGCGCCCCTCGGCCACGGCGCACAGCGGCAGCCAGTTGTAATACTCCAAGTTGCGACCGGTGCCCATGGCCACCTCGAGCACATGGCCCTTAGCACGCTTGGCAATCTGGCGGCGCAGGCCCGTGATGCCCATCCACCACTCGGACCCGTCGAGGTCCCTGTCAAACCGCTCGGCATTGTCGCCCGTCAAGGCCGGGGGGCGGCCGGTGGGCGCAGTCTTTTCGTCTCGGCACGGGCAGGTGTCGAGGGACGCGACGGCAGTGCCGACGATGTAGAAGCCGAGGCATCCTGCGAGGAGGGCGCCGCCGGTGAGGGGGATCCAGGAGCGGCGCCAGAGGCTGAGGAGAGTGTCGGGCTGGGGGGGCGGCGGTAGGGGTGTTGTTGTGCCTGGTCGGCGCGTGGTCCTAGATGCGGCGGAGGTGTTATAACCCGCGGGCTTTCACGGGGAAGGGGGGCATTCGCAGCGTACGGCTTATACGGTCTGGCGACGCGGGAGGGAGTCTTTGGGCGAGGAGGAGGAGGAGGAGGAGGAGGAGGAGGATGCTTCTTGACCGGCGAAGAAGCCCCCGGGGGCTGGTGTGAGGCTCGCGAGGAGGAGCTGGCGAGGCGGCACCATTGCGACGAGCAAGCGGCCCTGCTGGCGATGCCCCGCAAAGGCCCTGTCATCTGTGTGCATATCCTTGGAGAAAAAGAATGTCGCCCCGGAGTCGCAATGGCAAAGCGCCGGTAAGTGATGGCGTCGAAAAAGTGGTCGGATTGTGGGGGCGGCCCGACGCCCTGGAGGAGTGGGGAAGAAGGTCCCGGCGGCATCGACTCGACGCACTTGGCATACCCTACAGGAGCGTGAGTTTAAATGAACCGGGGTTTTACTGTACAGCGACACGAACGGATGACACTGAGCACTTCTGCTAGTTTCATCGACTGTTGTCAAGAAAGAAGCCATGGCGGGCCAGGGCGACCTGCAGGAGCTGCTGAGAATGCTCACGTCTCGAAAAGTCTCCATGATGGCGGCAATGGGCCATGTTAAATCGCTGCAGTCAAACAACCTACGAAGGTAGGACGGACGAGTCTCACCTTGAAAGCACGCAGGCTGACTTGCCGATAACCTAGCATCGACCAGATCGCAGCAGCCCCCCTCAACAGCGTCGAGTCGGCCATGGGCGACGCCAAGCTGGCAAAGAGCCTGCACGCAGCATGCAAGAGCCACGGCAAGAAGGCAACAAAGCGTCCGGCCGCCGACTCGACGTCGCCAAACGCAAAGAAACCCAGGCTGGAGCCCCACAAGCGAGACTTGGACTACAGCTCCATGACGCCCGACGAGCTGGAGCTGGCGCTGAGCCTGCCGCTCGTCGAGGACGAAGACGTCATCCGGGCCACCACGGTCGTGACCAACAGGGCCCCGCTGGTGCTTGCCTTTGCCGTCGAGCTGCTCCGGCTGACGATGCCTGAGCAGCCGCCCAGCAGCCGACTCAGCCTGGCGCAGGCGGTGGTGAGCGCCAACTCGAGGGCCAAGGCTGTGAGCTTGGGGATCGAAAAGGCGGGAGGGGAGGAGCACATTCCCGAGGGCCAGCCAAAGGTGCGCGTGTTGGGGCGGGACATTCCGGTTCTCAAACGAGGCGGCTACACATGGTCTCCGGAGGGAGCCAAGAATCAGGATTCAGAACCGAGCACGGCGAGAGCACCGGGAGAAGCAACAGGCCAGCGCCAAAAGACGTGGTCGGCGAGCCAGAGGCTGACCGCCAGGTCATCCATATTCATCGCTCACGCAGCGTCACTGACGGCATCAAGCCAAAGGGCCGGCCTGGTCAACCAGCTCATGACCGAGAAGCCCCATCTAGAAACTGCCACTCACAACGCCTGGGCTGCGCGCACAAGTTACGGGAACTCGCCGCTAGTGCAAGAGGCGTCCTTTGACGACGGCGAGTCAGGCTGCGGCGCATTCATGCTGGGCCTGATGCGGGAGGCCGACGTCAAGAACACGGTGGTGGTGCTGACGCGGTGGTTCGGGGGCGTCATGTTGGGGCCTGACCGGTGGCGGCTGATGCGTGAGTGCGTCAACGAGGCGCTGCTGTCCCAGCGGCGGACGTCGACGCTGTCGGGCGAAGCCGTGTGGGCGCTGGACCCGCAAGACGACAAGCCGGCCACGTCGACGGTGGGTATGGCCACGCACCGGCCCGAAGGCGCGAGGAACTACCTGCTGCGGAGCTTCGCCACGGAGGAGGAAGAGGGCGGGCGAGGAGGAGGCAGGAAGATGACGGCGGCGGCGAGCAGCGAGGACAAGCAGGAGAACCTGGGACGGGTGCTCGGGGCCATCAGGCTCCTGTACGCGAGCTGGCAGGGGGTGCTCGGGAGGGAGGAGCTGGATAGGCGGGCGTGGAGCTGGTACGTGGCCACACGGCCCGACGTGGAGGCTGGGCGATCGGGATGGGGGGCCAAGGGGAGGCTGAGCCTGGGCAAGATTCTTGATTTACGGCGCAAGGAGGGCTAGGAGGCTGGATTACAGTACTGGACACGTCTGTATACGCCAAGGGAAAGGGTTGTGGCTGCTGTTGGTCGCCTCGCACCGTGTTTGTTGCCGAACAGAGGCACGGGAATAGCCATGCTCGGGAAGCAAGGCCGAGGCATGACGGGAAGGAAGTTGAAAGGTTGTCTTGGTCTATGGCTGGGGAGGAAGAGTGGGTGGTGGACGACGAAGAGGCACGGTGGAAGTTATCGATATGCCCCGCCTGGTAACCTTGGGGACACAAACAAACAAACCAGGCCCAATCCGGGTGTACATATGGATGGTTGGGAGACGAGCGGACGCATAGTAAACACAGCAATCCCAGACCTTCTCTTTTGGAGGCTCTGCAACGGACGAGCTGAAGAGGAAAAAAAAAGAAAAGAGAAGGAAGAAAAGAGGATGATGGCAAAGGTCGATTGGGGCTAAGAATAGCGCCCATCCAGCAGCTCAGCCTCTTGCTTGTCTTGTCTTGTCCAGGCGGGCGCGTCTTCCCCGCGTCGTCGCGAGTTTATTGATTGACCCCTCATCGACCAACTAATGAACCGCCTGTAGTGCAATCCCTTAGGCCTAGAACGGGGGGGTGGGCGACGACCACTTCGGGTCCCTCTTTTCCCCCCCCATCTCCTGTGCTCTCTCTCTTTGCCTCCCCGACGACGACGACGACGACGACGACAAAAGCGACAGTCTCGACGAGCGGGCTGCACAAGCGACACGCCCCGGCCCTCCTATCCATCCCACCCACCTTCGCTTGTTTGCCCTCGTGCACCCGGCGGGCGGCCTCGACCATGGAAAACTATCAGAAGTTGGAAAAGGTCGGCGAGGGTGAGCTGCGTCCCAACCTGCTCCCCCCCCCCCCCGGTCTCCGACTGACAGCATCGCTCCGCTTGCAGGAACATATGGAGTTGTTTACAAGGCTCGCGACCTCGCCAACAGCGGGCGCATCGTGGCGCTCAAAAAGATCCGTCTCGAGGCCGAGGACGAAGGCGTGCCCAGCACCGCCATCCGCGAAATATCGCTGCTCAAGGAGATGAAGGACCCCAACATTGTGCGCCTGCTCAACATTGTCCACGCCGACGGCCACAAGCTGTACCTCGTCTTCGAGTTCCTCGACCTCGACCTCAAAAAGTACATGGAGGCCCTGCCCGTCAGCGACGGCGGCCGCGGCAAGGCCCTGCCCGAGGGCTCCTCCATCAACGTGACGCAGCTCGGCCTCAACGACACCGTCATCCAGAAGTTCATGACGCAGCTATGCGAGGGCATCCGGTACTGCCACTCGCACCGCGTCCTGCACCGCGACCTCAAGCCCCAGAACCTGCTCATCGACAAGGACGGCAACCTGAAGCTCGCCGACTTTGGCCTCGCCCGCGCCTTTGGCGTGCCCCTGCGTACATACACCCACGAGGTCGTCACCCTGTGGTACCGCGCCCCCGAGATCCTGCTCGGCGGCCGCCAGTATTCGACGGGCGTCGACATGTGGTCCGTCGGCTGCATCTTTGCCGAGATGTGCACCCGGAAACCCCTCTTCCCCGGCGACTCGGAGATTGACGAGATTTTCAAAATCTTCCGGTGAGTGCAATTGTCCCTCGCCCTTTGTGTGCCTGGCTGACGCCTTCTTGCCAGCGCGCTCGGCACCCCGACCGAGGAGCTGTGGCCCGGCGTCACGTCGTACCCCGACTTCAAGTCGTCGTTCCCCAAGTGGCAGCGAAACTACAAGAACTCGCTCTGCCAGAACCTCGACACAAAGGGCCTCGATCTGCTCGAGATGATGCTCGTCTACGACCCGGCCGGCCGCATCTCGGCCAAGCAGGCTTGCAACCACCCCTACTTTGAGGACTACGCCGCCCAGCAGCAGGCAGCCGTGGGCCGCGTCAACGGCTACTACCATTAGGGAGGGATGCCGCGCGCGTACCATGTGTGAAGCCCGCCCGCACGAGCACACACGATGTGATTCGTCTGGGAGGCTGGTGTCGTGCCTTGTTATCCTTTTGGACTTTCAGGATATCTGCGAGACGATGGACGCCCGAGATTGGTCACGCCACGGCATGCCATACCAGCATCCCTACAAACGAGGACCGCATCTTCTTTTCCGAACCATCTTGGAAGCAGAGAGAGGGGGGCAGGCATTCGACCGAGGTGAAAGATTTGACGAGTTAGATACGGTGCCCTGGTCGCTGTCCGGCACGGTCCGCGTATGCGGCCACGCAGCCTCTGGACGTGCCGAGCAGCGGGAATGCGTCCAGGGCTTTTCTCCACGAGCCCAAGAGAAAACGACCTTATCCAGGGGGTGCGGGAGGAGGCGGGCTTCCTCGCGAGGCAGAGAAATTTTCCTTTTGTCCCATCTATCATGTACGGTACGGAGTAGACCGGTCTGGGTTCGGAATGGCACGATAATAGACGATTATGGCACGCAACTACGTGACGCGCTTTTCCGTGATTTGCACGACACCCGACGCAGAGGCTTTGCGCCAATACGGCTCAGGGGTTTCACGAATATGCGCGGCCCGCGAAGAGCAAAGCGTCTCCACCGCCAGTCGAGAAACGAGGCAGGGCGTGGCGAGGACCCTGCATACTCGCCAAGTTGAAGCGGCATCTAGTCCTTCCCTCCTTTCATGGCCCGCATGGGCCTTGGGGTGACGGGGCCGCGTTACCGCTGCAGCTCTTGGGGCGGGTCTTGTCTCGGGCCCGTCGAGTGGCAGTGAGTCTCAAGGCGCATCGAGGCCTTGATATTGATTTGTCCAGAGCGCGGCATCTGCGCATGGCGCCCGGCAAATGAATGAGAGGGGAGACGGGACAGACCATGATTGGCCCGCCAAGCGCAGACGCGCCGAGAATGCATTTCTACGCCATCGGACGAAAGGGCGAGGCGTAAATGACCAAGTGCGAACTTTATCGGTGACACGGGCGCCTGATGAAACGCGGCACCTGGCTTGTTGTGCTGCGTGGTGCGAAGTAGGGGATGCTGCTCACGTTCCTCGTGTGAGCGCCACGACGGGATGGGTGAAACGGGTTTGCTGCGGTGGCTTGCCGGGGAAGAAGCGGGACGGGAGACTGATGGGATGAAAGATTTGATTATTACCTATTCGGCTAGCAGACTAGAGGCGAAGGCTGAAGCTGGGGGGGGACCGGGTCTCTCCGCGACGGCAACCGTGATGATGCATGCTGCTTTGGGTGCCCCGTATTGTCATACACGATGGTGTGAAACCCCTCGGACCAGAGCCCACAGACATGCAAGCACGCGCTGCAAAGCCAAAGCAGCCGAGGCCAGGTTTGTATCCCCGCGGCCCGCGTGTCCTTGCCGGACAACGGGGGCCAAAGAACCAGGCCCGCCGAGGAGAGGCCGCGGTGCCGTGGAAAAGCAGGAAGCAGGGCTCCGTCACCCTCGTGCAGCTGCTGCTGTCTCGGTGGTCGGCCGGCCCGTGACACACGAAGAGGCGTCCCAAACATGGGCGGCACCTTGCGATATTACTGTATACACGCACACGCACGGACATGTGTACACAGGCGTGGACAGTGATGCCGCTCTGGAAAAACCCCGACGGACCGATCGACTGTGCCTCGCCCCCCCCCCGGGCCTGGACCGGCGAGACGAAAGGGTTTTTTTAGCTCCTTTTTTGCTTTCCTTTTCGTTGCCTGATTGCTGGAGCGGCGAGAAGAGGCCGCGTGGAAAAGCAAGGGCCAGTATCCAGGGACTTTGGGACGTGGACGCAAAAGGGGGGGAGATGGGGGCGGGCCCGGACAAATCATTACCTGGTTCCCGGCAGAGGGCGACGGCGGCCGCTTGGACTGCGGGGGGATCTGGGCGAGAGCCAACGTGCATCGATGGCGATGAGGGGACGGCAGAGAGAGGTTGCAGAAGCAAGGGAGGGAGATGAGGGCCATGGCGCCGGAGAGGGAGGGCCGGCCGACATGGCACTGCGGGTGAAGGGGCTTTGACGCATGGTGGAATGCGGTTTCGCGATCTTGATACACATGGGGGCATGGCATGGCATGGCGAGGGAGGAGGAGATTCGATATTCGTACAAGTGCGCACGCACGGCGGGCGGGGAAGCCAGAGAGCGCCCAGGACGATTAGAAGAGCAGGACAAAGCAACATGCAGACAGACGGGCAAGGCTAAATGCTGGGGTAATCGGGGCCCGTCCGCACACCCCTGCCGATCAGCTTGGTCCAGCCAACATAGCAGATATCCGTACGTTGCGTTCAAACATGGGACCAAGTAACGTGAGAATGGCGGTCGGCGAGGGCTGAGACGCAACAAGAGGGCTTCGAATAGCTGTGCATGGATCAGAGAATGCGTGTAAGCGGGCGCTGGCTGGCCATTCAGCCTGTCCGGGGATGCATAAGCAATGAAGCCATCATCAGCAAGACGCTATCTATTAGCAGAACGTCTTTGTCAGGAACAGGGCGTCAAAAGGCGTGTCGACGGGGTGAATGCAAGGTACTGTAACCGTACCGAGACTGGAAAGAAAGCTGGGCGAGGAGACGCAGGGAGCGCCGCATCTGATTGGCCGCTGCGTGTCTCTGTCCAGCCACGCTGCCCGCGGGGCCGCCGGGCGGGTTTGCTCTCAGCCACACCCACATGTCGCCGGCGGGGGTCGGGTGGCTTGTTCGCGCACGCCGCGGGGGGAGGGGGCGGGCCCTCGAATGTGGCGGCGGAACGGCCGCTGCCTTGTACCTTTGTACTCCGGGCAGGGGTCCGGCACGCAAGGGGAGGGAGCAAAGAAATTATACAGGGAGAGACACAGACTCTACTGCGTCGAAAACCCTCGAGCAGCTACTCCATAGAGATGGTGAAAGACGATGGATGAATGACAAGAGTAAAACAAGGAGTGGAAACAGGGGGTCATGCCAAAGCGAGTGGGCTCCATGCCTGGATCCATGGATGGCGCATGGTGACGAGGCCTTGCTTCGCCGGCAAACAATAGCAATCAAGGGAGAGGAGCATAGCATGTCCGCGATGCAAAGCCTAATTTCAATGCCCTTGCCCCTTGCGGTGCGATCTTCATGCTGATCGGCATCGGGAAGCGTGCTGCTCGGACGCCCTCCAATAAGTCAACATGTAAAGAGCCGGTCTGGATTGGATTTACAACTACAACGCTCACACACCCAAGCTTCAATGTCATCTCCTCTACTCCGTACTGTAGGCACGGATCCTTCTCGGGCAATGCACGGCGGGGGCCAATACACACATCCCCGTCGCAGCGTCTTCTCATTGACTCGCGGCCATTCTTCTTCAGTAGGTTTGCGTCTCAACAAGGGAGACGCAAGATGAGACGGGCATGCTGGACTAAGCTATACTGTACCGCTACCGGGGAGAAACCAGTAAAAGGCCAGAGTCAGTCTGCCTCATTGATTCGTCTCGTCCAAAACCAAGCGGGCCGAAGAATCGGTTCATGCGTTGTGCGGTGAAGGAGGGGAGGCTGTGCCGCCGACAAGTAACGGCCGCGGGACGGAGTGCGCGAGGCACGATGCTACTTTTAATGCCCGGCGGTGCGCAGCGATGGCGAGCCTCGAGCGCGACGACGACATGCTGCGCACACCGTGTCTTGTCTGGCCCCCCACCCTTCTTTCACGGGAATAGGGCAGTTGTGTGGTTGTAGGTGCGCGATCCCCCCATGCCAGCGACGGGCCGGGGGATGGCGATGGGGGGGGGGCACGCCTCAGTCATTGCTTACCCACGCTCGTTTTGTGGCTTTTGCCCCCCCTTGATCTTCTCATCTCATCGTCGCAGTGGGCAATTTAGTCCTCGATGGATCAAGGGACGAAGAAAGGCGAAGAAGCAGCCTAGATGAGGGAGAGCGTGCGGGGGAGACCGAGACATCCAGCTCATCCACACACAGAGACGGACACACACACAGACACACACACAGACACACACCCCCACAGACACACACACGGGACGAGTGGACCTTGATTACAGTGTGGGGATCCGACAATGAGCAAGATCCATCATTCTCGTCTATTGCCTTTACTGGATGATACGTACCGGCCTGGCCAATGTAATGACGAGGGACAGGGGAAAAGAAGGGACCGAGGAGCACCGATAGTCCAGGCTAGAATTCCTGGTGCGGCCGGCCTTTCTGAAAGGAGCTTCCTTATCGAGTCAGCAACTGAGGGAGGGACGAGGTGAAATGAAGGCGGCCCGACGATATGTCAAGCGATTCAAGCCCGGCAGCCTCATGAATCAGATTCCGTGTCTGCGGGAGAGGCAGTGTTTCGACACCCTCGACGGCTTTTTCTCCTCGTCTTGAGTGTGTGTGTGCGTGCGTGTGTGTGTGTCAAGGACCGGGGGGCGGGCGTCTTGGGAGTCGACATCTGTGGGGGGGGGGCCACCAATACCCCCTTGCGCACTCTATGACTCCATCGGCCCTTCATGCCATGGACGGGACTGAAGAGGGATGGAGGTGGTGATGCTGGGATCCCTAGACGTGAGACGAACCGCCCTCTCGACGGCGGGCGTGTCACTCCACCCCCCCTCATTCAATCTACAGTAGACAGATGAAGGGTAGGTAGGCATAGCTAACACCTCCCGGACGACGAAGGCCGAGATGGAAAGAAGACGCATTCCTCCTAGAGACGTCGCGGTGCAACAGGTGGTCTGCTGGGCCATGCTGATGACTCTTGGTCCTCCTCGCCTGCCTGGGACAGGATCCATCATGAACCTTCTTTTGGGTGGCGCATGTTTCGTTTCGACGCACGAGAAAGAATGAGAGCGTGTGGCGATGACGAAGGCGCGCGCACATGAGAAGGAAGCGTTGGTGGAGAGGGAGAGAGAGGGGGAGAGGGAGTGGCCAACAAAGTTTCCACGGCGCCGGTTCCCCTGCATTGCGCAAGGGACGTCGGCTGCACCGCCAGGTCCCAAGGCGTTGGCTGACATGTTTTTCTCCTCGATGCTTAACCACTCGTGCATGGGCGAAAAAGTCCGATTCCAAGTTGCTGGTTGCGGACAAGGAAGAACAACAAGTCATGCCAAGGCTGCCCTGCCCGACACAGCCAGCCAGTATTACGGTGGGCCAGTGAGTGGCAGCAAAGTCGTCGTGGCCTTGCTCGGGAGGCAGACAGCGACCGTGAGAAAAAAAAAGAAAAAAAACCCCCAAACAACCGACACGACCAGGAAGTCATGTAGGGCAGCGGGAGTCATGTAGGGCAGCGCGGCCGCCTCCTCTCTGGCCAGGCACAGGAAACGGGGGTCGTCCCGGCCGGACACGGCCCTCGGTGCCGGGGGTTGAGGCGTGGGGGCACTCACTCACACGCGCCGATGCCCGAAAACGGCAGGCATGACAAGAAAAGATGGCAGGCGGAGGGGAGAAGGGGAGGATAAGACGGGCGTCGGGACTCATTGGACAGGACGAATTAGGCTGTCGTTTCAGGGCCCCTGACAGGAGGAGGCGGGTTTCACGACGGACGCGCTCGGCGCCAATGGCCGGGCTGGCTGGCTGGCGCCCGCTGCTGGCGCTGGCTACCTTGGTACTAGAGGCTCTCTAACTTACTACGTACCTACGGATAATTTAGGTACCTACTCCCTAGGCTGCCGCCGCCAGCGCGCTCTCTCCCACAGCCCGAATGCGCTGGGGCTCGCTGGACGGGCTCGCTCAAGGGCGGCTTGCTTGCTTGCATGGGATGACTGAGAGGTTTGCGGCAAGCCACGGGGCGCCGAGGGACGCTGGAGCGGCCTCGTCCAATCGGGCCCCCCCTGGGCCCTCCCTCACCGCCGTCCACTCGACTACTGGGACTGGTGGTTTGGATGCCGCGGGCCCTTTGGATGCAACGGCGAGGCGCCAACTGCCAGCAAACAGGCGCGCGTCTCCCGCTGTTGCTGCTGCTTGCTGCTGCTGCTTCACGCACTCTGTACGGGCGGGATGAATGGGCTGGGCATCATTGTTAGTTATTATTAGGAAACGCCGTGTTTCTTCCATCATCGAGGGCATCCTTTTGACTATATATCCATCTACCCGCCGCGCCCTTTCTCCTCCTCCTCCTCTGTCCCGGCGAGCTGTGCATGTGCTGTGCGCAGTCTGTTCCCTTTCTCCTCCGTTGCCCCATTCTTGCCCGCCTGCTCGCTCTTCCACTTCGCTTCCTCGAGGAATATTGGCGCCCGAGAATCGCCAAGGGAGGCCGAATCTTTTATTCCACCTCTGCATACCTCGCCCGTCCCCGCCCCGCCTCCGGCTTTGGCGCTCAATTTTCCTTCTTCAATACCGGTTCTGCAATCATTTATTCTTCCCGCTTTACCGCCTCCTCGTTCGGACCCAGCCCCCCACCCACCGGCTAGGGGACACAGGGGATCGTCAGCGGTCTGCATTCCAGCACAAAGACCACCGCCCGCCGGCCACCGCCCACCGACCCTTTGCCGGCTGCCTACGTCGAGAGAGTGTCGCAGGCACCAACCGTTTCTTTACCACTTTCATCATTCGTTTCGGGCGGGCCCCGTTTTTTCCTTTGGCCTGTGCTGGGCTCCCTTTTCCGACATATTCGCTGCTTGATTCCAACCGCCAACCCCTCGCCTCTCTAGCCCGCACTTACAGGGCTTGCACACCACACGTCACAGCCAGCCTCTCTCGCCGTGCCTCCCCTCGATATTGGCGACGGCCTTGTTGGGGCGTTATATAGTTCTGGCTCGCTTCCTCTCTCCGGGGCTTCTGTTCTGCTCACACCATCACCATCCTCGGCAGCACAGTAAAGCTGCTTGTCCAGTCCCGAGCAAGAGAGTCAGCATTGAAACACTCCTTTCGACTTAGTCAGTGAAAGCCCCCTTTGCCCGACTCAACAGTCAGTCCCTTCTTGTCCAGCACGCACACGGCGTCGCCTGCCTTCTCTTTCTCTTTCTCTGTTCGTCTCGTCTCGTTGTTGGCGCTGCACATTATTCGCAAACGCACGCGTGTCACATCCCCGCCACACCTCTCCCGAAATAAGCACCAAGGCGCGCCACCACCGACGGCAATTGACGCTCGCGCTCTCTTCGCCTGTTTCCTCGTCACGACTCGCCCAAGTCCGTGGAGCCCGAAATCCGGGTACGCACCAACAGCAACCGGCACGGGCCTCGCAAAGGACTGACTGTCAAGAAAGGACAAGACGGTCCTCATCATCATCCTCTCGTACACACAAACACGCCTGCGCGCAGACTCAGGCTACCCCCCCGGGACTCGTCGGCGGAGACGACTTGACTCGGCAACGCATAAAGTCCCAAAGAGCCACCATCCTCGGAAATCTTTCTTGATCCAAGGACCCTTTTGTTTCCGACAGGCAGTGTGCGGATACAAAGAGTGAAGAAAAAAAAGGGGGCTTGTTCAGGCTGAACACATCTTTCTTTACTCTCCTCGACCGAGTACACTCACATTCTCATTCTCGATACTTATTCAAGACGGCGACGTCTGCCTCGTCTTCTCCTGGTCCCAGCCACGCTCACGCATTCGGCTGACTCACGCGAAAACCCTACTTCTTCTCCCACCTTGGCATCCCATCGATCCCGTCCGGCCCTCGTCGGCGAATAAGCGGTCCAGCCCTTCGCCCTCTCGCCTCCCGTCTGCTCCCGCCGCAAAGGAATTTGGCAACGTCGCACAAACCTCGGCACTCGGACCCGCCTCGCAATCCCTGCTGACAGATAGATCAACTCTAAACTCCCCGAACCCCTGTCGGCCTGGCCGCTAGAGCTGGCCCCAGCGATCGGTACTGCGACGCCTGTACTCCGACGCCTGTACTGCGACGCCTGTACCCCCGTACCCTCTCAACCTCAACCTCTCCCTCCCTCCATCCGTCCGTCCCCTGCAGCTGCACGCCGTTGGCACCCAAGCGCCCTCTCCCACCCCCTGCGGCACCCCCCCCCTCCACCCCCCCTACCCCCCTGTGGACTCAGCCTCGTGCCCCTAACGTCACCCACTGACGAATGTCCCACGGTCACTTGTCCCAGAAAGCAAGAGGCCACATGAGCCTTGCCCGACCTATTGTCTGACACTTACTTCAATAACCAAGCGCCCTCTCCCTTTTTTCACCGTTTTCACATTCTTCTCCCTCCCGTCCTCGCATCGACCCTCGACAAGGGCTACGCCTATATCCTCTGGCCGTCCCCTCTTCCTCTCGCTCTCTCTCTCTCTCGCCCGCGCTCTCTCGCTGTCTCTCGCTCTCTCGTTGCCCCTCGCTCTCTTCCGCCCGGTCCCTCGTCCAGCATCATCATCACCTTCACTACCGACGACCACCATGGCATCACGGCACCTCCTCACCATGGACGAGCTCAACAAGGCCGCCCTCGAGCACTTTGTCTACCAGCCCGTCAGCCGCGACATGATCTCGTACTTGGCCGACGCCGCCCACAACGTAATTACCTGCGACTCGACTCTCATGCCCTCCAAGAACCAGGCCCTGCCGCCCACGCCCCCGAGGAGCCCCGAGCCCCGATGCGCCCGCGCTGAAGACGACAGCCTGCCCACCCTCGACGAGTTCATCACACAGCTCGTCGTCTCCTCCAACGTCCAGGTCCCCACCCTCATGTCCACCCTCGTCTACCTCACCCGCCTCAAGGCCAAGCTGCAGCCCATGGCCCGCGGCCTGCGCTGCACCACGCACCGCATCTTCCTCGCCTCGCTCATCCTGGCTGCAAAGTACCTCAACGACAGCTCTCCCAAGAACAAGCACTGGGCCAACTACACCCACATCGCCACCGACCTCTACTCGTTTGGCTTCACCCGCACCGAGGTCAACCTCATGGAGAAGCAGCTCCTCTTCCTCCTCGAGTGGGACCTCAGGATCTCCGAGCAGGACCTCTACCGCGAGCTCGACGTCTTCCTCGAGCCTCTGCGCGTCCGCATCGCCGAGCGCCATGCCCGCAAGATGCGCCAGCGCGAGGAGAAGCGCCGCCAGCAGGACCTGTACGCCGCCGCCTCGACCCGCTATCCCAGCCCTGTCGCTTCCCGCGCCACCTCGCGCTCCCGCAACGCCAGCCTCGAGAACCTGCGCCCCGGCTCCGTCTCCCCCCCGGGCCTCACCTACAGCAGCTCGGCGAGCTCGTACGCCTCGTCGGCCCCCTCGAGCCGGCAGCAGTCGCGCTCCACGACGCCCCTGGAGTCGGACCCCGAGGCAACGCCCTACGAGACGCCCCTCAAGGCGCCCCTCTACGACTCCCCCGTCCAGATTGTCGTCGACGCCGACTCGCAAAAGGCTGTACCCGCGCCGTCGAGCGCGCGCATGCTGCCCTACGAGATCTCGGTAGAGCACTATCACCAGATGCACGACGGCGCAGCCAAGAAGCGCCACAAACGTGGCATGTGGGGGCGTCTCTTGGGAGGAGCCGTCACTGTTCGATAACCAGCATCGGCTCCCCTTTTCCTTCTTCACTTGTGTGATTCACGGCATGCATCAAGAGAAACAGACACGACACAATGAGCACGGCGTTTGCGGTGGCTTACACGACTCGCTTTCCCCCGGCTGGGACACGCGTCCAACATGACTTGGCACCTGCTTGACTCGACGACCCTACGTCGATGCCTAATAGTGCGCCACGACACAGGCGTCTGCATATATTATCATGTGTACAGGGCAAAAAAAATGTCACCATACAGGAGTCAACATCTCGCTTCCTTTTTCCTTTTCTCCTTTCTTATACCTGGGCCTCTGATGGACCGGGGCCGAGCTTGGTGTTGGAAATACCTCTTCTCTTACTTATACGGCGGCGAGAGAAAACAGCATTTGGAGTTTTGGGGGTTTGGGGCGGCCAGGCGCGCCTCGATGGGCCCTGCCGCGTTTCTTCGACTTGAGGAGGACTCCTCATTTTCCTTTCTTTTTTGGGTTTCTTTTTTCCTTTGCCTCTTCCCATGATATTGGGTTCAGGATATGGTAGATGGGTCCTAGGGTAGAACTGCTCCCCCCTCGTGGGCGGACCTAGCAAATACATCGCAACTTGTTTGACAAACACTACATGTCCAATGCTCTGTTTGCACGCGTGCATGCAACGCTTTCACGGAGGGGCGTGGATTTCGACAGTCGGTCAGCCCGGCGCCGGACCGCGCTGGGGTCACGGGACGGGAGGCGGGTGACTGTTGGCCGGGGGGGGGGGAGGCCACGCACGTTGGTTGTTTGCGGCCAGGCAGGCGCGCAAGACGCAGTCACGGCGCTGGCTTACACGCAACGGCACAGCGCACGCGCCCCCGCCCGTCACGCACGTTGCTCGGCCGTGGCAGACGGATCAGTCCAGCCTACGGTACTTACTTGCCCGCCTGCATACCTGCTCCAGCACATGCCTTAATTACCTGCCTGCCTACCTAGCTAGGTACTTTACATACTGTACGTGCTCGCCCAGACTTTCACACTTTTTTTGGTCACCACACAGACAGAACAGACGGAGCAGCAGAAACCCCTGTGTGCAACGGCCGCGGGACCCCCAATCCGGCGCCCGTCGGAGTTTGTCAACGACGATGCGCCGGGGCCCGTGCCACTTATACACTCGCTTGCGGGGGATATCAGGAGTAAAAGTACCGTACCGTACCGTACCGTACCGTACCGTACAGTGCAACACCCAAGACGAGGAGGAAAAGAAAAAGGAGGGAAAAAATAGTGGCGCGAACTGCCCCCCCCCTTCGTTGAAGCTCTCTCGCCACCAGGGGACGGCCAGGTGCAGAGCCGCGTGTGCTCACTTCGTCGCGTCTTCTGCCTGCCTGGCGGTGGGTGGCAAGGGGCGGTGATGGGATGCGGGCGTGGGCTGTTGGCTGCGTTTGGGGGTCACCGCCCGCCGGCGGGGGCAAGAGGGGCCAGGCGACGCAGCCTACACAGCCCGTCGAGTATAGAGGCCCATGTGCCCTGTAGAGGGCATCGTGGCCCGCCCCGCAGAGCTCGGCCTCCGGGCGTCCGCATCGGGGCAGACCTGGCCCTCCGGACCGTGCCCGTGTACACGCTGGGAGCAGAGTCTAAAAACCCACCGGGGTACGTCCTGAACGTGGAGATAAAAATAAAAAAAACAGAGTTGCGCGGGCGGGGGTCCAAGGGGACGGCGGACAAAGAATAAGAAAGGGAACAAGGCGCAAACGCCGGCCCCACACCCTTCGGACCCCCCGCCCAGTCAGCCCGCCGCATCCGGCCTCGCTCTCCCGCAACGGGACCCTGAAGCAACCTCTGGCTGGTGCCACCTACGGATAGGGGGTGCAGACCCTCGCATCGTCGCATGCACTCCCATGCGGGGCTGCATGAGCCCGCCATGTCGTGACCTCGCCTTCGGAATCGGCTTTTCTTGGTAGCTGTGTCTGTGTGTTCTCCGTAACATCGCAGCTGAACCACGGGCCGCTGCGAGGGCTGTGTGGCAACCGACGAAATCACCCCGTGCCTCCTCCGCGGCCACCGCCTCGTCGCTTTCCGGCTGGGGCCCGCATGGACCGCCAACCACACATGGAGAAGCCGCCCGTCAACAAACCTACACCAACCCGCTCACACCCGCGCATCCTCGTCACCGCCATCCGTCCATCACCTCGACGCTTTGGGCTCGCCTATCGGGGCTCCGCAACCATAGTCTTGGGCCGGAACCCCACCCACGGAATCTTGATCCGCAGGCTCAGGCTGCTCAGAACCACGCTGATGCTCGACAGCGCCATGGCAAGCGCCGCCCATACCGGGTCCAGCCGAACGTGGCCCCCGCCCCGCGTGCGCACCGCGTACAGGCATCCCGCCGCAATGGGCACCGCCAGCATGTTGTAGACGACGGCCCAGCCAAAGTTGACCTTGATGCGCCGGAACACGACCCGGCTGAGCTCCAGCAGCGTCAGCACCGCCGACAGGCTCGACGTCGCCAGCACAAAGTCGGCGCTTGATATCGCCACGTCGCTCCCGGACCCAATGGCGATGCCCACGTCCGCCGTCGTCAGCGCCGGCGAGTCGTTGATGCCGTCCCCCACCATGGCCACCATGGCCCGCCGCGTAGAATACCCGTGTCCTCGCCGCCGCCGCCTGCCCGTCTCATCCGCGTGGACCGTCGCCTGCAGGTACGTGATCTTGGCCGCCTTTTCTGATGGCAGTACCTCGGCGAGCACGTTGGACGAGGGGATACCGACGCGTTGCGCCACCGCCTGCGCCGTCGTCATGTTATCGCCCGACAGCATCCAGACCTGCGTCCCGCGACCCCGCAGCGCCTGGACCACGGCCCTTGCCTCCGGCCGGATTGGGTCCGAGACGGCCATGATGGCCGCCAGCTTCCACGCGCTGCCCTCGCGAGCTTTGGCGCCGACGAGCGCCACCGACTTGGCCTCGCTCTTCCAGCCTTGGAGAAGGTTCGTCGCGCGTTGAGATAGCGGGACCGACAGGTCGCGCATCAGGTGCTCGTTGCCCACGGCGACATGGAGTGGCCGGTCCTTGTACGCGGCCTTGATGCCCTTGCCCGGTAATTCTTCCACCTTGCCCAGCGCGGCCGACTCCAGCTCGGCGCCGCAAAAGCTGACAACGGCCTTGGCGATTGGGTGGCTGCTGTTTTCCTCGGCCGCCTTGAGCCCCGACAGCAGCGTCCGCTCGTCCACAACGTCGTCCATCTCGCCGTCCGGGAACAGGGCCGAGTCGGTGATGCGGGGCTCGCCGCCCTCGGTGAGGGTTCCCGTCTTGTCAAAGACGACGCAGTCAATCTTGCTCGCCTTTTCAAACGCCTCGCCTCCGCCCTTGGCCAGGACGCCGTGCTTGGCTGCGATGCCGCCGCCGACAAAGATGGCCGTCGGCGCGGCAAGCGCCAGGCCACAGGGGCAGGCGACGACAAACACGGCAATGGCGAATTGAAAGGCGAACGCGGCCTGTCCGCCGGAGTTGTTCAGCTCCTCATCGGAGACGTGGCCGGTAAAGGCAAGAGCCATCCACACGGCCCAGGTGATGACGGCGATGAGGGTCACGACGGGGACAAAGTACGACGTCATCAGGTCCGCGATTTGCTCCACGGGGGCTCGCTTCGTCTGTCCCTCGCGGACAACCTCGACAATCTGGTCAAGCATCGACTTGCCGCAGGTGCCCGTGATGCGAACCGTGATGGCGTCAGCCTTGTTTATCGTGCCCGCGTAGACGCTGTCTCCGGGCCCCTTTTTGATGGGACGCGACTCGCCCGTGAGGCTCGACTCGTCAAAGTTCGTATCGCCCGTGACAATGACGCCGTCGGCGGCCGGCGACGCGCCGTTGGGGATTCGGATGAGGTCACCGTGCTCCAGTCGATCAATCTCGGTGGCCGTGGTTTTCGGGTTCCCCAGCCTGTCTTGCTCGATGAGTAGCGCCGTGCTGGGACGAAGCTTGGCCAGCGCCTCGACCGCACTCCCAGTCTTGGACTTGCTGTAGCCCTCAATCAACCTTCCTGCGAGCAAGAAGAGCGTGAGGAAGACGACCGAGTCAAAGTAAAAGCGACCCTCGGGCACGTGTGTTTCCTGGTTGATCGCCGCGGCAATCATCTGCGCAACCGACGATAGGTACGCTATGCTTGTTCCCAGGGAGATGAGCATGTTCATGCTTCCAAACTTGTAGAACCTCTCCAGCAGCGGCGTGCGGCTGTTTCCTCGCCACAGCGTTCGAAGTTCCTTGACAGCGCGCACGTGGAAGACGTCGGCGGCCAGGAAATAGACGGGTGTTGCGAGGACGCAGAGGATGATTTCGAGACGGCTCAGGCCCGACTTCCAGGGCTCCATCAGGTATCGCCTCGTCGGGTCTGTTGAGGGAACCAGGCTCATGTAGACGATGCCCAGGATGAACGAGGGGATGGCGATCAAGATGGTGAGGATTTCGCGATAGAGGAGCTCGCGCTGGTGCTTTGCCCTAATGGCCCTGGACCGCTCCTCCAACGTCGGGGGATGGTGGATGGAGGCGTGCAGAGATGGGTCCGTGGCCTCGATGGCGGAGAGAATATGGCGGATGGTGAGGCGAGGGGCTTCTGGGAGATAGCGGACTCTGAGCCGGGGCTGCTTGACCGTCGGTTCCTGGAGGATCTCGATGCGCGAGGAGTCGAGGTTTCTCAGAGTCTGGCAGATCCTGTCGGGACAGCGGTGGCAGAAGATGCCGTCGACCTTGATCTCAACCTCGCGCTCGTCGGCCGACTGCCTGTGCTGGTTGAGGTCGACGACCTTGTCGAGGATGGCGTCGTAGCCGAGATCCGAGATGGCCTCGACGATGTCTTTAGCGCGACTGGGGTCGGTGAAGTCGACCGAGGCGCTGTTGGAGACGAGATTGACGGTGATCTTGGAGATCCAGGGGTGCTTCTGGACCTCGTTGGTGATTGTGTTTACACAGACGGCGCACGTCATGCCGCCAACGGACACGGTTGCGCGCAGCAGAGGCGAGGGAGCTCCGTCGACGACGACGCCGTCAAAGGGCACGGCCGAGGTCTGCCTCTGGATGCTAGACGCAAAGGACAGGGTTCGGACGAGGCGGACGCGGTTCTCGGACAAGTGGTCCTGGTCATGGGCTACAGCCGACTTGCACGCCTCGCAGTTTTCCAGATGGGCGGCGGCGATGGCGGGGCTCGGAGTGCCGGGGGGCGTCTTGTTGCGCCAGAGGCGGGACCATATGTCAAAGGTTCCGTAATTCTGGCGGGCATCTCGCGGAGAGACGCAGTCGATGTCGGCCTCGACGGCAGCCGAGGTGTCGACGCCGCATATGTCGAAGCCGGCGTCTTGCAGCGTCTTGCCCATGGCGCGGATAAAGTCGGCGGTGGGGTCCTCGTGCTCGACGGTGACGACCGAGGTGACGACGTTTGGCGAGACCCAGAGGACCCTGTCGGCGTACTCGTCGTGCAGGAGACTCTTGATGAGGGCTACACATGACGGGCAGTGAAGGTTGCCCAAGAGGTAGGACGTGGTGACGGTGTTTGCCGGAGCCATGGTCGCACGACGACGGGGCCGCCGGGCGAGACGGCCGGGCGCTGAAGGATGTGATGAAGTATACTGCAAGGTAATGGCCGGCCAGATGGGGTGTCGAGGGGTGTCGAGGGATTCGAGAGGTGAGGGGAGGACGATGAAGTTTGCACGGTGAGTACCTAAGCGAGGAGATGCAGAGCGAGGGAAGGCAGGTGGGGGGAGAGCAATGAGGGTAGGCAGCACCACGACGACGACGGGCAAGAGAAATGACGACGACGAAGAGAAAGAAGAAGACGAAGGGTTACCGGGGAAAACAAGTCTACAATTCCACGCAAAGGATTCTGGGCGTTGGCATTTTTTTATAACGAGCAAAAAGCCAAAAACCGGCACAAATGTCGCAAAGCAACTAGGCTGCATGTAGCATCTGCGTCACTTGTGCCGGTGGCCGCCTGCACACGCCGCATCGCCCATTGATGCCATGCGCGCCGATAGAGGGACTGACGAGATAGTTGGTCGAGTTGCGTGAGGGCAGGACGAGGTGCAGCGTGTCCTTGACACCACCGGAATGACAACTTGCAGGTGGTTATCCGAGGGTGAAAGCCGCAGAAAGCGGGTCCCTTTGGATTTGCCGCGCCGGAACGCAGGCATCTTTGTTGACATCGGCTCGGTGCAGACATGTACTGTAGAGAGTCGGTCGGGGTCGGTACTTGGTGCGCCACACCGCTCACCGCCGTCGTACAAATCGACCAAGTCGGTAGATACTCCGCACAAAGGACTCGCCGAGTACCGGAGCCGGTGATCTGTGTCACGTGGCCTGCCCCCTATCTTCTGCAAGCCGCCAGTTCGAATTCTACGTCGCAAACAAAAACTTCGTCGGGTCAATCTCCCAGACATTGTTTCTGCCGAGTCTTCAAGCAGACATGTATGCTTCGAAATGCATGGCCCAAAGGCGCCCACAGGGGCTCGGCGAGTCCCTGAAATTCTTCCCAACTAATACTTCAGGCAAAGTCCAACCGCAGCCTTACAGTACTGCCGACTGCTTGGCTCTCTTTGGAGGACAAGGGACATTTCTCCCCTTCACCCAGGGTCAGTCCCGTGCCTGGGCATCTGTCTTGTCAGACCGACCTTCTGCCAATCAGCGTCTCCTGCCGCGACGAATCCGGTAGCGCTCTCCATGGGACCCGCATCAGGGGGATTTGCCGCTGCTCCTGGGGCGAAGAATGATCACCTTTGCGAGCCCTCCTTTTTCAAAATATTTTTTTAAAAAATTAAACACGGGCAAAATAACCGCTTTTCTTCAAAACACTCAAGCAACATGAGAAAGCATCACACCCATAGTCATCGTGTCCGTCATCATCAAAGCCCATCGGATCATCGGCCGAGGCCGCGGAAGTCGGAAAAAGCGGGCCCCACCCCGAGCGCCCGGGTGGACCGGGGGTGTCTTGCATCATGGCCGCTAGACCCCTTTGAGCCTAAAACAATTGCGTGATTCTCCTCGAGTATCAACAATCTGACGGAAGCACCGACAACGACGAGCAAAACCACCAACCCGAGGTATGGGCTTGGAATTACTACTAAAAAGAGGGTCGCCATGACTCCTTACAAATCCACCCTCGCTCGTGCCCCTTGTTTCCTTCCTTTACACTGCTCCCTTGTCCTCCTCTTCTGCCTCTTCTTCATCACCGTCGCCCTCGCCTCATCCCTTCCTCCAGCCGATAAAGTTGCGCCCTTGGAAGAGACGTTGCCTGTGAGGACTGCTCTTGTGCTTCCCATCCCCGGCCATTGCCTCCCCGAGACGCCTGGGAAGCGGGGCTCCTTGGTCTACCCGTGTCCTTTACGCCGACGAAGAGAGGATACAGTCTTGAAATGCATCTCCCGCCGCCACAGTCAAAGCCAAGGCCCTCGGGCTTCCAGGCCTCGTCGTCCACTCTGCCCTTTGGCCAACCGGTCCCCCTGGCTTCCATTTCCGCCCCGGCCTACGTCACCGCCCAGCTCCTCGTCCAGCAGGTGGCCTTTAAGCTGTCGGACAAAATCTACTCCTTCTCACCAGAGACGTTCGATCTCGACATTGCCGCAAAGCAGTGGGCCGCCGACGAGGGCCGGAACATCCATGGCTACACCCCCTCCGTCCTACCCCTCCAGACCCGGACCGGCGCCGGCGCCCTGGCCCTGGGCTACATCTTCTCCCCCGACTTTGATGTCGCCAAGAGGCACATTCCCCAGACCCTGATTGCCCCCTCCGGCAGCCTACAGAATCTGCGGGGCACGCTTGACCAGCTCTCCCTGCTGTACAGCCTCTCCAGCCCCTTTGTCGCCCACATCGCCGCCGCCGACTACACTGCCAGCCATGGCCTCGCCTCCAACTATGAGGCGACGCTGCGACTGGCCGAGGATCTCGGCTTGGCCCTGGTTGCCAGCTCGTCGACGTACGAGGCGCAGCACATGTCTCTCTTCTCCACCCTGCTTGCCACCTTGACCCCTACGCTGCACATCTACGACGGCATCCGTGTGGCCCGGGAGACGCTGCGCGTTGTCGATGCTCTGAGCGAGAGCGGAGTTGCCGACTTGTACACGAGACTCGCCGCCGAGGCCCGCAAGCTGAACCAGCGATTGGACACGGCGGGCAAGGTCCTCGAGCTTCTGAAGCTCTTCAACGACGATCTCGGCACCGTCTACGAGCCCTTTGAGTACCACGGCCACGAGACCCCGGACATTGTCCTGGTTGCTTTCGGCAGCGTCGAGACTCAGATCGCGAAGCAGACCCTGACCAAGCTTGCCGCCGACGGGGCCAAGGTCGGCGTCGTCAACGTCCGTGTGTACCGACCCTTTATCGAAGAGGCCTTCCTCAAGGCTGTTCCCGCTTCGGCCCGCACCATTGCCGTCCTCGGCCAGGTCCGGGACGAGGCCGCCGTCGAAGACCAGGCCATTCCGTCTGCCCTGTACGGCGACGTCCTGACCGCCGTCACCTTTGCCGGCACCTTTGACCAGGAGCCCGAGGTCATCGACATCAAGTACTTCCCTGCTCAGACCCTGACACCCCAGGGCCTGGTGAGCACCCTGCACAAGGTGTTTGGCAACGACGACGTCGCAGGTGAGCTGCCTTCCCTCATCGCCGCCCAGCAGTATACCTTCTGGGACGTCGATGATTCGGCGGCCCTGCACTCCCCCGCCGTCATTGGCCGCGTCTTGTCCCAGGAGTCAACCACCAACGTCTACGCGCACACGGCCTTTGACAACCTCACGCAGGGCGGCGTCGTCCGCACAGACCTGCGGGCGTCCAAAAAGGCTCTCGAGGCGCCCTATGCCGTCAACGAGGCAGACGTGTCTGTCATCGGCGACGAGAGGCTCTTGAAGGAGGTTGATGTTTTGAAGAGTGTCGCCGATGGGGGCAAGGTTCTCCTGAAGCTGTCCGGCTTCAAGCAGGACGAAGTCGAGAAGCGGCTCCCCGCTACTTTCCGGAGGCGCGCCTACGAAAAGGGCATCGACCTGTTCGTCTTGGACATCTCGTACTCGCCGGCATTTGAGAATGACGCCTTCTCGACCAAGCTCCTATTTGAACTTGCCTTTTTGAAGCTCGCCCAGCCTCAGCTGTCGCCTCAAGACATTGGCAACCTGACTCTGGTCGAGGGCCATCCGCCGACGCTGCAAGAATGCGTCGATGCCCTCGACCAGTGCCTTGACAAGCTCGAGGTCTCGGCGGCCTGGGGCGAGTTCGCGCCGGACCACAGCGAGCCCGCGCTGCGCACGTCAATCCAGACCAATAGTTTCGTGCCATTCTTGAAGCAGGAGACCGAGGAGGCCCCGCAGCTGCGCGACTGGCAGGCCGCTGCCAAGGGCATCGTATTCAAGGAGGCATACGGGACGCGGGCAAGCCTGCGGCCCGACCTGCCGGTCAAGACGGCCACGATCCGCGTCAAGGAGAACCGGCGACTGACACCGGCTGACTACGACCGGAACATCTTCCACATCGAGTTCGACCTTGGCGACTCCGGGCTCACGTACAAGATTGGCGAGGCGCTGGGGATCCACGCCGACAACGACGAGCAACAGGTCAACGACTTCGTGCGGTGGTACGGCGTCGACGCGGCCGAGCTGGTGCTGGTCCCCGCGCGCGAGGACCCGACGGCGCTCGAGGCCCGGACGGTGCACCAGGCGCTGTTGCAGAACATTGACATTCTCGGCAAGCCGCCCAAGCGCTTCTACGAGGCGCTGGCCGAGTTCGCCACCGACGAGGCGGAGCAGAAGCGGCTCGCGTCGCTGGGCAGCTCGGCGGGCGCGGCCGAGTTCAAGAGGCGGTCCGAGGAGGACACGGCCACGTACGTCGACGTCCTCGAGGAGTTTTCGTCGGCGCGCCCCGGCTTCCACGACCTGATGCAGCTCGTGGGTCCGCTCAAGCGGCGCGAGTATTCGATCGCGTCGGCGCAGGCCGTGACGCCGACGACGGTGGCGCTCATGATTGTCGTCGTCGACTGGGTCGACTCGCGCGGCCGGACGCGCTACGGCCAGGCGACGCGGTACCTGAGCCGGCTGCAGCCGGGCGCGGCGGTGACGGCGTCGGTCAAGCCGTCGGTGATGAAGCTCCCGGAGCGGGACACGGCGCCGCTCATCATGGCCGGGCTGGGCACGGGACTCGCGCCGTTCCGCGCCTTTGTGCAGTACCGCGCGATGCAAAAGGCCCAGGGCAAAGACATCGGCTCCATCCTGCTGTACCTCGGCTCGCGGCACCAGCGCGAGGAGTACCTGTACGGCGAGGAGTGGGAGGCGTACCTGGCGGCGGGCGTGGTGACGCTCGTCGGCAGCGCCTTTTCGCGCGACCAGCCGCAAAAGATTTACATCCAGGACCGCATGCGGCAGACGCTCGGCGACATTGTCAAGGCCTACGTCGAGGAGGAGGGCAGCTTCTACCTGTGCGGGCCGACGTGGCCGGTGCCGGACGTGACCAAGGTGCTGCAGGAGGCCATTGCGGCCGAGGCACAGGCGAGCGGCAAGAAGCTCGATGCCGGCAAGCAGATTGAGAAGCTCAAGGAGGAGGGACGCTACGTGCTCGAAGTCTATTAGGAGGGGGATACCAGGTATCCAGGGGCGAGAGCGCATCCATCACCTGGCATTTCCTCGCGTGGCTCCCCCGGACTAGGCGGCCTACACTGTATGTACAGCTCGGGCATGGCGCTTCGTGTCAGCCGCGACAAGAAAAAGGGGCGTTTGGGGCTGACTGGATGAAACGAAAATGATGCCACACACAGAGAGCCACATGGAACCATGGTCTTGGCTGTGCACCGTTCGTGGCGCCCCGTGTCGAATTGCCCCTGTCCCTTGTCCCCATCTCTGTCGAACGATGGCCTCACTGCCACCGTCCCTCGCCGTCGATGCTCGCGATCCGTGGCCGTTGTCGATGACGCGGCGTGCTCGTCTCCTGACTCCGCCACCAACGAATGCACTGCCGCTCCAGCCCGGTCGGTCCAGGCCTTGCCGCCCCGGGCCGTGTCCGGACAGCTCCCGCGGGCCTCCCAGCAAGACGGGGGCCAGTGTTCGTACAGTGCTGTGCCCGGGGTGCGAAGGAGGCTGGTCCGGAACGAGGGAAGCGGATTCCGTACAGCCAAGTGGCGATGCAGCCAAAGTGGCGAGTCGAGCACCGGCAGTGGCATGATCAGCGAGCGAGCCATTGCCATCACTGTCTTACAAACTGCACTACTCTTGTCGTGGCTCTTGCGAGTATCCATCCGTACGATGACAGAGAAGCCAAGCCCCATCTGTCCCTCATCCATCCATATGGGCACCGCGAGCCATGCAGAGTCGCGGGGTTAAGGGACGCGGGCGACGACGCATCGTGCTGCTGCCGCCGCCAATCCCAAGGGGCCGAGACGCCATTCGCCAAGGGGCCCGGAGGAGAATCCGTTGCTACAAGCCCTACAACGTCACGATGCATTCACAAGCACAACCCGGTGCAACTCGCCACCGCCCACATTCCGTATGCGGTTCGTACGAAGCGACGCATATGCATGTGCCCAGCTGTAGAACAAGTACGGATGTGGATAGGCCATCCACACATGTAGTGCCATGCATGGATGTATCGTGCCGGTGCATGCGACGCCCGTACAGTACACAGGCCCGCATGCCATTTACAGGGCCTGCAACGCCTTCGTCTCGCATTGTGTCTATGTAGGTATGTATGCACATGTGTATACAAGTCACACATGCCCTCGGATCCGACGCTTGACCGTGCAAGCCGTCCAACCCACGCGAGACTCGTGCGAGGGGAGAGACAACAAGCTTCACCCCGTAACCTTCCATACAGACGTATCCGTACAAGTCGCAAGCCTGCATGCTGTGTGTTATATTGCGGGTGCCCAGATCGTCTGCTCTTGCATGCCCCCTCGCCCCGGCTATGTGTTACAACTCGCCTTCCGGTCCGGGCAGCGTTCCGTCACCCTATCAGTGGTTTCCACCGTCATCTGGGGTCGCAGGGGAGGTGTGAATGGTCGCCAGATGAGGAAGCAAAAGGGCCGGAGGCAAGCAAGACAGCCAGCCGCTCGCTCCGCAACGTCAACCCCCCCCTTAACTTCCGCCGCCCGCCCGCGCCCACGGGCCGGCCTCCCTCTTGACCGCCAAAACGCGGAGCCTCTTGTCTCCCTCCTCCCGGGCCTGCAGCTTACGTCTGCGCACCGGCCCCGCAACCCGGCCGCCGCACCTCGCCATGGCCCCCAGCTGATGCGACGGCCGCCACCTTGGTCCAAGTCGCGGAGCCCCTTCTCGGGAGCGCACCAAGCCTCGACGACCCGGAGCGCTCATCGTACGGCCGATCATATCTTGGGGCCCTCCCTGCAGAGCGAGACCGACTGCGTCCTCAGCGCCGTGCCCCTTGACCCACCCCAAGACGGGGGCGAGGCCTTGTCTGGCCGCGCTGGACTCTCGAGGACCCGAGTCCGCTGGACCCGACGTGACTCGTCGGCATTGGACATTCCACACGGGACCAACACCCCTGATGATAGGCCTCGAGGAGCGCTAGTTCCATGATGGCACCTGTATGGAAACGGAACCAAATCTCCGAAATCCCTATATCGATTTGCCCAAGTGCGCGATGGCGTTTTGTAAAGTTGTACGTACAACTCCGCCATCCCCTGCAGCCTCCTACGCATATGCATCTTCACCAGTCACATCAGCTGGCGTTGCGTCCATCCACAATGCCTGGCTCTATTGACCTTCCCTTTCCTGTCCATGGGAATGTTCTGCCTGTCCATGGCAAATCTTCTAACTGCACAACACGGCGCCTGGAACAAGGGAAAACAGGCAAGTGATGTGGGACTGTCAACTCCATGTAAAATGCTGTCCAGCGGGACCCCAACGAAAAGCCGGCGCAAAACTCCTATGCCTGTTCGCACAGTTACACTACCGTCTTCGCAGGTGCCTTGTATACTTCGCCCTCGTCGTCAATCGTCACTTTCGCATCTCCATGTGGCGAGCATGGCCGCGGGGGAGACAGCGAAAGAGGAAAAAGCCCATGAAGATGAAACCCAGCAGAAACAAGACAAGCGATCAAGAGCCAAAGATGCGGGGGGGGAAGACGATGATTCATTCGAGAGGCCAGGGAAAACAGCACCGGCTCACGAGATCCAGTCCTGCAGGTCCCCGACTACCTGGTACGTCGGATTGGCCGAGTGGCCATCACCGCCCTTCTTGTCCCACGCCCAACGATCAGCGTACTCGGAGTCTAGGCTGCCCTGCATCATGTCCGCAATGTAGTCACCAATCACGGGCAAGAACTTCCAACCGTGAAACGAGCCGCCCGTGGCCACGTAGAGGCCTTGGCAGTGTGGATGAGGCGTGACGAGGAAATCGTGCGTCGGGGTTGATGCGTCCCTGGCCAGGAAGCATCCCGCATGTTAGAACGGGATTGGCTCACTCTGCGAAGCGAGCGTGCTTCTCGGGGGCGGGGAAGCCAGGTGATAGGCTCGGGCTTACCAGCACATTCGATATGCGTCAATGGGTATCTCCTCGGCCTCCTTGCCGTATAGGCCGTCGATGGTTCTCCGGGCCCGCTCCTGGAAGAAGCTGAGGAAGCGAGGCCCGGTCCAGACGTTGAAGACGTTTTGGTCCGGGGCAACCGACATGCGCTCACCGGTCGGCGGGAATGGGACATAGTTTGTGAAGCACATATCGCAGTTGAACTTGATGGTGCCGTCGTCGAGTATCGACATGCCCTCGCCTGCAGCCAGCCGTGGACCGGTCAAAAGCCTCCTCGCCAATAGCACGTCCGGGATGCGACGCCCACGTACCTTTGACCTGTGGCAGGCAGTTCTTGAGCACCGGAATCGGCGCAAACTTGGCCCTCTGCTCGCCAAAGAGCTTGGCGTAGAAGCTGACGGCCCCGGTCGCCACGACGCGGTCGCCGACGTGCAGGAGCCTGTTGTCGGGCGCGCTCTGGGCCAGCAGCGCCGGGGTGCGAGCGCCCGCCGCCAGCAGCGTCTTGTCGGCCTGCAGCGTCTCTCCCGCCTCGAGGCTGACGCCCGTGCATTGGCCGGCGGGGCCAAAGTTGAGCCTCTTGACGACGCCCACGACGTACTCGACGCCCTGGTCCACCGCCTCCTGCACCACGGCCCCCAGCGCCTTGTCGGCCTCGGCAAAGCCCACCGACGGGTTGTACAGGACCGTGTCGAGGCCGCCAAAGTCGGCCGTCGCAAACGCCCCGTTCCAGCGCCTGCGCACCTCGTCGACGGCCAGGAACTCGGAGTCGTTGGCAACCCCCATGTCCCGGTACGCCGCTATGCTCTCGTCGCCGAAGCTCGACGTGTCGGCCCGCAGCATGCCCACCTCGTGGTAGTGCGCGCTGTAGAGCCTGTCGCTGCGCCACTTGGGCATCGCCTTGATCAACATGCGCATGTAGAGCTTGTCGGGGTAGTCGTCGCGCACAATCTTGTTTACATCGTGCGACGCCGCTCTGGGGTTGGGGAAGGCGGCCGTGTCGATGAGCGTCACCTTGGCATTGCCGCGTTGGACGAGCGTCAAGGCTGTGGCGGCGCCAAAGTTGCCGGCGCCGATGATGATGTAGGAAGTCATGGCCCACGAGGGGAGGGAAGCTTGGTGTTTTGACGCCCTGATGTCTCCGGGGCTGCTTGAGTGGGCGGTCTGGAAGTAGCAACGGTGATGTCTAGATTGTCGAGAGATGCACGACGTCTTTGCTCTGGCGATGGATGGCGGCGACGGAGAGGCTTCTCTGGCAATTTATATAGAGCGAGAGATGACGGTGATTGGGGTCCAATCTCTCTTGCCCTCGTCACGGCTCGGGGAGGAGGGTGAATCTAGCAGAGGGGGGTCTTTCGTCTTGATTCAAGGCAGAAAGCACAGGCGAGGATGTGTGTAAGTGACGCAGGCAGAGCCGGTCAACAGCGGCGGCCAAGGCAGGGTAAGGCGCGGATGGAGCTCGCGCGCGGCGTCTTATACGGCCTGGGTGAGCTGGCAACGACAAAGGACGGCAGGGGAAAAGGTCGAGGGGCACCCGATGCATTCCACTTTTGTCTGCTGGCAAGATGGAGAGAGAGAGAGACATGGACAGGCTCGGATCCGGCCTCCTGTCAGTAGTTGGGCGCCGTTGGGACTTTATACCTCGAACGCTCTCTGATGATCCCCCCCGAGGGACGTGGCGCCTAAATTAGCAAGAGGGAGGGAGGTGTGTGTGCGTGTGCGTGTGCGTGTGTGCGTGTGTGTGTGTCGTCTCTCCGTCGTCTCTCCGTCGTTTCTGTAACAGCCGGAAGCAGCCGCCGGCAGCAACAGAGGACCCCCAGTCAGACATCAAGGCACGGCAAGGCAAGGCAAAGCAAAAATGGAGTCGCCAAACGAGCTCAGCCTAGGAAACAGCCATGCTTGGCCGGACCGACGGGTAAAGTCTTTCCTCTTTTCCCCAAAACAAAACAAAAAACAGGCGCCTCTGGCTGGTCCCGCTCGTCTCGAGGTCGTCCGTCTCCTCCATGCATGCGGCATCCTCTCCGTATCCACACACACAGCGAGAGTCCCATGTACGTAAACATGGGTATTTTATCCATCGGCTCATTGAGCCATGTGCGTCTGATTCGCGTGTGAAAAGGGCCGCCAAGCACCGTCCGATGAGAGAAGCCGTACCCACCGAGGCTGCGTCCAGGTTACATGGCGGCAGGCGGGACAAGATGCCACGCCACCGCTGCGCGACGAGATGCTTTGGGGCGAGTTCGTACCTACTTCGATTGCAATCATGGCACGGGAGGCGATCCGGCGGCACGGAGAAGCCGTGCTTTTTCGATGGCGAGACCCGGCTGCTGGGATCGGAACGGGCATCAAAGTTATACAAGCACGCAACTTAGGTATGGATACATACGCCCGACACAGGCCATGGTTTGGCGCCGGGCAGTGTCTCATCCCGAGAAACGGGATCATCCTCTCGCGTCTCTTTCCACGTCTGCGGCGTGGCGGTGACCTCTGGGAACCCAGGATCCAGACAGCCCGTCAGGTACAGATTCCGCAGTCCTCGGCAGTAGCGCACATCAGATGCGGGGGACATGCTCAGGCTGCAGAGATCGCAGAGACCGACAGGCCTCTCTCTCCCTCGTCCGTCTTCTTTCTCTGGACGGTTGGGTACGGTCAAGTTGTTCAACCACGACTCTGCCGGTCCCAACACCTCGTCTCCTTTCTCACAGGACCGTCATGGCTAGCGCACCTTGCACGCTCGACACTTTGTGTTCGAGGTAGTGTCATGCGGCATCCTCGATGTCGGCCGGGGATTAGTGCATGTTGGTAGGCAGTTTGCGCCAATATGAGCCGCCGTGGGTGATTATACGAAGTGATGCGGTACCGTCTTTATGGGGTGTGTGCGTGTATGCTGGTGAATATTGCATGTCTGGGTATGTAGGTGGAAACAGGAGGCTAGTTACGTTATCTGATCGTGGTCGGACGGCAAAGAGAAAGAAGACGACCCAAGAAAGACATTTGGATCCGATGAGAAAACAAGACGATGTCGCAGTGGTATAGCGGCGGCCGGCGCGGAAGCCGGGGGGCCCGAGAGGCTAGTGCGCGGCTCTCCACTTCCGGCCCGCCTTTCCAACGTCGGCGATGAAGCGGGTCTGCCGTGTCTTTCCCCAGCGACGCACTGTGACGGGGGACGCGGTGCTGGTGGTGAGAGAGATGAGGTGACGAGCCGCCCGTTGAGATTCAGGGACAGAAGAAAGAAGGAGACTGACGAGCTGTGTCAAAGGTATTGATTGGTACATAGGGGCATGGAATACCAATGCTAGGGCTTTCCCGAGACAAACGTTGCAGGTGCGGATATCCGTAGTCTCTTGTCCCGTTCAATGTTTCTATTTTTACGTGTATACCTGGTCTTCAAGCCTCTCCGTCGACCCTCCGTGCCCTTGTCTGCCGGGGCCCATCCGAGGCCCCTCCCCATCGTGGCCAGCCCGTGGCAGACGCGCCAGGATCCCATTCCGGCGTCTCCGGCGCTGTGGGGCCACTTCTCTCCCGTCCTGTCTTCTCTCATCCCCGTTCGCGGAGACGCGGAAAGAGCAACGAGAAAAGGAGGTGAGACGACCGTCACCTGATCCGACGACAACCCGAGCAAGCGAGACGCTCTGCCTCGCACCCATGGCGCCTCTGCTCGGCAAAATTTGGCATCGCGGCGGCGAATCAAAGGGGCATTCCCCTGAAATCCAACGCCTTTCCCAAGCGACGCCGTGCATTAGCGCCGGTTCACAGCCAAGAGATGGGCGTCTGGGGCCCCCCGATGATTTTCGCCGCCGCCTATTACCTATGTAGGCATGTATCCGTATTCGTACCAACATTGGGTCCAGTAAGTGCCTAGGTACAGTACCTAATAAAGCCAGGTGCTCACGTGCTTGCCAAGGTAGATACTCAGATACTCTTGCCTCTCCTCTCCTCTCGCCTGCTCCCTTGTTTCCCCCATGCCCCCCCGGTGTCGTCAGACGCGCCCCAAAGTGGAAAGGTGACTACCTAATTACCAAGTTGTCGTCTATGTGGATCAACCACCCAGTCCTTAAGCATGTATTACAGTACCTACCTGTACAGTAGCCGTGTATGTAAATACAGCATGTGCAATAGTTTGCTTGCTCGACTTTGGTCCCGTCTCGCCCCCTCTTGTATCTTTTGCTTTAGGGCCGCACCTTTGCGAGAGCACGTGCACGAAATGCCGCAATCTCCGACGACGCGCCCGTCTTGCCTCTCTATCTTGATGTCCTCGCCGTCACCGCTCCGATGCCTCCGCCTCTACCGGAACGAGCCTCGTCCTATGCCGGAGAGGCAGGGGCTTCCTGTTTTGTTTCAGCTGCCTCGCACGCCCTCGATCCTTCTTGCTGCCCCAAATCTGCCAAGCTCAGAGGAGGGACATGTCTCACTCTCGTCGGCTGGCCTTGACCCGAACAAGCTCTGGATCTCCGACAAGCATCGGCCCGTTGTTTCTTTTTCCATGTAGCAACTCGCCACGGCCAATGTTCCATCTCCTTGCGCTGACACGCAAACAAGAAGGCTCCGACTTCGGCAGAAGACTCCTACCAAGCTCCCAGGCCGTCTCCCTCTCCCGCCCGTCTTGTTCATCCGTTCCTCTGCGCGTCATCGTCAGGCTGCGGCGTGCGGCAAGTGCACGGCCTCATCGACACCGCATACATAACGGACGCCTTGCATGAGTCTCGTCTACAGCGGTGAGCATCTTGTCAACCCCACCAAGGTGCATGAGAACGGACGGGCGGTCCCGCGAACCCGGTTCTCAGCCCGTGGCGTCGACTTGTGCCCACCCTGGCGGTTCCTTGGCGTCGTTTTGAATATGTCCAGGAACGACTGCCGTCGCTTAGCTATGGCTATGTTCGAGCTTTACCTTCTTGCTGCAGCAGGGTCAAGGCTCCCCTGCCGAGCAGGCAAGCAAACACCACTCTCCTCCGCCTTCGACCACCACGAGACCTCGATGCCCAAACGACCCTGGATGGCCACGCACCTGCAACGCCAGCGGGCGCGCTTGACAGCCTCACCGGTCCGTGACTGGAAGCTAGGCGCCTCTCTCTGCTGTACTAACAACACACCATGCCCGGCCTGGCCATACGTGGACGTGCAGGCGTGCCGCATGCCTAACCTATAATTGAGGTGATGAGCATGAGGATCATTATGATGATAACTCTCCTCCAATCTACCCCGCTCTCTCCCCGGCATGGACCGCTGTCCAAGGCTAACCCGCGACCCGATAGCCCGGAAGGAGTCGGTGAGACATGTTTTTGGGGGGGTTCATCAAGAACGGGCTGCCTAGCATTTTCGTTGCGAGATCCGCTGACGACCTGGGCAATAGATGCATCGGTGAGATCTTGCATTCTTGATCGAGAACCCCAGGCCCAGGCCCATCTCTCTCCATCGGTTGGGGGGGGGGGGGCATGGGGGCATGACTTGTGTCGTGTCCTCACTGCCAACGCAGAGCGACACTATCTGCGATTGCCTCGGAGCCCACGTACGGCCATACATGATACTGTACTCACGCATATGCTGTGAAACGTTCTCTCGGGCCGCCGTCTGGTGCAACTCATCTCCAAAGATGAGAAAGACCCGTGTCATTGGATGTTTATCATGATGCTAGGGTGAGATCGTCAAACACCAAGAGAGAAGGAAAGAAAGAAAGCCAGCCCCTCCCGCATCCAGCTGTGCCGCTAATTACTGTACGTCGTGGAAACGGTCTTTGTTTTTCCTGCCCGCCCCGCCATCCTTCGGCCGGGTGCTCCTTGTCCTCTTTCCAGTCCTCAGGGCTATGTATAAACCCATGCTCCTGTCCCAAGAAGCCCATGCCTTCATCGTCGTGGCACGCACGCAACAGCCGGCCAACCACCATCCTCCCCTCTTCCTCGCCTTCCGTCCCATCGCCCGGCAACCAAGTGAGGCACGCACCCCCAGTCCATCAACACGGGAGGCGTGTCCCTCCCCCTTTTTCATATGTATATGTATAGCTTCTCTGCCTCGACCAGGAAGCGTCGAGGCATCGGGCGTTGAAACTCCACCAGCTCGTCTTTCTTGACGGGCCCCAACGGCCGCCAAGCTCGTTTCGATCGTTCTACCCCGTTGGTCGTGCAGGCCTGGGCGCCATCCCTCGTGCCACGCTGTGCTTTCCTGCAGCTTTGCCACTAATTGAAACGGGGATCCACTCCTTTCCAAACCCTCTTCTCGAAGACGACGCTAGTCCGGGATGTATGTCCGACACTTCGGCGCTTCGAACCAGGGGAACCCCCCAGTTGACCTACCCGTCACGTCACGACGTAATGCTTGACCGTGGCCTTGTGCCTTTCTAAACCGTCCCGGCGAGCAAACCTCCGCTTCTTTGGCGGGTTGGGGCATCCTGGTATGTCACACCGCCAGGGCTTGCGATGTTTGTTACAGTGCTGCCTGTACGGGCACGTTAGCGGATCAAGGGTAACACGTGCGGCTCGGCCGGCATTGACTTGGCGTGTGCCCCAGCACGGGCACCATGCGAAGCCCACGCCGGCGAGGGTTGATTGTGTCAACTACGTACGCGAAAGACGAGTTGCGGTCGAAGATGACGAGGTTGCCCTCCTTATCAACCCCTCCCTTTTTGCATTGATAAGCCTTTGGGCAAGAATATGTGCCCTTGCCCCTTTGCCGCAGGGCCTCCATGTCAATGTCAAGGAACATTTCGTCGTCCGACTCGTCCGACTCGTCCGATCGGTGGCCAACGTCAGGGTGGAGCTGAACGTGGCTGTCCGGCAAGAGCTTGCGTGCCTTGAGCGAGCGTTCGCCGCCGTCGCTCGACACCGACATGGACTTGTTGGACACAATGGAGAGCTTGGCGTCACAAAAGGGCGAAATGGATGTGGCCTGCATGCCCGGCGGCGAGTTTATCATCCGCGGCCGCCAAGTGGACTGAACCTTATGAGAAAATTCGAGCGTCATATCCCTGATTTTACTGCCATGGATAGACAGGAAGAACGAAGGAGAAAGAGGTAAGCACGAGGGAGACAGTGATCGGACGCAGAGCAACTGTTGGCAATCTGGCCGCATGTACCTCCCTAGGGGCGTAGGTAAGGAAGTGGCGGACGCAGCAGGAGGTGGGTAGGGGGAGATGGGTCAAGATAGTAGCAAGACGGAAGAAGGAGAGGGGGCGCCGGGCAAAGGGGTGGGGGGGGGGGGGGGTGGTCATACCGAAGCCGAGTGATGTCAATATCTACCCGAGCAACCTCGGTCAGATCCGACATGCCGGTGCCGGTACGGGAGCGTTCATGAGCCCTAAAGGCAGCCTGCTCCAGGTGAGGCCCCTTCAAGAGGCGGTCCGTCAGATAGGCCCACAGCGTGGCCGTGCGACAAAGGTAGTCGCCCATGTCGTTGAGTAGCAAGTCCTCGGAGCCTAGTGTCGAAGGGGGCGGCGTATTCATGTCCAAGTCGTGCGTGGCGCGCTCCAGGTGTTCGCGGATGAGTGACTCGAGCAAGGGCGATTGTGAGGCACCCAGCCCTGGCTCGAAGACGTGTGCGGCGCGAGGCATTGAAGCCAGACAACTAATCGACCTACAGAGTCGGGCGTAGGCGGAGATGTGACGCCGTTGGAGGCACGGCCAGGTTTCGACTCGACCACGGTACGGAGAGTCTCAATTCTCTCATACCGCCACCGGCCTCCTTGGCTCCCCTCGATGCCGCCAGGTATGAGCCGAGGCACGGTGCAGCATTGACTGGCTGCCCCTCGATGCCACTCACACTCGATGCCACTCACACGCACAAAGTGAGTGCCAGCTGGCGGCTGCCTCCCACAATGCGAAGCCCCCGTGTCCCGTCTCTCGCTCTCGCCCTTGGGACGCGCCGCAATTGGTGCTCTGCTCGCTGACCTGGTCGAGAGCGTACGTGAGAGTGAGAGGGTCGGGGTTGGAAAGGGCGTGACACCTGTACGGCCGATTGGCGTCCCCGCTCGCTCGTAGTGGCCTGCGCGAAGAGGCTCCAGGGCCGAGGTAGCGACTCCTACGACCGACCACCTCTCAGACCGCCCAGTTGAGCGACGAAGGTTGAAAGGGGGGTAAAGGGGGGATGCTGCACTCCAGTGTCTGTACAACGACAACGCAGAGACTGATGAAAGACGTGGGCCACCACCAGCCGGCAGCAAGAACGTGGCAAAACCCTGCAGCGACTGCTGCGAGTCCCTCGGATCGTCTGACAAGAAAGCACAGGATGGATGGGCCGGAGCGACCCAATGTCAGGCGCGCAGGGCGGGACGTTTGCTGGGTCGGTTTTGCGTGCAATGAGGCGTCGAATATGCGCTTGGAGTCAAGGAAGGTCACCGGAGAGATAGGGTGGGGAGGGGGGGCTTTAGCTTGGCACCAGGTCCTGGAGGTGAACTGCCGCTGCCTCAAGTTTCTTCTTCCCTTTCTTTTGGGCTGGCCGGCGAAGTAGTGAATACTGACGCTCCCAAGGAGGTGTGGGTGATGGTCGGGATGATCTCTGGCGACGGCTCGCTGGATGACAAGGGCTAGTTTGGGGAAGAGGGGTTAGGAGACGGGCGAAAAGGCGGCGAGGCAGACGAGAGCGAGTTGAGAATCGACGACGAGAACCACCTGACTGGGAGCAAGCAGGAAAGCCAGCGTCGTCATCAAAGGAGAAAAGACGAAAAGTGGCGGCCGTCTTATGGCTCGATGCTACAAAACAAAGCTCTCGGGGTCTCCCCCCTTGCTTTTCTGTCCGTGCCGACCAGGTAGTGGACTCTGCTGCTTATTATCGAGGGCTCCCGAGGCCAGAAAAACGGCACTTCAGCCAGGTCGTTGGCTGGGTGCTGGAGGTGATAGCTCTCTCGCTCTCGCACAACAGTGATCCTGGGACAAGCTTGCTGGTGGGGAAGAGACAACAAGGCTAGCAGGGGTTTTGCCAGCCAGAAAGATTGCTGGGCGGAAGCGTTGCATACCACCCACTGGCCATGTCTTTGCGCCTGTTGTCGACAGCGGCGGGAGCATCTGTCGCTTTTCAGCAGGCCACGGCATCGCGACCAGTCGGGTGAGCATCAGGCCCTCTTGCAGCCTCATGGAAGAAGCCAAAGCGTGTCATCGGCTGCTGCCTGGCCTATCATGAGGCTTGCACGTGCGCGCTCATTGAAAGATTTGCGGCACGGCTCCCACCTGCCAAAGTCGTTGGTACCTGCACTGTACAGTGCCTGGCTCGAGCTCCTCTGACGTGGCCTACGGACAGCAGCGCCGGAAGTTGAGTCCGACGTCTGGAGTGAGGGGCGCCACGGATACCGCTCGGCCCTTGATTGGCTAGTCTCGACGACGCCTGCCCAGACAACTGCGCAGTCGCATGTAGGTATCTCGCCAGGGTTCTTCTTCTGCAGGTGCTCCTGGTGTGTGCCGTGCGTGGGCCAGCCATGCGCGACGCCCCGTGTACAGTGCGACACCGGTCAGCGCCATATCTACCTACGGCTTAGTACAGACATTGTGGCTGCGCTCGCGGGACTCATATCTACTAGTTACAGTAGGTATCTACTGTGTTCGAGGCGCCAAGATGCCAAGACGCCACGAGGTTGCTCTGCCGGAATCTTCACGATGCTACTCCGTACTTACGAATCTACCTCAGGCGTCGTGCCCGGAGAACAAGGCCGAGCACTCAGGATGGCATCGGGGAGACAACGTCAGCTCAGCTACAACCTGGTCTCTTGTTTGTACAAACACGGTTAGTGTTGAGACCTGCCAGCTTGCTTTTCTGGCGAGCCGCTCTGCTCGTCAAAGGCCTGCGCTAGGGACCCTAACGTGACCGATTCCTGGCTCGAGACACGGCCATGGCCATCGCCAAATGCTCAACGGCAAGAACCAGTACTGTACCTTGACTGAGCCCACCGCTATTTCCCTGACGCAGGCACGGCCACCGGAGCCTGGAAGGGCATCCGCCTTGCCCGCTAAGGTTTCTCCGGGCTCACTGGGGAAGTCACCATCCGGTGCACAATACCTCTCTGCCCGCCATCGCGAGTTGCGCCCGGTGCCACCGCCCCAGCTCGTTGCAGGCGGGGCAGCAGCTATCTCCACGCAGCTGTTGTGCCCACCGTGCATGCACGCACTGTGCCTTCCATACTGTCCACACCAGGGCTGAGAGCACAAGGGTGCAGGATCACAAGGTGCCTACCTAGGTAGGTAGGTACTGTACCTGGGCAGGTACACACAAGGCAAGATTGCAAACCTGACATGGAAATACATGGCCACAGAGCTGCATGAGTACAGTACATCAGCTGATCCCGTGACAGAGGCTCGAAAATCGACTGGCCCAAATCCTCCCTGTCTCGCCCTGCGGGCGGGCGGGCCACCATGTCCACAGGTACTGTAAAGGAATGGAGACGAGGCACAAGGTGACCCCCATCAGGACGAGGGTGAGGCTGCGCGCAAGAAGCGTCTACGCGACGATTTTCGGAGCAGCCGTTTGGACGAATTTTCTCGTTAATTACCGTGTTGCTTCGAGGGGTTGAAGTATCCCTGCAACTCGTGCCATTCACCTGGCTTCTCTATTTCTACCTACTGTACGGCTTGTACAATGCAAACCCTTTTATCAACCGTCGTTTCTTCCCCCTCCTGGAAGCGAGCGCAAGAAGACATACAACAGCGAAACGTGTCAGTTCGTCCATTTAACCCACGGCCCCGTCGACAGGCTCCATCGCGCCGCCCCCTTTCTCTCATACCACACCCCGGCCCTCTGTTCTCTCCCCGCGCCGCCCCTCTCCCGTGCCTGGGTGCCTGTTTTCTCGCTCGTCTTCTTTTCTCACTGCCCGCTCCTCGTCTCGTCTCTCCCTCCCCTCCCCTCCCCTTCCCTCGCTTCGCCTCTCCTCTCCTCTCCTCTCCTCTCCCCGCCTCCCCGCCTCTCCTCTCCTCTCCTCTCCTCTCCTCTCCTCTCCTCTCCTCTCTCCCCTCACCTTCCCTCCCTGGCTCCCTAGTCGCCTGGCTAGCCACCCGGACCTCCGTTCCCCACCCTTCTCATCATTCCGTCAACTCCACCCTTCCCGCGATTCCTGTCGCGTCGCCCACTTCCCCCCCCCGGCGCCGCTCTACTGCCGAGCCTTAGCCCTCCCGCGGGGCGACGGCAAGACTGCTTATCGCAACATACCGACGACAAATTACTCGTCGGCTCCTGCCGCGCCAGTGTGCTCCTAGACTTGGCTGCGCGCGCGCCCCCTCCCTCCTTGATTCCTTTCCCCGCTGAGTTCGGCCTGCTTGCCTACCAGTAGCGCATGGCAGCTGCCCTACCCGGCCCCCATTACTATTCGCGTCGGCTACCCGCCGTTGCCCCCATACCACTTAGCGTTACATGCACCCTTCACCTCCAGGTAGGCTCACACCTCTCTCTACCGGGCCAGGTAGGTAGGTGGAGACCGCTGGGCTAAGGCACAAGCATCTCGCTCGCGGCACATTGCTCTGACAGCCTCGTGTGGCTTTCGTACCTACCTGGGTACCTACACCGGGTGCCTCTCCAAGTACAGCACCCTTGGACAAGTGGTGCAGTACCTCGTCTCTGCAACCTTAGGCTATCTTGGCTCCGGGTATCTCTCAAGTGAAGGGGAAGAATCGAGCATAGGGGACCTGTCCAGGTTCCGGTCTGGGCAGGAGCGTGACTTGGACGGCAAGATTAGGGACTCTGCTCGGCCCCGCCTGTCGATTCCCCGTCTTTTGGACGCTGACGGCGCCTCGCGGCTTGCTTTGGTGGGCCTCGACACAACAGCCTCGGCAGGCTGGCGAAGCTGCCAAGCAAAAGCGCATCGTTTGTGTTGTTAGAAAGAGGTGGCGCCCTGGTACCGGGATACAGTCAGTGCCTTTGTACAGGCTACCGCAGAAGTAGCTCGTTCTGATGCACATGGGAGGGGACTCGCTGTTCGACAACGACCGCCCCGCAAAGCGCATCAAGGTCGAGGCGCCGCCAAATGACGACGTGAGCAACGCCGACTCTCCCTTTTCTCCGTTGTCCCAGGCGCTTCCGCCGCCTCGGGAACGCCCGCCGCTGGCAGCCGGGCCTGAGGCAGACGCTCATCCACCGTTTCTATCGCCGCTGGACCAACGGCCGCCAGACCTCTACAGCAGCTATCCCCTTCACCAACAGCCGCCGGCGCCTGGCCCGCTGCCACAGCCTTCGCACCAGCACGAGCATGTTGCCAACATAGCCGTGGTCGCCGCGCCGACCGTGGCAGACATGACCGACCCGTGGCCTGGCCATGCCTCGACCTTGTTCGATGCCTCGTGGAAGTGGCCCGTGGCGTCATCCACGGTGTCTCCCTCGTCACAGATGGCCGGCGCCCTCGAGCCGGGCCTTCATGTCGGCGCCGCCCACTTCTTCCCCGCTCCACTGAAGTCTTTGGACTCAGATGTGCCAGTGGCGATAGCTTCAGGTGAGATATTCCCAACCTTTCTAGGTATCGAGTACATATCTTACATACCCGCCCTCTTTCCCATCCCACGATGCTCTGCATTGGCTCATTTCCTTACCCTCTACTTTCTTCTGACGTATCATGTCGCCATGTCATCTCTCAACTCCTTCTCGATGCACGCACCTCTCCGCTGCAATCCAAGCACGGCTTCCCATGCCCTCCCGTCTCGCAGGCTTGATACCAAAGCACATGCCTACCGTGTATTCTTCACCGTCTTCATCATTCATCAAGGCAGCCTTTTAGTCCCATGCCCCCTATTCTTTCCTGGGGCCCGTCGGTACACTCATGGCCGCATCTCAGACCCGTCTCCCGTCGGTTTGCAGTCAACATGAACCACATCATCTTGTCTTTTCTCTCTTCCAATCACCCCAACCACCACCGCCACGTCATGATCCGCTCTGGGAACTCCCCTCCTAGCTTTCCCCTTCGTGGCTTGTGAAACATCACCTCGCTTGAGGTGGTAGGTCAAGATGCAAGTTCGTTCCGCTTCAACGCATGATCTCTCGCCCTTTTCCAACTGGCCTTAAGGGCTCGACGAGTTGGTTCACACTAGAAACCACAGCCCAACCCTTTTTCTTTGTCCTGTGCGCGGGGGTCATGCTATGGTTTTCCCTGGAGCTCGTGAGCTAACCTTGACTCCAGCGCTTCCCGCGAGCGAGTTCAACTTCCCCCTGGCGTGCCCGACTCGTGGCTCCCTGTCCCTCGCTCCATCGCTTCCTCCGAAACGGCCCCGCTTTCCCTTAGCGACTGCTGGCGACTCTGGTCTGGGTGATGTCAACTACCATATCAAAGACCACCATTCGCGGAAAGGCGCCAACCGACTCGCGCTTGTCAGCCCCTTCAAAGACTGTGTGGGCAATTTTGGAGAGGCGCAACAGCGTCGCTTCAACCGCCCCTTTGACGGCAAGGTTAATGGCTACATCAAGTTCAACTGGCCCAAGGACAAGCCTGATCGTCGTCCATCTGCCGGTCGCGAGTCGCTCGTTTTGGATTCTCCCAATGTGGCCGAGTTGGTTGCATCGACTGCCGATGTCGACGCCCCCCAATCATCATTGGTTCATCTTGGCTCCGCACCGGCATCAATGACCATGTCGCCTGATCTCGACTCCAACTTTGACTTCTCGTGCTTCCTGTACGGTCCCCCTTCATCATTCGAACTGAGCCATCCCGTCGAGGTCGAGGCACGGGCGGTCGGTGCCGAGATCTCCACTGAATTGGTCCCGATCGGGGCTCCGCGGAAAGTCCCAAAGCTCTTTGGCTATGAGGCTCAAATGGACCATACGGATAGGAAGTTTTGGACATTCTGTATGTCATGGTTGGTGTACCGCATCACCACGATCCCTCCTCTCAGTGTCCCGTCTCGCTGTCTGTGCCAAAAAGCCAGTTAAAGCACCCGGCCGCACCTTCTCGCTGCCCACACTACTTGCTACTGCCCCCGTGTGATGAAATTGAGTGAGCCTAACAGCAAACGAATAGATATCAGGAATTGGTGTCCCGGCAGAAGCGTGCTTCTGGAAACCAATCTTTGGCTCAAGGATTTCGCTCAGATGCACAAAAGCGACGGAGTACGAGCCGCGATCCAAAGCCTGGCTGGCATATATATTTACGACTACCAACCCATTGACAGCATTCGCAGGAGAGTCAACGAGAGGTTCTTTGAGGCTGAGTATCGGTTTAGCCGCCTGTTAAACGATCCCACCACTGCTCATAGCGAAGCCCACGCAAATGAGCTCATCACCATGGCCGTCATTCTCTCCATGCAAGACGTGAGTTTTCCCTTCTGTTCCGCTTTCAGTTCCCATCCGAGTTTGGCTGTCCGTGCCACCGAAATCGGCTCACTCGCCTCTTCCAGATCGTCCTGACAGAACGCCGACTGAGAAAGCCTCACGATCCTCGGTGGCTTTCTGGTTTCAAGCAAGGAGAATTGTTTCTGCAAGCAACAGATCGCGGCTCACGCTTTTGGAAACGATCAAATGCCCAGTTCTCGTCGCTCCGCATTTCTCAATCAATCATTGTCGGCCGGGCCATGATCCTGGCGCAGCCGATGATGAAGCTTCCATCGCCAAGTACATTTGACCCAGAATGCGAAACATCGCGATTCGGCTGGCTACTGTACGGAACGGAGCGAGACATGTATCAGATTCACGGAGGCTGTGGGTTTTCCAAGAAACTGCTTCACATGATGAGCCAAATCACATACTGTGCTGCCCGTCTGCAGCAAGATCCGGAAAACATTGTTGTCCCCACAACCTCACAGTACCTGCACGCCGAGCTGGTTCAAATGAGACAATGGAGTAGCGAGTCCAAGGATTGGGAGAGTGCAAAAGCTGGACCGTCGATAACGGAGTGGGTGCGATCCGTTCCAGACGGATTCACCATCACCTCATCCTCCGACATGACGGATGTGACTGCGGAGGCCTGGAGATTGACTGCCATTGTTTACCTGCAGTGCCGTGTGCTGAGGTGGGACTAGCTCTTGCGACCGATCAAACGTGGAGCCCCCGTATTCTAATCGAGACAAATAGGATTCCTCGGAACCACCCGGCCATAGTAGAAAACCTGGCTGATTTGGCCCGGTGTATTTGCATTATGCCGACGTCGGGCTACCAGTTCACGGCACAAGCACCTCTGTTACCTGTGTTTATGCTAGGCATGTTGGCCACAAACCCCGACCACAAACAAGTTTCGAAAACCTGGTTTGACGAAGTCGTCTCAGCCCCAGTCAGGAGTGTAAGTCTACCAAGGTTTATTTAACGACATCGTCGTTTCTACGTTGTTGCTGATGAGAGTTGCAATCAGAGTGTGCCACCCCTATATGAGGTGCTGCAGCGTGTTTGGCAGTGGATCGACACCGAGATCGAAATGCCTACGCCCTCCACCGCTGACTTGACCGAGCACATCGGCCTGCGATACTCTTGGTGGGAGCAACTTGTTGAAGAAGTTGATAAGAGGGAGCACGAGGTGCTATGTTTGACGTGAAAGAAACGGTTCAGGAACACAATGAGTCTATTTCAGCGACGGCCCTGTCGTCGGCAACACTGGCTCTGCCCCGGCGGCATGGGTGTGGTATCTGCAACCTCTATCCCAGGAAGGGCCCATATCGGCAATAAGAGATTACTGGTGCATGGGAGGCAGGGCGGCTTTTTCCTTCCCCTCTTGAATTTGTCAAACACCTGAAACCGCGCTGTCTGCATCCTCCTTTTGGTTCTTATCCTTAATCTTGAGCAGGTATTGTCCTGAAGTCTCGGTCAGCGGAGTGGCAGATACACTAACCTCCTGCTGTGACTTACGAAACTCTGATTTTGGCAGCTTCCAAACATCGACGACGCTCAGCCCTGCCTTGGAACACATAAGTTGAACACTGGCCTCGTCGTATTTATGCGAGTCAAACCAGTCGAGCTCCTCGCCTGCTGCAATGACGCGCCCGAGCTTCACAAGCCTGATTTCACGCTTGGCGCGGAGAAAGAACCGATGGCGTGTGGTGGGTTTGTCTTCCAACTGCGCCCCGAACACCCAATCATCTTCGCGGAACCATTCCTCGCCCGCTAGCCTGTTGGCATGTTCAAAGCCATTGAGGAAAAACCGTCGGTAAAGGTCGTTGCGGGAATGGTACGCCGCCCAAATCTTATCCTTGTCCAAGGGGAGCATGTGCGCATCCATGCCGATCAAGAGCAGGTCATCTTGACGCATGGCTCCCGCCCAGTACTTGAGATGGTTCAAGGCTTCCAACCATGGGTCGTTGCAGAGTACGGAGCCCAGCGAAAGAAACAGTCGGGGACCTCTTATCCGCTGCACATAATCCTTACCATCACGGAAGGTCCCCCAAAGTCCGGCACACCGGACGGCGGAGCCTGGGGCCGAATGTTTTTCAACAAGGTAAGATATGTTGTGCACCAGCGACGCTTGTGATATGTCCAATGCCAGATACGTGGCAGGCACTATAGCTAGTTCAAACGCTGCGAGGAGATGCTCAACTTTGCGAGTATCACTTCATCCGCTGGTCAGCGAGGCTCGGCCCATGGGAACGTTGAGCTGGCACTAACCCGGCTCCCAGATCGACAACAGTCACTCCAGGCTCCAGGTGAGCAACGATTTCATCACCGTGGTCGTCAAGCAATGAGATCTCGTCGTGAGTCTGGTAGAACTCCGGAGTGAAGATGATCTCATTCCAAATGGGCAGCCCAACATCATCGTACAGGAGTTCGTCTGGGAGTGTTGGCTTGGCATGAGGCGTGTACATGGCCGTGAGGGTGCGAACCAGTCTGTCGCCGACTGCGCCATGCATTGCGCTGCCACCAATATCAACGACGTCGCCGTGGCAAGGTGACTCTGGTAAAGATCCCATGCTTATGGCGAGGTACGGCGTCGACGTGTTCCAACGCGGTATGGCGAAGCAACGAAAGGCGCCAACGAGAGAAATTGGATGGGTTGGGGGCATGAATAGTCAACTGAAGATGCTTCTTCGTCCGCGGCGATCCACGGTTATATACAAGGATTGACCTCGAGTTGTGTCTGCAGCACTGGCTGTCGATGCCTGTGAGGCTAGGCATTCGCCATCCTTCGTCGGGGATTTATACCTGCCAAATGAGTGAGAGCCCTGCAATGCTCCTGGAGCCAGGAGGCTTACAGGGAAGTGGATATGGCGGAGACCAATCTTGAGTGACATGAAAGAGAGTCAAGTAAACGTTTTGAGGGGGGGGGACAAACAGAAGCTCGCGTGAGCCAGCTGGGCAACACCAACGCCCGGACAGGTCAATAAAGTCCGCCCGGTCGAAGAGCTCCGTGATTGAGGTGGAAATCTGGGTCGAATTCCGGCCGGACGTGTCTTGCCACGCTGTTTAGTGTATGAAGGATAGCCCACGATGAACGGTCAAACAACCGTTTGGTCATGATACGAAAGCATTGATGTGCCCAGCTGCCTGGCGTTAAGCCACGGCAGAGCCACCAGTCAGCAAGCCCAGCAGGTTGGGCAATCTGATCCTGATTGGTGTCTTTACGACGAGGGTCGCCCTACTTTCGGCGGCGCTGCACGGGTGGGCACTTGGCATCCACGGCGGGACCCCCCTGTCCGCCCTCAGGTGAGCTATCGGCAAAGCGAGAGGGGTGCGGGCGATTCGAGGAGGTGGGGTGCAACTGGGCAAGCACGAGGAGGAAAAGAAGGAGGCTTCTGCAGCTGCGAGCGCACAAACCATGGCAAAGAAACGCTAACTGGGCTCCATTTCCCTCCGTGCCGGGGATGTCTCATACAGTGGTTGACGGGATCCCACTGGGGTAACGATGAGCTCCCAAGTGGACCGGGGGTGAGGCCATTGTGCTGAATTCCACGTGCAAGCATCAGCTTGGCGGCGGTCACAATCATCATCAATCCACATCATTATAGTACTGTACGTATGCAGCCGCTGGCTTGGGTGGACGAGGGGCTGGGATGACGAGCTGGGGACAGGACGGTCCCGCGTGTGTGTACCAGTACGGCTGCAGACCAACACTACCTGGCCACTAAGCAGACGAGCAGAAGCTTGGACGAAATGCAAGTCATGAGTGCGGGATCGCACAGAACGGCGAGGTGGAATTGAGAGGCCTGGCAGCGTGCTTGGGTTGTATCCAAGAGTAGGAGGGCGAAAGGCACAGAGAAGTTGATGTCTCGAGTCCCGAGAGGAGAGAAAGAATGGATGACTCTTGAGCCCAGCACGGCGACCCCCCTGTTCTTGCACGCTTGAACTGCAGCTGGGAGCTTTTGTATGTACAATAAAACAGTATTTCCCGCACTTGCTTCCATCGTGGGTCCAGAGAGAACGATGATGAAGTCGAAGAGACAGACAGACCTCCACAGTCGTGCATGCATGTAGTACCTCGTACTCGTACCTATGGCAATTTACAGTCTCCTCCCGTGCGGAATATCAGTGTCATATACAAAGCCGGGCGTTCTCTTATGGTGCTTTTGTGGGAGGCCGAGAGGAGCCGCAGCCGGCCTGCGGGGACGGCAAGCAAGCAAGGTAAGAGCTTATTCAGAGCGTGGGGGGTTACTGTGGCAGGGAGGGCATTGAGATGTTTTTAAGGAAGGCAGAGGTGTAATTACGGCTCGTCTTTTGGAATAGGGATGATGAGCTTGATCAACGGCAACGTTTCAACCTGAGGGTACTCTGTACATTTGACTCCATCACACTTTGCTCACTGTATGCACGATGCCTTGTTCCCTCCCGCCCTCCCTCTCCCTCTTGATGCCTCATGGGAGAAACGGGGTGTGATATCAGGGGGGAGGTGGGGGATGCGGAGCTGCAGATGCAAGCCAGGTACCGGCGACTGGGGCCACCCGGCCTAATACCAGGCTTACGTTTTCAGGTGGCGTAACGCCCCGATGCATCCGCCATGTTGCGGCTCAGTTGGGGTGTCGACTGGCTGGCAAGGATCTGTCTAGGTAGACTGGCTCAAGAGGTGCGTGCCTTGTGGTCGGGTCCAAAGGGGGGCCAGGTGCCCATAAGGATCCACGAATGAGCTGCCAAGGACCCGGTGACACGCAGCCGGGGCCATGAGCTCAGCAATTGCGTCAGCACGCTGGCACTTCGCCGACGGTGCCGGGGATGACTTGACGATGCATGGCGATGCCTTGGACCTTGTAAGTCGTCTCACGAATCGGGGAAAATATCACTTGACTGGGTTCGGGTGCAAGCGAACGAAACCCAAGGATGAAGGCAAACGTCGAGAGCGGCAATTCTGGCCCGAGTCTGAGACTTTTTGTGATGAGTAGGCACAGGAACAGGGGGCGATGAGGGTCTCTCCGCCTCGTGGAGGGAAATACCGTGCTAATGTACGGGACAGGTCGGCTTCCCAGAACGAACAGAGATGAGTAAGTCTGTGGAAGGGAGAGACACAGAGCAAGTTGACGACGCGAAAGCCGCTCCCAAAGGCGGAGGATCCGAGGCGGAGGAACTGAACAGGGAGCGAGTCAAGGAGCTACAATGCGGTTACGCTGAGACGGATACGGCATATGCACCTGGGATCGCCCGCATGGGGTTTGTGATGGGGGCACGATCGAGATGGAAAACCCCCCTAGTGCTTGTCTACGCGTGTCCGGGTGCTCATACAGGACATTATCGGATATTGTACATGGCTGCCTGCACGGGGTCCCGCCTATCGCGACGAAGGGCCTCTGGTCGGCAACGGGCTAGCTAAACAGCTGCATTAGCTTAGCCGCCGTCAACGATGGAGCCGAGGACCGGGCGAAGCGCCACTTGTCGTGGTGAATGCCCAGCTGGGTAAAGGCGGTGCCTCTGCGCGGAATAGTCTACAGCACATTGCATTACACATCTTGGCCGCCCTTGACGGCGCCCGCCGGACGGACGGGGGACCGCAGTCGACGATAGTACGATTTCGACATCGTTGCGTCCCGTCACACCAGGCTTGGGCTGCACGGCGCCGACCCAGACGCAGGCATCCGTCGGCTCGTTCCCCTCTAGCCCAGCTCTGCCCCTTTTTATGGGATTGCTTTCTTTTTTTGGTCATCTTTTTCGGGTGTCTTTGTGCCCGATCTAGCCTGTCTCGTCCCTTTTCTGATCAACCTCCCTTCCAAGTCTGGCCTATCGTTCCTGCGGCAGAACGTGCAGCTCTCTCGTGTGCTCGTGTGCTCGTGTGCTGCGTGTGCTCATGGCGGTGAAACGATTCGACAGCATACAAGGGGGCAGAGAGGCAGGGTGGAATGTGAGCCGGGTCAAAATGGATCTCCTCTTGCAACGTTTCTTTGCACTACTTTTGATATCTGGACAATAAAGGAGAACACCGACCGAGTGGGCTTGCTGACACGTTTGAACTGTACTGTACTGCACGCCTCGACGCCTTCTCTAGCCCTGGCCCCCTTCCTTGCCCGGTTTCCATTCCACCTTGGCCGTTAGCCGATGACCGGATATGTGCTTCGACGGTCTTGGCTTCGTTTGGCGAGGCGATACTGCATGGTTGCGAGTGTCATTGTTGGCCACCCCCACCTCCGTATCAAGAGATTGAAGGAAGGAGGTGATGACAATAGAAGGTCAAGAATATACCGAGAAGCCAATTTTCGGGGGTCCGTCTGACACCTTGAGTACTACCCTGTGGCCGGATCCGAGCTGGATGGAATCCTCCCAGGGTCCCCGAGGGGGTTACACCAAACCGTCCGCCTATACTGCACACGCTGTACCTGCCAAACCCTGGACTATGTAGTGGTCTCCTCAGGGCGTGGGTAGAAAGAAAAAGTGGTGACCTTTGTCTATTCTCGGGTGCTTCCTCCCCGTCGGAATCTGTGATACAGGCTGCGCCGACGGGCGCATCTCGCATGGGAGACGAGATGTCATACTTGGCTACGTATGTTAAAATGACGTGTTATCTTTGGGGCGTCTCTCAATCCCATGGCGCGACCTGAAAAGGGGTTGCTTTCTTGTTTTCCTCCCTTGTGTTCTTCTCCCCTTCTGCAGTACTGTACGCATTGAGCTTGGGGAAGCACACCGACGGCCCCCTGTTCTTAGCGTCGACCCCTTCGGCAACGGTCTCGCACGCGAGCTTGGGGGTATGGGGGGGGTTGACAGAGTGAAGGAGGCTGATGAAGAAAACCGTGGCACCGGCCGTGGCACGTGTCTTTGTGGTGGGGGGGACGAGGGGGTTTCTTTTGGCTGAAAGTAAAATGATTCACCTCGCGTCCAATGGCTGACGCTGGCAATGTCATTGCTGCATGCGTGTCACTGCCGTCTTGTTCTTCCCTCTTCTCGTCTCTTTTCACGACGAGGCTGGCCCAAGTTTAATGGGTGCCTGGGCTTCCCCCCCTGGCTGAGCTCTGAACACACGATGCGACTGGGACGGCTGCATGTGTAAGTTTGATTCATTTGTTTGTTTCCTTTCTTCCACACTTCTTCCTCCACTCGTACTGCAATGTCCTATACGTCATGCCCCTTGGCCTGCCCTGCCCATATGTGATGGAACAGCTGGAGATCATGTCTGGGTCCCATCGTCTCCATGGTGCATACAGGGCCAGGTTACATGGTTGCGCCTCTCAGAGCGGCTGCCGGCAGAGCGGACGCTCGTACTGGAATAGATGACGCTTACGAGAAATAAGCCGGTGCCAGCTATCGATGATCTCCCTGCGGCCGTCGTGCCGAGTAGATCCATTCGCCAAGCACAACTCAAGTACCCCTTCACCATCCGACGGGTTTCCTTCTGGGGTGAGGTGGGTTTCAGCCTCGACACCGCAGTATCCCCAGCGCCTGGACCGGCGCACGCACACACACCCGCGCGAGCACCATCTATTCATAGTTGCACCTACATGACGTGCGCCGTTGGCGGTGGCGGGTGCGCTCGGTGCCGTCGGATCCTGGTCTCCACGCCGGCGGCCCGGCTTCGGCTCCGGCTCCGGAGCGGGGCCGCCCCGCTGATCGGCCTTTCCCGGGGTTCACGCAAGTGCGCCCGCGGAATGGAAAAGCGACTTGGTTTCTGATTGTCGGACCGATCCAGTCAGTCCTAGCAATCGCGGCACAGACGCGACGGAGCGCGCTGCCAGTCTATCTCGCACTTTGTCGAATCGGAAAAGAACAAGGCTAGCAGGGAGCAAGCTACTTGAAACCCAGCGGCCCCCGCCCAGAGCAAGGTGTCAAAGGGAAGGGGCTGGTCCCTGTCTGATGCTCCCCCATCTACAATGTTAGCTTCAGATAACGCCGGGAAAGCAACGCATGGGGAGAGCACGGAGCACCGTACAGTACAGTACGTATTAGCGAGCATATCAAATACGCACTACGGAGTCCCGACGTTCTAGCTATAGTACTGGACTATAGTGCCGGGGAGCATCTACATAGTGCGGAACTAATGTTGTACAAGGAGATATCAACGGGACGAGTTCGTTGTGTGTACAGTGTCGAGCCACCTCAAACCCCCGCGAGGAAATGATCGTCTGCTGGCGCTGATGATTGCCGACGGATGCCTTCCCCGGGTGCACAGTCACCCGGCAGGGACCTGATGCTGGGTTCGAGATGACATGCATGCTCCGTCATATGGTATTGCAGGGGGTGGGTAGCCAACCGCCCTGGCTCTCGTGGGAACTTTGCAGGCCGATCCCTTTAGCAGCGAAGGGGGAGGCCCCAAGTCACCAGCCCTGTAGCTACTTTCTAGGTATACTTTCAGGCGAGCAGTACGGCAGAGCCTTTAGCAGGCAGTTTGATATAGCATTAATTCTATAAAATCTCTATGGCTATTCTAGCTGTCAGCAACTTTAATGAGTCTCTTCTGTGCGAATCGATGGTAGGAACGAGGCTAACAAAGACTCAAAATGGAAGTAATGCTTGTTGATGTAGCTATCTGGAACAGCGCGGATTTCAGGGACTTCTGTCATGGTATGATTTGCGCCCTACTGGCTCTAATCCTGTCTGGTGACGTCTGGTGACCCCTTCCACTGCCAAAGGGATGCGAAATCGAGCGTCATCCAAGTTCCCCCATTCGACTACACTATGTATGTATGTCCATTGCCGAGACAAATTCGAAGCGATGCGGGGCTGAACAAAGTGCCCAAGCCTGCGTTTCGTGGCTATGTACGAAGTTACAAAGTATGGGTCGACGGGACGGTTCGATGATAGAGGGTCCTCCTAAGATAGACGGGCGAGCTGCCTTCTCCTTTCTCTCCGCTTTACCATCGTCCCCTAGATGGGTGGGGGTGTCATCTTCCCAGGCAATTTGTTGGGCGATCGTTGGGTTGTGCAAGTAAAAAGGCAGACTCGGGAACAGACAGAATACTTGGCGTACACGTCGAATATCAGACCACAGGCAACGAAGCAAATCCTGCCTCGTGCCACGTATGTAAGAAGTACAGCATCTAAGCGGGAGTACTTCACATACGTATATACGTGTGTCACGGATGGATGCGAGTAAGGGGCCGCCGTCTCGGAAGCGAACCAGCTCCCACCGGCATGTCCTTCCGCAAAAGGCCCCCCCCCCCTCCTTCATCCGTTGCGAGGTAGCACAGTGCAACCAGGGCGTGGCTGTGCCTTGGTGGTGTTTGTCGGGAGAGGAGCGGCGTGTAGAAACGCTCTTGGACACATGGGTGACAACGTCACTTATAGGTTTACGTCGTTGTTCGAAGCCCTTGGACTGGTCTTGCTGAGTCTCCTGCTGGATGCATGGGTCATTCTGTTGTCCCTAGTCGTGCACCGGACGAAGCGTCTCGTGGGGAGCGACCTTGCATCAAGGATCGGAGCCGCCGCGCGGACAATGGACGCGCGTGATATCAGGGTCCACATCTTGAGGCACGTCTCGACGTCCTTGCCCAAGGGACGATCGTGACAGTGATTCAATGTCGTCAATTGGAGCCGGAAAATTGCCCCGGCCCGAAACTGCGACGCTCTTTTTTCATTTCCTCTGCGGCTCACTGCGTTGGCTTTTTGCCTAGTCATGGAGGCAGCTTCGACGTTCGAGTTGCCTTTCGTCCGTTCCTCTCCGGCGACAGCCCAACTATCTCGAACCGGGGGTTCTCCCATCGCGTCGTTTCATCATGACTCCCTTTCGAACCGCGGGAGCCGACATACGAGCCGATCGACATCATAGCGCCCCCTTCAAGGCTCCCAGAAGCCTGGGAAGAGGTATTCCACCTTCTTCATGGCTTCCGGGTTCCTACCCTCGGGCTTGGTCATGAACATGACGGCGCCTCGGCTTGAGCCCTCCCAATGCTTGGCCATGACGAGGTCGCTGTGCTCGAGTCTCGAGAGCTGATCCAGCACACCACCAACCAGCCTCTTGGCGTTCTTGCCGTTGGCCTGCATGTACTTGCCTACCATCTCGACATTGACGTCCTCAAACGAGTGCCAGCAGTCGTAGTCGGTCGCCATGGCAATGACCTGGTAAGCCATCTCAGCTTCCCGCGCCAGCTTGGCCTCGGGGAGGGTCGACATGTTGATGACGGAGCCGCCCCAGGACCGGTACATGTGGGACTCGGCCCGGGTCGAGAACTGCGGACCCTCTGGGTGAGATGGCGGAGTGTCAGCTCGGCCTTTGGTTAGCCGCAGCTATTCTCGGGAAGTCGGCTTACCCATGCAGATGACGGTGCCCTTTTCATGGAGCACAACCCCTTGGCCGTCCATGTGCTTTGCGCACGTCTTGACCACCTCGGCCAAGCCGGCGTCAAAGGGGTCTGCGAAGCCAACGTGGCCGACAACACCACCTTCGAAAAAGGTAAAGGGACGAATGCCCTTTGTGCGGTCAATCACCTGATCAGGGACAACAAAGTCCATGGGCTTGATCTCCTCCTGCAGGGAGCCAACGGCTGAAAAGGCAATGAGGCATCGCACTCCGATGTGGCGCAGGGCGGCAATGTTGGCACGGTTGGGCACCTCGTGGGGGGCGAACTGGTGGTGCAAGCCATGGCGAGCGAGAAAGGCAATGCACACGCCGTTGTGAGAGAGGATGTGGATGGGCGAGGACGGAGGGCCCCAGGGCGTGACGGGGTTCAGCACGGCAACGGGGTCGTATCCTTCGAGGTGGGCAAGACCCGTGCCGCCGATGACGGCGATGTGGACGGGCTCTATGAGGGGGTCGTCAGCGATGAAGCCTGGCATGAGCAGGGGTAGAGAGACTGGACTGACTGTCAAAGGTGGTGGGGAGGTCAGCCATTGCGGAGGCGTTGGTCATCGTCTCACACGAGCTGACACGTTGCGCCAGCAGCAAAGCACGCACAGCAAAGAAATCGAATCCGAAGGATTTTTGTTGTCGTGATGGTCAGGACTCAGGAGCGGCGTTTAGTGATGCATTACCCCGCCAAAGAGGATGGAGGGGTCGCCGGCTGATAAGGCACTTGTTGAGCAGGCGACCGATAAGGTACAACAAGCCCGCAGATACCTACGACTGCCTCATGCCCACCGACAGCGTCCTGCCTTTGCTCAACAGCGCGTAATGCAGAGATATGAAATGGAGACAGGCAGTCACAGACAAAAGGCGGCGCTACCATTGACCGAGCTAGACTTGCAATTCATTTTTGATGGGACTGAATAGGCCATGTACCTTGTTCGCAGTGATGCTGCTTACAAACGCCGCGCCACCTGGCACCTGGCTGCCAAGGTACTTACTTGGTACCGAACTCGGAAAATTGTGCACACCGACCGACCTCACCTTGCCAACACGTTCTCCCCCCTCTCCTTTTCTCCCCTCGTGCGCACGCGCGAGCTCCCGCCATGGCGGACACGGCCTCGTCCAAGGAAGCCATGACTCGCGTGGTGGACTACGCAGCTTCCGGCTCAGGAGCTGCCGCTGCTGGTCACGATGAAACCATCGAGGAGCGCTGCTTCTCGGCGGCGCTCATCTGCCTAGAAGGCCACTACACTCAGTCACCCCCCATGGGCCCTCACACGGCCGCCCGGGTCAACTCGATGATATCAAAGACGCTGGAGAAGACTCACACGTTGAGAGCGGCCCGGTAAGTTGATGGGACAAATCTCATGCCTGAGCACCACCTAATTCAAGACCGCAGTGAAGCTCTCTCACGCAACGTGGCGATATGGATCTGGCTCACGAGGATTTTTGCTGCCGCGATCCCGAGCCTCACAACAAGATCCGTCGGCCCGCTTTCAAGCTTGAACGACCCGGAAAAGGGCGTCAGCCCACAAGAAAGCACTGCGCTCATCGTCATGAACCACGCCTCCATCAAGGAAGACCTCGGCACCCTCATCAAGCTCATGCACGTGGCCAGAAATCTGCTCGTTAATGCCGAACCGGAGGTCCCTCAAGACATATGCGCAGCCGTTCATTTCGACCAGATGGTCTACCAAACCATCATCCTTTGTGTAAACGTCACGAGCAAGGGATACGACGGCGAAATCCTTGACGAGGCTCAACGGCTGAAGCTCACAGATATCACAGAGCTTTGTTCGTTCCACTCTCACGTACATCGCCCGTGTTCCGCTAACCAGACTCAGACAAAAAACTTCTCGTCACGTCTCTCCAGCAAGCCCACAACTGGACGGCCAAACATGACCGAAACAAAATGTCCTTTTGGTTCGATGTTCTCTTTGACGATGAGGACGGTGCCTTATCTCGATCCGAAGAAGGATCGGGCGACGGTTCGGGTTTTCGTCCAGAAGTAGCCAAGCAACAGGTCCAGCATTGGCTCGATCGCAACTCAAAGATGTGCGATACCGCCCGCAAGCTGCTCAAGGACTATGCCCAAAACCATGCAGACAAGCCGCCGGGCAATCTGGCGCCTATTCGACCCTTGGCGTGGAACTGGCTCCCCGAGGATTCGGTAAATGTGCCTACTGATGTTGGCGATAGCACGGAGAGAATCAACCCCGTGTGGAAGCCGGATGAACCGGACAAGTTCGAGCAGGATCGAGCATACGGCCGAGTATCGAGAGAAATTGACACCTGGTGGCTCCGGGCGCGAGATCCCAACTACGAGGAATGGGTTGTGGGCATGCCCACAGTCGAGTTTGCACAGTCACGCACAGATCACTGCAAGAACAACCTGGTGCATCGTTACGCACATTCCTACCAGGGCGAGCAGTCCCCTCCCCCCGAGGCCGCCGAGGAAGACCTTTTGGATCACGAGCACTGCCACTGCCCGGAATGTCATGCATGCCAACACGAGGACCACGAGCACGAGCACGAGCATGAACAAGACCAGCATGCGGATGAACATGACATAGAGTGTGAGCATCATCGTCATCATCATCTACACCACGACCACGACCATGATCACGATCACGACCATGAACATGACCACGATCATGACCATGACCACGACCACGATCACGACCATGACTACACCCACGAGTATGTCGACGACATGCTGGACGACGAAGAAGCCGATGACGACGTATCCTATGGCGAAGGGCCGTTGACGGGTCTGCTTACCGAAGTCCCCAACATACTCGATCCGAAACAAATTGAGGCGCTGCATATGATTGTCAAGTCCTGTATTCTGGACAACGCAGGCTCTGGTCTGACGCGCGCCGGCGAGAACCTGCAGAAGACGCGGTGCAGAATGTTCTTGGCGCTGGACTGCGGGAAAAGTCTGCTACGGGAATTGCTCGTCTTCATCGCCGTCTGGGATAAGGATGAGCAGTCACTCATATTTCAAGTGACGACGCAAATCGTCGAGGCTCTCCACCACAGCGCTCTGATCCCGTACGCCTGGAACTCGCTGAGGATACCAAAGGACATCATCTCGCCCGCGCAGACGGTGCTGTTGCGCTTGGTCAACCACATGTTCCGCGCCCGAGTCCACAATCCCGCGGCTCAGGAGACAAAGGACAACACGAGGGACATCAAGCTGGTGCATTTCTTCTTCAGCTTTTTCAGGAGCCGCATCGTCCCCGAGTGTGCGGCGCTCATGCATCTGCAGGCTCAGATTCGAGAGCAAAACTGCGACCCGGCAGAGTTCCCCGTCGACAGCTGGGACATGGAGCGCGCAAAGGATGGGCTGGTCCAATACCTCGAGTTCCTCACCACAGTTGCCGAAACGGCGGATACCAGGGCCAAGTTGATTGACTGGGAAGCCGTGTACGACCTCATCACCATCTTGAGCGGGCTTGAAGCCGGCGTGCAGAAAAAAGCGCTCATTGAGCTCCCGAAGCGGTCCCCCAAGGGCGAGCAAGTCAATCCCATGGTCGAGCGCCCGTACGCAACCGAGCACCAGACCAGCCCGTCTCCATCGCCGCCTCCACCACCCTTGCAAGAGCCTGCGCACAAGTTTCCGTGGTCCGGCATCAAGGGTCAGATATTCACCATCATCGCCACCCTCCTCCAGCCGCCCCCGGGACAGAGCAGCCCTGGAAACGCGCAGGTTCAGATGCAGATGGTCGGTTACAACGGCATTGTCCCGCTACTCAACTGTTGCGCCTACGACGACCACAACCCGTACGCCAAAGAGCGCGTGACCATTTGTCTCAAGTGGCTGCTGGACGGTTGCGAGGCGGCCAACAGCTTTTTCCGTGAGCTGGTGAGCTTCACTCCGCAGCCCAATATGAAGCCGCCGCCAGGCGGGACAACCATCTCGACGATCAGGGTGGACGGAATCCAGGGCGAGGTCAAGGTCCAGGTGCGGTCGAGCTCGGCGGCTCGTGCCGACGGCAGCGGGAGCAGCAGTTGTCGGGACCTAAACGCGGATCTGCTGGAGCGCGCGGCCTCGCTCAGCCTCGGAGCCGCTCCTCCGACGTGCAGGGGTACCATTGAAGACGACTTCATGGCCTGAGGCCCGCTGTCGCTCCGCCGAGTTGGACTGCGGCACGTGTGTTGCGGGGGCAGAATTGGATTGTTCACAGTGACTTGAATCGATTGGACGCCCCTGCGGAAAAGGGGCTCGAGGAGACACGAGGGCAAAAAGGACGTTGGCAGCTCGTATGCGGTAACCTAGTCTGCAGCACACATGCGTACTGCGGGAGACTGCGAACTTTGGGGGCGATAATGTCGCATAATGATATGTATGTCGCCACAGATGATAAATCTAACCGGAACCATGTATATCCAACCCGAATCTGGTTCAAAAAAATAGGGGGGGGGAGGGGGGGAGACGGTCATGCAAGCAGGTAGAGAGTCTTGAAACACCTTTCCTCGGCGGCGGAGCGAAGTGCTACTTGCGGTTCCTCTGGGCTCTGTGGCCCCTGTGGACATCGGGTTCCTCAAGTCGAGCCGTTGACATTGAGCTTCCCTTGAAGCTTCTCTACGTGGTCGACGAGGTCGGCAATGGTGCAAACCTTGAGGCCCCACTTCCTTGCGAAAGCGATGGACGCCTCTCCTCTCATCATTCCGGCGCCAGAGCGTACCGCCCGGCCTGGGACCTCTTGGCCATCGTCGACGATCTCGCAAATGGCCGCGGCCTCGGACAAGCCGGCAAGGCGGCAGAGCTCGACAGCGGCCTCGGTGTGGCCGGGGCGAGCCCTGACGCCGCCGGGATGGGCGCGCAAGGGCAGGACGTGGCCGGGGCGACGGAGGCTGGCGGGAGTGGCATCGGGGTCGGCAAGGACGCGGCAGGCGAGGGCGCGATCGTGGGCGCTGATGCCGGTGGTGACGGAGTCGTGGCTGGCGTCGACGGAGACGGTGTAGGCGGTGCCGCGCGGGTCCTGGCTGGCCAAGACCATGAGGGGTAGGGCGAGGTGGTCGGCGCGCGAGGGCTTGATGGGCACGCAGATGTAGCCCGACGAGTGGCGGACCATCCAGGCCATCTGGTCGGCCGAGAGGTTCTGGGCGGCGACGATGAGGTCTGCCTCGTTTTCGCGGCCGGGGTCATCGAGGACGACGAGGAACTCGCCGTTGCCTGCGCGCGCGCATTTTCAGATTAGCTTCTCGCCCGACGAGTGTTGGGGAGCGGTGCAGGAAAGGAATGGGCGCACGAAAAGCCTCGACGGCGTCCGGGATGGAGTCGAATTGACCCTGTGGTATGGCCGGGGCGGCCATTGTGGCAGTCGAGTTGCTTCGTGGGGAGGGGTGCGATGCGATGAAGGGGATCGGCCAGTATTATACAAAGGTACCCTCGGGGGACCGGCGGGCGGTACAAGTGGCTATGCCCGTATTTGAAGAGCCCCTCGGCGTTATCCCAGGTACCCAATTGAAGGGTGACGATGCTGCGACGTATGTATTACAAAGACTCGGATGGATCCAGCTTCATCGTCGGCGGCAGAGGATGGGATCGGATTTCCGCGGGTTAGTTACAAAGCATGACTAATGTGGGCAAAGTAAAAGAAGGCCAGCAAATAAAGTTCTTGCAGATATTGTCCTGAACGCTAGGCAGAGGGGACAAGAGCCAAGACAGTCTTTGTGAGTCAGATTGACAGGGGCGAGGGCGGAAGAAAAAGGCTCGTGGCGCCATCGCGGCATCTTGAGCCCCAAAGCCGACCCGAGGCCGCCCGCCATTCGGCACGTGTGCGCATGTACAGTACAGTGAAGGAGTGCTCGGTGCGGATGAGCGACTCCACCGCCGGCCGACCCCGAGCCGTTGCCGCATGCAGATAATAATGGCACGTCTTAAATGATAAAGATCCGGAGAGAGGGAGGAAGAATGTTCCGTCAAGGACAAATTGCACAGTGTCAGTATGGACTCACCGAGCCTGCTTTGTCAGCATCAGAAATCATGGAGCCCTCAAGGTCATTCTTCTCGACTTGGACGATATCGTCGCCCATCCGTCCGCTCGTCAAATGGCAGCCCCGTCCCGGACAGCTGCGGCTCGTATTGGGCGGATACTGCCGCGGCCGCGTCCTGTTCCATCTCGGGCGTCTCGAGGACTGCCACCGCCGACGTCGCTGCGCCCGCACTCGACCTTTTCGTCCGTCAATCCCGATGAGGTCTCCCACTTCAATGCGCTCGCCAGCGAGTGGTGGGATCCCCACGGCTCATCGCGACTCCTCCACTTGATGAACCCGCTGCGACACGACTTCATCCGATCCTGTCGCGGGGTCGGCGGCGGAGAGACGCCCTTATCCTACCTCGACATTGGCTGCGGCGGCGGCATCTTTGCCGAGAGCGCCGCTCGGCTGCCGACGACGCGACGAGTCACGGCCATCGACCCCACGCCGTCGGTCCTTGCCGTGGCCAAGGCGCACGCACGCAAAGACCCATCGTTGGTGACCAAGCTCGCCTACAGGCAGAGCTCCATCGAGGAGCTGGAGCAGCCGCTGGACGACGGGCAGCGCTACGACGTGGTGACGCTGTTCGAGGTGCTCGAGCACATTGACGAGCCGGCCGCCTTCCTGGCGCGGGTACGGCCGTTTGTCAAGCCCGGCGGGTGGCTGGTCATGAGCACCATTGCGCGGACGTGGACGAGCTGGCTGACGACGAACCTGGTGGCCGAGGACTTGCTGGGCATCGTCCCGCGCGGAACGCACGACTGGAACAAGTACATCAACGAGGAGGAGCTGCGGCGATACTTTGTGGACCAAGGCTGGGAGAGCCCGCGCGTCATGGGCGTCGTCTATGTACCCGGTCTGGGATGGAAGGCGGTGCGAGGAAGTGAGAGGGTCGGCAACTACTTCTTCGGAGTCCGTCGAGGTGACTGATGCTCCAGTCCTGGATGGAATGATACCCAGTGGTGGGAATGGACGTCAAAGTCGGGTTCCAGCGCGTGGACCGTCGGGCCAGTCATGTATAGCTTGAGGACGACGGCGAATACTGGGTGGCTGATGGGCGATGATGAGGCTGAGGTGGATGTCGCGATGGGCTACCATTTCTCGGAGTGCGAGTCGTGCCACCATACCGCCGCTATCCTTGTGCGGCCTGGGCAGACGTGAAAGAGTAGGTCAATGCCTTAATAATCCGAGCTCCGTACCTGCCCACCTCGGTAAAGCAAGGCCTAGACCGCCAGAGCTTCGATTGGTGATTGAAACTCCCGGCCAGCTCAACGAAGTCCACCAAAAACACGTCGCGCATTGCCTTCCCACGGCCAAACGCGATACGAGGTCGCTGTGCACCAACGACTTCTCTGCGCCTCGTTGCGGCCTGCCGCGTCATCCGCCCCCGTCCTTGAGCCGTCTGACCTCCAAACCCCACCATTGTCGACGGCCTCTCTCAGCTTTCATTTGCTTCACCTTTTGTTTTGAGCCCTGGCCTCCGTCATGTCGGAATAGCGTCTCCTGTCCTGAGGGCTCACCGCAATTGCGGTTCTTACGCTCGCAATAGCCACCATGCTCATTCCGCTCACTGCCCTCGTGGCAGCCTCCGGCCTGGCCCTCGCGCAATTCGTCTCGCAGGACGCCCGAGTCCGCAATCTCACCGTCGTGCCCTCACCCGGAGATGCCGGTGTCACCGTCTCCTTCAAGGAGCCCAAAGGCGCCTGCAGGACAGCCTTTGACAGCCAGAGGCAGTTTACCGGATGGGTCAACATTCCCGGCCAATTCCCCACCAACCTGTTCTTCTGGTTCGTCGAGGCCCGTGAGCCCACCGAGAGCCTGGCGATTTGGCTCAACGGCGGCCCTGGCGCCAGCTCATTGCTCGGCCTCTTCTCCGAGAACGGGCCCTGTGAGGTCGTGGAAAGGGGCCTCGAAGACTACGACACGGTTGCCAGAGAGTGGGGCTGGGATCGTGCGTCCAACATGCTCTTCATCGATCAGGTTTGTCTCCTGTCGCCTCGTCGTGTCATATCACTGATCCCCCGCTGCGCAGCCTAACCAGGTTGGCTTCTCCTATGACACGCCAACCAACGGCACCTTTTCCGCTTTCAATGGCTCCGCGTCTACGCCCCCGAGCCGCCCCGACGACTCGCTGCCCCCTTGGGCCTCCGCCAACGGCACCTTCAGCACCAACGACCCTAGGGGCACGGCCAACACGACGAGGGCTGCGGCCATGGCTGCCTGGCACGCGATCCAGGGTTTCCTCACCACCTTCCCCCAATATCAGCCAAGTGCCAATGCCTCCGTCGCCCTCAGCCTCGTTGCCCAGAGCTACGGCGGCGTGTACGGCCCAGTCTTTGCGGAGACGTGGGAAGCGCAGAACCAGAAGCGGTTGACCGGCGTCTTGAACCGAAACACGACGTTAGAGCTTCGTCTCACATCGCTGGGCATTTTCAACGGGTGCGTCGATAGCGCGCTTCAAGTGCCCACCTTGCCGGTCTTTGCAAATAACAACACTTACGACATCAAGGCCTTGTCAGACACAGAGGCCGGCCTGTATCGGGACAAGTTCTTCGCCCGCTCCGGTTGCAGAGATCTCCTGGCCCAATGCCAGGCTGCCGCCGCCGGGCAACCTTGGGAGGGCAATGGCAACAACCAGACAGACGCCGATGCTGTCTGTCGTCAAGCCACGCTGGCCTGCCTCGACATTTCACAGCCATATTTGAACTCAGGTAAAAGCGCCTACGACATCGCGGCCCTCTCCGCCAACCCCGAGCCCCCGCCGTTCTTCGCCGACTACCTCAACCAGGCTGGCGTGCAAGCAGCCATTGGCTCGCCCGTCAACTTCACCATGACGAGCAACGTCGTCTCCGCCAACTTCTCATGGACAGGTGACTTTTCCAAGGGCGGCAATGTCCACCGACTGGCAGCTCTGCTCCAAAGGGGCGTCCGTCTAGGCCTCGTCTACGGCGACAGGGACTACGTGTGTAACTGGTTCGGAGGCGAGGCCGTCTCGCTAGCGGTTGCTCAGCAGGCGGGCGGAGAGTACGCCGCCAAGTTTCCGACCGCCGGCTATGCGCCGATTGTCGTCAACGACTCGTACATTGGCGGCGAGGTCCGCCAGTACGGAAACCTGTCCTTTAGCCGCATATATCAGGCCGGCCACGCCGTCGCCTGGTACCAGCCCGAGACGGCGTTCCAGGTCTTTGCCCGCATCCTCCTGGGTCGCTCCGTGTCCATGGGTAACATGGTCGACCTGGCCAAGTACAACACGTCCGGGCCACTCAACTCTACGCGCTCAGCCAAGGCGCCCGACCCACCCAAGCCGACGTGCTTTATCCGCGCCATGAACATGACGTGCGACGCCGATGCGTTGGAGCTCGCACGCCACGGCGGCGGCGTCGTCATCAACGGGGTGCTGTACAGCAAGGCAGACGACTGGGTGCTAGCCACGGTCGGGCCGACGGCGACGTCGACGTCGACTTCTTCCCCCTCAGCGGATGCCATGACGGGCCTGTACACGGCCACCGCGACGCCCAGCAGCGCTGCGTGCTTTGCGAGGCCTTGCTTACCGGTGTGGGAACTCGGGGTTGCTTTGCTCGCGCTGTGCAGCTTGGTGAGTTTGATGTAGAGCACGAGGTAGGTGCGCCGGCATCTGGAGACAAGTGTCTATACAGCTTGTGCAGAGGCAAAGCGCGGCCTCTGGTAATTCGTTGGCGGGAGGGGCGCGGTGATGGAGAGAGGAACTTTGGATCTGGCTGGCGTCTTTGGTCTGGTTCGCGAAGGCGGCCGCTCTCGCATATTTTCGATACCCTGTAAATATCCAAACGGGATGGCACATGAGAGGGTATAGTCGTGACTACAGGCACGCACCAACAGGGACACGCTCCCCGACACTTGCTGCTCAGGGCAAGCCCAATATCCAAGATTAATGACCATTACTTTATCTGGGGTATCTTTTCGTCACACATGACCATGTCCTCTTTTACATCACGCCTACTCATGGACAAATGCCGCCCAGTCAAATCATGCTCGTGAAAGACGCTCTGCTTTGGGCGCCCTGCCTCTTACGGCTCTCTGGCCCCTCACCATCATGTCCCCGTCCGCGTCGCCTATGTCGTCGTCGTCGTCGATCCCGTCCAGCTTGTCGTTGCGTTGGGCTTGCCTTGCGCGCTGGATCCTCCGCAGCATGGCCTGGTCGAGGTAGAAGTCTTCCGAGAACATTGCGCGGGAGAATGTCTATTGGGATTCGAGTCAGCACTTTTTTGGCCAAGTATGCGGCGGATGTAATATCTAGCGAAGGAAGCAAAGTGCGTCTTTTGATATTGGGAAGGTTCTAAAGGGGGGAGGGGGGTTATTCGTGCCTCGGAGCATCCCGTCTGGGGACATTGGACAACGCCTTGCGCGGGCAGGTAATCGCGAATGGCCGACTTCTCAAATGTGTGCTTGCACTTTGAGTTGCTGAAAGGCTCGTCCATGGGCCGCAGCGTCAGGGGACACTTGATGCTCAGCACCTCGCGCGCCACGGCAATATCGTCATCGTCGTCATCTGGGCCGGCCCCGACGGTGCTGCGCCGCGTCGCGGCACCGGGCCGGTCCATGACGGGCTGGCCGTTGGAGCGGAACCACTTAGATGCGTCGGGGAGCGCGGGGCCGTCCTCGCCGGTGGCCGCGTCGTGCCACAGCTTCTTGAAGCCGGCGTAGTCGTTGTTGCGGGCGTACCGCTGGGCGGGGGTGAGCTGGTCGCTGTACTCTGCGAGTTTCAGGGCGCGACGCTCGCGAAAGGCGTCGAGGGTGCTGGGGACGGGATCCTGCTTTCGGTCCTGCTGCTCTGCCTCGTTCTCCTCTTCCTCTTCCTCTTCTGCTGCACGGCGCTGCCTGCGCTGCGCAGAGGCGTCGATGTCGCGCGTGACGACGGTGGTGTACAAATCAGCCACCACGGCAGCCTCGTCCTCGAGCTCGGCCCTCTTGTCGATGACGTCGCGCACAGCGCATTCGGCGTCACGCGTAAGGGCGTCGACGTCGCTCTCAAATTGGAGCAGATGGGCCTCGAGGCGAGCCTCCTCGTCCGTCTTGTCGGAGCCCTTTTCCTGCCTCCTGTTGCGCAGGGCTTCGAGGCGCTCGAGCTGGGCGGCGAGGCGCTCGTTGATGTCGCCGACGCCGAGGCCCAGCTGGCGGACCAGGTCCTTGAGCTGGGCCTCGTAGAAGCGCGTGCCGCGGTTGTTGGACAGGTCGCCGAGGGCGCGGCGGGCGTTGTCGTCGAGGGGGCAGGCGGGGGGTTCGTATTCGGGCAGGCGGGCCAGGGAGGCGGTGCCGCTGTTGACGAGGCGAGGCATGGCGAGCGGGCGAGGAGTGGACAACGGAGAATTGAATACGGCAGAGCCCGAGAGGGCGAGTGGGTGTGGCCCAGTACTTGGCTCACGACAGATTGGAGCGCGAAGCCTACAGGAGACGCGACAAAACGCGACTGAGAATGGGGACGGGGGATGCCGTAAGCGGCTTGAGACGATAGGTCCCGTGACTTGCGATTCTTTCTGAGGAAGCTTAGATAAGCTTAGACATTGATCAAGATGTGCGATAATTAAGTTACCATCCGTTTCTCGTCGCAGACAAGGCACCTCCTCTTTCAGGCCCCGGAATCCAAACGGCAGTGCGTGTTCCCGGCGACGATGCGGCCCGTTTGGCCGCCGGGGTTGAGGGTGCATCAAGACGCGCCGTGTTAATTACGTGTTTGGAGGATGCATCTACTTGGCACTACCATTTCACAGCTAACGAGGTGCTCCAGCTAATACTGCAGTAGACCGTTGCGTCACTCACGGCAAGCGGGCTGCCACCTGTGAGCTCCAGCGTAGGCCGGCAATGCGCGAGAGTACGTTGAAGTACAGTACACGGTAAGGCAGGCCGTCAGAGGTAGGGGGGATACGCAGCGGCAAAGATCCGAGCCCATCCCTGGCCCATCCCTGTTAGGATGCCAGATGTATAATATCATAACAGACAGGTAGCAAGGCCGGAGAAGGGCAGAGGAGAGACAGGCGCTATGTTGGGACCGATATGGCAATCTAGCGCATTATGCCTCCATCGGAGCCGAAGTTTGGACTCCGCATGGTCATGACGATGATGCGCATCGCCTGGATCGTGCATATCACCATCGGCCATAGCCTTGCAGGCCCCCTCGGACCGAGAGTGGGCAGAGGCAGTGGAGGGGGAGGGGGAGAAGAGCCGCATCGGATGAGGCTGACAGCCGAGTGTGTGTGGGAGGGCAAGAAGCGGGAAGCGACGACAAGCTAAGGGAAGAATCATACGAGTAAGCGTGTGCGTGTGTTTGTGTGCGGGCGCTGCGCACCGGCAGGCCACCCGCACTCGGGGCGCTAAGCGTCGGGGAGGAACGAGGAGATGCCATTAGGAGAGAAACGGGGAGCTCCAGGCGGGAGATTGACGAGATCTCGATGGCTGGGAGCGGCTATCTGAGGCTCTCGGTGCCATCCGCAGCCAACATCATCGTATTTTCCTTGACGCCCAATTCCCGAGCGGCCGGAGGGGACCTTGAGGGTCTAGAACGGCTGGGGGGGAGGAGAGGCTGATCGTCGACGACACCGGGGAACGAGATGGCGGGCGTGAATGCGTTTCTCCGCATCGACAGTCGATCGCGCCCATCGAGGTGGCGGCGTCGGCGTCGGCCGGGCGCTTCGGCAGGATCCTGCTAGCGGGTTAACAGGCATGTAAATAAATACGTACTATACCGTATATGTACCTACAGACAAGGGACAAGGGGGCTTGTGGGCCTGGGCCGCCTGGACTCTGTTAGGTAAGCTCTGCCTGAGGCTCTTTCTAATTACTGCACCGTACCGTACCTACAGGTAGTAAACCTGTGTTACGTGGCGCCCCACGGTCCCTGCAGAGTGCGACAAGGCAAGACCGGAGAAGTGCATGGGCGGAGACTGCCGGGCAGCGCCTGTCATCCCGGGTACGTACCGGTTTTAAATCCTCCCCTCAGTCCTGGTTGGTCCTCCGCCCCGAGGCCGATCGCCGTGCCGGCTTGAGACGCCCTCGATCTCGCAGCATCGGCACCCATCGGCAATCCGCCGTCGCCGGGCAGGCCTTTTGAGAGGGGTATAGTGGTCTCATGGGGGCCTCGTGCCCGCCAGGCTTGGTCCAGAGCCGTCTCTCGCTTGCATGTCGGACCACCTTGATCCTGGAGTGCTGTACACGGCGGCGTCGTCGTCGTCGTCGTCGTCGCCCATCATTCATTGCCGTGCCCTTTCTGTTTTCCGTGGCTTCACGCACCCCTTCGTCTTCCACTATGCCTGCGCCCTGCCCAGACACACAGACATTCACTCTCTCATCCCACCGGCACATCCAATCGTCTTCTCCTTGGTCGGTGGGACATGGCAGTTCCGGCTCGCACGCACCCGGTAGCCAATTCCCGCCTCCGCCCTGCGTGGGCCCCCCCGATCTGCCATCTGGCATCGGCCAGGGGATCGTGCTTAGACAATTGCATTGCCGGGGTTCTATCCGTGGCCTGCTAGCCGTTGCACATATCTACTAAGCCTTTGCCGGTTCGATCCGAGCTGCTATTCTCCATCTCCATCTGCTCTTTCCTCCCACCTCTCTCCTCTCACCGCTCTCTTCTCCCACCTCCTTCTCTTTCACGATATCCCTCTGGCCCTCACCACCTCTCCTCTCTTCCTCCCAGTGTCCCATTCCTCCTCTCCCTCACGCCGCCTCATCCTCGGCCGCCTTCTCACCATGACTTCCAAAGCACCGCCGCCGCCGCCCATCAACTCCTGGGAGACCCGGGCCCTAGACGTGAGTGTTTGCTCTCGTCCTCCTGGCCCCATGCTCGCCGGAAACATTACGGCTGCTGACATTGATTGCCACTTATAGTACCAGTTTCCCGGCCAGACACAGCCAGGCCCCGAGGAGGTCGGTCCCCAAGCCGCACGGCGGCAGATCCAGGATCCCTTGGTATTCCCGGGTCTTTACTCCGCCAGCGGATTCGACATGATGAGCATTCTCGTACGTATCCCTTGCAACTTTCCTTGTCACCCGAACAGTGAATAACCATTCCCGTGCAACGAGACCTGACACACCTTAGTTGCGAGTCAGGAGTCGGCCAAACCCTCAGATCGAGCTGGGTGCCATCGATTGCTCCGTCTCTCTTGTCCTTTGTGATCTCGAGCTCCCGGACACGCCCATCGTCTATACGTCAGACTCCTTTTGTGAGCTGACCGGTTATTCGAAGGCCGAAGTGCTCGGCCTCAATTGTCGATTCCTGCAAACCCCCCCGGCCAACCAAACCTCGGCCACGAGACCAGAAGCAAACGAAAACAAAGCCGTTGCCCAGCAGATCCGCCAGGCCGTCGAAGCACGCAGAGAAATCCAGGTAGAGCTGGTCAACTACAAAAAGAGCGGCGAGCGCTTCAACAACGTCCTGAGCGTCGTCCCCGTCGAAATGGACGTTGCCGGCTATTACTACGCCGTTGGCTTCCAGGTTCAGATCGACTGAGCAAAAGTTGAGACATGCTCCACGGTCATCTCACTTTCTCTCCGCCTCCTACACACACTACGCCATGACGAGGTGCCTCCACATGTTGCGTCTTGCTGGCATTTCTTTCGATTGATCATCACCGCTTTCAGGCATACTTGATACCCCAATTCTCGGCGTTTCGGCCTTTCTTCTTCCCTCGACGATGCAGGTCCTCGCTATCCCGGGGACGTGCATATCATAATGCAACGTCGCTTGGTACATTTTCAACATATTCCCCGCCAGAATCGGTTCTGGTTCGGATTGGCGGGAGCATAGACGCATAGATTTGCTTTTAGGCATCGGAGGCGCAGGCAAATCCACCCGGCGCATGCCTTTGAGCAGAAAGAGCAGATGCAGTTGGGCGTTGGGCAGCGTTGATTTTTGTGAACAGGTACTTCTTCTGGTATGAGCGACGAGCAGACTTGGCAGGCGACGGGATGTAGAACTGCTAGGTTCGCAGCGTAAACGACACCACCTGTAGCAAAGCGACGTTTTCACCGCGCGTGTTTCTAGTTGGAAAAACAAGTCAAATGGTCTTTCAACATTGAAAAGGCTCCATTAATCTACGCGGTAGTAGTGAACCTTGTATCGGGTGTCGGGAGTGGTTGAGACAGTTGAAACATGATACAGTACCCAATCAACCGAGATATAATTACGTGTGATAGGCTTCAGACGAGGTCTCGGCTGCGTTGCCCTACCAGCATGATCTGGCCTCGGATTGGTCAGCAGGTTTGATGATACTCCGTACCAGGATTAAAGTCTCACAACTTTTGTGCAACGCGAGATCCCCGCTCATTTTCGCAGCCTCGCGGATCTTCTGCGTCCATCGGGCACATCTACCTCGAGCACTTCCTGCTTGATCTCGCTTTTTACCTGCTTGGTTCGCCTCTTCTTAAGGGGGGGACCGTCGGCCTCTTCGTCGGACGTGGACTTGATAGGCTCGACTTTGGCGCCTGTCGTAACGCGTCCAGTCTTCTTCTGCACTCCAGGCGAATAGCAACTCGTCCGCCCGCCCACCGTCATAAAGGCCAGCCGCTCGCCGTTGGGAAGTTTGGCCGAGCCGTTGCCCTTGCCCCATCGGTAGTTGAAAAGCCAGTGCTCTGGGAACGCGTCCGAGTCGCCGAGCTTGTCCACGGCCGTCTGGCAGACGTAGCGAATAGACTGGTAGAGCCTCGCAATAGCCTCGTCGTCAAAGTCGTCACAGTATTGCTCCGGGTGGAGCTTGGCGTGGTAGAGGGTCTCGTCGGCAACCCAGTTTCCGACGCCGCTGATAGTGGTTTGGTCCAGGAGCAGGGCCTTGATGGGCACGTGCCGGGACTTCATCTTGGTCCGTAGATATTCCTCGGTGAAGATGGCCACGTCAACGACGGGGTCTGGACCGTTCTCCACCAACGGCGAGTGCTCCCGAATGCTTGCTCCGGGGCAGTCGACCAACCTTACCCGACCGAACCTCCTGGGGTCGGTGAAGGCGACCTCGACGGGCGAGTCTCCTTCTGTCACAAGGTGGAACTTCCAAAACTTGGGAGGCCATTGACTGAGCTCGCTGTCTTTGGTCTTCTTGTAGTAATTTGTATATGCCGTTCTTTCGCCCTTGATGTGTATCCAGCCTGTGGGAGTGAGTTACAGCAGCCGCTTGGTCTCCGGTGGGTGCCTTACCGGTCATGCCAAAGTGCATCACTAGATGAGGGGGCTTATCGAGAATAATCCTCCGCACACTCAGCAGGGGTCGTCCAAAAGGCGACGACACTCGCTCACCAGAAGTATTTCCCTTGGCTGCCAGCCGACATAACCTGGAGCTGCTGTGAGCTTGGGGTAACGACAATTAGGGGGGGAAGATGCCGGACCTGTCTACCCCTCAGAGCCGTCTCAACGGCGGCACCGCTGGTACCGACTTTGCCGAAGACATTGGGATCGTCAATGGCCGAAGCCGCTGCGATGTTTTGCCCAACGAGCCTGAGGCGGAGGAAGTGGACGATGCGGGCGACTGGGTGAGGTCAGTGAGGTTGAGCTGCGTAAATGCGTGGTCGTCGACATGCCTTCTGCAATCTCGGGCATCGTGAGTCACCCGATGCAAAGCGAGTATCAGGGGCAATGAAGCGCACGATGCGCCACGCCTCGTCTCACAACCAGATTGTTCACGCACGCGGCCGACACGAGACCCCGTGACGTCTACCGATTACTTGCGGTCATGACTAAGCATCCCTGTTCCGCTCCACTCGGCCCCACACCCGATTTTGCTCAAAAGCTTTTCTCCGTGAAAACTTCAGCTTCGTTTTTCTTCTCTTCCCACCTACGCAGCATCCGTCTGGTAAGCTCCTACGCCCCCTCTCCAGCACTTGCCATCCCCTCTCCTTGCCTGATGACAACCATAACCGCAAACTAGAGTCTCTGACCTATGGAATGACGACTCCCATTTAACACGTCAGTCTGAAAAATCACCATCAGACGCTTGTCCGCCCTCGTGATCAACCTTGCCAAGTGCTTGCGCTGACTTGCTCTCTACAGATTTGCATTGTGCAATCGCTGACTGGCCGAGTGGCCGTCGGAGCCCGAGCCCTTCACGGGCCCGAGAACCATTGGGTACGTCGTCTCCTTGCCTTTTCAAACCCTGGTTCATGATGATCACTTTTACAACAATATACGCTGGAAATTACCGGCTGAGATTCTTCCTTGACGACACTAATTGGCTTTGACTGATTGTTCCTTGTTCTTGATACCTATTGCTCTACGCTCCCGCTCTCGAGCATTGGCTGACTGAACAAACCCAGACCGTTATACAAGGTACGCACAACTCGACCTCTGCACTTCGCGCACATTTCCATGATGAAGCGGCACTGGGCTCCGAATACATCGCATGAGCAAGAGAAGCCACTTTGCGGCAGGCCTAGAAAACCTCGCCCACTGATCCTGCGCCTTGTACCCCGATTCTTTGGCCACCAGCATCGCAATCGGCTCGACTAACACGCTGGCATCCAGTGTCTCTGGTCGCGTCTTGGCGCCATGTCTGTATCATGCGGTGGAGTGCTTTGTTGAAACCTACAAGGTAGAGCCTCCTTGCCTTGAATTCTGCGAGAACATGCCCTCCCCTGGCCTTCGATGATGATCTCAGATGACGAGTCTAAGCAATTTGCTATGCTGACACCATCTTACCTAACCATTCATGCATTACCTGACGTTGCCCATGATCATGTTCTCCCTGAAGCTATAATGCTTGACGCGTCATCCGCTAACGCGAAAGGCAGGACGACTTGCGCTTTGGTTGGTCTCCCCTTGACCCCCGCGGTCAAATGCCTCAGACGAGCCCATGTGTGATGAGCACGAATGAAAATGACAAGCATATGTCTGAGCTCACGCAACGAAGACAATTCATTCCACAAGGCCTGACATGGAGCCTTGTTCCGACCGCGACTGATCCACTTGATGAATGGCTTGGGCTGACATGATGAAAGCCCGTTGCCCATCGCTGGCCGAGGCTTTGCACGCTCTGAACAGGTCAGTGCATACCCCTTGTTACCCTTTCTCGTCTTTACATGATGTACAATATCACGACGGTCAACTTAGCCATATGCTTTGATGATAACGCCTGTGACAAGGCACTTTTCCCTGATACCCTTGACAATTTCTTGCCTGCCAAGGAGACGTGTTACTCGGACGTTTACTGATGGTTCGCAGGATGTGCATGCATGCAAGTAGAGAGGTTGAATGAAGCCCGTTTTGCCGTCGTTCAGGTAAGTCTTGGCCGTGACACGCCGTTGGGTCACCACCTTTTCGTACCTGCCAAGGCGGCCCATGGATAGTGGTTCTGTCGTCCCGTAGAAAATAGACTGGAGTCGCTTCAGGTCATTGGAATTGGACAGCAATTGCAGCTCGATACTCTAGCAAACAAATCGTTACAAAGCACTTTACAGCGTTGAACCCGACGCCCTGTCTATGCTCCTCTAGGTGGCATCCATTCGTTCTATGTCATGATCTCTCCCCACTCGGTCATAAATCGTGAGACATTGACTTGCGACGGTTGCCCCTTGGCCGTCTCGTTGCAGCTTGATAACCGGCTGACCGGCGGGCACAGTCAACGGCCGGCGTAGCGGTGCCAACGGTGCTGCGACTCCTGGCTTGTCCCCCCGTGCGAGGAAGCCAGGTTGGGCTGATCCGCGCTCTCATCCAGCGCAGACGCGTGCGTGTTGAAGTACCTAGCAGCCAGGCCGGCTCTGGGTGCTCAGCGCTTGTCATATAGCCTGGGCATCGGGGGACAAAAAGACTCACTGCGGCGTGTTGTCGGCCACGTACTGCGAGGCGTACGACGAGAGGGAGGCGGCCTCGTCGACCGGCCAGTGGCTGTGGGCAAAGTAACCCCAGCCGTAGTCGTGGCTGCCCCCGGCGGGCTCGTGCTGCAGCTGGACGGCGTCGTGGCCCGGGGGGAAACCGTGCGCCGCCGCCGACGAGGCCGTCGGGGGCACCGCAGCGCTCGGCGCGTGGTCGCGGTGGTACGGCAGCACCAGGGACTGCGCGCCGCTCTGCCGCGGGACCGCGTCCTCCGGGGCCGACGGCGACAGCGGCGCGACGCCGTACTCGTCCACGGCGGAGCCCTGGCGGTCGTCGTCGGGGTCCTGGTCTCCGCTGCCGTTCTGGTTGTGCACCACCACCTTTCTCTTGTACTTGCGCACGCCCCATTTCTTGAGGTTGTCCATGTAGCTGCGTCGGCTGCGTGGTCCCGTCTTGATGTCAGCTAGACTGCTACCCCGTTTCCTTTTCTCTTCTGGTGCAGGGTTCCTGAGGTTTCGCACTCGTCTCTTCTCTTCCTGGCTTCCATCCTTTTTTCGCTTTCTTCTTTGCGCCTTGCGCAGGAAAATAGCGTGCGTAACATGGCATGTGATGGGATGGAATAGGCGTTGTAGAAATCACAGGGGGGGGGGCCTAAGACTGGGAACGTACGAAGCAGTGAAGCAATGGCGCGCGCGCATCAGGTCCATGACAACCTCGAGCGTCTTGTTCTCGTCAATGTAGAGGCGCACAATCTCGCCGCGGTACGAGTCAAACGGCTTCGTCATGGCGCGTGGGTGGTGATGCTTGTCCAAGTCCGTGTCTGCGTCTGTGCCTGTGCGGCACCCTTTTCTTCGCCCGTGTGCAAACCTCCCTTTTCTTCTTCTTCTTCTTCTTCTTCTCCTCGACTTGTTGTTTCTTCCTCGGCTGGTTGCGAGCGTCTCGTAAGCTGGCGGCGGTGGCAAGGTGAGGCGGACTGGGCAGGCACAGAGCCACGAGCAAGCGTGCGAAGAGCGCGCATAATACCTTTTCTACATGCCCTTGATTCATACGTATACACCGAACAAAACCAGTTCATAAAAAAGAACAAGACGGGGAGAAGTGTATATATAGCGTGTTGTGTTGTGTATACGCATACGTATCGAAGCCCCCTTTGCGCTGGGCAGCCCCCTCTGCCCACGACGCTTCGTGGCCGCCTCACGCGCAATTCTCTCCCAAGCCCTCCCGCTCCCGCTCTCCCGGTGTCTACCTCGGACGACTCCTCCCTCCGCGCCCTCTCCCTCTCTCCCCGGGGGGGCTGCCCAAGCATCACCCCACCACCCGCAAGCCACCACGTCCGCAGGGCAGAGGGGGAGAGAGAGAGAGAGAAAGGTCCAGGGCAAATCCATCACCGCTACCACGCCTCCTTTCCCTCTCCATTGTCCTTGCCCGGCCTCGCTGTTTGCCGCTCGCCCTCGCCCGGCATGCCATTAACCCTTGTTCATTCGTCTGCGCCAGGCGCTCGCTCCGCCAACTCGACAGGCCCAGCCCATGGTCCCCGTCAAGGGGGGTGTGTGGTGGATTCGAGGCAAGCGAAGCCTCCTCAGGCAGGGCCGTAAGGCTTCTCTCCCTCCTTACCAATGTAACGAAATGGGGTTCGCCATGTAAACGCGGCGAAGCCCAATCGACGTCAGAGCATCATGATGACAGTAGAGCACATGGGCACATACTTGCATATGGACGTATACAAATGTGTTTGCATATGCTTTGTATGTACATCCAAGTACAGCTCACTGCGTACAATCCTCTCATTTGCAAGAATCAGAGACAAGAAAGAAGGCGAACCGGCAGAGAGGGGGGGCTTGGGCTGGCTGGCTGGCTTCCACATGCGTGGCGGACGGTTGTTGGTTGGGGGCCAGATGCCAATCATCTTTCTACCCCTTCTTGCAATCCTTTTGTATTTTTCCCACCGTCATCATCTGGCAAGGCGACGAGCTTGTGCCCAAGCATGGCGTCGGCCACGCCACTTCTCTGTTGACCGCCGCTTTGCCAGAGATCAAGTGACGGCCAGGCAGGGCAGGGACTGTCATGGGCAGGTGTTTCGGCAACGTTGATTAGGGGCGAAGCAGCGAACAGCTGTTGCGACAAAATGACATGGCAGCAGGATACCCATCCGCCCGACTAACCCAACCCCCCCGGACCGGCTTCACGTCATGCTGTCTTCGCCCAGGCAAGGTATCTCGCCGTCCGCCTCTTCAACCATGTCGCCCCTAGACTAGGGCATTGCGAACGCAAACAAGCGCCAGCAAATTTCCACAGCACTCATCCATGCGGACGCCCGTCCGCCTCACTTGGGCAGCCTCAGCTTTTCTTCTCATCCACAGGAACAGTCGACGCGGCGACAGGGGCAGCGGCAACAGGAGCTGCCTCACCGCTTGTCACGCCCGCCTCCTGCGCCTTGTGCCCCGGGGCACCCGGTTGCACCGCCTTGGCCTCGGCTGGGTCCTCGACAAGCTTCTCGTCCGAGGGTACCCCGCCGGCGGCTACGGGGGACCCGGCCACGGGCGAGCTGGGCTCGGCAGGACCCGTTGCGCCGCACACGGTCTGGATGACTTGGAACCACTTCTGGGCGTCTTCGGCCGAGTGCGCCTTGAACGCCAACTCCGAGCTGCCCGTCAGCTTGCTGCTAATGGTCTTGCTCCGGTCCTTGCCCTTGACGTTGAACTTGTCGCCGTTGGGGGCGCCGATGACGGCGTCGGGCAGGTAGATGGACAGCTCAGGCTTGGGGTCCTGCCGCGTGTCGTCCGAGTCCTTGAACTCGTGCAGGAACTTGGCCGGCGTCACAACGTAGTAGCCCGTCGAGAGCCCCCACGAAAGCTTATTGCGAGACTTGCGCTCCAGCGAGCCCTCAATCAGCGGCTTGGTCGAGGCGTGGTCCATGTTAGGGAACTGGATCGCCTCGACGGAGCGGGGCGGATCGTTGGGATTTGCCAGGCGATCGGCACATCGGCTGCTGAAGTTGACCCATTCAAAGTCGGCGGGCACCGTCTGGATGGTGCCCAGCATGTCGGCGTAGAGGGCGCGCATCTTCTCGCCCTGGCCGCCGGCGAGCTGGACAAATGCCTCCATGGCCTGCTGGAAGACCTGGAGGATGTGCGCCTCAAAGGCCTTGAAGTTGTTCTGGACGGCAACGAGATCGTTGCGATGGTTGTTCTCGGCCACGACCTGGCCGCTCAGCCGATGCAGCACGCCGCGGAAGACGACGTACGGGTCGTCGTGGCCGTGAAACTTGCCGCCGGCCGAGTCGAATGAGGCCGTCTGCTGGCCGAGCAGCTCAATGTGTTTCTGCGTCGTGTTGCGCAGCTTCTCAAGCTCCTTGGCGCCGCTCTGAGCACCGCTATGCAGCTCCTTAGTCTTGTGCTTGATCTCCTTGTGCAGGCGCTCGATGACAGGCAAGACGGAGCCCTTGATGCTCTTTTCCGTCTCGATGTTGGTGTTGATCATGGCCTGCGTGTTGGAGCGCATGTTCTCGAAGAAGCCAGCCACACCGCCCAGGCTCTGGTCAAAGTGATGGCCTTCGCGGAGGGGGTGGGATATGGTCTTGGCGGGGAAACAGTCAGGGTCTGGTCGCATGCAGTCATGACGGTAAAGAGGCGTACCTTGAGCGCCTTTTCGTATTCCTTGGCCTGGCGGCCATGGATCTTCTCGACAGCCGTCACGTATTCTTGAAGGTAGTTGACGGCATGCTTCCACGCCGACAAGCGCTCGCCGAGCAGGCCGGCCGTCTGCAGTTCCCCCATCAGCCGCGCGCCCTTGGCCTGTGTTGGAATCTGGCGTCACCACCTACCGTCGTGGGATCCAGGTCGGGCACAGCATCATCGTGACCGCTGAGACCCGTAGCCGCGCGCGAGGGCAGCGTCGAAGTGTTGGGCGATGCCGTTTCAGACATGATGGCGAGGCACGTCGCCGGGTCTCGTTGACGGGGAGCTCAGGGCACAGGAGGAGATTGGAGAGACTTGAAGTGACTAGATGAGAGTTAGAAGACTGAACAGTGGGCAGCCAAGGTTGGATAAATGGCCATGACGCCCTCGCGAGTCTCGTCCCCGCTCTGGCGAGACGGTCAGGGACCAGAGGGGCGGTGGAGGTCGCGGCAGTAGCGCCTAGGCGGAGAAACTGCCGGCTTACTTACCTTGATGGCTGCTTTTGAATAACGCTTCTCTTGGCGAGAGAAATTTAAACATTACCAGCCCACGAGCGTGGATGGCGCGCACTTTATATCATGACCTCATCAAACCGTGCCCCGCCTCCCTCCCTCAGGCTGTCTCAGGAGGAATCTGCTAGCGTTCAGCTTGTCGGTCCCTGGCTCTGACGTCAATAGGGAGCCATAGTCCGACCCTCTCATGAGGGATCCATCCGCCTAGCTGAGCTGTTACCATTCCACCCATCGTTACGCCCCTCTCTTAACAATCGTGTTTGCGCCGCCACTCGCTCGACGTGCGCGTTGGCTGGGAGTCCTGGCTACCTGACTGATGGCAGTCAAGTCAAAGCTCACAGCCTCTGGCCATCTTCCATTCTATCTAGCCGGAAAAGCAATGGTGGTTTTCTTTCCTATCTCGTGCGTCATGGGTATTATTGTGTGAAATGCGGTACAAGGTATCCAAGAGGGAATCCGCCAGCCCATCGAAACGTCCTCCATGCCCAATGCGCCTGATCCAGTAAATACTCGAAGCACAAACCATTCCTCCCAAGACTCCAGAGCAGTGCTCCACATGGCGCCATGTTCTGGTCGCCTTCTAGTTATTAGCCCAGAAAATTTGTTGTTTCACGATATGCCGCACATTCCAAACGCCCATCGTCCCTCTTCCCAACGCCGTTTCACCCCCATCGAGGAAATGCACGACATGGTGCCGCAAGTCCACGTGCCTCAGACGGCCTGACTCCTATCCACGTGGAAGTCCACCCCCGAATGAGAGTCGTCCGAATTTGTCTGCTCGGCGGGTGTCACCTCGGCAATGGCAGTCAGATGCTCGACATTGACGTCCGTCGCCGGCGGCGTCCGCGGCGCACTGAGAGCGGTTTGGTAGTCGGGCACCGGGCAGCTTCCCGTCTGCGCCCGCGACCGTGCAGGTGTGCGGACTGCCGTCGCGTAACTCGGCACCCGACTCAGCTCTGCCAGGTCCGTCTCGTCGGCGTCAAAGTGCTCCACCGAGTTCCTCCTCGAGTAGTCCTCGTGACTGTTGCTCCTCGTCAGACCGGCCGACTGCGGTTCGGATCGTTGCGCGGAGCCCTGGGGCCCCGAAGGCGGCGATGTTCTCCCCAGCACCGAGTGCATCGACGTGTAGGAGCTGTTGCGCCGTGATGAGTCAAATGAAACGTCTGCAAGCCGCGACGACAGCGCGGCCGGCGCAATCGGGGCGCTGTCGGCCAACGCCGCCAGGTTGTCGGCCGATCCCGTGCGCGAGTGTGCGTAAAAGGGGCTGTTAACGCCAGACTGAATGGCCGGTGTCTGCAAGCCGGCCGTGTCAACGTCCTCGTACAGTTGGTCTAGTACGTGCTCGCCGTAGCCAGGCGGCGCCAGCGCGGCCGCGTCCTGGCCCGCAGGTGTCGCGCCCGGCGACTGGTTCATCAGGTTGCCTTGCTCGTCGAAGGGTACGTTTGGAGAGATGAAGATGGATACCGGTAGCGTGGCACGAAGCTTGCGTTTGCCCGTCAGCATGCACGGCGACACAGCCCATGCAAGGCTCTCATTTCGGGGGCTTACCTCAGAGACATGTCCATCTGGGTTTTTGAGGGCCACGGTGAGCTTAATCTTGTGTCGCACCTTGATGCCGTGGTGGTTCAAGTCTTGAATGCATTGGCGCAAGCGCTTGGGGAGGTTCAAGGGCTTGTTGAGGGACCAGCCTTCCTGACCCGTGTCTTCAATCATGTCTTGCCAGTGTTCCTCGGGATTGACCTCGAATCTCCAAGTCGAGACCTCGCGTTCCGTGTGGTGTTCTCGGATGTTCAGGCCGGTCGAGCCTTGAATCCAGCAGTCGCGAAGCTCGATAAAGCGGGCCGTGATCTCGCCCAGCTCCAGGCCCTTGAGCAATGGGGTGAAGCGCATATGCATATTGATAGTGCCGCCGAATACGACAGCCTTTTGCGGGATAATGATGGAATAATCGACCTTATTGGGCCAGATATTCTCGACACTCATCGCGTGCAGGAATTCGAGGGCGCCAGGCTCGAGGGTGCGAATGACGCGGAGGTGTTTGTAGGCATGCAGGTCGTAGGCGAGCTTGCCACGGCCGACGGTGGCCTTGAGGCGGTAGGTGATGGAGGCCTCCGGGACACCCTCGACGCTCTCGGGCGTGTCGCCGGGCAGGTTGAATTCGAAGGGATACTCGTAGTTGCCGGCGGGCAGCGTCATGCTCTTGCCATGGGTGCCGACAAAGGGAGCCCAGCGGTGATCTAGTATCGCGGTGGACCTGTCGACTTTTTGGCCCGACACGGCGGCAGTACTTGATCTCTGGTCAGTCCAGCTGTCGAGGGTTAGAAGATTGCACAGTGGGAGAGCAAGCGAAGAGGGCGGGCTTACGCCAATCGCAGAGTGCCGGTGAGGCGCAGGCGCACATCCTCGATGCGCAGCGACGAGGAGAGGCAAAGGACGACGACGCCCTTGAGCAACTGGCCCGAGGATTCATGATCGTTGCCGCGGAATACGATGAAGTCTTGGTCGAGGCTGGAGTTGGATTAGCGCAAGCGGACGCAGCGGCAACGGGCAATGCATACCGAATGTCAAACAGGCTGTAGCTGTTACGTCCCGTCACCGATGAGAAGGGCTTGAAGGACGGCATGGTTCGGGCCAGATGTGAGGTCGAGGGGTGAAGCGAGGGGGGACAGCAGCCTCGCAAGAAGCTGACGAGAGAAAGTCGGGCCCGGCCAGGCAGTGGGCCAGTGGTTGTATCACGGGCTACTTGACAGGCGAGGGCGCCACTCTGCGAACCTGACGAAGACGGGTGGTGGGCAGAGAGAATCGTCGTTGGACGGTTGTTATCAGGGGTCTACTGTGTATGTACGATGCGAGGTACCTTAACCAATCTCGGACCGGTGGATCTCAGCGGCTGGGCAAGGGTTCGGCAGTGGAGGCTACCGTTGCGATGTGCAGCGCCGAGTAATCAGAGGAGAGTCATGTAACCATGCGTGTGCGAGTAATAGACGGGAGGGATCAGTGGAAACGGGTGAAGTCCGAGGCTGGGAATATGGGGGGCTCGAGGACAGGAGGACAGGATATATCTGTCTTTGGAAAGGGATTTTCACGAGCTCGCCCGAGCTTCAGGTGCCGCGCTTGCCCGTGATTCATCCACACAAGCATCATCCAGTGCCGGAAATTGAGCAAAGTGACATCTACAGTACTTTGGTGGTACCCGGTACATGGGGCCCTCTGTCCTGCCTTATCTCGTCCAAGATACGGTACCGACCGCTGCACATGCTCCGGCGGTCAAAGTCGGCGCCCCAAGTCACCTATCTCGCCTCCCGCTGGCCAAGGGTCGCTTTGCTTCAGCTAACTTATAAAAGCGCGCACAGGCAGTGCTAGTGCACGCTGCAAACACTCGGGCCCTTGGTACCGAACTGGCAGATACCGCACCGCGATGGCTGCCGATAAGCATGTACCCATGTGCCTCCGGCAACGGAGCGCCGCCTGAGAGTGGAGCGTGGCAGGTACCCGCTACCCGGGAGTCAGGAGCAACGCACACCTTAACGCACACCTTCCCCGAACACGACCGCATGCAAAGGAACAAGAGGTTATACATGCGTAAAAGTACCTACAGAATGCTTGTGACAGTGGTCAACAAAAGACGGGCAATTCCTTCGCCGATCCCTGCTTGCCGCTGCCCTGATGCGGCCGCGCAGACATGTGCAAGAGTACGGATACGTAAGCATCCGGAAATGGCTCCTCGGCCGAAAACACACCACCAGCGGGCCCGATGCCACCTCGGCTCGCGTGACTTACCACTCACTTGAAATGTCTGCTGTGCTCCGAACTGAACGTGGTACGTTTCTACTGAGCAATGGCCGCATGAGCATCTCATCCCACTCGACGGTACAGTCCATTAGAAGCCATATGCTCTCTCTGTGCCGACGGTTTGCCTACACTCACGATAACAGGCAGCTCTCGAGTCCCAGCTGATTTTCCTAGAGATCTGGTCCGGGTATAGGGTAGTGATCCAACTAGACGGACCGCTTGACTACCTATGCAAAAGTGAAACGCTCCAACAGATGCCGCCAATCGTGCGGTTAAAGCTTGATCCCTTGTCTGTTCTGTCTGACAGGTAACCTCTCCTCAACAGCTTAGGTACACAGCAACTAGCTTATGCCCATTCGGCTGTAGACAGCACCGAGAACAGGTGACCCGATGACATGTCCCATTGCCATGAGCAGTTCGTTGCCGAGTCCCTCTCATCACTCGAACCGAAACATCCAGTTCGCCTACAGGTAGTGCAAGCGGGCATCTAGCAGCCGGATATTCTCTGGTGACTCTTGGCCAGTCGGGCGTCAATCACGAAAGGGATTTGGTTTTGCCAAGCGGCCGTCTCTGCGCTGTCGCTGCGTAGCTCAGCAGTTTTTGGCCGTTCCGGGCGAGAAACGCTTCAGCGCAGACGGAACTTAGTAGGACTCCGAGGATGAGCCATAAAAGCGGCCTCGTCATCTTCGCCAGCAGCAATTCACATGAGCCAAGGCAATAATCGAGTCTTCACCGCAACGGGAGGCCCCTGTTGAGCTGGACTTGATTTTATCTCGGCCTTCGGGCAGGGGATTGAGACCTATGTGAAGGTGATGAGGAGGACGCAACTTATTTAAATCCAAGCCAACAGGGTTCCGAGCGATTCCTGCCCCCAAACCGGAAGCTTAAAGGCCCCCAGGGCGGAGCCTGCGCGAAGAAGACTTGATTCGGGTGCACCTTCCTAAAACTGAAGAAAGTAGGTAATTTGACGGAAGTTGATGGTCTGGGTCCCGAGTAGCTGGCAGTATTTTGCTGGCTGCCCCGGCCTTTGGTTAAACGTCCTGATCGAGCCTCTATGATCCGAGTGGCTTATTAGTTCGGCCCCTAGTTCCTTGACGCAACTCCCTGTTGTAGAGCTCTCATGTTAAATCCCCCCTTATCAGGCGGAGCAGCTATGTCATGAAGTAGGTGTTGTGTCTGGGAGAAGGATAACGTCCAAGTCCTTGCTAGGTGCGACAGCCCTCTCCAGACGACGGGTGAAGATTCGGAGCGCGTTGCCGATGCAGCAGAACCGACAGGGGATCATGTGTTGACAGCTAAGCAGTCCGGTAACCAACTTTTCTGTCCATGCGTTTACCCGCTCCGTGCGGCCGGCCGCCAGCTGCCCCGGCTATAGCAGCTTTGCTTACTCCCTTTGCCCGCGGCAACACGGATATTTTAATCTCCACTAACGCTTCGCAATCATCAGAGAGGCTATTCCTATAACTATATATGCAACCTCGACAACGTCGCCGCTCTTTCGCCTCTCTATATGGCGTCTTATGTGGAGTGACACCGATGACTCTATACGCGATATCGACACATTGCCGCCACGGCGGAGTCTTCCACGCGCCCCCTCTAAGCCGCTACCCCTCTGCACAACGCCACCTCTTGCAAGCCGGCGCCATCGTCTTCTTCAGGCTTCCCCTTGCCGACGCCCATCAGCACTGCCTGTAAGTTTTCCTCCTCCCTCATAGTACCTCCTGATTGCTAACTGCCCCGCGGCTATATAAGAAATATGGTCCCCAGCATTTTCCGACATGCTATGCCTTTTCGGTATATCCGAAAACATAAGAAGGCCTTATCCCTCGGCGACCTATCGACATCTCGCAGCGCCCTTTGCCTCGCCTCACACACGCGTTTAGATTCATAGGTAGATATGGACGCGTTATTGGAGCCGTCGGAACAAGAGCGACGATGCTACTATATCGGCCTACCGTCATTCCCGAGGCTGGTTGCCCGATCTGGAACGGAGCCCTGGACCCCCCGGGTGGACCAATGGTCGTGCCCTATTGAGAAGAGGCTTCGCGTAGTAGACGAGCATGCAATCATCGAAAAGTGGAACGACGATTCCCCGAACTCGCTCCGCTGTCAGGTTGTCTCCTTGATCGAGCAACGAGGCCTTTATTGGCACGCGATCGACGTCTTACGGATCGGATATCAAGACCTCCCCGACGCCCCTATTGTCGTCTTTATCTCCGTGGAGCCCGGTACCCTATCTTGGCGCGATGGTCATAGCGTGGCAACGCAGTGTCGACTCTTGCTTGCACACTATAAGCTATATGACGTGCAGTGCGAAATCAAAGAATCGCGCCTGATCAAGCTCGCAGCACCTATGGTCCTACAACTGCCGGACGACGCCGGAACCAGCTATTACGCGCCGGACATGAGTCTAATTAGCGACTGCGTAGGCAATGTTATCTCGCCTATCGACACGCCGACATGGGGGGGCACCAGTTGCCTCTACCTCCGGGACAGACATACGGATGCCACATACGCCCTGACCTGTCGACATGTCTGCTTCGGCCATATAGAGCCCGGACACTCAGTGGAGATTCTACCGAGCACTGCCCCTTCCCAGTCTTCCGCGTCAATACAAAAGCACATGCTCCAGCCTAGCACGACAACGTTTGATAAGACCCTTTCCACGCTATAGAAGATCAGGCAACGCTACCAAGACCTAGTGTACGAATTCAAAGAGCGTGCTAGTATAGTCGACGATGACCGCCTAATACGCCAGATAGAATTCTATCAAACACTTCTCAACGATATAACGCCCGTCTTTGACAACTTCGAGGCCCGCGCACTACCTAGCAGTCGTATAATTGGATAAGTCGCCTACGTTCGAGGATATGCGATCCGTCGGCACGGCGAGCTTAGTGACTGGAGCCTTATTCGACTGGACCAAGACCGATACGCAAGGCCCTTCTCGGAGCTGCAGAACCGCGTCTTTGTATGAACCGGGTTTAGCACTAGCCTAGAACGATTCCCAACTCTTCCGCCAGACAGCGAAGGAACCTGTCGCTTGGGGGGCCTTCCTCTGGGCATCGCATCCGACCGGCGCACTGAAAGCTCGGCCCGCTATACCATGCCGACTAAGGTAGTCGCTAAGCGAGGCGGCAGTTCGGGTCTAACGTTTGGCACATATAACGAGGCGAAGTCCGTTATACGTACAACAACCGGGGCCAACTCCACGCAATTTATTGCGTTAGAGTGGTGTATTATTAGCTACCAGCACGATAAGAGGATGGCCGTCTTCTCGGAAAGCGGCGACTCCGGCGCCTGTATCTGGGATGTCGTCGAACGCCGAATCGCAGGGATGCTTACGGGCGGACTGGGGAGGAATGAAGTGCTTCAAATCGGTAACATCAACTTGGGCATGGCGGTTGACGTAACCTACTTAACGCCCATTGAGTGGATCTTGGAGGACATAGCCGCGTGCGGGATTAAGCTTGATGTCCTATAATGGGCGGGGAGGAGGACCAGAGATACCTTCAACAACGGGGCGATGCGTACGAGCCGGGCACACATATGCCACGAGCGTATCAACAAGCTATACGCCGTACTCCAGTCTCTGACGATAAGCTTGCCGCAGCCCCCGAGCCCGACGAGCCCACGAGGGCATAGCACACACAAGAGGAAATTATCGTCGCGATGCCCTCGCAGGAGGAGGAAGACATACAAGGGGATAAGGTAGAAGAGGCCGTTTAAGGCGAAGAAGAGGCATAGCGAGATATATATGCCGAAGAACTCCTTTAAGGACGTAAGCAGGCAAGCAGGCAGCCGGGCGGGCAGGGCTTAATTCGACGAAATAACGCATCTTTAAGTCTTAAGCTCTATATATATATATATATATAACGTAAGCAGCCTGCCTATATGCGAATAGCTTTACTTTACGATATATACGTTAAAGAGTCTGCTACGTAGGCGCGGGGAATTAATTGTGCGGTATCGGCGTTGCGCCTTGATAAGCCACACTACCCCACTTATCTTGTATGCTCCCTATCCATACGTGTATGCTCTCTAGTCAGGGCCTAAGCAAACCTGGGAGCTGGTTAAAAGGGCCCCGGCGAAAGGTGACGTTTAACCACCAAAACACGGATCGGTTCTACAGGCCTCTTGCCATCTCCTTGGATGTGCGCAGAGCAGCGGGACCACGCTTGGGGACTTCCTCCAGGCCAGTCATGACGAGCTTCAAGGCGAGAGTCGCCGAGGCGACGGCACCGAGAGCATCCAAGTCGCCCCGCAGGAATAGTGAGCGGATGCCGACGACGTCGAGCAGGGCACTGACTAAGAGGTAGGTGCTCAGCAGCAGCGACGGCGAGAATGCATGGCGATGTTCGGTGTAGAGCAGCGAGGCCATGGCTTCGACGTCAGCGACAGCCAGAGACGCGGCCGCCAGGGCGACGTGGGTGCGCGCAGGAGGGGGCGAGGTGCTCCATAGCACCAGGCTGACCAGCTCGAGACCAAGGAGCAGGGCAGCGGCGGTCTTGACGGTAGAGTTGAGTCTGTTAGCAGCCGGTAGCGGCAGTGGTGATGGAGGACACGCCTACCAACTTAGCCCAGAGCAAGTGGCCGACCCGGAAGAGCGGCTCTCTCTGTCGAAGAATGGAAATACGCAACGACGCGGCAGCCAGGAGCAGTTCCGAGGGCCCGATTCCAAAGATAGCTTGCTCAAAGGCCAGCGTAAAGTCGAGCTGGCCCCGTCCCAATTGGGGGCCAAAGGAGGCGTCGGCCGTCGCGTTGATGGCCATTGGGAGCAATCGACCTAATGTCGGCGCGCTCGTGGGTGTAGAACTGCACGTCTACCTCATGTAATTGTAGAAGAGTGGCATTTATCATGGGTCCACGGTGGCGAGGAGGGGATCGGAAGCCCCTGAGTGTACAGCCATCGGGAACTGCTACCTGCGTCATCCACTTGCTGCAGTGAGCCTGGGCCATGGATGGACCAGGTCGTGGTAACTTACCTGACTGAGGTCACAGGTTCTGGCTGTGGTCAGAACCGAGAGACGCATGCTTCACTGACATGGTTACTGCTCCTCCCTTTTGTTTGCCTTGGAGCTATGTTGAGTACATGGGACTCAGCACTAATCACAAAGATGAACTTCTGCCAAGGACGAGAAATAGATACGGGCATAACTTGACGGAAAGAACGTGAAGACGCAAATTCAAGGGCGTATTGAATATAAAACCCAACTCCCCGGACAGTCCTTCAAAGAGCCAACCCCCGTCCCAAAGTCCTCTTTCACAATCAAGTTAAGGTTTTTAGCAGCCTAGCTCTATTCCTTCAAAATGCATTCCAATGTCCTTCTCTCCTCGATGGATTCTGTGTCCGCTCTTCCAGCGCTCGAGGTCGGCCAGGTCCAGGTGGCCAAACGCGAGGCTGGAGCTGAGGCAGAGGCTCTGTATCCCGTCACTTGGCCCAACAAGCGGAACTCTGAACCAGAGGCTCTCTATCCTGTTACTTGACCCAATAAGCGAGAGTCCGAGGCGGAGGTACTCTATCCCGTCACTTGGCCCAGCAAGCGAGGCGAGGATTGAGCTTGCGCCTCACATGGTATGTAGACTTACAGGCACGACTTCTGAGTCATGTTACTCACACCAATCGCAGACGCCTTGCAACAACCTTTGATGTGGACAGAAGGCTATTTTACTAGAGAGAGCCGTTCGATCAATGCCATTAATAACACAAAGAAGCCCGCGACCGAGAATCGCCCGTGATCCATGTTTCTTTCCCTCCACGTCCATAGCAACTTTAGCAAGTGACATGTCGCAGAACCGATGAATGCATCCTTGTAATAGGTGAGTATTACCTCGTAGGCAGCCTTTAATGACCCGACGAGACGTTGAATACTCGTATTTTTGTTTAGACTTGACACTCCGGCTATCAGCATTGTCATTGAATTAGTTACAGGAGTGGACAGGTATTGACACGCAGGGTATTACGGTAGTTCCTGTTAGCTATAGCAGGGAAAAGAGGCTTGAGTATCACGACAGGGGTCAATGCGGCCAAAGCGGCAGAAAATGTTCATGGCTTCTACTTTCAAGCTAGATGCTTTACTCATTTATCAACTCATCACCGGTTCTCTCTGGGCACAGTCACAAAGACCGGGCCTGTTATCGACCTTCCAAAAAGGTCCTATGTCCCTTGCGCTGAGCGCAACCAACAGTTCCCCAATGTTTTGTTGGCTGAACCGGCTCCTGCATGCCTGCATGTGCTCATGTGAGCAGACGATCGGGCCCCATGAAGGGATGCACCCGTAGGAGTTGGTCGGTTATACCCGCCTTGCTGACCTATACGCTCCAAGCTCGCACATGCACATGCAGTCATCGTTTTCTTATTATCAAGGTGATGAGTCTGGACTCCCGAGTGACTCACTGGTTCATGGGTATGGTAGAACTTTCAATGTAGTACAGTAGTGCTGTGCCTTCATGCATCCGGCCCCCGCAGCATCTCCTTCAAGACGCTTGTCTGTAGGATTCGGATTTGTACAAGGCGAATTCTGTGAGACTTGGGGGGTGCCCGAGTGGGCAGCGGCCGAAAGGCATGCCCCCAAGTTCCAACAGCATATTAGCTGCCGGGTGAGACGAACGAAAGGGCGACATGACTCGAAGCTGAGGTCCAGTAATCGATTCCGTCAAGTCGAGTCCATCTTATACGGGGCTGATGAAATCCCCGCAACCGCAATTCATGTTCGCCATGGAGCTCTCTCCTAGGAGTTCGAGCGAGAGTCTGATCCCAGCTTTACCCCATTCATCTTGTTCCAGTTAGCCCGATGTGTTAGACTGGCCAAAGCAAGGACACAAGCGGGTGACAGATTTTCGGAACTGGAAAGTCGTGTTGTTGCCTCGTTGCTGTCATTTCTTATCAACATCGCGCTCGCCGTTGTAGTGCTGACAGCAACTCCGAGACAAATGTCGAATGCCAGTCCAAGGTGGGATGAGTTTACGTTGCCGTGTAAGAAGTCTAGCAATGGAATACCTTGCGATATGATAGCTGAAGCTGCGCAAGCGCCGGCCGAGACTGCCATGTTGCACAAGCTCGTGGTATTTCGCATTGGCATGGGCAAAGGCTTGGGCATAACGCACATCGACCACTCCATCGATGCGCTGAGGCAACACGAGGTTTGCGCCGCCGATGTCACGCCAAACGTCTTTCAGTATAGCCCCAGCGACTTTGGCATACGCGCAATGGCCAACGTTGTGCACGAGTGTCGGGACTTTGACAAGGTAAGACGGCCGCACTTGTGTATGCTGGATTTGACGCCGGTTGCTAAGATGAGGAAATGTCTCGTAGATTAAAGAGTAGGCGAGCCATCACCGGGCTCCGCCTTTCAAAGGTTTTGGAGATGGCAAGGCAGTAGGCAACTGTGCGTCGGGTGATGGCCCGTATTGCCTCTACACATAACTCGACGTTTCTCCAGAAGGGAACATGGCCATTATCTACCACTCCAGCGCAGATGTATGTCCGTACTGGTAACTGTAGTACTGCGCCCACCCTTGCTGGCAGTACAGAACAGCAACCGAGGACTGCTATCCAATGTCAGATGCATGCTGCACCCCGCTCGCTTCCCCCTTTGCCTGTTCAGGCTTGTCCCTGGTTGCCTTTAAAAGTGCACAGGCTCCTCGTTGCTACTCGCTCGCTACCTTGGCTCTCATGCTCCTCTTGTCGTGATCCTCGATCCAGACTGCGACTACCTAAGCTACAACCATGGCCGACACCGACCAACGACATGGAGAATTGTTTGCGGCCTCTGGATGCGATACTCGCAATTCCCAAAGAGTGATGTCTTGTCCAGGCCAGCAGGAGTCAGGCGAAGTAATGTCAGTAGACCAGTTGGATTCGCACTCACTTATAGTTCCTTAGGCTCATTGAACAACAATTCTCTGCCCTCTCTGTCGACGAGAATGGCTTGGATGTGCGCGAGCCCGACGTCCAGTTCAATCCTGCGCAGTGCCTCTTTTGCAATCATCGCAGCGCGGGCTTAGACGAGAATCTAGACAATATGCTAAAAAAAACATAGCCTTATTATTCCCGATCCTGATCGTCTAGTTATCGACTTGGAGGCCTTGATCGAGTATTTTCATCTCGTTATCTGTGGCTATTTCGAATGCCTCTTCTGCGGCTCCCAGCGAAGTAATATTCAAGCAGCACAGCAACACATGATTGGTAAAGGGCACTGCAAGATTGACGTTTCGAGCCAAGGGTCTGAGTACAGAGACTTTTACGAGTTTGAGTCCAGCTCTGGCGACGACACCAACATCGAATACAAAACGGAGCGCTCCAAATCCCCTTTTGTCGACATCGACAAGACGATGCGTTTGCCATCAGGAAAGGTGCTGTCGCATCGCATGCAAGCCCGGGCTCGAGTGCTCCGACCCGGGGCGCCGGCACAGACAGAAACCGCCACCACTTCCTCAACATATATATCTACTTCTTCGACGGCCGAGGCAAACGAGGACACAACGCCCCGTTCAAATCGAGTGGCCAAACGCGAGGCCGTCTCTCAGACCCAACTGGCGACCTTGCGGGACTCTGACCGGAAGAGTCTAATGCATTTACCAGTGGCGCAGCAGCGAGCAATTGTCATGAGAGGCAAAAAACAGATAGAACAGGCACGGAGGGATGAGAACGAGATGCTGCTCAAAATACAGTTGAAGGCAAATAGGTCTCTGAAGAAGTGAAGGAAACGGACGCGGTTTGGCGAGGAACGTCCCCATTCCCATTGTTTTCGTCAGGCTGCTTCTGCCGAACTTTACTCGCTTTCTGTGCCGTTCCAGAACTCAGTCTGCTAAATCGGCGCCGGTCATCGCGGCGCGTGGCGATACGCTCCGACTCTTATCTAGTCTCGATGCATGTATGAAGCTTCAAAGATATAAAGCTGTTTTAAAGGCTCTTGTTATTTATAATCTAAATACCTCTTAAGTTATTCTTCCATTTAGAGACCGAGTAGCTTAGGGATATCCTTTACTAACCGGCACATGCTACAACTTAATAACTCACTTTTTAGTCTACCAGTTCGGCAGGCCTGTGTGCCAGTCAGCCCAGGCCTTTCTTATATACACGTACGTTTTCTGACATCTCGTGAGGAAGCGTGTGCTGACAGGCCAGAAGTATGCATGCACTGCTAGCGGCGGAGCGCATACTTTGCACATCAAGGCCAAATACACTCATCAAAGGTCCACAACGGGCCGAGGAGCGCGTACCCGAAGATCATCCAAGAGCTACGCCAGAAATCTAAGCAACTACATGAGGCTTTACGAAAGGCTGCTGAGCTACTGGGTCGTGGCGAGGCTCACCTTAGAGTTCGACTAGTGCCGGACATGTCTACTCCAGCTATTCTAGAAGCCCTTCACAACGGCGAGTAACGGCGTCAACGTGCTTTGGAATTGGCAGCGTCTTAGCACCGCTAAAAGTCGCGGTAGGGTATGTAGTGTTCGTTAGTTAGCAGCACGCAGGCCGGTCTAATGGTTCTGAGTGGCGAAGAAAATACATCAGTAATACACTGACCGGCAGCCGGCAGACCCGGGTAAAGAGACGGCTCTAGCAAAGTGGCATCCGAAATGTTCTCAGCAGAAGCCACTCAGACAAATTGTTCCAAGCAAGGGCAGACAGGGCTGGGGAGAACCAGCAGCGAACAGAATCGCAATACGGTACGGTTTGCGGTAAAGTTCCCTTCACTTAAGTCCTTTACTTGCCATCTTACTTAATTGCCCCTCAAGGCTCATCATTACATGTAAAGTCCCTTTTGGTACTTCTCTATGTTATGATGGCGCTTATTACTATTAATAGTAATGAATACGTACGCGGATGTAAATATGCAAGAACGCTACTACGTATTCGTATATCTGCCCTAAATATGGGTTGTCCTGACCAAGGAAGATGGATACGAGAGCTCGATTGCATTGAATCCCAGGTTTCTCATTTCGGACATATTCTAAAGCCTTACACCTCGCTCCACCCTCCAACTTCTTTGCTCAAGGCTCTTTTCCGGAACTCACGACCGGTTTCTGCTATAACGAGGCCGAGACGTTCTCGTTCAAGGTCAATCATACGCAGGTCCGAAACGGTGATATACTCGCAGCGATGATAAGAGCAAGGAAAGAGGCAGGGAAGACGCTTGATATGAACTAGAGTAGCCTACTACAGGAATGGTGGGAAAATTGGGAGGACATTCAAAGTACAGTAGGAGCAGATCATACAATGTAGCTAAACTATAACCTGTATTTGCAAGGATAGCCCTAGACGGGGTATGATTGCTATCTGGGAATGGCATGCAAATTCTGCCCCGTCTGTCGGAGAAACGGCTCGGTGGGCCAGACTGACCAGGAACCTCGCGTTGCCCCAAACCCTCTCCGGCTAGGTCAGGCTGTCTGTTGTGGGCGACTCCGTATCCACGTTAATAACGGACGAGGAGACGCATTCGACAGCTGTTCTCCACTCACGCTACGTCTTATGATGATTATAATCGGGGCATGTCCTCGTAAACATGCTGCTAGCCTCATCTCGGTACGAAACAAATGCCCACAAAGTGGCTCCCAAGAGCGCTCCTCTCCACAAAGGATTACCGCAATTTATGCCATAGAGCAAGGCCAGGCGGATACGAGGTTCGGTTTGAATCCTTGCCACCGGCTCGACCTCTGTACCTGCATAATCTAAAGGCGGTCCACGAGAGGATTGCTCGTAGCGGCAAGGATGATGCATAAAAAAGTTTTCATGCTATTATCCCGTCTCGAGGACTGGGGAAACATTCAACTAGACAGGTAGGAGTGGAGGGCCAGGCGGCTGGGTATAAATGGAGGATCATAATCTTCTTCCAGAGACCATCATCCCATAGCCAAGTTTCCCCGTCACTCCCCTCGCTTCTCTCCGCAACTACAGGGAAACTCTCGGTCTCACTCTCGTTAACAGCCTACGCGCACCTCGTCACTCGCTATGCATCTGTTCAGCACCATGGCCGCCGCGGCGGTCGTGTCGTCGGCCGTCGCCACCAACGTCGCGGGAGGCAGCAACTATACCTTTTCCGCACACTCAAGTGTTTCGGCCACGAGCTTGCAGCCTCAGACCCTGACCAAGATGACCCTTACCACGGGCACTGCCGCATCCACTACGGCCGCCAGCACCTCGGCTGCTGCCTCGAGCACTTCCCAGGGCACTCTCATCGGCGCCACCAAGGTCGAGGCTCTGCTGAAGCTCTCGCAGAGTTTCAAGTTTGAGGTCCGCGGCGGCCTCTGCGCCATCTCCAACATGCCCGCCGAGGCCGCCGTTGTCAGCTGGCGCCTCGTCTACGACATCGACCTTAAGAGCACGTTCCGTTTTGAGATTTGCGAGCCCCGCGACCAGGGCCGCGTTGTCACCAAGGTCCAGGGCCAGTACGTCTACGGTCTCGCCGTCAGCCACAATGTGACGGCCTCTGGCGTTGTCGAGCTCGTTTGCGACAACGGCGAATTCAACCACGTCAAGATTGAGAACAAGAAGGTTGTCGAGACCAAGGCCGTGAGTGTTGAGACGGTCCAGAGGAAGGTCTATGAGTGCTCCGACGTCGCCAAGTGCACCCAGTCAACGTGCAAGGGCGACAAGTGCGGCTACAACCTCGTCGCCAAGGTCGGGGGCGCAGTCTACACCAACACCACTGCCCCTGCTCACCACGCCGGCTCGAGCCCGGGCTCCTCTGTGACGTACAAGTTTGAGGAGTGCAAGGTCAAGACCGAGTGCTCCTGCGTTCAAACCTGCGTCGAGGCCGAGTGCAAGGTCGAGAAGCCGACCAAGGGCCCTGCTCCCGCCGCTGTCCCGGCCGACAAGGTCAAGACCATTCCCGCTGCCGGGCCCGCCAAGGGTGAGAAGCCGGAGGCGCCGCATACGCCCAACCAGCCCGCCGCCGCGCCTCCAAAGGCCGCTGCTGACAAGCCTGCTGGCGGTGCGTCCGGCGGTGCGTCCGGCGGCGCGGCTGGCGGCAACGGCACTGCCGTCCCCGGACGCAGCGGCAGTGCGGTGACGGGCGGCTCTGGCCGCGTTGTCATTGCCTTCAACGTCCTCGCTGGAGTTGTTGCCATGGCCCTTTTCCTCTAAACGGACCGGCGGCTGTTTACTTTTTACTACTTCGGGAACTGCGGGATAAGGGATTTTCCGGTGATCTGCCGGATCTGGCGATTCGCCGGATTTTGGGCTCATTGCATTCCAGCAAAGAACTGAGAATAACTTCACGAATACTATTTGAATTGTTCTAAAATCTTATAAGAGCAGTTAATAATGCTCAAAGATGCCACTCAATCTTTTTGAAGTCATCCAGCCATCGAGGTCGTCTTCTGTTACTCTCCGATCGCGCAAGTCCCCGAAATGCACCCATTGCCTCCCGATCACTATCAACAGCTAAAGAGGGCCTTTGAGGACAGGATATGTCGTTTGAAGTTATCATTGCCTTATTATTTGCGTTATTATATAGTGTGTTTGGTACCTGCAATGCTATGGCCCGCTCTGGTGTGAACGGAAGAGTGACAATTTTGCAGCGTGAACATCCTGACTCCTCTCGCGACCCTCAGAAGCCACCCGTCGCTCATTCTGCATTTTCTGTGGCTTTTCCACTTTCAAAATCTTCAGCTCTTGTTAATAATGCCAATTTATCTCCTTATTTTGCTTCACGGCCTCCGTCATCCGTCGTTTTCTCCCAATTTCCGCCTCTCATTGCTTCCTCTTCTCTAGAGCGAGAGCTTTTGCTCCGCTGCCTTCTGCTGTCGCTGAAGCTTTCGGGCCTCCTTCTTCAGAGCCTCCTCTTTCTTTGGAGTCCTTTCACTGTCATTTTTGGCGAGCTTGAGCCACAATTTTAGAGCTAAACACCTCGTCTGCACTAGAATCTGTACAGCAGAAGAGATCATCTTTGAAGCCTTACCGGTCTGCCTGCGCTGGTTCTTGTGACTACTTGTTCTCTGCATACTTTAACTCTCATATCAAGCACTTAAAACTCATATTGAGGGCTCCTGAGGGTGCTGCTCAGCCTTCGGCTGTTGCGGCCAGCATCGACAGAGGACTTCTCGACTACTTCCTGAAATGCGTTCCAAAACACAGTCTAGATCTTCGATTTCAGCAATCCAATGAACCTTTTGATTTGTCTGTGTACTGGATAAGATCATGCGTATACGCTGTTGAGAGAGGCTGAATAACGATACATCAAGGGTTGCAGCCGATGAATGGATTGAGGGGGAAACACCACAACGATCACTCGGTGCCGGTCACACCACTCCATAAATTCGATACTAAAATGGTTAAGTGGCCATCGGGAACCAAAAGGCGATAAGCACAACCGTTTCGAGCTTTCACCCTGGTAAACCGGTCGAACGTACCGGTGAGCTGCTCATTTCCAATATTGTGATTCGTCCACCTCGTTTTTGACGTGTTAAAAATATTTATTGACGACTTGATTCACGTTTCACGAACCAAAAGTCCAGAGTTTGTGCTGGCTTGTCTTGGTGGATGAGAAATGGGGCAGCGATGCCATCTCTTGACTGACGCACATCTTGAACGTAAGGGAGGATGGGTTGCCATTTTTTAATACGCCGAGCAATTTTGCCTTGTTTTCTTATAATAAGAGGAATACCCTGTTCGTTCAAATGCTCATAAGGAATAGAAAGCCCATTTCATCCATGTTATACGTGTTTTAGGGTAGGGTGTCGAATTTCTCAATTTTCGTGCACGTCTTTCCTTGTCAGGTGTGAAAGCGGAGCCTCGCGCACTGAATTTCAAGCTAAAAATAAACCTTACATTCAGATGCATAGATAGGTTCTTTTCAGAAGATGCTTGTACCGTCGAATCACGTTCAATCTGGCTCATTACGGGTGCGTAGAATGAAGTTATCCAGCTCGCCCTTCCAACCCCCATTTTTTGCAGTATCCTGAGCCAAGTTCTGCACTATGGATAGAATGGGGAGAATCCCACATGATTAAAGCCTACGATGAAAGCCAATAATGTTCTGTTTTTGCTGTATTGGCTGAAATGACTTACACAATCTGTCGGCATCCTATTTTGGCCGTTGCTTGGTTTGATGTCAGCACCGCAGCGCATTGCCCCCTAGATAAAAGTTCTAAATATATGCCAGACTTTCACTGCTTCTGATGATTCAGGAAATCAAAGGATACGTCAATTGGCACCGTTGTTGTTGAGCTATTGTCGATTGATGTTGAGCGTGCGAAGTCGCCGCAATCCGGCAGATCACCAGATCCGGCAGATCATCGGAAAATCCCTTAATATCTTGGTTCGGGGCGTGGCCTCGTTTTGTTTGCTTGGAAGAGGGCGGCTGAATTCATAGACTTGTAATCACTCATGAGCCACTTGACCCTCATGCTTCAACCGAATACTCGTTGTGTACCGGTATGTTTATGACTGTCACAAGCTCATGCCCACACTTGTGCTCAAACTCTCGGGCCCAAAAAGGCTCGACCGCCGAGGCCCGCTGCGACAGGGGTGCAGGGCGATGCAATCCGGCGTGGCCCCATGATGCCTGCAAGTTCCCATATATACGTACAGTACATATGTCTTCATACGGCCAGGTTGGCAGATAAGAAACGGGGCACTTCTCGTCGTTGTGGATTTAAAGATTGCATAGACCCAAGCTGCTCCGGGAATGGCTTCTTTTGTAATGGATTCCGGTCCGGTCCACTTCGACACTAACCAAACTTGAACATGTCTTGCTTTGCCAATATTATACAGTATGTAATTACAAGGCCATTCCGAACCCGATTTTCCCTCGCCCGGTGGCGCTATCCTCGGCGACTCCATCCCAACTTGGCACGCCTGTGGAGATGCCTACTTTCTGATTTCCTTGCTTTGCTTTTTCCCCCTTGTTTTTTTGCCTTAGCTTACGGAGTATCAGTACATATGTCGAAGCCAGAGCCCGTGCCAGAAGGCTTTTTGTCCTCGGCTTCTCTGCCTCGAAGTCCTCCGAACCGGCTGCCATGTGAATGCAGACACGAGCATTGTCGACCCACCCGCAATAACGGGCGGCCTAACATTGTACGGCGCAGGGTGCCGTGACAATTTTCCCACAGTCACACAAGACCCAGTTCTTTGTCGTCTTGAAATGCGAACGCCACAGATAGATAGCCTTTGCCCGGGCCGTGAAACCCCGTCTATTTTGCTCGTATGATACATAGATTCGTGATGCCCTGCGCAAACGCCCGTCGCGTCAACGAACACTCATGCCTCGGCTCTGTCATCTGGACTCGCTGCTGCCGCACCTTTACCTGGTCTGCTCCAGGTCCTGACGTGGCCTGTTGAGCTACCGTCAGCCCGTGCACCTGCCGGACAGTGTGCTTGGTCGACTCACCTGATTTGCAGCTTGTTATGATGGCATCTTCGGTAAACTCCAGCCAGCACGCCGGGTGGGAATCAATTGCCGTCGTCTTGTCGCTGCGTCAGTTCATCTGCCGTCCTCCGACTTGCTTGACGGGGCCATACCAGGACTGGTGGCAGCATGGGAATCCGTGCTCGCGGCTCTACCGGGTGGAATATGCCGTCTCCTTCGTCGTCACCGTCAACCCCCGAGTTGGACCGCATTCGAAAGCAGCCAAGGCTGGCCGAATCGGTGCGCTGCCCCATTCCAGACGGCGACGAGACCGACATTCGCTGTCGCGCGTTCTGCAGCCGTGTCAGCCCTCCTCTCGGTCCTCGCCAACGCTCCCCCTACCTTTGGTCGATGCAGCATGCCGACGCCAAAGTCCCACAGGCACAGTCGCCCGTCTTCTCCCACGCTGCCGAATCGGTAGTTTCGATCATCGCAGCGCCACGGGTCAAATGCCAGGGCAGAAACCCACGACTGATGGCCCTGGCATCTTGCCACCAAGGCCGAGTCTGCCAAAGACCATATGGAAATCAGATCGTCCTGTCCCCCCGTCAAGACGTATTTGCCATCGGGCGTCCAACGCACGCAAGTCAGCCCGCCGTAGTACGAGTTGAAGAGATCCAGGAGCCTATTCGTGTGTCAGCACTGCTCCAAGACCGTGTCTACCCAACGCCGTCACGACTTACTCTTCCCGGAGATAGTCGATAATCTTGAGCGTCCCGTTTTCACTAACCACGGCTAGATGGCGGTTATCCGGCGAGAAGGCAAATGCGTTGATCCGTTGGTTAGACAGCTTCCACGCTGCCACTGGGTTCGTCTTCTGGTTCTTGGAATGGACCGACTTCTGGATATGCATCTTGGTGCCATGGTGAACAGCGCTCGCCGTGTCTCCGGCATCGCTACCGTTGATACTGGACCCTTCGTCCTCGGGATTGAACTGCGAGTCATCCTTTTCCTTGTCGTAAACCACCAAAGACCCGTCCATGTGGGATGCGAGGAAGAGGTTCTCGGACCCCGGAATCCACATAATTTCCGAGACGGGTGTGCTATTGATTATGCCCTGTGCGCGAGTCAGCGTGCTGGTCGCCCGGTCGACAGTCGCGATCGCACATTTTTGTTGAGACGTGTATATCGCTGCGAGATGGTCTCCCACCAGATGATCTCGCCAGTTGAGAACCCCATGATGACGTCCATATGCGATGCGCTCTTGGTTGTCTTGTTGACGTCATGGCACAAGCAGTGCGCTTTTGTGAATAAAATCTTGGTCAAATAGTCTTGCTGGAGTGGCTTCAAGTCAGATGGCTCCCATCGACTCCAGTCTGCCCGGGATCGTTGCCACCCACCTTATTGGGAGACGAGAGGTCCATCCACTGGAAAGAGCGGCTGACATTTCCGAATGCAAATATGCCATCCGTCGGTCGATCTGTCAGTCGCTTGGACAGGTTTTCATTGACGATGACTCGCGATATGAAGGACGAATTGCTCTTGGTGACGTTGTTCTTTGGCTTTTTCCTCTTGTTCACGTCCTTGGACGGCGTCGTCGTCAGGAAAGCGTTGCCCTCGCCAAAGGCAGGGGCGGAGCCGAGCGTAATGGAGGCTGTCGGAACATCGCTGCTGGAGCCCGCCCGGCCATCCTCGCTGCTCAAAGCGCCTTCGGTCGATTTTCGGGCCTCGCTGGGGTGTTCTTGTATGCTCGAGCCCGTGCCGCCAAGCGAAAGAGTCCTCTCCGCCGGGCCCTTGTAAGAGAAGGGCGGCGGCCGAACATCGAGGCTGACGAGCGATAGCCTAGTCCCGGCGGCTGCCGGCTGGGGATTGGTCGCCAGAGGGTTCGGGTTGACGATGGGCGCCTCCGAGGGATGCGGCGGCGGCGTCGCGAGATGCAGGTCCTCCTTCAGGACGTAAGTCCCTGGCGTGGCAACGTCAGCCCGCGCGAAGACGGGGTCGTGGAAGGGTTCGGCGGCTCACCTTCTCCCACCAGAAACTGCCATTCGGGGCCGGTGGGGTTCGATAGGGTATTGTTGGTCTCGATCATGGGCACGACGCCGCTGAGCCCGCCAGGGTGGTAGGGCCCGTTGGAGGGATACCGCGGCGGCGGAGGGAGGACGCTGGGGCCGTCGTCAGCGTGTGCTCATCCAGCACCGGGCGTTCTGCACGCACAACATGCTGGCTCTGCGCCGAGGCTCTGCGCCGAGGCCCGTCGCCAGGTAGCCGTGACGCGGCGACGATGCGGCCGAGGTGGGGGGCGAGGCTGTCGGGGCGGAGGTGAAAGGGGAGAGAATGTGTGCATGCAGGCGAGCCGATGGCTACGAGCTAGGCTGGCGACCTGATGTGTGCCGTGACGCCAATATGATTGAATCCAGACACGCGGCGCAAGGTTGAGGGCGGCATCCTTGACCGGCGCTGTCTGCCGCGGACTCTGGGGTTGCCGGTGTGGGGTACGTAACGACTGAAGCAGTCGACAGGGACGATCCACCATGGCAGCCTGTTGATTGGGCGCTGCGGCAGTGGTTGGCCATGTTTGAACGTCTAGGACAGGCAAATGGGGTATGAAGAATCAGAGAATTCCAGAAAAAGGAAGCGCATTTATATTAATCTCGTTTGTCTTTTGACAAGAGAAGCAATGCATGCGAGCGAGGCAGGGGGACGGGACGGGACGTCCTTGTTGCCGTCACGACGCGTCGGCTCAGTACGACGTCGTGTCACTGAGCTTTAGCTGCTTTACCATGGCCCGGCAAGATGGGCGTATAAGCGATGATGACTATGCAGTACATATAACAGAGCATGCACGTGTGGATAAGGTGAAGATGCCATGGTGGACTCTGCTGGCGAAAGGCTTCAGCGCCAGCGACGCCTCAGCTGCTGGTTGATCATGTCCATTCCATCTCTATTCCTCTGCTCTACAGTTCAGGCCCGGCACTCACTGTGCTTTGTAATTAAGTATAACCTGGATTTGCTTCAAGTTCAGCACATACAGCCATACCCTGCAGGAACAGGGACAAAACAGTCAATTATAACGGTCACTTGCAGCATCATCTACTGGGTGTGTGCACTCTACTTTTGCCTAGCAGCGTTCTTCAGCTGACCTGCCTTCGAGCCCGTCCACTGGCGGGCAACGCTGACTAATAGTTGAGATAGGAGCTTGGTACTCCGTACGGAGGAGGCGGCACCTTGATGGACAAGTAGAGCCCCCGTTTCAAAGCGAAGAAAGTCGTCAAAAACATGCCGGATTCTCAAGCAAGCAATTTGCCCCGGTTCATCACTCCTGGTGACTGCCGAGGCACGGTAGGTCCGGAGTTTGAGTGACACATCCGTCACTGTTGCGCCCCAGCGGGCAAGTACCCGGTCCCGCTGCCATGGAAATGGCCCAACGCCTGCCCCTGCCCAATCCCGGCGCAGCAGTAATTTATTACCGCCACAGCCGCCGTCAGCCGCCCCGGAGCAGAGCCTGGTTCCTCGTCGTCCACAACTCAATCCCAAGCTCCTGATTTCGCCCCAGGCCTCGCCAGCATCCTTGGCCACCTCTCAGCCCAGATTGGAGCCGCGTCGGGCGAGGACATGGCCGCCTAATCCCAAATCCCTCTCTCTCCACAGCAGGCGGTTTGCCACATACTCCCACAGCCATGGCCACAGGTACCACATCCCCCGGGCCACCCGTCGTTGCCAGTGCTGACTTCCATCTCCCAGTGCGTGTCTGCGTCTGCGGCGACGAGAGCACAGGCAAGTCGAGCCTCATTGCCTCGCTTGTCAAGGATCAGTTTATGAGCAACAAGATCCAGCCCGTCCTTCCGCAAATCACCATCCCCCCCAGCATCGGCACTCCCGAAAATGTCACAACCACCATCGTCGACACCTCGGCGCGCCCCCAAGACCGTACCACGTTGCGCAAGGAGATTCGCAAATGCAACGTCATCCTGCTTGTCTATGCCGATCATTACAGCTACGAAAGGGTTGCCCTCTTCTGGATGCCCTACTTCCGCTCCCTCGGCGTCAACGTCCCCGTCGTCCTGTGCGCCAACAAGTCGGATCTGGCCGGCCAGGGCAACACCCCCCAGGTCGTCGAGGAGGAGATGCTACCCGTCATGGCCGAGTTCCGCGAGATCGACTCATGCATCCGCACCAGCGCGCGAGAGCATCGAAATGTCAACGAGGTCTTCTTCCTCTGCCAAAAGGCCGTCACCCATCCCATCGCGCCCCTCTTCGACTACAAGGAGGGACACCTCAAGCCGGCCTGCGTCTCTGCTCTGCGGAGGGTCTTCTTCCTCTGCGACAAGGACCAGGACGGCTACCTCAACGATCAGGAGATGCGCGACTTCCAGGCCCGCTGTTTCGACAAGCCCCTGACGAGCGACGATCTCGACAATATCAAGCTGTCCATTTCCAAGTCGCTGCCCGATGCGGACATGGACAAGGGCATCGACCAAGCCGGCTTTCTTCAGCTCAACAAGATATATGCCGAGAAAGGCAGGCACGAGACGATTTGGATCATTCTGCGTAAATACCACTATACGGATAGCCTGAGCTTGGAGGACAAGTTCCTGCGCCCCAAGTTCGATGTCCCCGAATACTCTTCGGCTGAGCTGAGTCCTGCGGGATACCGCTTCTTCGTCGACCTGTTTCTGCTCTTCGACAAGGACAACGACGGCGGTTTGAACGGAGAGGAGCTCGAGGCCTTGTTCTCGCCAACCCCGGGTCTGCCGTCATCCTGGGCCGACTCCTGCTTCCCCTCATCCACCGTGAGGAACGAGGCTGGTCACATCACCCTGCAGGGTTGGCTGGCCCAGTGGAGCATGACCACGTTCTTGGAGCCCAAAACGACGATAGAGTATCTCGCCTACCTTGGCTTCGAACCGCCCAATCCGAAAGATCCCATCACCGCCGCCCTCAAGATTACAAAGTCCCGTAAGAGGAGAAGACGCCCGGGCCGCGTCGAGAGGAACGTTGTTCTATGTTACCTCGTCGGCGCCCCGGGGGCTGGGAAATCGTCATTGCTCGATGCCTTCCTGAATCGTCCTTGGGAGGATCTGTACCATCCAACCATCAAACCTCGCCGGGCCGTCAACAGCGTCGAGCTCCCCGGCGGCAAGCAAGTGTACCTGATTCTTGAGGAACTCGGCGAGCTCGAGCCAGCCGTACTGGAAAATCGGTCCAAACTCGACGCCTGCGATTTGATGTGCTATGCTTACGATTCATCGGATCCAGACTCCTTCTCCCACATAGTTGACATGCGGTCCAAGTACCCCCACCTCGACGAGCTGCCGTCTGTCTATACCGCCCTCAAAGCAGACAAGGACAAGACGACGCAACGGAGCGAGCTGCAGCCCGACCAGTACACCTCATCGCTCAACATGAACACGCCCCTTCACGTGAGCGTCACTTGGGGCAGCATCAGTGAGCTCTTCGTCGCCCTCGCCGAGGCTGCCACGAACCCCAGCCTTGGATTTCCCAAAACCGAGGAAGAGGCTCCTGACCGGACCAGCCTCTACCTGACCCTGGGCGCAACGGCCTGCGCTGCGGTCGCGGCGGTGATGATCTGGCGTCGGTCGACAAATGCGCCCTAGCAGGACGGCCATCTGGTTCTGGACTTGTCCACGCCAGATCCATGGTCAGTCACCTTCGACACGGCTTTTCGGGGGGCGTGAAATGCCAGCTTTCCAACATCGTCCCGCATATGGTTTAATGGTGTCATAACCAAGAGACCTTGCGGCGTTTTGCTTTTTTGTGTCAAGAGGTGAAGGAAAAGGAGGAAAATGGGGAGGGAGAAACTCTCCTTGGATGGTGAGCAGCTGTCACAGTCTTTTTATGATACCCAACTCCCCTTTCGATTGTGTATAGTCATCAGAGTACATTATAGTCAAGGAATAACAAGATGCACAAACGTTGGGGAACACGAGTTGAAGACTCCTTAAATTCAACGCTAAATCGACGGCCTACGTCAGCTACGACTTGCGGAGTTGTACTCGCTCCTTGGACATCAACGCAGCCCGTTAGACCTTGTAGAAACAGAAACCAATGTAGAAGCTGGCCGCCTCCATTTCCTCGTCGGACACGAGCAGCGGCCCGCCCCCCCTCTCACGAACCCCCATGCGCTCACTGAGGGGCCCGAGTTCGGCGTCGTCTTTTTCCGCCTCCCAGATCTCGGGAAAGGTGCGGTGGAACTGCAGCTCCAGGTTAAAGTCCTCGGCCAGGGCGCGGAACGCCTCCCACGGGACCACGTACTCGGGGACCTCTTCGACGGCCTCGTCGAGGAAGAAGTTGTACTTCCAGCCAAAGGCGGGGCGGAACACGCCGTCGTCGGGTGTCTTGCCCGGGAAGCGGACGCGGTAGATGGAGTTGCCCCATTCGGCCGTCGGCTCGGCCTCGCCTTCTTCGAGCTCGCCGTCCTCGGGCTCGTCCGTGGGGGGGGGCGTTTTGTCGGCTGGCGAGGAGCCGTCTTGCTCGGCAGGTTTGGCCTGGGCGGTGCGCTTTGCGGCGGCCTTTTCGTTGAACTGCCGAACCCGCTCGCCGAGGACGTCCGAGTTGGGGATGCAGCCAATGAAGCGGCCGCCCTTTTTCAGGGCGCCGGCGACGTTCCGCAGCATGGTGCGGGCGCGGGCCTCGGACTCAAAGGCGTAGTGCATGGAGAACATCATGCTGACGACGTCGAAGCCGCGGCGGTTCATGGGGGACGGGTCGAAGCCGACCTGGTGGATGATGTCGACGTCTTCGATGCTCTCGCCGTAGCAGTCCTTGACATGGAAGCGCGCGTCAAAGAGGCGGGGTGGCGGTCTCCTGCTGGACCCCCCGCGACCTCCACGGCCGCCACGGGAGCTCATGCTGCGGTACCGCTCCCTGGCCTGCTCGATGCTCACGTCGGCGGGATCGAGGCCGACGTAGAGCTGGATGGACTGCGGCGCCTGCTGCCACTTGCTCAAGTCGCCTCCCTTGCCACAGCCAATGTCGAGGACGAGAAGCTCCTTGCCGCTGGAGCGGCCCAATTCGCGCGAGCCGGGCGTGTGGTCCTCGTCCGGGGAGTAGCGCTGGACAATGCAGCTCTTGATCCAGTTGTTGAAGACGCGCAGGCCCTTGATTTTGCTGTCCCTCGTGCGCCAGTCACGGCCCCGCTCGGGCACACTGTTGTAGTGCTGCTTGACGACGTCGTGCACGCCTCGCAGGCGGTTCTGCTCGGCCGCCGCCGCCTCGGCCGCCGCCGCGGCGCGGTCCCGCTCGATCTGGCGCAGGCGGATGGCCTCGCGCTCGGCCTCGGAGATGCGCGCGCGCGCCCCAGGGCGCTTGAGCTTGCGCGGCTGCTCCGACGGCGAGACGGCGCGCCGCTTGGCGGGCTGGAGCGAGTTGGCGTTGTACGGCTGCGGGAGGTCGTCCTGGCCGTCGTCGTCGGCTCGACGCTTGTTGGTTCTCTTGGGGGGCGCATTGACCGATGTGCCTGCGGCCGCCTTGTTCTCGTCTTCGGCCATATTCGACGGCTCTTTGAAGCAATTGGGAGTTGGCTGAGGTTGATGTTGCTGAGAAACTTGGGTGGTGGAAGTGAGGTGGTCAATAAAGCGCAGTGGGGCGTTTGAGTGCAGGCAAGCCATGTACTTGGTACTCCTCAGCGGTGCCGAATATCAGCCATGCTTCCCCTTGCATCCCAACCACACTCTCGGAAAAACATGCTCAGTAAGGCGTGGGTGCAAGTATAATATTTGCTATATGCGATAGTTGATCCCATAAACACCGATGTTGGCCGGATTCCACATCATCCCACTCTTCTTTTAGTCATCATAAGCTCAGGTTCGTTGTCATGGAATCACTGCAGCCCGAGACAGGCCCTCCGGGGGGGAAACAAAAGATTACTAGGCTCTTGCTTCTTGCTTTCTGAAACTTCAAGTCAATTCATCAAGACCCGGAACAAAGGGAAAGCGTGCTAATATGCGTCGACGAGAAGTGGCTCCAAGATTTAGTTTAGTTTAGTTTAGTTTAGTGTATTTTCCGTCCAGCAACTTTTGGTCGCTCAGGTCTCCGCAGGGGAGCACAGGACGTGCTGAGCTAGCAGGTGTCTACATGCTACATATCGTACACTTCACCCACTATCCAGCATTTCATCGGCTCAACGGCGCTCATGACAAACCTGTTGCCCGTCAGCGGGACGTCCAGGCATGAAGAAAAGCTGTCCCGTGGTCAGATCAGCCAATTTGCTTCTGGGGCCTTGCAGCCCTTGATGACCTCGGCGATCGCATGGTCGCGAGACCTTGACGCCGCCCGAGATCGGAGCAGGTAACAGAAAGGATTGAGAGGAAAGGTAGGGTGAGAGGAGAATGATGACCGTCTAGTGGCGTGGGCAGATCCCTCCGAAGAAGGAGCTCGCTTTCGCCAGCCTGACGAATTTGTCAAAGTCCTTGCCGATTGCGCGGTTGATGGCTGCAGCCGGCCAAGGTGCAAGCCGCATACGATGCCGTGGCGCAACCTTTCTGCAGTAAAAGATGTGTGCTGGCTCTTTTCGTCTTCCGCACGAGCACGTCAGTCGCGCATTGTCGTGACCAAACCTTTCGTGGTAGTCAGCAAAATCCCCATGGTGGGTTCTTGCTGCAAGCAAGTTACGAAGCAGGGGCCGAGAGAGCGCCAATTCTGACGGGCAGCTGGTTGTGGCTTTAAGCCTCAGGTCTCTGTATCGCTCCGGCGCAGAGGCTTCCCACCAGGCCTTGAAAGCCTCTTCCGGCTGCTGTCGGGCAATCTTTCGCAGGTGCGCTAGCGTCGGGACGTTATCAGCGGGTTCTGGCAGTGATGCTCCCGCCTTTGCCAGAGCATCAGCCTCCTCGTTGCCTGGGATGTCAGCATGGCCGGGGATCCAATGGACCTCCACAGCTCCGTATTTTCGCGCCAAAGATTGAAACTCAAGGAAGACCTCTTGCGAGGAGTCGCTCGGCGTGCCCCGTAAGCATGTTGCGGTCGCGAGGTTGTCGAGGCAGACAAAGATGCGGTCAGTTTCTGGAAGGCTCACCGCAGCCTTCAACCCCTCCAACGCACCTTTCGCCTCAGCGTCGAAAATCTCGGCGGGCCCGAGACGGCCCTTGTCGCGCAAGACGGTGGATCCGTCCCGATGAACAACATAGCCATATCCGGCGTGGCCTTCGGTAGAACGGGACCCGTCGGAATAGACGACCAGAGTTCGGGGCGATAGTGCCTGGAGCCAATCGCGAAATTTCTTCGCCGTCTCATTTTCGATGCACTCTGCAGAGGCGCAGTCTGCTCTTCGACAAATCCGCGCTGCAGCAAGGCAGGCCTTGGGCAGCTTGGTAGCAATTCGTCGGAGCGCCGCAGCCTAGTCCGGAAGGGTTTTGGCTGCTTTTGGTACTTCAGCTTGATCATTTCATTCAGTATAGGGCTTTTGGCCTCGACGTGCGCTTCACGAGCGGATGAGCTTCGTCCAGGGATTTGAGACGCGCAGCAAATGCAGTCCGGCGCGCCTCGAGCAGCAGAGGACCGGCGGTATCCCTGCCTCCCGGTGCAGAACATTCGTTGGTGTAGTTCTCCACACTGGCAGGATAGCCCGAAGAGATGTGTAGAGTGCCTTGCTCATCTTCTTTACGAGGTGTCCGATCCTGGACGGTCCTTCCTTGCCCGGCTTGGTCCAGCGCGGGCGCGTAGAACCAGGATACCAGACCTCCGCCGCGTAGAGCAGCACTGGAATGACGCAAGCGCAGACCGCTCGTCGCACAGCGCTCGGTAGAGGACCATGCCTGGTGTTTGTCAGTCTCCTGAGATGGAAGGCGACTGCTTGCGCTTTGGCCGTCCATTTCTCGACATGAGTCTTGAAAGACAGAGTGCTGTCGAGCCAGACGCCGAGCCAACGCATCGCCCGGCCCGGCCGTTTCTCAAATTCGCCATGGAGCACTGGCGGCGCCGTCTTGGGCGTCGTTCGAGAGAAGTGCATCACTTCTGTCTTCTCAGGGTCGAAGGAGATCCGTTGGCGGCGCCCCACGATACAAGCTCACGCACATGATGAGATGCTTCGGCGGACGTCTCATCCAGGCTATCGCCGACGCAAAGGATGGCAGTGTCGTCCGCATAGCCGAAACGCCCTTTTGAGCTGCCCAAGCGGTAGATTGGTTCCGTATACAGTAGGAAGAGGATCGGCGAGACTGGCGATCCCTGTGGCAGCCCGCACTGGAGAGGCGATGAATTCGTTGCGATATCTTGATAGCGGATGCGTGCCGACCTGTCTTGCATAAACGAGCCGACCCATCGCGCGAGGTTCGGTGGCCACCCTTGCTCCCGTAGGCGAAGGATCAATCTGTTGCGGAGGACTGTGTCGAAGGCGCCCTGAATGTCCAAAGTCACCAATGTTGCAACCTGCTTGCAGGCAAATGCCTCCTCGATGTCATGAATCAAGGCAGCAACGAGATCCACGGCCGATCTCTTCGGGAGCGCGCCGGCTTGTTGTGGGTGTAGTACGCCGAAATGGACCGAGGCCCACGCTAGACGCCGTGCGATGAGCCGCTCGAGGCCCTTGCCGAGACAGGACAAAAGGAGATGGGGCGCCAAGCGCGGGGTGTAGAGATCCCTGCGCCCCGGCTTGGCAATCATGACCACTTCTGCTTCTCGGAAGGGCTTCGGATGGTGGCCAATCCTGAGGCAGCCTTGATATAGCTGGTGGACGAGACTTCCGATCGCATGCCAGACAGCGCGGAGCATCCGCACCGTAATATTGTCGGGACCAGGGGACGTATTCCCGGTGCGTAGCGTGGCGTCGCGGGTCTCCTCCGGAGAGACTCGGTCGGTGAAGGGTATCGTCCTATCTGTGTTCACGGAGATCCACGGATCTGGGAAGTGGCTCCAAGACGGTGGTTCCCGGAGTTGGTCTAGGGTAGGCCAATCAAGTACCGCTCGAGCCATGCGTGTGCAGGCTGAAGCCTTGCGCTGCGCCCGGACCAGCCAACCCACTGGACCAAGTATCCACCACCTCAACTACCTACGTACCAGCTAGTAGCTCCGGAGCCTCTTCCGCCTTCACAGCTCCCCCCCTGGTCCTCGCCCTTGACAATCCGACTGCAACGCTCGACAGACACGATTCCGCACGGAGCCGGTGCCGCAGAACAAGACTATCAGCCGTCGAGATCCTCCCTCAGCCATCGCCATGGGATCAGACCCCCAGTATGCCAAGTGGCCCTTGCTGCCGCTGTCCCAGCATGTCTTCACACTCACAAACGCCTACGCCACGAGGACGGCCCAGCAGGCCGCCGTCAAGGCGCTGCAAGACGCCATTGCCGAGGACAAGATGGCGCCCTTTTATCGCTATCTGGCGCACCCCATCGACGGCGTCCTCAACGCAGTGGGCGAGGGCGGATCGTCGGCACCCGGGAAGCCTCTGAGCCGAAAGTCGAGCTTGGTAGGCATGGTGGCGACAAAGGCCACGGCCACCAACGTGAACCTGCCTTGGAACGAAGACCTATACTCGAGGCTCAAGGAGGAAAACGACAAGGAGCTGGCCGAGTTCCAAAAAGAAGAGGACGAGGCCGTCGAGCAGGCCGGAGACACCGAAATCATGGCAGCCAAGGGCAAGAGGGCAGAGTTCTGGGCTCGAGTGGGAGACAAGGTATGCTGGCCCAACGCTTGAACTCTTCACCTCACGCACGAGTTGCTGACCGCCTCGCAGGACAAGGCGATTGCTGCGTACGAAAGCGTGTTTGAGAAGACGGGCATTTTGGGCACCAAGATCGACATTGTCCTTGCTAAAATACGCATGGGCCTTTTCTACGGCGACAAGGCCTTGGTGAAAAAGTACGTCGAAAAGGCAAAGGCTCTGGTCGACTCGGGCGGTGACTGGGACCGCCGAAACCGGCTCAAGGCCTACGAGGGCCTGCATCTCCTCACCGTCCGCTCCCACAACCTCGCCGCGCCCCTCCTGCTCGACTCCCTCTCCACCTTTACCAGCTACGAGCTCTGCACCTACTCCAGCCTCGTCGTCTACTCGGTGCTGGCAGGCTCCGTGTCGCTGAAGCGCGTCGACTTCAAGTCCAAGGTGGTCGACGCACCCGAGATCAAGGCCATCATGGGCGATGGCGAGGACAAGCTGCTGGCGCTGAGCGGCGCCCTCAGTGCCGGTCCGGGCGCCGACGACACCATGGGCGACCAGGCGCCCCAGGCTGCCACCACAACGGCCGTCAACCTGACGACCCTGGGGACCAGCACCGAGCAGCCCGAGGCCGAGATGGCCATCGACTTTAGCCCGCTTGCGCTGCTGGTCAGCAGCCTGTATAATGGAAATTATAAGACCTTTTTCCAGTCCCTCGCCGATGTCGAGGAGCAGTTCCTCAACCAAGACCGCTATCTCCACGAGCACAAGAACTGGTTCATCCGCGAGATGCGCCTCCGCGCTTACCAGCAGTTGCTGCAGAGCTATCGCGTCGTCGGCCTGGAGAGCATGGCCAGCGACTTTGGCGTCACCGTCGACTTTTTGGATCGGTGAGTCGATGCCCATTTCCACTCTTTTCCCCTTGTCTTGCCACCCCGCCCGTCTCGTTCTTGCATGTGGTACGGACTGCAAAGCTAACGAGGGCTTGAAGTGACCTTGCGAGATTCATCGCCGCCGGCCGCATCCCCTGCACCATCGACCGCGTCTCGGGCAAGGGCGTCATCGAGACCAACCGCCCCGACGACAAGAACAAGCAGTACCAGGACGTGGTCCGCCAGGGCGATCAGCTCATCACCAAGCTGCAAAAGTACGGCCAGGCTGTACGGTTGAGAGGTAGCGAGAGGGCGTGAAGAGATTGAGACAATGCTTGGTCGGGAGAAGGGCATATGCAGTGGCTCAGGAGCAAGGGGATTGTTGCCTCGGCGCTTGTGGGGATGAGGCTATCGGCGCGGGTTGCAGGTATCGTAGCTTACTGTATAAACATGAATTCAGGGCAGCTATTGTTGCTGCGACTTGGGGTGGAAACATGGGTGGTGAGAATCTGCATGTAATCACGGCCTTGAAACCGATAGTTCGAGCCCTCTCTTCTGCTTCCAAGTACAATTAAAGCGCGCTTGTCTACTATGTATAAACCATGAGCGGTGATGTGATCCTTCTCGCCGGGCGCGTACCGACATGCTAAAACACAAGTTTTGTTCCATTGCCGTGGCCTGCTCTCTACCTGTACTGGTCCATAAACTCCTTGTGAAACTTGACGATGCTGCCGACCCACTCGGTGCCGGGGGCCAGGAAGGTGGTGCGGAAGTGCAGTGTGCCCTCGGCCTGGCCGAAGCCGGAGCCGGGGATGACGCAGATGCCCGTGGCCTCGAGCATGCGCATGCAGTAAAAGTCGTCGGGGGCGCGGCCCTCTGCGGCGGCGGCGTCGACGGCCTTTTGGGGCAGGCGAATGGTTGGGAAGAGATACATGGCGCCTTGGGGCTCTGCGCAGGCGACGCCCTCCATCTGGGAAAAGGCGTTGCGGAGGGCGGTGGCGCGCTCGCGGAGGCCCTCGTGAATGCCCGAGTACTCCTGGTTGTAGAGGTCGTACGACGGGTCGCCGGGCCTGGGCGGGTTGACCATGAGCTCGACGAGGCACTGGCCGATGACGGGGGCGCAGAGCATGATGGAGACGAATTTGTAGATGTTGGCCTCGACATCGGGGTCGAAGCCGACGAGCTCAAAGTAGCCGCCGCGGTGGCCGCACTCGCCCACCATGCCCTTGGAGATGCTGTGGAGCGAGGCCAGCTCAACGGCGTCGTACCTGCCTGGCGCCTCCTTTTGCATCTGGCGCAGGACGCCCTTGAAGCTGTGGAACTTGCCGACAAAGACGTTTGTCTGGTAGACCTCGTCGGCCATGAGCACCAGGTTCTCGCGGCTGGCAAAGTCGATGACGGCACGGACGTCGTGCTCGGAGAGCGAGGCGCCCGTGGGGTTCCCCGGGTTGATGATGACGATGCAGCGGACGTCGGTGCCGGCGGCCTTTGCCTTGTCGTAGGCGGCCTTGATGGTGTCGAGGTCGGTGCCCCAGGCCCGGGACTCGTCGAGGTTGTAGGGGACAGCGGTGGCGTTGAGGAGGGAGAGGCTGGCGGTGTAGAGGGGGTACTGGGGGATGGGGATCATGATGCCCGTCGACTTGTCGGCGCAGATGACGTTGAGGAGGGTGTTGACGCCGGACGAGGCACCGGCCGAGAGGTAGATGTGGGCGGCATCGGCGGGGAAGCCATCGCGTCCTGGAGCATGCAGCGGTTAGCAGGACCACGATGCCGGTCTGCGTCAAGCCCCGGGGCCAAGGCCGACTCACTCTCGAGAAAGGCGGCGACGCTCTCCCTGATGGCCGGGGCGCCGTTGCTGGCGCTGTAGGCGCCGACGGAGCCAACCTGCTTCAGCAGCCACTTGGCACGCTCAACGACGTCGGTCTTGTAGCCGAGGCCATTGACGAGGACATGCTCCTTCTCGAGCAGCTGCGGGTTCTCGAGCAGACTGCAGACCTGGCGGAAAAAGGTAATGGGCTTCTGGTCGAGCTGCTGGGGGTTGCCGATGTTTGCCGAGACGACGTGCTGAAAGGGCAGGCCGGCGTCGCCCTTTGCCAGCCGCGCGCGGAACTCCTCCGACTTGACGGCGAGCTCGCCGCGGACGGCGTACTCGGCCCGCCGGACGTTGGGGTTGATGGTGTCGACGGTCAGTCTCATCGTCGTGGACTGGAGGCGACGCTGGTGGTGGAGGAGGAGGAGGTGGTGGTGGTGGTGACGTGGAGATGGTCGCTGCGTCTTTGGCGGGGCTGCTGCGCTGCTGCGGTGGAAATGGGATCGAGGGGTCGTTGCTGTGTTTGTTCCTCAGGTGTGAGCCAAAGCGGGAACCTCTCTCCTTCCTAGCAGCCCCCCCCCTTATGAACCATGAGGGTGTAGCCAATGACAAGAAAGATGCGCATGGATGGAATACAGTCAAACTAATACCAAGAGACGGGGACCACCAGTGAGCAAAGGCCGGGCGAGCCTCTCGGGCGAGCTAGGAAAGCCAACGGGCGTTGCAACGGACGGCCGAGTCAGGGTGACCAACGACCTGACGGCTGAAATGTGGGATATGCCGCATGTACTTGATAGACGGCACTGCTGCTGCTCCAAGGCCATCCTCATCCTCATCATGCCCCGGCACTCGCTCGGCTCTTGCTGTCCTCCACCGTCTGGGTGCGACCCTCAGCGCCTGCTGGGCAAGCTTTCGCCCTGTCCTCTCCGACGGATCCTGTCCTCTCCGATGGATGCTGCACAACGGAAAAGGGCGGAAAGAAAATCATTCTCCTCGTCTTACGGAGTATGTACATACCAACAACAGGGCCCGCGCTGGCCGTCAGGGCCGCGGCACCACCCATGGCCGACAACGGCCGTCTCGTCGCCGCAAGGCTCATGGTCGCCGAGGCCTCCCGGCGATAATCGCGGCTGATGAGAGGTGGCAGAAGGCGGGCGGAATCGGCTGCTATGCCGCTTGTTGACGGACTCGTCGCGGCCTGTGGGGAGGAAGCGGCTGGACGGCAAAAGTAGGGATGGATAATGTGCTCGCTGGCATCCAGCAAAATGCTGAGGTACTCTCGTTGCCCACCCAGGCCGAGACGCCTTGTCCCAACAGCTCGGAAAAAGCACCGAGGTCGACACGGCCACCGGTGCTGTATCAATCAGTGGACTGGCTCTCGCACGGTATTCAGTGAGCGAATGCCCGAGAGCAGAAGGAAAAGATAAAGAAAAGGGAGAATCAGCGAAGTGCCAGATCCAGCAAGATTAGGTGGCTTCATCCCGAAACTGCCGCCGACCCCAAACTCAATGCTGCTGACGCTTCCGTCGTCAGTCTGTGACTTTGGCTCTCGCCGTAAATGACATCGGTAGACCCCGCCAAGGAGAGAGCAGCTGCCTCCCTCCACCAAGTATTCGGTCCGTCGAAAAGGTTGAGCATTCATTCAGGTCAAGTCATGTCGAGGAACATGTCTCTGTCAATGTATTTACAATAGATACCCAGGATCTTTACTCGTACCGCGAGCGCATGCTCCAGAGTATGAAGTAATACATGGGAAACATCTCGGTCAATTCTTGTTCCAATTCTTATCCCAAAAGAGCCGCGAATAACTTCAGACGGCCATCATGTGTGTGGTTGCGCACGTCTCACGAGCCCTGTAGATCGGCGGTACCTCTCTGGGCTGGGTACGAAGTCACCTCTCGGCGCCACTTTCCCCCGACGCCGCTCCCACCCAGCAGCAGCCAAGCTCGTTCCGAAATTCTGCCTGCGCATTGGTCTTTGCCATCCACATCACCACCGAGCTTTGGGCCTGTAGCCGTGGCTACACCTTTGCAACCGCAGCCATGGCCAAGAAAGGTGAGCCATCCTTCATCCTCGCTGCGCTGGCTGGCAGGCCCCGGCATAGCTGACATCCGGCGTCCACTATAGCCAAGGCTCGCTTGATCCACGTCCGCCTCATCTCAATGGCCATGACCGGCTTCTTCTACACCTTCAAGCGTCCTCGGACAGCCCCCATGATGGGCATGATGAAATACGACCCCATCGGTGCGATAAGCCATGCTCCTCTCCTGAATCCTGCAATTGGCTTCTCTCCTCTCCATCCACCGGGAGCTAACTCTCGTCTCCGCCCCAGTCCGCAAAAAGGTCCTCTTCCTCGAATCGAAAAAGAGATCAAAGTGACGGCAGCCGACCATCGAGACCAACTGCAGTGGATGCCATCTGACTCGCCATCTCGGCTTTCCTGGGTGAAGCCCCGGTGTACAAAATAAGTGTGTATCAACGGCATGGGCATGACCGGAGTTCGGGGCTAGGGGTGCGCGCTTGCGCTTGAAGGAACACTTCTCTTGCGAACCATTGACTACTCATCGCCATCTTGAAAGATTGGATGCGCGAGTTCCGAACTCGGCTTTGGAGCAAGTTTGAGAAGCTAAGCTACACATTATTTGTCATCAAATCTAGGTCCAAGTGCCCTGATGCATGTCTAGACAAGGTGCGGCGACACACGTCGACGTGCAACAGTGTGAGCTGTTTAATTTGAGGCCGCAATGCCAAGTCCGACAAGTCGGACCCTTCCTCTGCGTCAAGTGCATGGCCGGTCCCACCGTTGGATCTTTCCCGAGCCGGTCCAGGCAGCTCTCCCCATCACTCAACATGCGTTTCATGCTGAGGAGCGTCATCCCCGGCTTGGACACTGCTTCCCATCACGGAAGCATCCGCGTCGAGCTTGGCCCTCTTGCCACCCACGCTTGGAGCGTCATCCGTACCTTGCAGACGACGCTTGGCCATATCGGCCGACTTCTGGCTTTCGTTCATGCACGCGAACCGGCCGTCTCTTTCAAAGTCGGCAACGGTAGGGAGACTCCAGGCCAGGTGTGACCGTTCACTGGGCACGAGTTCTGCCCGGATCTGCTCCACCACTGCACTGGCCGCCGCTACCCTGTCTCTGCCCACGACTGGTCGATTGTACTGACTCTGATGGAGATTGATCCTGGTGGCTTGCTCCTGTAGTCTGATCGCATCTTGCGAGGACGTTGCAGACAGCTTCAAAATCGATCGCGGCTGCGCGGCACCACGTCGCCGCATTTGTTCCTGGTGGACTGAAGGAGGAGGCGAGGGCGAGAGGACTTCTCCGGCCGGGCTGTAAACGGTAACCTTGCGTCTGAAGAAGGGTGCCTCTTCCAGGTCACAATCGTCGTCCAGGCCTGCGTCCGGGTTTCCCTGGGTCGTCAAAGATTCGATCTCGATGCTCGTGACAAGCCGGTCATTGGTAGGATGTTGCCTTCCTTGAGACTGCGCGTCCGCTTCGTCCGCTGAGTGGTCATCACGGCTACCGTCTGCGGCTTCCGCCTTCTCGAGATGCTGTAGCGCCCAATGTCGTTCGTGAGTCAGGTATTGCGCTGTTGAGTGCAGGATTTCGTTCATTCGAGCCATCTTGCCAAGCGTCATGTCAAACCTCTCCATCTGTGGCACTCGATGTTGGATCTCTCTCAGCTGGCCACGCAATGCGTCGACGGTTTGGATGTCTCTCTGCCATCTCCCGCGAAGCTCCTCAGTTGCTTTGGCCTGCTTTTCGAGGTCTCGGACCTGGCGTTGAAGTTTGGAAACCAAAGCATTGCCATCGTGCACACTGCTCTCGGCGCCATTTTGCGAGCCGTTTCCTTTGGCTACCGTCAGATGGTCGTTCACTGCTCTGAGCTGACTCTCCAACGCGGCCAAGGCCGTCTGGTTTTGTCGAAGATGCTCTTCAGACCTCTCCTTCTCCTGAAAGAACCCCTCATCCAGATTGCTTCGAAATTCAGTAAAAACTTTGTGCAAGGCGTTCTGAACATCTTCGTCGCTAGAAGCTCGATTGTTTGCCAGGGCTTCAACCTTTGCCGCATAGGCCTCCGAGGTCAGTTGAAGCTGTTGTTCCAGGTGGCCGACTCTCTCATCGCGCCCGGCGAGCTTCGTGTCAAGATCAGCTTGCCTCCTTTGGATCTCGTCTTCGCGAAACTGAAACTCCTGTTGGAAGCGCTCCTCCAGAAACTGCTCGATTCGCTGGAATGTGTCCAGAGCTGTCCGCATGCGAGACTCTAGATTTTCAAGAGCATCTCGAATTTGGTGTTTACCCTCTTCCTCTAGTGCCTGAGATGCTGCGCGATTGTCGTCTTGGTCCCCAAGAAGGCGTTTGATGTCGCTGAGTTCCCTTCCGCACGCGAAGCCGAACCCCGTAATCCTTTGCTCTGCGCGCTCCTGATTGCAAGCTACATCGGCAATGGAGGAAACGACCCTGGGTCATTGTCAGAAGAACGCTCGGCAAAACAGCACGTCGACTTACTGAGTAGAAATGGCATCGCCAATGCCTTGTACTGCATGCTTGAGAGCAGCCAGTGATACGTTGTTCGCCTCTGCAACCTGTACATGATGTGTCAAAGCGCTGAGCCTTTCCATCACATTAGAAGAAAATTCTTTACATATGACGCGCAGAGAGTACCTGTTGTTGATTTGATCCATTATGCTCGCACTTCTTTGCTCATTGAGGGTTTTCTCGGTGCAATCTTTGAGGAGAGACTCCATTTGAGAAGCCATATCCTCAATCGTGTGCTGCGTCACTTCTTGCAATTCGATTTGCCGACGTAAGCTCTCCGTCACTTCTCTCTCGTGGCGGATGTTGTCTTCTTGTTCCTGAACCCTGCGCCGAAGCTCGCTGATGGTCTCCTCCTCTGGAGTAAGAGGTTAGTAATAGCTCAACAAGGCAGGATGGGGGCAAATCACTCAGTCTGTTCTCCCGGTCCATCTTGTCACGAAGCTCTTGAAGGCATCGCATCATTTCCTCCCGCTTCTGACGGCCCTTCTCGAGAGCCTCATCAACTTTGGTGGATTCGGCAACGCGTTTCTCGTTTTCCTTTCTCAGTTCGCTCATTGAGTCTTCGTAAAAGGTCTGAGATCTCTTGTACAGATCTTGCTGTTCGTGAATCGCTTCGTTGAGCTTGTCTCGAATCTGGCGCTGTTTGTCCCGAAGCTCGGTCGCTCGCGTTTGAGACTCGAAAAGCTGGCTGCGAAGCGTTTCAACCTCGCCACTCAAGCGCTGGTTCTCGCTGGTCCTGTGCGAATAATTTTCCTCAAGTTGATGGCAGTGACGCTCAGCATCCTCCAACTCACACTCCTTCTTCTTGAGCAGGGAGCGGGACTCGGACAACATCAGGTCCTGACGTTGGAGACGACGTTGAAGACGCTCGATTTCCCAGTTGGCTTGATTCCTCTCGTCCTCTGCAATTTGAATGCACTCGTTCCAGTACTGGGCAACCTGATGCATGGCCAGCATCTTCCGCTCAGGATCCGGCCGAAGGCGAGGCTTGTGAGCATCGGTGCGCTTCTTGGACACGTTGCTTGTTCGCGACTCGGATCTGTGGCGTGAAAGCATGTCTCGATGGGAGGAAGCACGAAGTTGAGCAGGTCGGTGTGCCGTCGAATGCCTCGGTTTCCCAGGACTTGGGTGGACTGGCCTCTCCAAGTCTCCGCAAGTGCTGGTGGGCGAGGATCGCCTCTGGACGTGATCGTTTACCAGACAAGACTTCTCTGGAGTCCTCGGATCCATTGAGGGCTCCTGTAGATGGGAGCCGTCTGAAAACGCGCGGACGCTGTCGTGGTAGTGATTGTCGTTGGCCGCCTTGTCTTTGGGACTTTTCGTCAACTGGCCGTCATGGATGGTTTTCGCCGGGAAGGATTCAGGAAGACGATTGCGCAGTATCGCATGTCCCGCTTCTTCTCGATGTCTGAGTGCCGAAGCTGCCTCAGCCGGCTCGCCAAGCTTCTGGGACGCCCGAGCCGAAGATGGCAGCTCTTCTGACACCGGCCGAGATGCAACTTCGGCGGGCGGAGTATGGACTGTATCTAGATGAGTTGCTTCAGGTGATCTGAGCTGGCAAGAGCCCCGCCGCCGTGGCATTGGCGAGACGTGTCGGCTAGTTGGGAGGGATAGTTCATGGAGAGGCAGCGGGTGACCTCTCGGGATAGCCATGGACCCATGAGTCTGCCTTCCCGAGCCCGAAGCATGCACCTTTGGACTTTCGAACAGAGGGCTCGCATTTGTCTGCTTCTTTCCGGCGTCGGAAGGCTGGCAACTAGGTCTCTCCGAGAACTGGCCCGGGCGAGGAGGCTTTTTGAAACCAAACGAAAATCCCTCTCCCAGTGCCGTCTCGGATATCTCATCTCTGGCCGCAGAGAGTCCCTGGAAGTAGTTGCTTTTCAGGGGTGTTTTTCCGTGGTGAGAGGAGTCCGGTAAGGTTGAGCCAAGACCCTTGACATGTCGCTCGTGAGCAGGCAGGTGGCAAGCCTCGGCACTGACCGCCCTCGATGGCGATATGCTTGGGCTGCCAGCAGGCGGAGTCGACATCTCTTCGGCTCAATGAGAGCTGCAGCACCAGGCCCTCAAGGGTGGCGTTTGGATGGATTGGTTGGGCTCGTACTCGTGGATCGAGTCTGACGACGGCACCAACCGTGCAACCGAGAGAGACGGCGGATGAAGGGAGAGCCCAGTCAAGGCCGGCGCAACCGTGTTTCTAGAGGGATCTTTGCTGTGGGAAAAAATGGAAGCGTTGTGGCATTCCGAGGTGACGCGCAGTTCGAGGAAGGAGCAGCTCGCCAGTGGACGGCCCGTGATGGAGGCATTCTGCTCCTGCCCAGCGGTGTCGCAGTATTGTACACGGTACTTCACTGGCAGTATGCTAGACTGACCGATCCTGGGAGTACCTGCGACAACTTGGGTACCAGTGTGCGAGCATCTGCAGCTTCAGCCACGGCGGCAGCGCAGAGGAGATGGATAAATCCCCGGGCCATCAAGCAGGCATTCTTCATACTTGCCAACCCAAGACGCGTTGGCGAGCGCTGACACTACAAGCAGTCGGAGGTCGGAGGACGTCTCGTTGTCCAATGCCGTTCTCCTGTGAATAAGAACGGCCAAGGTCAGCCAGAAGTAGAGGCCGTTCCAGCAACCAATAAGTCAACGGCTGAGAATTTGACGCCATCATTGCCGTGCCCAAGCATATATGGATACAGTCCGTACCTGGTAATCCCTGGGCCTTTTCCCGAGTGACGCAGGCAGTGCCCTTTAGACTGAGTCTCCTAAATCCCCAGGCATCACGCCCTGAACTTGTTTCCTCCTCAGGTTTCCCTCCTTTCCAAAGGTGGCATCGCCGAATGAAGCGTTGTCGCTCTGCGTGCAGCGTCGAGAGCTCCCCTGCATGGCGAAGGCGCCCTGCACACGCAGCATCCAGCTTCAGGAACACGCGCGGCCATCAGAATTGACGAATGCAATGCCTCTGGACATGACGATGCGCTTGCTCTCCACCTTGGATTCGCTGAAGAACAAGAGTCGTGACATGTTTCTCATGGCGACATCTCATTGGCAGCCACCTAGGCCGAGACTGTTTTGCCCGGCGCTTCCACATCTCCATCCACCAATCATGGTGGCTTCACGGCTTGATATCCAACTCTTGGTAGCTTCGCCAGCCCAACGTGCAGGACCCCGGTCAGGGGGCGACCAATCGGCGTCACGGGCGGCAGCTGATGCACGGTGCATTGCCGGCGTCACACGCAAACAATTGCCCATGTTTCGACATTGCAGGACGGGAAATGGTAGGCTGAGTGAGTGTAAAACGCTGGCAGCCCTTGGGTTCCATCAGTTTGCTCTATTCCGGACTGGTTTTTCACATTTCATCCTCATCCTAAATCCTCCCCTCCAAAACCTAGACCCCCATCGATTAACATCCACTTTTTCGCCATCGTTGCCAACGACGCCTACCCAAGTCCAAGCCCAGACATCATGGCTACAGAGACTCAGGCTTTCCCTCAGGCCACTCACATGCCATACCGGGGCGATGCAAACGGCGGCCCTGCCCCGGGAGCAGAGTCTGGCGTTGATGCAGGCGCCTCTGGAAACAGCTCAGGCGCCATGAGCATCTCGACAGGCGGCTTGGTCATTATTGTTGTCATTGTCGTTGTCGTATGCCTGATCGGCGGTAAGACAAGCCCCAAACCAGACTCCTGATAGCTCAGCTGTCGTTCGTGAGAGTGCTGACGATCCCCCTAGTGACGACTGCAACCCTATTTTTCCTCGCCAAGAAGCGTGAGTGGAAGGTCAGGGAAAAGGTTAGAAGATCGGCCCGCAAGATGGTCACTGCTCTCACGCCGAGGAGAGCAGAGTTTCCAGACTCGGCCAAAAAGTCAACAAAATCGTCACAAGGCGACCGCAAGAAGATCGCAGACAAGCTCTCCCCTTTTGCTCGACTCCGACCACAAGACCTGGAGAAGGGGACGGCCACGACCGAAGCCCGAAGCAAACACCGAGAGTCGGCCGTCTGAGCCGACTCGGGGCTGGTTGATATGACTCCAGCAAGGCGGTGGACTGACCGTGCCATCTGGACATGTGCGATTTGCCAATTCCTGAGTCAAGTTGTCGCTGAAATTTTTGTCCATCGAAGGTCCGGGATTGCTATATTTACATCTTTCTAAAAGTGTTGGAGCTGGCACTCCGCCGGGTGCCTGTCTCTCTTCTCCGCGGCGCGGGCGTCTCTTGTTGCTTCTTCTTGGATTCGGGGACAAATGTGACTCGTCGTTCTCCGACCACGTCGCCTTGTTGGGCCCTGCTTCCACGATTTGACTTTTGCTGCCTCGAGCCCAAGGCAGTGTCGCGGGGGTTTGCTCCACCATTCTGTGAAGAAGACACCTGCATGACCAGCTCATCCCGCGGCTTGCGTGTTGTTGCCATGGGCTCGGCATCATCATCGCTGGAGTCATCGTCGGAGTCCTTGGCTTGGTATCGCGTCGGAGCTCCGGGATCGACACTTTGGTTGACAACCGTGCTTGGATTAAGCAGTTGGAATTCTCGACTGGTCTCATCCACCATGAACTCTTCGTCCTCAAACATCTTGGCGAATCGCTCGTCTCCGAGAAGACCGGCCTTTGTGTCGACTTGATCTCTGTTCTCCTGCTTCTTGAGGAGTTTGTCAACCAGTCTCTGGTTGACCTTGACCTTCTTGCTGCCCCTGATCCTGCTGGCCCGTTCCTTTTCGACCTTTTCTTTGACGCGCTTCATCCTCTCATCCTCCCAAGCGTAGGGGTTGGCAATCAGCTTGGCCTGCTCATACAACTTGGATGCAACAAAGTATCCGTGCATGTAGGGCCGAAGGAGGTTCGTCTTTCCAATCAGATGTGCCAGGCTGAGTTGCTTCAGTTCCGGCAACGTCAAGAACTTGTAGTTGTCGTAGGTCTCCGTGTGCACCTCTTCGGCCATCTCTTCGACCATGTTGTCGAGGAATGAACACCACTTTGGGGCCGGACCAAGCTGGGGGATGAAGAAGGCATGCTGCTGCTTGCCCTCGTTGGCCGTGAGAAGCATGCCGGTGTTTTTGCACCACGCCACGTCGTTGATATCCACAACTGGCTCGACGGATGTCCATGGATCTCCCGTGAGCTCGTCCCAGATCTTGATGATGCGCTTGTCGGTAGACATGATCTTCCTCTCCTGAGACGAGTTGGTCATGTGGATGAGCTTCTTGACGGGGAATCCGTAGCCATGATCCTTCTGGAGCAAAGGCACCGGGCGCCGTAGATCAAAGAGCTGGACTATACCCGTCGAAGACCCAGTCGCGAGAGACAGGCCCGAACAGCTAAAGTCCAGAGCCGTGACCTCACCGTCATGGCCGGCGAGAAGGGCCGCTCTTGACTTGGAGCGCGGGTCCCAAAATTCCACGGTACCTATTGATGTTCCGAATGCAAGCAGGTTGTGCGTGTCTTCAGCAATGGCCGCGACGTTGACGCTTCCAACACCAATGCCTCCTTGCAGACCACCTTGAGTCTCGTCGTCGCCGCCGACTTCGACCTGGTATGACTTCATGAATCGCCCGAGCTCAAGATTCATGCGAAACACCTCGCCCTTGCCCTCGGCGTCAAGACCAACAGCTGGGATCAGGGCCTCGGTGGCTTGCCGATCGTAGGCCAAGTCGCGACCATATCTGGGTATCCTGACTTCGTAGTAGCATCCCATCGGGGTATGGAACTCGAGTTTTCGGTCTGTCTGCAGGTGCAGCGACTTTGTGTAATCTTGCGACAGAAGGACGAATGAGTGGTTTAGAGAGGTGGTGTGCCGGTTGAAGGACAAGGATAACTGCGGCAGGTTGTGGACGTGGATCTGAGGCTTGTAGGTGCCGGTGCTCATGACCCATTGGCCATCCTCACTGACTCGCACACAGCTGCTGGCTTCCTCGAACTCAAAGTCTTGCAGCAGCTCGACGCGGTTCTGGTACTCGGGGTCGTTTTTGAGGCTGCGCTTCCGCCGGCGGGCGAGCCAGTCCGGCAGCGGCCGCGCGGTCGACGCCCCGGAGATGGTATAGACGGGGACGGTCCCCGGATTCGAGAGCTTCATGGCCGGCAGGCAGCGAGGGCGACGCGGCGATTACGAAAGATCACAGCGCGACCGGGTTCAGCTGCAGCCCGTTACACCGGGGAAAAAATAGTAACGGTCAGAGATGGCGATGAGGAAGTAAGGAAAAAAAAAGGCGAGGCCCCACCGCGGTACCTCGGTGAAGGGCCCCACAAGGCACGACTAGCGTCAGGCCTGGTCGAGCCAGCCAGCCAACGAACGATGCAAGGCCACTGTCGGCTTCCGGTAGACGCCTGCCCCCCCTCGAACCACCACCGCCGTCGAGACCCTGTCGTCGTCCTTGTCGAGCGACAACGCCCGAGGGACTGCCCTCCGCCTTCGTCTCAGCCGTGGAGCCGTCGCCTGGTGCGCGCGCCCCGTCGAGTCCGCCGCTGCCGAGGCCTGCCATCGCCCCTGACCAGTCCGGTCGACGAGACAAGCCAAAAAGCCTCGGACGGCGCCATCCTGGCGAGCCTCACGAGCTGCGCCAACCCAACATCGATATCCGCTGAGATGGAGCCCGGGGGAGCCAAGGAGCCAAGAATCGCGCTTTATTACGGAAGGACCAGTCGAGGCTCCTCGTCGCTGCCCGCCCCCGAACAGCGAATCAGCTGGGGCTAAGACCGCGTCCGGAGGCGTGTGTTGCGCGCTTCGTCTACTATTCGCGGTGGCTTGTATCTCGCACAAGCTACCGCGAGCGGGCTACCGGCTTGAACGGTCGACATGGATACCGCCGAATACGATACCAATACTCTACTTATCGTGCGTACATCATAGCCGTGTCCGCTCCTCGCAGCCAAGGGACTAATCCGTTGCGCAGAACAACATCGCTTCTATCGCCTTTCGTATTTATGAGCCGCCCTCCGATCCCTTCCCCAGCCTCGCTTCGGCTGCTCTCGACATAGAGGATGAGCTAAGGCAGGGTGGCCATGTTGTCTTGTTCGACAGTGACCGACGCGGCCTTTGGCACTTCCAGCTGCTGGGAAAGGAGGGCCACGACGAGGTCAACAGCAACACCCTCGAAACGACGCTCAATATCCGCGGGATTGAGCTTGCCGTTGTAGAGGAGGGCATTCTGGAGCCCGCAAGCTTCCAAAAGCCCCCATCTCAGCAACAGCAAGCGATCCAGACGCCAACCAGCTCCATCTCCAGCGCATCGGCTCTCGACCAATCTCTGCGCAATACGTTTACCTCGGCCACGCAAACCACCGGCTCGAGTTCGCAAGCCCAGGAAACCAAGCCAGCGGAACAGCCTGCGGTCGACTGCAAGGCAGCATCGACGCCCAGCAGAACCGTGTACGAGAATTTCATCACTGCCCTCCTCTTGTCCATATCATCCGCCTTTTGCAGTCGCACTGGCGCGATTCCCCTCAACTATCGAACGATTCTGCTTCCATCTGATCCGCTGGCAATCAACAGCCTGCACGATTCTCAAGCCTCGCAGTGTCCGGTTTTGGCTACCCTCAAGGCTTACTTGACAACAACCGGTGCTTTGGTGATCAACTTCGCCGTCTCTCGCTGCAGGGGACTCTCATCACTCGCCAACCTTGTTGCCACCAACTTTGCGCAATCTAGCGCTCCCATTCTCGCGGCTCCATTCGGAGTTGTGGCGAACAATCAGGTATCCACCAGCGGCGAGGCCGGCACGGCAAGTTTGGCACAGACTCCCAACACCCAAGCGTTCAGTGTTCGCGTCGGATCTGATGCTCGTGACTCGTCATGGAAGCAGGCTTGCCTCAACATTCTAAAGCTGCGGGGCGTTGCGTCGTCGAGTTTGGCCGACTGCATTTGGGTGAACCTTTGCGTCCCCAACCCTAGGCTTCAAGATGCCAAAAGCGAGACTAAGCGGGCGCAAGCCCCAGGTTCTACCATCACGATACCCTGGCCGGGGCAACTCTGTTTTCGCAAGAAGACGGTCGAAGTGTCATCGACGAGCCGGGTGGGTGACACGCTCTTCAGCGGCAACGAGGAAAGCCACGATCCCTTGGGCAACGCTAAAGTGTGGTTCACTTCAGCCTCCGATAGGGATGAGAAGATGTCGAAGAGAAAGGCCGAGCGGGCCCTCGCATCGAAAGAGGCCCTTGCCGCGGAGTCACGCGCGGCGAAGCCAAGTGCGCCGTCGCCCGTGGCCGTCCGGCGACCGAGCACAGCGGCCGCCTGCACCATCTATCCGACTCCGCCTGACGGCATTCAACACCCAAACGGCGTCACTCCGTCAATCGACGGAGCATTGTCGAGTCCAGGCAACCCGCTCTCCGCGGTGCCTCCTGCCGACACAGACCCTGCTCCCTTCAATGCGAACCACGTAGGCGATGCGTTCGACGTTGGGCCAGACACGAACGAGCCAAAGCGCCAGCGCAGCGAGAGTAATCTGCTCGGTGAAGCTGACCATATGTTCAGCGACATGGGAGGGGACATGTTTGGTGATCACGACATAACCGAGGCCGACTTCAACTTTTTCGATGAGCAACCAGGCGACCTGGACCTGGATGTCCCAATGGCTGATGTGATTGCGGCGAACCGGAGCAGTGACGCAGCCGTCAAGACTGAGCAAGACGCCGCCGATGCCGCGAACCGGACCAAGGTTGCAGCTCTCCCGGAGCGAAATATGGTGGTCTTTGCCAAGCCGGAACTGAAGCATGCTAGAAGCTCTAGGAACGAGGCCTCTGGCTCGCGAGGCCGAGACACGCCTTCCGGTTCCGTGAAGCGCGAGCCCAGCCCTTTCGATCCGCACACTGTATTCAAGCGAGTGCGAGCGTCCCTGGCAATCACTGGGCATGGGCCTGGTGTGAAACCATGCGATTCTACCCGAGCGACGAGGATATTTGACACTATGAATTTCGACCCGTCACTCCCCATGATTAACAAAAAATACGAGCAGGGTGGACAATTCGATTACAGGAAGATATCGAGCTTGGAGAAACCTAGGCTCGAGCAGGGAATCCTGCCGGAAACTGACTATCTGAAGCGGCATGGAAAGCAGGGCAAGAGATCGAGAGATCGCCACTTCAACGCCGAGTCTTTGATGAGAGGTCTGACCGGGTTGGAGCCGCCCGCGTCGCATCCAAGCCCGACAAGAAACGAGGGGTCCTTGTCAGACGACTATGACAGCAGCGTTGGATCTGACCAGGACGATTCAAGCTACACTACCGAGGAGCCCGCCTCGCCTCTGAAATCGAGTGTCAAGCTGCTGACCTTGGACGACGACGCTGCGTCTCCGGTGCCATCTCTCAGAGACTCTGAGCCGACGGAAGAGCCCGACCAGCAGCTTGCTATGGAGTTGCCACGACTCGCCAAACCAGAGTCTCCGGAACTGCCGCTATCCCTGCTCTTCCTAGATCCTGAGCCGCTATCTCTTGAACTGTCTCTCGGCGACGAAGACCTGATTCAAGTTGCACAGATACTGACTGACCAGGCTGCTACAGGCTCACTGGATATCCTCAACGGACAAGAGGGGACAAAGGTGCTACCATCCACAAATCTCTGTAGCCAAGCATTCTCTATGGAAGCAAGGAATGCCATTCAAACGCTACGGGAGACTGTGCCGTCATTTCTAAAAAGCGCCGGGGCAGTCAGTTTGAAAGGACTTTTGGACATCCCAGACGTTCCACTTCTAGGGCAGCCAACTCGACTACCTCCTCGCCCGATTCCTGGTAGAGACCCCAACGCGGAGCCGCTGCGGCCCAACAATCTCTACCAGATCCCGGGCCCCCATCTCGAAGTCCGCCGATCGGAAACGAAGCTGTCTGTTCTTCCGTCGGCTGTGCTGTTCTGGGAAAGTCTTGGCCTTGCACCTTCGTCTGGTGGTAAGAACGTGAATGCCGTCTGCGTGTTCCCCGGCTGGAACGGCATGGCGGACAACGCCAAGACTTTTATGGGTTGCCTGAAAAGTGTGTACGAGACGCTCAAGCTTGGCTCGTTTGAGAGCATCACCCTACCAGGCGAACTGGAAGACGGCCTCCTACGGTACGAAGTTGACAGAATCTCTACGTCGCCGGGCGCGACAATGACTGGGCATGGATCGGCCCTTGTTGAAAGCATGGGAACTGTGCTGGGAGCAATCTCAAAATTGCAGGCCACGGCCGCAAATATCGTTATTTATTTTGTTTACCCTCCGCATAACCCGGGAATCATTGTCGAGGCTTGCGTCGCCTTTCAGGGCGTCTTCGACTCGTATCGAAAAAGCCCGGCAGCCTGGCGAGAGGCTGTACCGAACGAGTTGGTTTTGCAGCTGATCTCGACCAGCTTGCTCTCGTCACCAACGGCTGTGGTGGTGACGCCTGCACCGGAGCTCATCAAGATCTGCATGGAGACGTACGACCGATGCACCTTGTTTGGCGGCCCAATGCCCGCGCCGGCCATTAAACTGGAACAGCCGCTGCCGCGCATCATTGATTTCAAGCTCACAATGTCACCGTCGGCGTCACTCATCCGAGAGAACTCGTGTATCCACGTTGCTTATGCGCAAAGTGTTGACGAGCGGTGGATCACAGCAGCCTGGACAGACGATCGGGGCAATCAACAGGAAACTGCATCTTACTGCCTGAGTCGAAAGGGTCGGCCCCAATCGCGGTCTACTAGCGAAGTGGCCCATGAGATATGGGAGTCGACGCTGGATCTGATATCCGTGTGGAAAGTCCATTGGCGCGTTGTTATCACGAAATGCGGACCCATGAATCAACAGGAAATTGACTTTTGGGCAGACCTGGCCCGGACAGAGATCAAGGCTTCGGTGACGATGATACTGATGACGGTTGACACGAACCCGTCGCTGCAACTGATACCGCCGCTGGTCAAGCTGCCGCAGCCGCCGGCTCTCTTCTACACGACACCCGTGTCGACGCCGCAAGCAAACATTGTATCGCCTGAACAGAGCGGAACGCCGGCAACACCGGCCCGCGATGCGAACGCTGCGGCTGCGACCCCCGGTGCAGACGGTGGGGGCGAGTCGGAATACGAAGCTGTCCTATCAGATGTGACTGACCAGACGTGGGGGGCCGTGGTAGGCCATCGGCTCAACAACTCGTCGAGCGTTGTCGATGTTCATCCTGCCCTGGCCAGCGGCTACCTGATCAAGCGCACGGGCATCCGGGTCGAAGACGCACCGGCTTTGATGGAAGTTAATCTCGCACACACAGACGCCACCCCCCGGGCTTATGAACCACTCCTTAGAGAAATGTTGAGCTACTTCCGGGGATTGGGGACTCTGGCGCGGGCGAGGGGAGTTGTGCAGCGAGAGACAGACGTTCGCCCTTGGCATATCGCAGCCGCCGAGAAGGGCGCGAGGGCCTTGTATCTTCTTATGTGAACTTTATAGTGGGGGGAAGATGGCTCACGATGCAAAATCTGGCTGGGGATGGCAGGAGAGCGGTACACAGGAGTTTCAGGACATCGTCAAGTGTACTTTTTGCGTTTGGAGATGTGTTTTGGTGATGAAGAAGCAATCGTATACCACCACATATTGCTGGTGATGAAACGGCCTCGACTGACTTTGGCCTGGCCATGCTCCTAGCTTTTCTCTGATTGAGAATGGGGTATACATATATGAAAAGAAGCCGGAGTGGCACGAGTTACTTGAAGGCTATGAGGGAGGTCGCGAGGCTGGTGCGCAGAATATGCATCTATCGAAAACGACCCGCTATGACGCATGCACACTCTTCGCACTCTTCGCCCGACAAATTCCCACCTTGAACGAGTTGGCAGTGAGGAAAAGGCTTGCCGAGGAAGACTACAAAGAAGCCGAGGTGTCGTGTGAGCCAGATATCTGTCAGGTCCGTCGCTTCAAGGGGCACGGCTTGCCCAAGACGGTCGTTGTCCCTCCTCGATGCATCTCCCTCAATGCTATCTTCGGGAGCAAAGGGGAGTCAGGACTGACGGGCGTGTAGTGTAGCTCACCGAACATTTCCCATGAGGCCGACATTATGGACGCGGCCAATCTGGGTAATCTCCCGGGCCATCTTCTTCTCGACGTCATCGACTACTTGGACACGGCCCGCGACGTCTCCCACCTCGGCTCTTGCACGCGGCACATGCGCGATCTGATCCACCACGATGGTTGGAAATCGTTTGTCCGCAACATGTTCCCCTCGCTCGCTATACCTTCAAGCGGGTTGACCACGTGGGCGTCCGTCGCGGATCGCCTGACGTACCTGGACCGCTGCTGGGAGAAGCGCGGCTTTGCCTTCAACCTCTTCCGGGAAGATGTGCGCAGAAGAGGACGGCATCGCATCCCCCCTGGAGGGCAGTCGGTTACGTTTCAGTGCTTCGTCGATGTGCAGTTGCTCTCTTCGCAGGCTGAGGTGTTGGCGTGCGGCACCGGCGAGGACCTTCTCGTCCGATGGCGAGCCGCAGCACCAGAGTCCAATCGCTCCGACACCTGGAGGAAGCTCGGTGGTCGCGACACCGGCTATTCCGCTGGAAGCGGGGACGTAACGGCTGTCTCGGTCATCGAGAGGGACTGTAAGCCGGAAGTTCTTTTGGGGAGGGCCAACGGAGATGTCCAGCTGCTCGCCGGCGCCAACGACGAGGCGTTCGGCCGGACTGTCAAACGGCTCCTCGCCGCCGAAAAAGAGGAGGCGCACAACCAACGGAGTTCCCCAGGACGGCTTGCCGTCACTTGGACAGAGTGGCAACCGGAAACGCACTTAGTGGCAAGCTGTGGAGGCTCCCGCCTCACCCTTCATAACCTCTCATCGGAGGGCGAGGAGACGACTTTGAAGCCAATAGCGTACTACGACGCCTCCAAGGCGGGAGATTCGGACGAAATGCCGCTAGTTCGCTGCGCCAAGTTCATGGGCAGAGATGGCATTGTCTGTGGCATTGGCAATAACCCTGAGCCACTCCGATGGGGCAAAATACGACCCACTGGCGTGGAGCTATCCTCAATCCCTTGCTACAGCGCAGCAGAGGCTTTCCCGACTAAGAGGGAAACAGTGCGGGCCATAGAGCAGGTAGGAAACTCCACGAACGAGAACCTGCTCCTCAGTGCGTGGGACGACGGAAGCTACAGGTACACTCCCCCTCCTTTGCACATGTCCGTTGCGAACTTGGACGATATCGGCCTGGAGCTCCTAATGTTGAACCCCTCGACAGGCTGCTCGACATACGAACGCCATCAAATCGGGACGTCGTATACCGCGACCGCTTCCAGCCGTATTGCACCAGCAGCTCTCTACTGGTGTATGGGACGGAACGGTTCGTGGCCGGCGGCAACTCGGAGGCGGTCCTGCGCATATTTGATTTCCGCTATCCAAAACCGTACCTTCATTTCAACGCTCTGCATTGCTCCGACCAGTCGCCATGTCCAGAAGCTCCCGAAATCGCGCACGCGCGCTTGTCGAGAGAGGGGCGACAAGTCTCCGCAGGATTGCCAAATCAAGAGCCAGCGACGCCCTTCTCGAGTCGCTGCGAGCCAGGGCATCGACGTGTTTGCCGCTGGCACGGGCAGTCGAGGCTTCCGGACTGGCGACCAGACGCGACTGTCTTCCTCGGCACAGACGCAGACGACAGGGTATTCTCGCTGGCCAAGGCATCTGATCTGTCTGATTCCTTCTACTGCGGCCTGCGCGGCGCCATCGTCGAGGCCACGCCGATTCTCGCCGAGGACGTCCATTCCGAGGCTGCGAAGCCTCCTGCGCCCCCAGGGTGGGTGGTGCGGGACGGTGAGCAATCCACCCGGCACGTCGCACTACTCGAGACGGGAGCCAGCCGCTGCCATGGTGATGGGTGGCTTGGCATCGAGCAGATGAGAGGCATGGCGCTTTATCACCACCGTCCAAATGCTGGTTCGCTTGGTTCGTGTGCTGTGCAGCCCGAAAGAAGCCGTTTGGACGCGACCCTGCGACCTTGTTGACGCTCGTTGCAAGCCGAGGCCCGCTGGCCAGGTGACAGTTGATGTTTGGGCTCGGAAGTCCAAGACCTTTAATGGATCTGCACATACACATATAGAGTAGGGGGTGACGCTGGCTCCTTAGAGGCCCCGAAGGCATAGAAGACGGAAGACGTACGATGATTCCTGTACACATGTCACGGGACTTGTTTCTACATAAGGACACAGGCAAGACAAAAGCAGATCTATAGCTTGGGCGCAGGCTGTATGAGAGACAGTCTCTCTTTCAGCGCCGACTCGGCCTCCTTTTCGATGCGCTTGACCAAGACGTCGCACGTGGGGATATCGTGAATAAGCCCGATGACCTGGCCCGTGGTCCATACCTACAGTCGAGACGAGAGTCAGTACGCGCAATGTCGCCCCTGGCCAAGAAAGAACCAAGATGGTACAGCAAGAGGAGCCACTTACACCATGCTCGGGGTCCCCATTGACAAAGACCTCCTTGCCGCGCTTGCCGCTGACGAGGGGCGCGACCTCTGCAAACTCGCCTGTGGTGCTCTCGCGCTCGACGCGGAGGGCCTCGAGGGCGACCTTGTTCTTGTAGAGGCGGCTGGTGTTGCGCCAACGGCGGAGGAGAAGGGTGGTGTCGGTCTCCTGGGCGCCGACAATCTCGTCCTTGATGCGTTGGTGGATGGGGGCCTCGACAGTGCACATGAAGCGGGTGCCCATGTTGATGCCGCATGCGCCGAGGCAGAGGGCGGCGGCGAGGCCCCAGCCGTCCGCGAAACCGCCTGAGGCGATGAAGGGAACGTTCAGGGACTGGCGGGCGCGACTGAGGAGAATAAAGTTTGTGATGTCGCTCTCGCCGACGTGGCCTGCGCACTCAAAGCCGTCGATGCTGAGAAAGTCGACGCCAAGCTTGACGGCGCTCTGGGCGTGGCGGATGGTGGTGCACTTGTGCAGGATGGTGATGCCGGCGCGCTTCAGCTGGGCGATGATGGGGCCGGGCGAGTTGCCGGCCGTCTCGACAATGGAGATGCCCTCGTCGATGACAGCCTGGGCGTAGGCGCCGTAGTCGGGCGGGACCATGGAAGGCAGCAGGGTCAGGTTGACGGCGAAGGGGTTGCGCGTCAGGCGCCGGCAGCGCTGGATCTCGGCGCGCAGCTCGGCGGGCGAGGGGAAGATGAGGGCCGTGATGATGCCGAGGCCGCCGGCGTTGGAGACGGCCGAGGCCAGGTCCGCCGTGCCGACGTGCATCATGCCACCCTGAACGACAGGCACTAGGGAAGAGAAGCCAGTCAGAGATGTATGTATGCGGATGGTGGGGAGAGAGAGAGAGAGAGGCGCGTACCTCGGATGCCCAGCCGCCGGGTCAGCTCTGTGGCGAGAGGCATGGCGGCTATGGGGCTATCGTCGATTCTAGGAGAGGTCTTCGTCCCTGCGCTTTCTACTTCTTCGTCTGACTATGTCGTTATAGGCGCCGGCGAGCTCGCTGGAAAAAGGGAGGGACAACGAGGGCGATGAAGTCGGTCGAGCAAAAGAGGCCGAGGTTTGAGCCGTGTGATGCGATGACGCGAAGCAGTAGGAGAGAGAGGATGTCGAGCGGTGGCTGACGGCGGGAGCAGGAAGAGCGCGTCGTCAAAAAGGGTCGAGGAATGCGATGGTCGTTGGACGAGGATGCCGAGGTACAGGCCGCAGAGGCCCCACATCCCCCACGGGGCCCGGATGGCCCCCTGGCTCACATGCTCGTCGCCGGGTTTCGGCATTCCGTATTTCCCGGTCCGGAAATCTGGGTAAAGGGGCTCAATTTGTCATCATCCCTTCTCAAAGACTACACGCTCTGCACCCTCTCCTCTTCTCCGATCCCAGCCACGCTGTCGAGAACCGTGTCCGAGTGGCAGATCTTGCGGTGCGACCGTCCGTTTTCTAGCCTCTTCCTCGCAAAATCGACGCCGATGATCAGCCAATTTGTTCGAACGGCGTAACAGCAACGAGGGTTGGCACCGTAGTGCAAGGAAGAATGATGTTTGCAGCAAGACTCTCACGCAACAGAGTAGAGGGCTGGGAAGGGAGACTGGCCTTGATGCTTAGCCTCCGATCAGCTATGTCGACTGCAACATGGCTGCATGAACTGCTTACAGTACAGCACCGTGCTACCTTTGGTTCCGGGGGTGTTTGTGCCTGAACTCAGGGCTTAATCCTACCTACTGCACAAGACCCTGACCAGAACCATGTTAAAATCTTTTGATGAGTCACAGGGTCACAGACGTGTTCTATGTTCGAAGCCGGCTCATCGCGTTCCCCTAGATACACAGTTCGGCCTCCTACTAAGTAGACTCAGCCTTATTGCAGAACTAGGCAGCTGCAGCTGGATCCTGGCGGCCGAGGCTCCTAGAAATAGCATCATTTCGTGTATACACAGCTATACTGCACCGATCCGCCGATATAGATGAGGGTGTCTCTGGCCAAATCGCCCGTATTGAATCATTTGTTGGTCTCAGCATTACTTACATAGTGCAGATAGTGGCGGTGTCCCGACCGGATTTGCAGAAACATCCCGTGGCCGATTACGCAGTCACCCCAAAGTCTCCATGCGAGCCCAGATAGGCAACATCTCCTCTCGTTATTCGTTGGACTTGAGGACTCGGAGTGGTTCATTAACCATCCCATACCTCTCAAATGACCGTATGTATAAGAACAAGGAACCACAGTCATCGACCCTATGCGGCAAGGCGAATATCTCCATCTCGTAGACGACTTATCAACTTGTCGCGTTTTGTTGATCTGTTGCCTCTGCTCTCCTGCACAATGCATGCGGACGTGCCAGACAGCTAGTTACTTCATATAACGGATCATACGTGCTTGTCGGTATCAGAAGGGGCGCATTGTTGCCGGCGCAACTAACATCCGGGGCCTACGAGTTGGGTCTAATCAGCTCTTGTTCGCTTTGCTTTGCCTGTTTGGAACACTCAGTCATTCGAATATCCTTCTTTGTAATCTATCCTTTTTTCGACGCGCCAGTTTGTTCTTTTGACGCAGCAGACTTCATTGTTAGCGTGGATCCCGTAAGTGCTCCAACGTCCGAGGATGTAGGTCAATCTTTCTAGCCTCAGACATGCTCTTATGGTCAGACATCAACGGAGCAACTAAGTCTAACAAGTCACGACTAAAGAGTCGACACACAAACAAACTCAAGGGATTATCTAGGCATGGCACTGAATGAGCTTATTGGGTTGGCTCAGTCCTCCCGAGGACCGGCTGATATGCTGACTTGGTAGCGCACTTTTCGCGGACTCTGACCCTCAATGACTGCCAGTGTGCGACTCGTGCCGTATCAAGAAGATCCGTTGTGAACGAGAGAGGCCAAACTGTTTCAACTGCACGCGTCTCAACCGGGACTGCTCATGGTCCGGTCAAGGGAAAAGCCCAACCAGGCGGGTTCTCTGTGAGTATGCCTTCGACTGACCTGAGCGGATACGGTGTAGTGATGCAAGCCCGTGTATTTACTATTGAGAAGACAGCCTGCCATCGGCGAGCTCAGCAGTCGGTTCGACAAGGTCGAAGGGGTACCGAGAAACATTTAAAGTCTGTTGGAACGAGTGGAACTTGGGCAGCCTGCAGCCCCCAGTGGTGCTCACCCATCATGCCAGCTGACCACGCCTTCTGGGGATGCAGAGAGTATAAGCTCCGACTTCCGTCCGTTCGCGACCGATATTCAATGGGCAAACATGGGACTGCGTCACTATGTTCACCGACCCCAAGACCGTGCTGAGCAGCGCGCGGGCCTACGTTGTTGAGATGCTTGGCTTTTAACGTTGATGCGAAGGAGTTTGTTTTACATGGGCTCCTTGGGCACATTCCCTCGGCATCGGGGACTACTTCTGCGACGGCGAAACTGAATAAGCTCGTGGAATCCTGGGACCTACCAAAGGAACACTAAGCGATGGAACTCCGCCGATCAGGCCCCGCCAGGCGATCCCGAACGCCATGGCAGGTTATTACTTCGAGTCCGTAACCCGGTACGGCCAATCTGGGCTTGCCAGGGGTTGCAAAAGCTTGCTTCCTCTGTAAAAATCCAAAACGCCCAGCTCATGCACGGGCCTATGCCGTCAGCGCGAACAATCTGACCCTTTTGACCCTGACGGAGCTAAATCGGAGCGAAGCCTTCACTCCCCCGACAGAAACTCGTCCTCTATGGAGCGCGACCCCATCAAAACCTTTGTGGCAAAATGCTAAGCGTGCTGTTAAAAACGTCGAGTTACTTCTCAACTCGTGCATTGAACATGCTCAGGCACTCTGGTCTCTGGTGACTTGGAATGCGACGTGCAATACTTTCGCTCCCCGACGCCCTTGTGCAGTGTTGGCTTGCGCAGCTATATCTGACGGATGATGTTGTTGGACCTACGTTTAGCCTCGCCGTCTACTTGGCACGCTCCTTCGGAATAATCACACCTAGCTCTCGGAAGAACGTCTTGGCCTAGAGTTGACAGAAGATAAAAGGAACATCCTCTATTGCTTGTGTCTACTAGAAGCAGCGGTGTGTTGTAGCTTCAGCATGTCACTACCATGCGATTACGTCCAGTCTTCAATATTGTAATAGCACAGGGTTGCTTCCAGGCAGTTCAAGCAGCTCAATGGCCTGTTCATGCGATACAAGTTGATAGTAATAGCCACACACCACAGATAATATCTGGGCTCATTCCGTAACATGCCACGATAAGTCCACCTGCCTGCCGCTGCTGGGTTCCGGCCCGCGAGCAGAACCACGGAGACCGGGTCGGTTGCCTTGCCCCCACATGAGGGCCTATGAGCAGGCAGTCTTCCTCACAATGGCTACGTTCGAGATTGTCGAAGGCTACGCTGCTTATGAACTGCCGTGGCATTCTCGGAAAACTGGCCGGTTGCTCTCCGACGTACTATAACAACCACCATCAGGGCTAGGGCATCGGTGAGTTGCCTGACAACTTGAGTCAGAAGCATGGTTGACACTCGACAGGGCTCATCTTAGCACAGACGAATGCTTCTCTTCCTTTACTAATTTAGGCTCAGAGCAATTATACATGGCATCTCTTCGAGTCTATCTCGCATACTGGCAGTCCTATGGCCACCACCTGCTTGTCAGATCTCGAACTGTTGCTTGCCGAGCCCAGCGAAGTAATGAACCCCAATTATGCGTGGGGAATGGGCCCAAGCACATAGTGAGCAGGTCTACCGTTCTGAGCTGTGGTATAAACCCAATGCCCACGCCCTATATAACAGGAAGACCATTGCACATAGCCGTATTCGACGATTCACTCAGGAGCGCGAGGACATCTGTTCCTACAGTGACGAGGACCCAGGACAGCCAGAGGCTCCATCTATAGGAGCCGGTAAAGCCAACGGCGACGACTGACAAACCAGCAGCGAGGACACTAGCGATGCTTGTCGGGAGCAGTGGAAATAGGATGAATGAGGGTCTGGCGCAAAACAGCCTAATAAAAGAAGGGCAGATACTGCATAAGTCCAAAGAGCATCATGCCGTGAATGAAAGCCTCGACAAGAGTGGCAGTCGTCGTCCTCGAGCGAAAGGGGCGAAGCGGTACGACGCGAGCCACCGGCTTAAACCCGTATACTGCAAAGGCAACGAGGATCAAGACTCCGATGAGTAGGGAAAGAATAGTTCGCCACGAGCTGCAGGGGTCCAATGCGCCTGCCCAGCTTCAGAGGCAGGACAAAGACGACGAACCCAAGGGAAAAGAGGGTCATGCAGACAGGGCCTAAACAACCTGATTTAGAACGGTCGACTGGGCCATGGTGTGTTTATGCCCAGCGACTTCCCGCTTATGCCGCGTCTCTCCGTTACTGGCGTGTCTTCCGGCGTCGTCCCCAAAGGGAGCGTTATGGCGGGCAGGCTTAGTGCAGAACAAGGACAGAGGGAAAAGACAGTTGAGGCGATGAAAGCATCGATTTTTTCCCCTGTCAAAGGCGTGCGGAACCCCAAGCGCTTGGTCAGTCAATATCTTCGCCTCGTTGATGCGCTGGAATGCGGAGACTTGTTAACCGATTTAGATATCAACGCGGTGTTCCAAAACCAAGTGTTACGTGCAGTATATTCCTCTTGAGGGAAGGATTTAGTGAAAGCTCGGATGACCTTAAGAGAGGTGACACTGTTTAGGCTCTCTGTTAAAGGTGAAAGACTATTTTCTGGCAGGTTGGCCTTTAGGTCTAACATCAACACACTTGAACGCGGTTTGCGATGGCGTCCAAGCGACCAGCGTCCATTTCGGACAGGTCCAAATCGTCGACGATTTCAGCCTTCGCATCGCGGAGAACGTCCAACGCACGCTCGAAACCCCCTGAGCCTCATGCTCCGAGTCCGGGATAGGCGCCTTGAGGAGGTTCTTGGTAATACGGA